ATTTAGTAACAAATATTGACCACCCAAGTAATCGATTAATTGTAAAAAAGTAAATACAATACAATAAACATATCATCGAGTATTTGAATTTGCCATAACAAATGTGCAATATTATCTATTATTTGCGCCATATGTTGTCTATCTCCTATTTCAGCTGTTTCCAAGTCACATAAATCAGATTCAAAATCTCTGTTGTGTACACATGTCTCTGTCATGACATATGCAAAATCTTCATATGAAAAATTTGAAATTTTGATAAAATTATGCAATTCTATTATAGCAACTACCACTCTCTTTTGTATGTGCATATTATATCTTGGAAAATCAGAAAGAATCCTCCGTTTTTGTTTCCAAACTCCAAAATTTCTCTCAATAACAGATCGCATAGACGCATGAAATCTGTTAGTCAACTGTTGTTTATTCCTAGGAGCAGGACCATAGTTGAACTGGGAATATGAGGTCTAAATAGTAACCGCTGAAAATTGTTGAATGCGGAATTTGGTGGAATGAAGTTGATGTTTGTTGCGGAATCTGAGTGATTATTTAGTAATGTAACATCCGTAAACCAAAAAGGTGCAGTTTTGGTTGAGTGTCGACCGACACAAGTGGTGAGTGTCGGTCGACACCAGCTTTAGTTTGCAATTTTTCGGTTCAATTTAAGTTCATTGATTCCGGTTAAGCTGGTTTTGGGCAAGGGAAGCCCTAGGTCACGAAATAAAAGAGTCAGCAGCCTGGTTTTTGGCTCTTTTGTCGTTTTGTGAAGGAGAAACTCGTGGAGAAGGAGAAGAGGCGATTCCTGGTCGATTTGTGAAGTTTCTGGGTCAGATCCTTGCTGTTCTTCGCTCTTTCCATCTCTTTTCCTTGTTCAATCCGTTCTAGAGGTGAGCGCATGACTGTAGGTCCGCAATTTCTAGATCTGGTTTGATTGGTTAATTGTTCTTGAGTTGTTCATGTTGATTATGTGTTATCTAGTGTTGTTTGGGTGTAATTCGTGTGGATTTGGTGTTTTATGTGATTTTCGTGTTGTTTTGTTGAAGGAAGAATCGGTCTCTGGAACTAGTGGTGGTCGACACCAAGTTTGGTGTCGGTCGACCAAGTGGCTGGTGTCGACCGATACCAAGCGGGTGTCGCTCGACACTGACCGGTTCGGTCCGGTTCAATTGAAATCAAAATTGGTTTAAATTGATTTGATTTAATTGGTTAATCTGGTTATCAGGTTATTTGGTTAAATTCGTATTTAATTAATTAATGAGTATTTTAATTAATTAAATGGCTTAAAATAATTATATTAATTATTTTAAAATATGGAAAATTATTATTTAATTATGAGAATTATTTAATAATTGAGAATATAAGTTTTAATTATTAAAAATTATTTAATAATTGGAAAATGGAATTTAATAATTATTGGAATTTATAATATTTGGCATGTAGGCAGAGTGATTGCCTCACAAAGTATTTATTAAATACTTATGCAACTTCATTCCAATGTGTTGCAGGTAAAAGATTTGTGTGATCGTGGAATCAAGGGTGAAGAGAGGGGTGATAAGATGCTTATTGCTATTATTTATTTGCATTGTTTTGTTAGACTTGTTTAATTATTTATTTGCTTCCGCTGAACTGAATCATTTGTTATTTGATTTACTTTTATTTAATTTATTTTAAAAGTGTTGGTTATTTCAAGTAATATGAATGGTAACAACTGAATACTGCTGAATACAGAATGCTGCTGAAGACGAAATATACCTAATAAATTATTTGTATAACAAAATAACAAAATATTCACCCAAGTAAATTAACAAAATAAATATAAAAATATATATTTGTAAAATAAATAAATAATAGTTACATCAAATAAATAATTTAAAATATATATGATTTAAATCATGATTTATAATAGTTTATTAAACAGAAAATGAAAAAAACGACATTTAAAACATATGATTCATTAATAAAAACTGTCTCATATTTACTATTTACTGCTTAATTCTCTCTCCTATTGCATACAGATAAGTATCATATGTGTTATAATATATAAAAATCTATATTCAATCTTATTATAATTAAGTGTATTTTTGAAACAACCAACATTTCTTTTTATATAGTTAAATACTAAACAATTCTAACGAAGGTCTTTAAAATAAAATAAATAAATAAATATCAATAACAAATAAATCAGTTCAGCGGAAGCAAATAATAATTAAACAAGTCTAGCAAAATAAATCAAAACAATATACATCCTATCATCCCCCTCTTCAGCCTTGATTCCGCGATCACACAAATCTTTTACCTGCAACACATTGGAATAGAGTTGCATAAGTATTTAATAAATACTTAGTGAGGCAATCACTCTGCCTACAGGCCAATTACGCAATTTACTAGATATTTAATAATATTTATAAACTCCAATAATTATTAAATACCATTTTCCAATTATTAAATAATTATTAATAATTAAAACTTCATTTCTCAATTATTAAATAATTCTCATAATTAAATAATAATTTTCCATATTTTAAAATAATTAAAATAATTATTTTAAATCATTTAATTATTTAAAAATCTCATTAATTAATTAAATACGAATTTAACCAAATAACCAGATTAACCAATTAAATTAAATCAATTTAAACCAATTTTAATTTCAATTGAACCGGACCAAACCGGTCAGTGTTGGTCAACACTTGGTGTCGACCGACACTAGTTCCAGAGGCCGATTCTTCCTTCAATAAAATAGCATGAAAATCACATAAAACACCAAATCCACACGAATTACACCCAAACAACACTAGATAACACATAATCAACATGAACAACTCAAGAACAATTAACCAATCAAACCAAATCTAGCAATTGCGGACCTACAGTCATGCACTCACCTCAAATCGGATTGAAAACAGAGAAAGGGGGATGAACAAGGAAGAACAGCAACAAGGAGCCTCAGATCAACAAAGAACTCCGGATTTCAGCTCGAAATCGCCTCTCTTCTCCTTCTCCAGTCCGCAAAACGACAAAAGAGAGAAAGAGGAAGCGGCTGCGGCTTTTTATTTCGAGTTCTAGGGCTTCATGGGCCTAAACCGGGCTAAACCGAACTTAAATCGAACCAGAAATCGATTTTAACCATTGCCAAAGAAAAATCTCAATTCTTTGGTTTATGGATGTTACAATTTTAGACTAAAATAAGTATTATTTAATATATCATATTCTGATATATTTTTTACACTGTTTTCCTTTTTAGATCTGAATTTGTAAATTTATTTCTTGGCAAAGTAATTTTACTGTGAAGACTCAGTTCCAAACACTTCAAAAATTCGAATATTCGAAGACATTGGATCGGGTAATGTAAATAGTTTACATTATATAAAAAATAATAATCATAAAATTTTATTTTGTTTGTCACATAAATTAAATTCATTATATAGAAATACTAATTTATAAAGAAAATCTTCAAAAAAAAAAGAAAAAAAAAAAACAAAGCATTTGACAATTCTTCAACATTCCACAATATACATCAACTGGTGTATTAAAAAATGGTGTATTAAAAAAAAATGCCTCAACATTTCTCAGGATTCTTCAAACTACATGTTACTAGTTAGGGCCATGATATTTCACAACGAGATATATAAGGAGCTAAAAATCCTTGTTTATTTGGATAGCCAGAATCAACGAGATAATATTTCTCTGGTGGAGGCAAAGGGAACTCTGAATCGCGTTCTTGTGCCATTGTCAAAACAGTTGTAACATGGCATGAACCTAGTACTCCATTCCAAATATATGTGAATAACATATTGAAATCACATATTGTCATGATGTTGAAAGATGCATTATCATGTCGATTCCAATACATTCCTTGTAACTCAGGCTTCACTTTCACACATACATGTGTTCCATCTATTGCTCCCACAAATCCGCTGAAGTATGGATAATATGTTTGATCAACTAGAAATCTTTCAGGAATTTGGTATAGTTCTTGTCTTGTTGGAGTTCTAATATAATCACATGCCATTAATTTAGTCGCCCTAAAAACTTCTTTAAATTTTCTCTGCACGGTCTCTTGATTTCGGCCAAATCTCATACCAACATCTCTTTATACTTCATTGTGCACACATATTCGTAGAAATATAGGTACACTTTATTCAATGCTTATATTTAATGATGGCTGTAAGCCATAATTTGTCTGAAGTGTTTGACACAAAGTTATAAAACATGGTAGTGACATTCGTAATAACTGAAGACAAGCAGCATCATCTTGTTATAATTGACGCCAAATATTTCTCCACCCCAAACCTCTGTCAGTTTGAACCGGGGCTCTTTCAAAATTCCGATGATAGTACGTAAGTGTTGGGTGGATAACTAACTCTCTTCAAATTGCTCATTTTCCAAATTCCACAATTCAATTCACTTCATAGCTAAGGTTGTGGATGCCTTGCGATCTCAGTTGACATATACGAAAATTCTGAATTTTTAAACATAAGATAAATTAACGTCATTAGGCAAATCGTAACAAATATTAAATAATAAGTTAAATTAAAAAAAAAATCAATATATAAATTAATCTATTACATAAACGAGAATGGTGATTTTTTTTTTTATAACATAAGTGAGAACTAATGAAAAAAGATCTATCATAAACTAAGTTTCGTCTTTCGAATAACTTTGATGACGTTCATTTATATTTGTGTTTGTTCCTCTTGGAGTTCCCCATATATTGAAAAGACCGCCAAGTCTAGGTGTTTGTGAAGTATGTCCACATTCAAAATAGTTGGTGAAATCAAGACCACGTGGTGATGTTTGTTGACGTTTGGTGAAGCTCTTGCCATTGCACCATCATAATTATCTAGTTGAATATTCCTTAGACTTTCTCGTTCACCCCCAAGTGAAAATCCATATTGAACAGTGGTTGGAGTTGTCCTTGACATACTTCATAGACCTGGTGGTCTTTTCAATAAAAAAAAAAGACTGGATGAAAGTTTGAGTCGGGCGAGCTGGATGAAAGTTTGATGGTGAAGCAGAAGGCTGAAAGTTTGGAGGAAGCCCCCATTGTTGAGCGTTTGGTGGTGTGCCCCACTGTTGAGCATTTGGTGGTGTTCCCCATTGTAGCGCATTTGGTGGTGTGCCCCATTGTGGAGCTGGTTGGGGTGATCCCCATTGTTGAGGATTTGGTGGTGTGCTCCCTTGTTGAAAACTTGGAGCCAATAATCCTCCTCAGCTTTGTCCTCCTAAACTGTTACCGACAGAAGATGGAGTTCCAGATGATATCCCTCCTGAGTGTAGACTCCCATACGATTGGCTTTGCCCTAATTGTTTCGGCACATCTTAGTTGTTTCGTGAAACACCAGTCTTTGCTTCCAACATTTGTAGCTTGTCCACGTCTATATTTCCAGCTATATCGATGAAATATTTACGCCAAATACTACCTCTTTAAGTGAACTAGGTTTGAAGCCCCGCGCAAGCGCGGGGTTGTTTGCGATAGTTTTTCTATTTTGTGTTAACTTTTATGTTTTTGTTATATTTTGAATTAATCCAACCACTAAAACTAAAAAATATGAACAATTTGTTTTTTTATTTACTTTTATTAGGATGTTAACATCTCACTTTATTTCGAGTTTTCTATTTCTAAAATTTTAGAAAGTTATAAATATTATGTTTGTTTACCAAAAAAGTATTATGTTTGTTTACTTCTATTAGACTATAAGCATGCATATGCATTTGACTCAATATTAAAATTTGTAAACATAATGTAAAGTCGCATTTGCACTCGAAATAAGATGTATACTTTTTTATATATCTACTTTGTTGTGGTAACATATGAGCCTGATGACCATTGAATATTTCTTTTATGTTAGTTTTGTAAATATAAATTATATTTTAAAACAAACATATTACAATCCTTAAAGTTTTCATGTTTTTCACTGCAATTAAATTTACATATAAAAACTCGACTTCTATTTATTTTTAAAAACAAACTATAATTCTAATTCCTTATTAGCTTTCTATTATCTTAATTAATTTATGTTCAACTTTTTAACTTGCAAACACATTATAACATTTTTAAATAGGATAAATCTTTTGAATAGAAAGCTAAATATATACTATTTCAAGTAAAATATTTCTTTAATCCATCTCCATTTTATATTCCAACTTTTGGATAACTTTTAACATCAAGGTATCATATACTTTATATTAATTAATTGATTTATTTTGTATTTTTATTAGTTTTATATATATTTAAAATTTGAATAAATGTAAAGAAATATGAATAGTCATGTATCTAATAAAATGTTTGAAGTCCCGCGCAAGCGCGGAGTTGTTTGCGATAGTTTTTCTGTTTAATTTTTTATACTCTTTGATTTGAATTATGATGGTTTTGTTAACTTTCATGTTTTTGTTATGTTTTGAGTTAACTCAACCACTAACACTAAAAAATATGAATAATTTTTTTTTTAATTTATTAGGATATTAACACTCTACTTTATCTCGAGTTTTCTATTTCTAAAATTTTATCATGTTATAAATATTATGTTTGTTTACTTTTTTTTACTTCTATTAGATTGTAAACATGTATATGTATTTGATTGAAGGTTAAAATTTATAAATATGTATATGCATTTGACTGAATTTAAAATTTGTAAACATATTCTTGTTTTTCACTACAATTAAATTTACATATAAAATCCATTTCTATTTTTTAGAAAAACAAACTATAACTCTATTTTTCATTAACTTTCTATTATCTTAATTAATTTATATTCAACTTTTTAACTTGTAAACACATTATAACATTTTTAAATAGGATAAATCCTTTGAATAAAAAGATAAATATATACTATTTGAAGTTAAATATTTCTTTACTCATCTCTATTTTATATTCCAACTTTTTATAACTTTTAACATCAAATTATCACATACTTTCTATTAATTAATTTATTTATTTCTATGTTTTTATTAAATGTGAATAAATGTAAAGAAATATGAATAATCATATATTTAATAAATAAAATTTAATGTTTTGTGCTGATGTGGACACTCTTAGATGGAGAGAGCAACTCCCTAATTATATATAAGATTGAGACATACGCAGTAAAATCTAGTACCTTTGGAACCTCTAGAGCAAGAAATATTGTTTTTGCCTTTTTTCCATTCATCGTAATCATCTTGGTCAAAAGCACCTGGACGAAGTTGTTGCAAACTTTGGCATTGGAACTCTGTATATCCAGCAATGGTGTCTTTTATAGTTGTTTCAAAGGATTGTCTTCTACGACCTCCTTGTGAACTAGTTCTACTAGAAAGTCGTGAACCTTCAACTCCTCTTTGTGAATTACTCTGACGTCTAGCGTTTGTTTGCAAAATAGGCCTTTCTCGTTGTTGGTCTCTACGAATGGTATTCGGGATCGTCTCATTCAAATTATGTGTATCCTCATCAACTATAACACGATAAACTTCTTCATCTTCTTGCGTCTCTTGAACTTGTGTTTCTGGAATATCACCACTATCAGTGTTAGGGCCATCATCATTGTCATCATGTACTGCATGGTCATTGATTATCTCTTCTCTTCTTTGATGTGAAGAATGTTGGGATTGTGAGCGTACATCATGTAATACGAGACATCATACCATCACTTCCCAAAACTCGGGCGGTTTTCGGTTGAATCCCTTTGTTCTATTACATCCCTATAAATTTAGAGTCGTTAGCTTAGCAGCTAAATTTTTGTACATATTTTGATAACTATAAATATTATGACTCGAGAATTCACGATCTTTCCAGCATGCGTCTGATTTATATATCATAGATGTATTAGGATCAACAAATATACCAGTTGAATTCATAAGAGCCTTCCATCTTTTATAGTTTTTTCTTTTGAAATCATCTAGCTTGTTTTTGAAATATTCATAAGTTATAATCATATTGAAGGCTTTGCTGAATTTCTCCACCATGTTCTCTCTATCAATGGCAGTTGGATTCTTGAGAGTATAATTATTCATGGCAATTGTTTCGTCGAATAATTCAATTAATGTCTTTTTTGTACGTACGACTATTTGGGTTGTTTTTTCTACAATTGTCAATATGTTGGTATTAATTAATTATATTAAATAAATGAAAAACTTATTTAATTGAAAAAAAAAATTACCCTTACCACCGTTTTCTGTTGGAAGATTTGTTGGAGGCAGGCCCGGCCCTTGGCATGTGCAAGGAGTGCATTTGCTTAGGGTCCAAAAATTTTGTGTGAAAAGTATGTTACATTTTAAGGTATTTTCAAAACTTTAGGGTCGTGTTTGCTGATATACCTCTATTTTACCTACTTTTTATGCTATTTTACTATGGTTTTCTAATGGTTTTCTAGTGGATTCTTGTGTTAAAAGGTAGTTTTTATGGATTTATAGTGCAAAGAGTCATTTTAGGTAAAAAGGTGCATTATGGAGCAAAACAGAGATTTGGACTCTAAACCAGTTCAATGCCCCTGCATCAACTTTGGATGGAGCTAAAAAAGATCTACTCAATGGATTTCATCAAGACCAGTTCCCTGCGTGCTCTGATTGAGTTAACTTTCCAACGCAACTGGAACGGCCTATTTGGATGAGTAGAAAAGGAGTTATAGCCAAAAGAGTGAAGACTGCTCCAGACGGCTCTATCGAGAATCAGCGCCCAACCGCGCAGTCCGGCTGGCCGAGGAACGAATGTTCCGCGCTCGGCCAAAACTGTATCCGTCCGTCTGAAGTCTCGGCCAAAGTCCAAAACCGCTCGGCCGATCACGATACGACCCGGGAAACTTAAGCCCGCGGTCGGCCACGCCACAACGCCACGCAGCCGCGCACGACCACGCCGCGCAGCCGGGAAGTAACGCCTCGCGGCCGCGCAACTCATCTCGCGTACCACGGCCGAACGTTCCGTCCGAGCCGGGAAGCGTCCGGCCGAGAGATTTCATCGGCCAAATTCTATCCGTCCGACCACACCGGCCGACCGTGAATCATCCGGCCACGACCGTTCCGACTCGGCCAAGACCCGACTGTCCGGCCGATCGTCCCGACCGACCGTCCGAACGCCGCGGTCGACCCGAAGCCGTTTTTGAAGCCCAATCCGCACAATTCAAGCCCAAAGCCGGCGCCGACCTAGCTAGATTAGGTTTAGCCGCTTTCATACTTAGAGCATTATAAATACTTCTTTTTAGCCTTGTAACTCAAGAAGGAGAGAGACCACAATTATTTTACATCTTAATAAAGTTTTGCTTGCTTTTACTTTGTTCTTGCTTGTTACTCTTTCTAGAGAGGATTCGAATCTCTGTTCTTATGAATATGAATTCGTGTTCCTTCTCTATGTCTGAGTAGTTTACTTGTTAAGTGATAGGAAGTCAAAGGATAGCATTCATGTATGCTTGATGATTGATCACAATTAGGGTTTTACTTATAATCTCCATCTTTGCTTATACTTAATGCTTGTTGTTAATCTGGCCAATTAGCATATGCCTTTAGGTTGATTTGAGCCTCGACAGTGCTGTATCATTCGCCTGAACTAGTATTTGGTGGGCAATCTCTTTTAGACTGCGACAGTTGATCTACTTGTAGGTTGTGAACAATTGATCTTGATCGAACTAATGCTTGATTTAATCACCTAGGGACATACCAAAAGTTTAGCGACTAGGTAGATTAACAAAGGGGTCGGAGCCTCGACAGTGGAATGATCATACCATAGTGTTTCAAGTTCTAGATTAGCACCTAAGTGCGGTAACCCTAATTGATTGATTTCATGCTTCTTGAATTGCTTATCTCAAGACTATCCTATTGCTTAGCCTTTCTCTCCTATTGAATTCTTACTTTTATTACTTGCATGCTTTACTTTTCTGCACTCAACCAACTTATACTTTTGCCCTAGCTCGATCTCAAACTCATAGCTTGTAGTGTGCAATCTGGTCCTTGTGTTCGATACCCGTTTACTACTTCTGACCTGTGCACTTGCAGAATCAGGGATAGAATCAATGAAGTCCCTTTTCAAGAAGGACTTCATTGCTGTCCTCCAACATCAAAACACTCTAGACAAAACAAAAGAAAATTGCATCAACTGTAAAAAAACAACCTCTGAAAACGTTTCTCCGCAAAGAGTGATTACATATTATCGATGAAATGTATTACCGGTTCACCGGAAATGAGTTCAGATGGTGTAACATCCCTAGCGGAATCGGTGAGCGCTTCAGTTTCATCAATCATACCAAGTGTAGAAAGGACCTTGATAACTTTGTAAGTACTATGCCCTCTTCCAAGATTAGCTTTGTCAACGGCTATTACAAACTGAAATGTCTTTCCACATAAATCATGTAACCCTTCAGGCAAGTCATCAGGATCTTCGATCTGCATCAAAGTTATATCAATTAGGACTTCCTTGCGAACTACGAAAAAGAATTGGAAAGGACAATGCGTTGTGATCAATTACTTGCACTACACGTCTCAACTGAATTAGTTTTTAAAAGCCACAAAACACAATAAATGTACCTCGTCAATTACACCTCCGAGCAACTCAGATGCCTCAGCCTGGACAATCTCTTTTGCAAGGGAATCAAATAACATCAGATTGGTATCCCGCGTGCTATCCATCACCTTGACATGCAACTTGAATCTAAAAATGCAATGTTTAATTTCATTGATAGTTAGGTTTTTCATGTCGACCACAAAATATTGTTAACTTAGTAATAAAGGGAATAAAGTGATCACCTTGCAACAACGTTGGTAATGTTTGCATTACACTTGGTACAAAACCACTTCTGCTTGGAACAGGGGTCAACCTTCTGATTAGGACCAGGAATGACTTTCTTCACCTTATTGTGCTGGTATTTAGGACAGGCAATGTCGTACCACGCCATATCTGTGTCGATAGCGAACACAGTACACATGATTTTGGCATTGCCAACCTGAACATATGGATTTAGAGATATACGTTTGTCAAAATAAACATAATACATTGATATACCTCTATTTTACCTACTTTTTATGCTATTTTACTATGGTTTTCTAATGGTTTTCAAGTGGATTCTTGTGTTAAAAGGTAGTTTTTATGGATTTATATTGCAAAGAGTCATTTTAGGTAAAAAGGTGCATTATGGAGCAAAACAGAGGATTTGGACTCTAAACCAGTTCAATGCCCCTGCATCAACTTTGGATGGAGCTAGAAAAAGATCTACTCAATGGATTTCATCAAGACCAGTTCCCTGCGTGCTCTGATTGAGTTAAATTTCCAATGCAAGTGGAACGGCCTAATTTCGATGAGTAGAAAAGGAGTTATAGCCAAAAGAGTAAAGACTGCTCCAAACGGCTCTATCGAGAATCAGCGCCCAAACCGCGCAGTCCGGCTGGCCGAGGAACGAATGTTCCGCGCTCGGCCAAAGTCATATCCGTCCGTCTAAAGTCTCGGCCAAAGTTCGAAACCGACCGGCCGATCACATATCACGACCCGGAAAACATAAGCCTGTGGTCGGCCAAGCTACAACCGTTTCACGCCACGCCACGCACGACCATGCCGCGCGAGCCGGGGAACAAAGCCTCGCGGCCGCGCAACCCACTTCGCGTACCACGGCCGATGCATCCGTCCGAGCCGGGAAAGAACGTCCCACGTCCGGCCGAGAAACCATCGGCCAAATCTTCGTCCGCCCGACCACGCCGGCCGACCGTGAAATCATCCGGCCACGACCGTTCCGATCTCGGCCACGACCCGACTATCCGACCGACCGTCCAAACGCCGCGGTCGACCCAAAGCCTTTTTTGAAGCCCAATCCGCACAATTCAAGCCCAAAGCCGGCGCCGACCTAGCTAGATTAGGTTTAGCCGCACAATTGGATGATGAAACAAGTGATGGATGAAGAACAAATGGTTTCACGATGATCGAAAGGTAATCTTGATGAGCAAACAAGCATTGGAAGTGAAGGTAATGATAATGGAAACAAAGAAACGATCAATAGCGCAACAGCAAAGCAATATCATGTTCAAGATCTACGATTTTCAGATTTAGAAGATGAACAGTCAAAAACATAAAGATCGAGATCACTTAGCTTCAAGGGGCTCTGATACCACTTGATACGCCCCTGGAATAGATCGACTATGAAGGTAAGTGAAGGAGTGGATCGGATCACAAGGAAACCGATGATGAATGATTGAATGGTTTGAGAGATGGATCGATTGGCTATACTAGAGTTCCAGCGGAAAGAAAACTCTAACACCGCCTCCAACGTGTTCATATTACGCACAACAAGTGAGAGGATGATCTGTGGACTTAGTTGATATTACACACAACAAGTGAACAGATGATTGATCAAACATAAAGAGAGGTTTTGATTTAAAATATTGATAAGTTTCAAAGAGATAAAGGACTAGGGTTTTAAAGGGAAAACGAGAGAGAGATGGAACAAGCTCCAAACATCTCGAGAACAAACGAAAACTTAATTGAACAAAGACTGAGAAATCAACCCTTCAGTTGCTTTGGCGCTCTCCTTTGAATCTCTTGGGCCGGACCTTAACACTTGGGACAAAAGAGAGGATTTGTAAGTGTGGTTTGGGCCTCGTTAAAAACCTTTTCAAGAAAACCTAAAGGGACAAAACTTGACAAGGGAAAAAGAGCACACCAAAACACACTTGTCTCTTTATCCCTCATGTAAGGCCTTCAAACAAACCAAAGTGGTTGGCTTGTGTTCTTGTTGGTTCAAGGCGCTAAGGACTTTGCCAATTGCTTGGTTTAGTGCCTTAGTTCGTGAACGAGTGATTGGGCCAGTTGGAATGGCTAAGCTCTCCTCAGGTACAAGCTGCTCTGCTTCAAGTCCCTCCTCGGCCACTAGCTGCTCCATTCCATCTTCTTCCTCGGCCAAAAGCTGCTTTTCCTGAACCTCCTCATCCATGATCTTATCAAATTGACCTTTCAAAGTTCTGATGTGAGAAAGAGAGAGGAAAAGAACTCATTGCACTTCAAAGACAATCTTGGAGAAGATCAAGTGGGTAAGAACAAGTTCAATTGATCGATTTTCCCTTGATAAAGAACTCACGCTTTAAATTTATGCAAGAGGTTAACAATAGAGAGTTTGGATTGCTGGATGAGACTAGTTGGGTTGGTATTGTTCGCTAAACTTGCAGGGTGTATGTGAAGCTAACCTTATGTTGACTATGTTCTTAGTGGAATACAGGAAAGGAACCTTTCACAGGATTTTCAAAGAAGCAAGAGAGTTCCCACGTTTTTCAAAACCTCTTCACTAGTTTAGATTCTTTTGCTTGGGGACAAGCAAAGATCTAAGTCTGGGGGAGTTGATATACCTCTATTTTACCTACTTTTTATGCTATTTTACTATGGTTTTCTAATGGTTTTCTAGTGGATTCTTGTGTTAAAAGGTAGTTTTTATGGATTTATAGTGCAAAGAGTCATTTTAGGTAAAAAGGTGCATTATGGAGCAAAACAGAGGATTTGGACTCTAAACCAGTTCAATGCCCCTGCATCAACTTTGGATGGAGCTAGAAAAAGATCTACTCAATGGATTTCATCAAGACCAGTTCCCTGCGTGCTCTGATTGAGTTAACTTTCCAACGCAACTGGAACGGCCTCATTTGGATGAGTAGAAAAGGAGTTATAGCCAAAAGAGTGAAGACTGCTCCAGACGGCTCTATCGAGAATCAGCGCCCAACCGCGCAGTCCGGCTGGCCGAGGAACGAATGTTCCGCGCTCGGCCAAAACATATCCGTCCGTCTGAAGTCTCGGCCAAAGTTCAAAACCGACCGGCCGATCACAATCACGACCCGGGAAACATAAGTCCCGCGGTCGGCCAAGCCACAACCGTCACGCCACGCCGCGCACGACCATGCCGCGCGAGCCGGGAACAAAGCCTCGCGGCCGCGCAACCACTCGCGTACCACGGCCGATGCATCCGTCCGAGCCGGGAAGAACGTCCCACGTCCGGCCGAGAAACCATCGGCCAAATCTTATCCGCCGACCACGCCGGCCGACCGTGAAATCATCCGGCCACGACCGTTCCGACTCGGCCAGACCCGACTGTCCGGCCGATCGTCCCGACCGACCGTCCGAACGCCGCGGTCGACCCGAAGCCGTTTTTGAAGCCCAATCCGCACAATTCAAGCCCAAAGCCGGCGCCGACCTAGCTAGATTAGGTTTAGCCGCTTTCATACTTAGAGCATTATAAATACTTCTTTTTAGCCTTGTAACTCAAGAAGGAGAGAGACCACAATTATTTTACATCTTTAATAAAGTTTTGCTTGCTTTTACTTTGTTCTTGCTTGTTACTCTTTCTAGAGAGGATTCGAATCTCTGTTCTTATGAATATGAATTCGTGTTCCTTCTCTATGTCTGAGTAGTTTACTTGTTAAGTGATAGGAAGTCAAAGGATAGCATTCATGTATGCTTGATGATTGATCACAATTAGGGTTTTACTTATAATCTCCATCTTTGCTTATACTTAATGCTTGTTGTTAATCTGGCCAATTAGCATATGCCTTAGGTTGATTTGAGCCTCGACAGTGCTGTATCATTCGCCTGAACTAGTATTTGGTGGGCAACCTCTTTTAGACTGCGAAAGTTGATTTACTTGTAGGTTGTGAACAATTGAACTTAATCGAACTAATGCTTGATTTAATCACCTAGGGACATACCAAAAGTTTAGCGACTAGGTAGATTAACAAAGGGGTCGGAGCCTCGACAGTGGAATGATCATACCATAGTGTTTCAAGTTCTAGATTGGCACCTAATTGCAGTAACCCTAATTGATTGATTTCATGCTTCTTGAATTGCTTATCTTAAGACTATCCTATTGCTTAGCCTTTCTCTCCTATTGATCTCACTTTCTATTACTTGCATGCTTTACTTTTCTGCACTCAACCAACTTATACTTTTGCCCTAGCTCGATCTCAACTCATAGCTTGTAGTGTGCAATCTGGTCCTTGTGTTCGATACCCGTTTACTACTTCTGACCTGTGCACTTGCAGAATCAGGGATAGGAAAGGGGAAGACCTGATCCCGCGATCATTTATCATAACATATTTATATGTTGCCTTATAGGAAAATGGAGTCTTACGGTATCTAAAGCAAGGACCTCGCTAATGGTCGACGTTGGAAACACATCCCAGTATTCCTCTTGCTCCGTCTTAACAACCAACTGAGTATCAGGTTTTTTGAATGCAATTGTCAATATCAAGCCATCGTTTGGGATGCTATGGTGTTGAGTCAGGTTTTACCAAACTCTAGACCTCTGCAAGTGCACAGATCGCGGAAGTATGGGTATCGAACACAAGGACTGGCTATTGAGTACACTTTGAAACTATGGATTTTGGATCAAGCTAAAACAAAAGTATGATTGAGGTTGTAATGGTGAACCGAACTAGCAAGTAAACGAGGTTGTAAATCAATAAGGAAGAAGCGCTAGGTCAACAGGGGCTAATCGCAGAGAAGCAAGCAATGATCAATGAAACAATGATAGATGAATTGATTAGGGATGTTGGGATATTAAGAACCGTCTAGAACACAGATCACGAATATAAAACCATTCCACTTTCGAGGCTCCGGCTCCTTTGTTAATCTACCTAGTCGCTAAACTTTTGGTATGTCCCTAGGTGATTAAATCAAGCTTTAGAATGAATAGGTTCTGATACAGTTCACTAGATTATAGTAGATCAACTTTCGCAGTCTAAGAAACCTAGCTTGTCAAAGAATATGTCCGGCGAATGATACAACACTGTCGAGGCTCAAATCAACCTAAGATCGGATTACTAGATGCGCGGTAAAGCAATCAGCATTAGTTAAGTGCACAAGACGAGACAAAGACTCTATATAATCCCTAGCTAATCATCGAAATCAAAGATCATGCAAGCAACTCATTGATAGTAACCCTAGCAACCTAACTAGTGGATTACTCAGACATGATCAAAGCAAACACACATAGAGATGAAGAAAACATGATTGCAATAAAACTTAAGTAGGAAATCGAAATACAAGGGCGGCTCTCTTTTCACAAGAGGCTAAAAAGCTATATATATAGTGCTAGGTCTTCAGAGGCGGCTTAGGGTTAAGCCGGGCCTGAAAACATGAAACGGGCTTCAAAACGGGCTTCGGGTCGACCGCGGCGTTGGACGGTCGGGGGACGATCGGCCGGACAATCGGGTCATGGTCGTGTCGGAACGGTCGTGGCCGGATGGTTTCTCGGTCGGCCGCTGTGGTCGGACGGGTAAGGATTGGCCGATGCTTTCTCGGCCGGACGCGGGACGTGCTTCCCGGCTCGGACGGCGCCATCGGCCGTGGTACGCGAGTAGGTTGCGCGGCCGCGAGGCTTTGCTTCCCGGCTCGCGCGGCATGGTCGTGCGCGGCATGGCGTGTGCGTGGCTTGGCCGACCGCGGGACATGTTTCCCGGGTCGTGATGCGTATCGGCCGGATGGTTTGAACTTTGGCCGAGACTTCAGACGGACGGATGATTTGGCCGAGCGGAACATTCGTTTCTCGGCCAGCCGCTCTGCGGTTGGGCGCTTTCTCGATAGAGCCGTCTGGACAGTCTTCACTCTTTTGGTTGTAACTCCTTTTCTACTCATCCAAATGAGGCCGTTCCAGTTGCGTTGGAAAGTTAACTCAATCAGAGCACGCAGGGAACTGGTCTTGATGAAATCCATTGAGTAGATCTTTTTCTGGGCCCTCTTAAAGTTGATGCTTGTGCATGGAGCGGCTTGAAGTGCAAATCCTATGGTTTTGCTCCAAAATGCATCATTTCACCTGTTTAGACTCTAGACACTATAAACACAGTAAAACTACCTTTTTAGATAGAAAACCTGCCAAAAACCATTAGAAAACAATACTAAAACAGTATAAAAAGCATGTAAAATAGAGGTATATCATGCTACAAACAAAAATATATATATTTGATCAAGAATCCATCCAACATATACACGTACTAACAACTAAGTGATTGCTGTCTCGAAACTAACCTCTTGGCGAAAGATGTTATCTCTGGATATGGTGGATTGGTCAGCATCACCGACGAACTGTAGGCATTGGACACACTCTTAACCTCTGCAGAATTCAGTAAAATAAGAACATTATGATACCGTAACATCTCTAGTATAATAGGGGAACAAAAATATGCGGAGTGTCAAATACCATCAATCATACCTTGGAACTCCCTCACTTTTGCCCATCGAAGTAGGCAAATCAATGTTTCCTCACCAGCTCCTTCAGCGGCGGTGAGCATATCCGCAGCCATTGGCCCCCACAATATACATCCAATCTGATCATCACTAAAAAACAACCCAAAGTCGTTGCTAAGCAATTTACAAAATCTAAATAGTTAAAAAATTTGAAAGCATTGAAATAAAAACACAATCATTATTCAGATTGAAACAACTACCTTCCATCCCTTAGTTCTATCTCCAGTTTTTTCTGTTTTTTGTTCTGCGTATCAACTTCTTCCATCGGTCCAACGGCGATGAATTGACCTATTATGTCTACACAGATCCACGATAAATTAAATTGGATGCAGTAACAAACAACACTAATCATAGGATCTACCATTTCTAGAATTATAAATAGTAAAGCTATCCGGTTTGTATTTCAGCACAGATTCAAAATGATGATGTACAGTAATCATAAATACGTATCTATGAACATGGTAAGATTAGGTACCATGTAAAATGCTCTCATTCACTTTGCCATCGTGGATCTGCTTGTAACTGGCAAGCATCAAGTAGTTACCGTCGCCAAGATTCGCTGATGGAAGCACAAACGTCTCCTTGATGAAAGCTAGCTTGTAAGGGTTCGGTGTTGTGCAGTAGTGGCCCGTTGCATGAGCTACCGTAAAATTCTGTATGAACTTCCAAGCACCGACATTGAGGTACCTCTCGTATCGCTTGACATCCTGCTTCCGTATACTTCTGTGGATCTTGTTTCCCTATGATTCCCCAAGATGTTGTTGTGGTATATTAGATTAGCACAAAATGATCGAACTACTTCTAACGCTCATTATGGAAATGATATTGGAAGACGGGATGTCATTACCTCAACATCGGAAAATATCATTTCAATGGTCTCTCCGGAAGTCGTGGCGTACTGCTTCCATAGATGCAAGATCTTCACTTGAATCCTCCATCCAGTCTTGTACAGCTTGACATGAGTGCACAAAGAAACCCGAAGCGGAAGCACCATTGCCATTTTCTAGTTCACAATGATATGAATAACTGATTTTTGTTAGTCGGGGATGATTTTTTCTTGACATCAATGGCGCATTATATATAGATGGACTCCCACGATACTCTAGGGTTTCGGAGATTGAATTAATTATCTTACAATTCTAGTTATGTAACCGCAAGAATATATGATTTCCATATCTTAGGCGCGAAATATACTGTAATTCAAATATTTTGATTGTGTTATAACTATCCATATAATTCCCGCGAGTATCTCCACTATAATTACGTATTTAATTAGAGCAAAATGAATCATGTTCGGCGGGATTATGAAATCACGGATCCAGTTATTGTTTATGGTGAATATTTGATGCGGAGTCAGGTTTTACCAAACTCCTAGACCTCTGCAAGTGCACAGATCGCGGAAGTATGGGTATCGAACACAAGGACTGGCTATTGAGTACACTTTGTAACTATGGATTTTGGATCAAGCTAAAACAAAAGTATGATTGAGGTTGTAATGGTGAACCGAACTAGCAAGTAAATCGAGGTTGTAAACAATAAAGGAAAAGCGCTAGGTCATAGGGGCTATCGCAGAGAAGCAAGCAATGATCAATGAAACAATGACAGATTAATTGATTAGGGATATTGGGATATTAAGAACCATCTAGAACATAGATCACGAATATAAAACAATTCCACTGTCGAGGCTCAAATCAACCTAAGATCGGATTACTAGATGCGCGGTAAAGCAATCAGCATTAGTTAAGTGCACAAGACGAGACAAAGACTCTAATATAATCCCTAGCTAATCATTGAAATCAAAGATCATGCAAGCAACTCATTGAATAGTAACCCTAGCAACCTAACTAGTGGATTACTCAGACATGATCAAAGCAAACACACATAGAGATGAAGAAAACATGATTGCAATAAAACTTAGAGTAGGAAATCGAAATACAAGGGCGGCTCTCTTTCACAAGAGGCTAAAAATCCATATATATAGTGCTAGGTCTTTCTAGAGGCGGCTTAGGGTTAAGCCGGGCTTGAAAACATAAGTTTGGGCTTCAAAAGGGCTTCGGGTCGACCGCGGCGTTGGGACGGTCGTGCGGGACGATCGGCCGGACAGTCGGGTCTGGCCGAGTCGGAACGGTCGGGGTCGGACGGATTCACGGTCGGCCGGCTGGTCGAGCGGATTGAGATTTGGCCGATGAAATTCTCGGCCGGACGCGGGACGTTCTTTCCCGGCTCGGACGGATGCATCGGCCGTGTACGCGAGGGAGTTGCGCGGCCGCGAGGCGTTTCCCGGCTCGCGCGCTTTGGTCGTGCGCGGTGGCGTGGCGGTTGTGGCTGGCCGACCGCGGGCAATGTTTCCCGGGTCGTGATGCGTGATCGGCCGAGTGGTTTGGACTTTGGCCGAGACTTCAGACGGACGGATATATTTGGCCGAGCGCGGAACATTCGTTCCTCGGCCAGCCGGACTGCGCGGTTGGGCGCTGATTCTCGATAGAGCCGTCTGGACAGTCTTCACTCTTTTGGTTATAACTCCTTTTCTACTCATCCAAATTAGGCCGTTCCAGTTGCGTTGGAAAGTTAACTCAATCAGAGCACGCAGGGAACTGGTCTTGATGAAATCCATTGAGTAGATCTTTTTCTGGGCCCTCTTAAAGTTGGTGCTTGTGCATGGAGCTGGCTTGAAGTGCAAATCCTATGGTTTTGCTCCAAAATGCATCATTTCACCTGTTTAGACTCTAGACACTATAAACATAGTAAAACTACCTTTTTAGATAGAAAACCTGCCAAAAACCATTAGAAAACAATGCTAAAACAGTATAAAAAGTGGTAAAATTAGAGGTATATCAACTCCCCCAGACTTAGATCTTTGCTTGTCCTCAAGCAAAAAGAATCTAAATCCGTGAAAGAGGTTTGAAAACGTGGAACTCCCTTGCTCTTTTGAATATCCTGTGAAAGGTTCCTTTCCTGTATTCCACTATGAACATAGACAACATAAGGTTAGCTTCACATACACCCTGCAAGTTTAGCGAACAATACCAACCCAACTAGTCTCATCCAGCAATCCAAACTCTCTATTGCTAACCTCTTGCATAAATTTAAAGCGTGAATTCTTTATCAAGGGGACATCGATCAATTGAACTTGTTCTTACCCACTTGATCTCTCCAAGATTGTCTTTAAGTGCAATGAGTTCTTTTCCTCTCTCTTTCTCACATCAGAACTTTGAAAGGTCAATTTCTCCCTACTTTTCTAGGGTATCATTTTATTTTTTCTATTGACCCTTCTTTCAACCACAGGATAAGTCTTTAGCTTGTTCCTTGTTTGACTAAGGTATTCCATAAGACATGAAGGTACAGACATATGCATTCCTCATGCTTACTTGTTTTCCTTGTGCTCTTTGAGCTTTTTCTCATAAACACTTACCATTTGGGATGGGAGAGAGAGGAGAACTCTTTAAAGATTAGACAAATCTTATTGAAAATCAAGCAAGGAACTGTCGACATGTATGCCAACCCCCTTGACAAGAGTAATTAAGATTGATTAAGGGTGAGGTTAACTCTAGATTGCTTGGTTACCTTAGAAATTTTGCTGAGCTAGCATGTCGATCCACTGTAAGAGCTTCTGTTAGGCTTGTGCCTTTAGCTGGTTTCTGCTCTAGGGTCATGGATTGTTAGCATAACACTCTCAATTCTCAAAGCAAGTTCATAACTTCCGGACTGGTTTTTGACTCAATAAAACTTTTTGAAAAACATGAAACAAAGTGAATAAAACATAAGAAAAGAAAGAAAAATGCATTAGTAACACAATAAAACTCCCCCCAGACTTAACTTGCACCGTCCCGGTGAAAGCAAATCACATTAAGGTGAGAGGTAATATTCAAAGTAAAAGAAAAATAAAGAAAAATTCATTAAAATAAGATAGGGATAGAAAATGGAGATTTGTAAGTGTCCATTGCACTAAGTACCACTTGAGATGACTATGTGTGGCAGTGAGAAGAACTCTCTTCCTCATCTATGGGGTCATCGCCTTCTGAACCAAGCTCTGAGTCTAGTGAGAACTCACCAAGGTCAGGCTCATATGGCTCTCTAGCGGTGGAAGAAGGGCGAAAGAGTCTCTCCGGTGCAATGTGGCGAACTACGCGGACTAGGCGTGAGATGAAGCGAGATTGGCATTCCACTATCTTCTCCAGCTTGTTAACACGGTCTAGAGCTTGTGCGCAGCCATGCCAGTAGTGAGAACATGGCGTTCTTGGAGCGGCGTTGAGTCTTGACTGCATGCTGAAGTGTGCGATAGGTGAGCATGGGGAATGATGGTTTCTCACTTGATGGAACATAGAACTCTTCCTCATTGGGCTGGAAAGTGACAACTCCTGAGCGTAGGCTTGGGATGTCTCATGTGGCAGCAAGACAAGGGAAGTGTTGGCTGGACCAATTGGAAACTCATAGCAAAACCGAGTTGGGTCTTTAGTCCAACGGTTTAGGAAGTGGATGTGCTGAAGAGCATGGAGATCCAAAGGGGTTGGCTTGGGTAGTGGCTCATAGTTGGGAATGTCAATCCCCACATGCAGTACTATGGCCGTGATAAGCCTCCCAAAACGAACACAAAGCTTCTTGTTGCCTTCCAAGTCTTTAGCTAGCTTCCTCACATTGATGAATGTCTTGGCAAGTAAAAGTCCAAGGTTGGCCTTGTACTCATGCTTGATGAATGGTGTGGTGAGGATGTAGAACTCATCAGTTGTGACCTTGTTGGCTTCTTGTTTGCATTGGAAAGTGGTGGAGATGAGGCGGTGCACATAGCGAATGGCTGGATGAGTGATTCTAGACACCTTTGACCTTGAAGGCAAGAATGGTTCATTGGCAAAGTGTGTCCAATCAGCAAAGGCAGCTTGTTTCCTCTTTGAGTTCTCCTTGAAGTCATGTGCTGTCTCATTGGGAAGTCCAAAGAGTTGGCATAGAGCTGAGATGGATATGCGCCCATTGGCATCGCCTATCTTGAAGAGTAGGAGTCCATCACCAGCTGGTTGGTCTCCATTGTGGTTGGGAAAGGCAAGAGCTACTGTGGAGAGGAACTCCTTGGTGAGTTGTGAGTACTCACTACATTCTAGCTTGAAGAGCTTGCTCAAGCCTAGCTTCCTTATGTACCATGTGACATCATCTCTTATCTTGAGAAGATCAAGGGTTTGGGTGTCCATCTTCACACATGGCTCGATGTTCACCTTCTCCATTGCCTTCTTACACTTTCTTGGGTCTTGATTTTGTTCTCCAACAAAGGTTACAAGTGCCCAATCATCTTCTCTCTCTTGGACTCTCCACATGTTCTTGATTGCATCAATGGAATGTGGTGAAGTTGGTATTGCTGCTCTTGCATTGGAGCTACTACTCCCTAGCTTGATTTGCTTCTTTGGTGGTTCCATGAATGGGTTCTTCTTCTTCTTCATACTCTCATTTCCTTTTGTCTTTGCCATTGGTGTACCTACAAGAGCAAATTCTTGGGAAGAAATATGAGTTTGTGATTAATGCAAAAGAAGAATAAGCTAATTGAGTTGCAATAATGATATGGAATAATGGAACAACTCAAGGCTTAATCATGAATCAAAGAGACAAAATAAAATTTCACTTTTTCAAAATTAATTTTCGGATTTTACTGTTCATCCCAAGATTATGGTGCTTAAAATCAAAATTTTCAGCAAATCAAGAGAAATTGAGTTTCTAATCCAAGTAATCACTAGATAAACTAATGAATTGAAGTATGCCAAGCAATTTCACCTTTGAATAAGGGGTTTGGAATGCCCAATAAGTTTTGTGAAAAACTATTCAATTGTGAAATTAAACTTCAAATTAACTCTAAACCACCTAGGTTCCACCTAGCAAAGTTCATTACAAGACTATAAGGATGCTAATTTCAAGTCTAGACAAGAGTTTAGACCAAACATGAAACTTATTGAAGATTTTCGATCTTGCATAAACATAGGATTAGAGTTAGAAGACATACCTTGTGTGTTGAAAAGTGAATAAGGTTGCAAGAGCAAGTAAATTCCAATTTAGAGTTATGAACAGTAAAAGTTTTGAAATCAAAACTCTTAGAGTTCCTCTAATGGAGTTTAGGGTTTTGGAGAAGAAAGAGAGGTTCTTGTGGTTTTCAAGGGAAAGGTGAAGTAAATAAGATCTAAATCCTATCAATTTTCCTTTTCAAATTCGAATTTTGATTGAAAACCGGTTTAAGTTGGTTTAGATTGGTTAAAACCGGTTTGAATTAATGAAAAGGGGACTTACCTTGGCCTAGAAAAGTTTTGGGCCGATGGCCGATTTTGTCGCGGTCGAGCGATTTGGTCGGCCAAATTCGTTTTGGCGAGAGAATTCGGCCGAGGCCGAGTTTGTTTCCCGGATCGACCGGCACGGTCGGTCCGTTCCGATACAAAATCGGCCGATCGCGGCCTATTTCTTCCCGGTTCGTGCGTCGCGCGAACGTTTTGTCGCGCGATGAGTGAATCCGGCCGAGCACGAGCTATTCCTTCCCGGCTCGACCGTAACGGTCGGCCAGATGAGAATTGCTCGGCCAAAATTCTTTTGCGCGTCCGCGGCCAATGTTTTGGCGCGGATTGTGTTTTCACACCTTTTTCTCCTTCTATCCTATCTTAAAACAAAGAAAACACAAAAGCAAAACAAAAACTAAGAAAAGAAAGAAAAGTAAAAGTACCTCATGGGTTGCCTCCCATGCAGCGCTTGTTTTAAGTCTTTAGCTTGACTGTAAGGCTTGGCGCTCAGGAGAAGATGGAGACAAGAGGCATCTTGATCCTCCAAGTCTTTTCTCCTTGCAATGAGTATCTGGTGGGTGATTCACAGCTGGATAGACAATCTCTCCATGAATGTCCCTTGGCACTACTGCCTTAGGAAAAAGCTTTAGAGTTCTTGTCACTCTCTCCTTGAATCCTTCTAGATTCTCATCAATAAGCTCCTTTGGGAATAGAAGCTTCATGTTGCGGCCAGACCTAGGCTTTTCTAACCTTCCTTCTTGGCTTGGCCTCATCTTCAATCTTGGTTGATCCCTTGGGCGGTTTTGGTGTAGGGGCCTTAGTCTTACTCCTTGCTTGTTTGGCAAGCTGCTTGGGCTTAGGAATGGGATCTTCCTTGATTGTTTCTTCAGTTTCTCCTTCTTGGGGTGGCTTCAAAGTAGCTTTCTCCTCTTGGACCATGTCAACAAAAGAGTTCTTTGTTGAACACATAGGGAAGAACATACCCTTGTTCACCTTGTTGAAAGAGATTCTTTGATTGGGGAAATCAAATATGGCACCCACAGTAGACAGGAAAGGGGTTCCAAATATGAGAGGTCTATGGCTACTCTCTCTCATTTCCACAATCTGGAAATCAGTAGGGATAGAGCAATTTCCAATCTGCACCATCACATTAGGCACAAAGCCATAGGGGTTTGTGAGAATGAATCAGCATAGTTGATGGAGATGGATGATGGCTCTATCTTGGTGAGGCCTATCTTGTCAGCTATCCTCTTAGACATGATGTTCACATTGGCTCCTGTGTCACACAAAGATTGCTCAAGAATGTTACCTTTGATGATACAAGGCACACAAACTTTCCTGAGTTATCTGTCTTGGGGATAATCTTTGGGAAGAGTCTTCTCTTTCTAGCTCGATTGGACTCTCTCTCTGGGTAATTCTCTTCAGGCCAAATCATGCAATCAACAGTAGGTTTTGAAAGCATCCATTCTGGAACTTGGTCTTCAAATCTTTCTTCTATGGCGGCTGAGTTGCAAAAGGACTTCTTGGATTCAGCTTCCTGTCTCTTAACAGCTTCCATAGTTTGAGTGACTTGAGTCTCTAGTTTCTTCACATGAGTGGCAACAGCATCATACTTGGTGTTGAGATTGCTGAACAAAGTGTCCATCTTCTCATACATCTCTTTAGTGTTTCTCTTCTGGCCATCCATGATCTGTTGGAGGATTCCTTCAAATCTCCCACCTTGTTGGTTTGGAGGAGCTTGATTTGGTGAAGAAGCATATGGCTCCTTGGGCGGATATGATGATCTCTGCTCATATCCTTGCCTTGGCTGAAATTGACTTCCTTGAGATTGGTAAGGAGGTCTTTGTTGTTGTGGATACCTTGGAGGATACACTTGGTCTTGAGGATTCTCCACATTGGGGTTTCTATAAGACATGTTGGGGTTTGGGCGATAGCTTGGATTGTATCCCTTGTTCCCATAGTTTCCAATGTAGTTCACATCTTCTTCATTGGCTTCATTAGAGAAATCTCCCATGCATTCTCTTGATGAATCTTCATTAGCATCACTCATCCCTTCTATTGCATTGATATGCTTGAGCTGTCCCTTAAGAACTTGAGCCATCATGTTCTTGAGTTCAGTCATTTGAAAAGAATCAGGGGAGCTAGTAGTGGTGCGGCTTGAGCGGTCATAATCAGGACAGTTGTTACAATCACTAGCTGCAAGATTCTCAATAAGAACCTTAGCTTCATCAACAGTCTTGGTCATGAAGTTTCCATTGCTTGCTGTATCCAATGAAAGCTTGTACTTGTGGTCTATGCCACGATAGAAGATGTTCCATAGGTTTCCCTCATTGAAACCATGATTAGGGCAGTCCCTAATGTACTCCTTGAATCGATCTAGCGCCTCATAGAAAGATTCATTGTTGCTTGGCGAAAGTGGAGATCTTGTTTCTCACAGAAATTGATCTCTGTTTGGTGTAGAAGTGGTTGATGAATGCAGCCTTGTACTCATCCCAAGTGGTGATGGAGTGAGCTGGCAGAGACTTCAACCATCTTGAAGCTTTGTCGCCAAGAGAGAATGAAAAGAGCTTGCACTTAAGGTAGTCAGCAGAGACTCCATTGGATCTTGTAGTGCTGCAAATTTCTTCAAAGTTTTCTATGTGATCAAGAGGGTGCTCAGCTGGAAGTCCATTGAATTGGTTCTGTCTAACCAATGCAATGATCTGAGGCTTGATCTCATAGTCATTCCTTGCAGGTGGTGGTGGATGGATAGGGTTTCTATCCATGAAGAAAGCATCGGCAGAGTCATAGTCTCCGATTGTAGGTGCTCCAGCTTGGGTTGTGCGTTCACATCTCCAGCAGGGTTAGGAGGAGGAGGAGGTGGATCTCTTCCTTCTTCTTGAGCGCGCGCCACTTCAGCGGCGTGAGCGCGAGCTGCTTCGTCGGCCATCTCTTGGGCTTTTGCTTCCTAAGTTGCTTCTCAAGCTTGTCTATCTCTGGATGTTCAACTAGGTTGTCCTTGTTGGACCTCCTAGTCATGCACCTGAAAAGAGTCTTGGAAACAAGTTAAATCAAAAGGGAAAAACAAAAACAAAAGTAAAAATCAAAGAAAAGGAAATCAAAAACTGAAAATTCAAAAGCAAAAGAAAAGCAAAACAGGAAAAGGTTCTAGACTAGATCCTAGTCGAGTTCCAAAGGTACTGCTGCAGTCCCCGGCAACGGCGCCAAAAACTTGATGCGGAGTCAGGTTTTACCAAACTCCTAGACCTCTGCAAGTGCACAGATCGCGGAAGTATGGGTATCGAACACAAGGACTGGCTATTGAGTACACTTTGAACTATGGATTTTGGATCAAGCTAAAACAAAAGTATGATTGAGGTTGTAATGGTGAACCGAACTAGCAAGTATAACGAGGTTGTAAACAATAAAGGAAAAGCGCTAGGTCATAGGGGCTATCGCAGAGAAGCAAGCAATGATCAATGAAACAATGATAGATTAATTGATTAGGGATATTGGGATATTAAGAACCATCTAGAACACAGATCACGAATATAAAACCATTCCACTTTCGAGGCTCCGGCTCCTTTGCTAATCTACCTAGTCGCTAAACTTTTGGTATGTCCCTAGGTGATTAGATCAAGCATTAGAATGAATAGGTTCTGATACAGTTCACTAGATATAGATAGATCAACTTTCGCAGTCTAAGAAACCTAGCTTGTCAAAGAATATGTCCGGCGAATGATACAGCACTGTCGAGGCTCAAATCAACCTAAGATCGGATTACTAGATGCGCGGTAAAGCAATCAGCATTAGTTAAGTGCACAAGACGAGACAAAGACTCTAATATAATCCCTAGCTAATCATTGAAATCAAAGATCATGCAAGCAACTCATTGAATAGTAACCCTAGCAACCTAACTAGTGGATTACTCAGACATGATCAAAGCAAACACACATAGAGATGAAGAAAACATGATTGCAATAAAACTTAGAGTAGGAAATCGAAATACAGGGCGGCTCTCTTTCTCAAGAGGCTAAAAATCCATATATATAGTGCTAGGTCTTTCTAGAGGCGGCTTAGGGTTAAGCCGGGCTTGAAAACATAAGTTTGGGCTTCAAAAGGGCTTCGGGTCGACCGCGGCGTTGGGACGGTCGTGCGGGACGATCGGCCGGACAATCGGGTCGTGGCCGAGTCGGAACGGTCGGGGTCGGACGGATTCACGGTCGGTCGGCGTGGTCGAGCGGATGAGATTTGGCCGATGAAATTCTCGGCCGGACGCGGGACGTTCTCCCGGCTCGGACGGATGTCGGCCGGTACGCGAGGGTTGCGCGGCCGCGAGGCGTTTCCCGGCTCGCGCGCTTTGGTCGTGCGCGGTGGCGTGGCGGTTGTGGCGTGGCCGACCGCGGGCAGTTTCCCGGGTCGTGATGCGTGATCGGCCGAGTGGTTTTGGACTTTGGCCGAGACTTCAGACGGACGGATTATTTGGCCGAGCGCGGAACATTCGTTCCTCGGCCAGCCGGACTGCGCGGTTGGGCGCTGATTCTCGATAGAGCCGTCTGGACAGTCTTCACTCTTTTGGTTATAACTCCTTTTCTACTCATCCAAATTAGGCCATTCCAGTTGCGTTGGAAAGTTAACTCAATCAGAGCACGCAGGGAACTGGTCTTGATGAAATCCATTGAGTAGATCTTTTTCTGGGCCCTCTTAAAGTTGGTGCTTGTGCATGGAGCTGCTTGAAGTGCAAATCCTATGGTTTTGCTCCAAAATGCATCATTTCACCTGTTTAGACTCTAGACACTATAAACACAGTAAAACTACCTTTTTAGATAGAAAACCTGCCAAAAACCATTAGAAAACAATGCTAAAACAGTATAAAAAGTGGGTAAATTAGAGGTATATCAATATTACGTCGCATATTCGGATCAAAATCAGATTGAGATCGGTATATACGGGTTCTTCGTAACCGAGAGTTGAAGATTTGATTTTCAGATGCCGGTTTATTTCAAGTTGTTTTTGACCCGCGCTATTTTCCGAGAACGTTGGGTCGGGTTTTTTCTTGATTACTGAGCGAACTCGCTCGACTCGGTATTTTCATTCCGGAATTTTCCCTCTTAAACCTGTTTCCAAACAATTTTTGGTCGTGGTTGCAGTGGCATTTTTTGTAATAAAGGAGTTTTTTTCGGGTGTCTCTAAAAATGTACGTCTAAAATAATATATTAGAGATAAGTTATATCCACCATCAGTTGTACATAATATTATACTATCCCTCATCAAATCATACAATATATATGGTAACTAGAAGGTACAAGTCCCACACGCTTTGGAAAAGTTTCATTTATGGACAATTAATATTTTTAATACTTAAGTGGAAGATGTATGTAATCTCCTCTTGTGGACACGAATTATCAGTCACAAATGGATTTTAAGACATAGGCATAAGGACATGGACAGATAAAATTCTGATGATAGTTTGAAAGTCATAAGTTCCATTCTGATGCTAGTTGGACGGGGATCACTATACGGGTTGGCATCTCCCTGCAGGAATCCTTCGATGGTTAGACGTCCTCTTCCACGGATTGCTCACATTTCGAGTCATGCTATCCATCCACGTTTGATTGTCCAGGTGGATTAACATTCCTCGTCTCTTCACTACCATGCTAAGGTCTTTTAACAGCCTATTCGAAAGATCCAATCTTCTTCAGCATTTGGCTCGCTCCCTGTCTACCTCCACCCGATCATGTGGTTTAAGCGTGGTTTCTGTCACCTGCAATGCAGCCTGTACAAGTCTCACTTTTGATGCTAATTGGACGGGGATCTCTGTACGGGATGGCATCTCCGTGCAGGATTCCTTCGGTGGTTGGACATCCTCCTCCGTGGATTTCTTCCAGTTTGAGTCATGAAACCCATCCACGTCTACTTGTCCAGGTGGATTTAAAGCCCTCATCTCTCCACTACCCTGCTAAGGTCTTTCAACAATCTATTCGGAAGACCCAAATCTTGTTCAGCATTTGGCTCGCTTCCTGTCAACAATTAGAAGCAAAATTGGCCATGATTCTTAATAGACTATGAGATTTTTAGCACAGCAACAACCCTATCGCTCTTGTCAAAGAAAAAGTATAAAAAGAAATTTGAATCACCTTCTATTGCTTTATGTGCTCTGCTTCATGTGGCAAAAAATGAGGAGATACCAACGGATTTAGTGGAGGGGTAGGCGGTGATGAACGATGTGAGGCGGAGTTGTTGATTTCTAGTGGCCGGCCGAAATCATGAATCAAGGACGGAGGGAGAAGCGGTGGAGAACGATGGTGTGTTTAGGGTTTTACCGTCTTTGAAAGTTCAACTGATTTTGGGTAAGATGAAAAGAGTGAGATGAAAAAAAAGGTGAAACGGCGGATGTTAGGTAAAAAAAGAAGAGAACTCGATTTTAAAAAGAATTTTTTAATCACTAAAACACTCCAAAGTCCCTTAGATGCACAAAGTGCTTATATTATAAAGACAAAGTGCATATGAGTGTAAATCACTCTTTGGTTTCATCCTTCTACCAATAACATCAGGTAAATATTTGAATTTTAAATGTTTAATTGCCTCAAACAAAAAAAACAAAAAATACATAACAAATAATTATTATCATTTTCGTATTAAAACTCTTGTCATTCCAATTAGGAAAGATCCGTATATGTCCTGAAAAGAAACTGCCTTGTCCAACCTCTTCACGATGTAAAAACAACTGCACATCTGCGGGGTACAGAACATGAGGTTATGTGTTTAAGTTTCCTAATATAAACTGTTGTTGTATTCCCTATTATAGTTCAATCATAAATCCTAACTAATTAATCTCTTATGTTATATATACCCATATATATGAATAAATCAAATGATTGATCTTTTAGCTTATAAATCAAACATTATATAGATGTAAATTATTCTTCAAATTAATCAACAATTATTTTCAATTATGTATTTGAAATAATTCTATAGGTTTTATAATCCTTTGAAATTTAAAAGTTTGGCCTTATTTTAACAATCTATTTCAGTTGATTTTAAAATCTGTGCAATATCTCATATATTCTGTTTTTAATTATTTACTCATAGAACTCCATTGGAATTCATTTCAAATAACTCAGTAAACAAGAAATTTTTTAAGTCATTTAGTTTTGAATAACACTGGATTTGAAAATCTATTAATGATAAATTACAAATCAGATATCGAATAACACTGGATTTTAAATCTGGATTTGAAATCTTGATTGAATAACAGTTGATTGTCATTCAATTTCAGTTCATTTCAAATACAACATCCAATAACACCCCCTTAAATTTAGTTATAATTAACTTTGATACTGCTATAGCGAGAGAGAATTAACCATCCTATTTGATCACTAGTACCATATAAGAAAAGTAGAAATTAAGATATTTTTTTTTTGTGCGACAATGAATAAGAAGCAAAGCTCATATGCATCAGAAGAAAAGTCATGGTAAAACCGGATTGATGTAAACTAGTCATTGGATAGTGGCGTTGAAAAACAACTTTCACCTTCAAAAAATTAATTCTGAAGATAAGAGGAGTCTTGAAGTTATAAGAAGTCTTGAAGATGCACGACAATGGAGGAAAAATCAGGCTAGTGTGTAAGAAGACATTGATGATGTGGGTCCCCTTATGCAAAAATCAAAATATTTTTAAGGGTGCACTATTCATCCCTTTAAAATATAAGGGGATAAGGGTCTATTGGAGATGCTCTTAGCAAGTCTCAAGATTAAAGACTTGACTTAAGTAGGGATTTCAAAGGTTCGAAATCTGTATCTCTTTTGTAATAGAAAAAAGATTGTTCTCTTGGAAAGAAGAACATTATGTAACAAAAAAACATGCAATTGTTGTTGGGTTTGTGAGATTGGGTAAATTATGATTTAGTTCAGGAGCAAATCACAAGTGTGATGTTGCGTCTTTGATTAAACAAGATTATAAGAAATATTGGTTTAAAGTAAATCTTAATAGATGTAAAAAAATCAATCTTCTATACTATAAAAGTTGCCCTTCTCTAGATGGACACGTGGCGGCTTATCTGATTTTCTTCTCAAGCTGACTTTTCTGAAACGATAGAAATATTTCAACGCCTCTTCAATTCCCCTTGGATTTACTGGCTTTGATAGCACAGATCAATGTCTTGTGTTTAATAATACCCTAGATTCCTTGATCTACAAACGCCTCTCTCAAAAAGTTCTTCTTCTCAATTCTCATCAACGCTTTTCTCATTTTGCTGTTTCTCTGGGTTTTTGGTTATAAGGATGAATGCAGGATCAAAGTCTTTCGAAAGCGATAATCGAGCGTATTGGCTTGGAAGGAATCACAGAATCCTCGATTGGTTATTGTACGAGAGGTCTTCAATCATATGTTTGCAGGTTGTTCGACGAATTTCCTCTTCCATTTTTTTATTTGAGGTTTTTGATTTGATTGATTTTAGGAGTTTTGGGTAGGCAAAAGAGCTCGAGAAGAGGCTTGGTTATCTCAGTTACAAGCTTGGCCGTACCAACAATCGTGGCGATGGTAAAAGCTTCATCTTTGTGAATCTTCTTGGCTTGATGTTTTCAGATGATGAGAAAAATGACATTTTCATTGGTAAAATAGGTCTTACGGCTGTTCAGAAGGACTATTTCAGAGTTTTGAACTTGAGAGATTTGCTTTTCAACGATTGTGGTGACAGAGTCGCGCAGTTGCTTCACGTAGAATTAGTTCCTCCTTACTCTCAGTACGATGCTCATCAACAAGTCTTGATCGTCAACACTCATTTGCTCTTCCCTCATGACTCAACACTGTCCATAGTACGATTGCAGCAGGTAAAGAATTCAATCTTTTATACCAACTCCAGTGCCATTGTGATGAATGATTTTGCATCTTTCTCTAAACAAGATTTTGTTTTTCACAGGTATATAAGATTCTTCAGTATGTAGAATCGTATCAGAAAGAAGTCAATCTCAGTCCCATGCCTATTATACTTTGCGGGTAACTAACAACTACCTTTTTCATGAGTTACATCTGATGAGATTTACTCAAAAGTCCTCTGTTTGTGCTGTTGTGGCAGAGATTGGAACGGGAGAAAGAGAGGACATGTCTACAAGTTTCTGTGGTCACAGGAGTTTGTGTCGTCGTACGACACTGCTCATCGGTACACAGATTCAGATGCTCACAAGGTCACTGTATTTCTTCATATGGAGAATACTTTTGGGTATACTGTAGCTTTTTGTGATTCTGAAAATTGCTGTTTTTATCTTTTGTTTTTTTTTTTTAAGTGGGTGAGCCACCGGAATCATCGTGGTAACATATCCATGGCTCTGCCTCAACCACACTGACGGCATACACAGACGCAGACTGGGCCGGTTGCCCAAACACACGCCGCTCCACCTCTGGCTTTTGCATCTATCTCGGTGACAATCTCATCTCTTGGTCATCTAAACGACAACCAACAGTCTCTCGTTCAAGTGCAGAAGCTGAATACTGTGGCATTGCTAACGCAGTTGCAGAAAAAATTTGGATTCGAAATCTACTTCTAGAACTTCAGTGTCCGATCACCACTGCAACTCTCGTATATTGTGACAACGTAAGTGCTGTTTACCTCTCTACAAACCCAATACAACACCAACGCACCAAACACATTGAGCTGGACATCTTGTTTGTTCGAGAACGTGTCGCACTCGGTCAAGTTCGAGTTCTCCATGTGTCCTCATCACATCAATATGCAGATATCTTTACTAAAGGTCTCCCAACGGCGCTGTTCAATGATTTCAAATCCAGTCTTCACGTCACACGCATATGACGTTTTGACTGCGGGAGGGTATTAAATTAGGAAATCATATATTACATTCTGTATTTTAGGAAATCGTATAATTGCCTTCAACGGCTACTTTGTCATGTACTACTGTATATATACTGAGAATGAATACAAGGGACTTACCCATTGAGTTTAATACAATCTAACGGGGGAGAGCAAGACACGTCCTTCTTAATCTATTCTCAGGAATCATGATATATATAAAAGATTAATTTTTTTTGAAAAATTACTTTTAATAAAATTTCACAAGACTGTTGATCAGGTAAAACTCATCAATCTTTAATGGATTGACAATTTGGTTATGTTTCTTCTAAAATTAGGGTGTGGGTAATGAGTCTCCATATAATTGCAAGAGCTAAGGCTATGAATGGGAGACAAGTGTGGTGCGGAACCAAGTGTGGTTTTATCAAAACCACTTTTGAGTCACCAATCATAAATGTTGTATAACAATTCACGTTTTTTGCTAAAGAAAAAAGAAATCCGCGCACGGACTTCGAAGCATAAAAAATGGTTTTGTGGACAACAAACCGCACCTAAAATTTCTACCACAGACAAACCCAGCGTTTCAGTGAAATACGCACTGGATAAAACGTTTTTCCAAAAAAATATTTATAAATAATTATGTATATTTTTTTCTGAAACAAGGGTTTGCTAATAGATATATATATATTGCTATAATAACTCATACACTCACATTTCAAAGAAATCATTAGAAAAACAAATCATATTAATATTAGTATTATAAAATATATATGTAAATATAATATAGAAATTTAATAGTCAGCATGTAGATATTTTATTTTTATTTTTGCTCAGTACATATCATTCTTAAATAAAGTTTTTGTTTCTTATAAAGAAAGTTAAACATATATTTTATAGATTCATCATTGTTAAAAATACTAATTTAGTTATTTAAAGAACAAAAAATAGTTATACAAATTTCTTCATTAATAGTAGGCAAACAGTTTTAGTTTATAATTCTACTAATATTATTAATATTATATAGTTAATAATTATCTACAATTTCTATTTCATCATACTTACTTCTTTTTTTACTATTCACAATTTTATTTTAACCGCTAATTTTTTTTTCACCAATCAAACATTGTTTTGTACCGCTTATTTTATACTAACCGCACTTGTTCCGCAGTTAAGTTTTATCCGCATTTATCAAAATTAAACCGCACCGCAATCAAAATTAAACCGCACCGCACATTACAATACGCTGTCACCATTCGGAGCCTAAGTTTGAAACATTCGGTGTGGTTAATGGGTCTCTAAAATCACATTTTCAAACATTCAGTTTCTCATGCAAGAGTTAAATTTCTTATGTAATTATAAACTCTCCTGCGAAGAGGAGAATTATCTAGGTGCAAAGGGACTTGCGGCCAATGTATGGTAGTGTCTTGAAATGATATTGTTTTTGTGTTGGTCTTTCCAGAAACTTGTAGACATTACTAACTCTGAGATTTAATGACATATTTAAGATTTTAGAATCTTCGGCAAAAAACACAAATTTTCGAGTTCAAAGGTTTGGAATATGTGTTTTTCTTCAAAAATCTTTGTGTTAACAAGGCCTTAACCGGTCGGGTTCGGGTCGGTTAAATCGGTTTCCGGTTATTCGGGTTTAGAAGAATAGAAACCGTTCGGGTATTTGGTCGGTTCGGGTCGGATTCGGGTTTGAATTTTCGGGTTCGGATCGGTTTTCGGGTTCGACCTAAAACCCGAGAAAAACCGATTTGTTTTCGGGTTTCTTGTACCAAAGTTGTTGAATCGCCGCCTATATTCTGCCAGATCTGAGCCGCGTGAGACGGCGGAGATAAGGGAGAGAGAGGCGGAGAAGAAGAGAGGAACGGATGAGTCTAGACGACGAGATCCGAGCCTCGCGAGACAGCGGAGATAGGGGCGAGACGGCGGAGATAAGGGAGAGAGGGCGGAGAAGAAGAGAGGGACAGATCAGTATAACAACGAGCGCGAGACGGCGAAGATAGGGGCGAGATGACATAGAAGAAGAGAGGAACAGATGAGTGAAGGAGGTTGAAGAAGAAGATTGATGAAGAAGATTGAAGAGAAAAGTGTCGGCCATCAAAAAAAGAAGACGAAGAGGTGTCGCGTGAATTAGGTTTTTAGTTAATTAGGTTTTGGGTTAATGTGTTATTTGATAATGGTCGGTTTGCGGTTATTAATTCGGTTATCGGGTTAAACCGAACCGAAACCGAACCCGAATTCAAATCAACATCCAAACCAACCGTTTATTTTGGCATAACCGAACCCGACTCAGGTCGGTTTTCTCGGGTCGGAACCGGGTTCGGTTTTCGGGTACGGTTTAAATTCCCAGGCCTAGTGTTAACTATGAATTGTGTCTATCATGTTGATTTTTTTCTGTCTCTATTTCCAGTTGTAATTTGCTTTTTTTTTTGGTGAATCAGACGGGAGACCTCCCGCAATATTATTAAAGGAACATAACAAAAATTACTACAAGCGTACGTCTCGCGGACGAGTCAAACCGATCTCGTCCTCCCACAAGACCGTCTCCAACGACGGGGGAACTAGATCAAACAAGTGGAAACCCAACGATAGTGAAAAAACAAAATTTGCTAACCCGTCAGCAAGACGGTTAGCTTCCCGATAAACATGGACTATACGCACCGACCAGTCCTTTGATAGAAAGCCATGGCACAGACGTACCAGGAACACCAAGGGATGAGCATTACTTATCCCTTTCTTGAAAAACCCGACCACCAATTCCGAATCAACCTCTATTTCCAGTTGCGAAACCCTCTTCTCCCACGCCATGACCAATCCGTAATACACACCCCAAAATTCCGCCAGAGGAGCAGTACACCGGCCTATATTCAGCGCAAAACCACATAACCATCGACCATTATGATCTCTGATTACCCCGCCTGCAGATGCAGGACCTGGATTGCCTTGCGAAGCCCCATCCGTGTTCAGACGACACCAACCCAACATCGGAGCTTGCCAGCCAACTTGTCTCTCCACACGAGTCCTCACGCCTGTTCTCACCCCCACTGCTTGATTTGCGCTCCACACCTCAGCCGCCAAATCTTTCACAAACTTAACCCGATCCTGGCATTTATTATTCTCTCCAAAGACGTTTCCACAACGCCACTTCCATCCCCACCATACTGCCATTGCGAATGTCGTAGCCCACGGGACATTAGCAACCACTTCCCTTGCTAGCAAGTTATCGTACAGCCAGACCAACAGGGACTTATCAAAGAACGCTTGACGCTTCCTCTGAGGAACAATCCTCTCCCAAATTCCTGCCATCGCCGGACAATCCCGTAAGGTATGAATAATCGTCTCAAAATCACCTTTGCATACTACACAGACATCCGAGTCACCAATATGACGCCGCTTCCTCTCCACGTTTGTCATAATCACTTGGTGCGCCACCAGCCAGAGAAACAAGCGAACTCTTTCCGGCACCACCACTGTCCAGATACGATCAAAGAAAGCCTCCATGCTTTGCGATGGTGTGTCATCACGGGTAATCAACTCATACGCTGAGGACACTGTGAACTCACCATTCGATCTCCCCTTCCACGATAAATGATCCTTCGCCCCAGTGACATGATCCAAAACCACCGCTCGTAATTCCAGCTGAGCAACTTCCGGTAAGTGAGGTTCAACAATCCCAAAATCCCACCCAAGACCATCACGCCAAACATCTTTTACTAACAGAGCCTGAGACATCGCCGAAGGAATGCCCACCGCAATATTAATGAGTGGCTGATCCGAGCACCACGCATCCAACCAAAAGTTAATCTGACTCCCGTCCCCGACAGCCCAACCGTGTCCCGGCAAAATGACCTCTCTCAGACCTTTGGCGACACCCCTCCAAAGCGCTGACCAAGTGCCCTTCGGAGATAACCAGTTTCGGTTATGAAGCGAACCCACCTTATATTTGTGCCGTAGGACCCGAGCCCACAACGAGGTCTCATCATTCAGGAGTCTCCATCCTACTTTAGCCACCAACGCCAGGTTCATATTCTTTGCGGACCTAATCCCAAGACCACCCTTCTTCTTGGGGAGACAAACCTTATCCCAGGCAATAAGATGCTGCTTCCTCTTTTCCGGGCTGCTTCCCCATAAAAACGATCGAGAGATCTTATCCAGACTTGCCAACGTCGACTGCGGCAACATTATCGAACTCATGGAGTGGACCGGGATCGATGACAGAACCGCCTTTGTAAGCGTCAAGCGTCGGGCCATACTGAGCACGCAGCTCTTCCATCCAGCTAATCTCGACGACACTCTCGCCAACACTTCCCCAAACGTTTCTTTATTCATCCGCTTCTGCAAAACTGGCATCCCCAGATATTTTCCCAAATCTCTCGACGCTTGAATCCCACTAGCATCACTAATCTCCTTCTCTAATACCCGGGAAACATTACTCGAGAAAAAGATTTTACTCTTCTCCAAACTCACCTTTTGACCAGACGCTTGACAAAAAGTCTCCAGCACCCTTCTCAAGACCCGGACTTGAGACACCGAAGCCTCCGCAAACAGGATTAGGTCATCGGCAAAACAAACATGAGACAACTTCGGACCCCCACGAGATAGGCAGATTGGCTTCCATTCCTTGGCTGCAACTGCTCTCTCAATCGAGTGACATAACCGCTCCATACACAGGACAAACAGGTACGGGGAGATAGGGTCTCCTTGACGAAGATCTCGTGATGGGCAAAAACCTTCCGTCTTCTCTCCATTCCATAAGAGATTCATCACTGGCCCTGACACACATCTCATAATCCAATTAATCCACTTCTCTGATAAGCCAACTGCTACTAGAGTATCCTCCAGAAAATCCCACTGGATACGATCATAAGCCTTCTCTAAATCCAGCTTCAGTAACATCCAACTTGTGCGCCCCATTGAGTGAACCGCCTCTTGGACTAAGACGATGTTATCCGTACTCAGTCTCCCCGGAATAAAGCTAGCCTGAGCTGGTCCTATAAGTTTGGAGATTACAATCTTCAAACGCTCCACCATCGTCTTCGTAATGGTCTTGAAAAGAACATTGCACAGACTAATAGGGCGGAATTATGTGATCCTTTCCGGTGTACTTACTTTAGCCAGTAGTACGAGTAAGACATCATTCGTCATCGGCGGCAACACTCCTGTACGGAAAAAGTCTAAGACAAACCTAGTAACTGATGATCCCACCATCTCCCAGCTACTCTGATAAAACACCGGTTGGTATCCATCCGGCCCCGGTGCTTTGAATTTGCCCATCCCTCTAATGGCCGACTCCACCTCTGACGCCACAAAATCCTTCTCCAAATGCTGCTTCTCTCCTGCAGTCAGCTGTTCGAAGCCATCAGATGGTAATTTATCCACCACCTCCTCCACATCTTCCATAGAGTAAAGCCTCTTAAAGTAGGCTATGGCTAGGGACTCCATCTCCTTCTCATCAGTGGTCCATTCACCTGCTTCATTCCGCAACATATCAATGCGATTCTTCCTTCGACGTATGATGGTGGAAGTATGAAAGAAACGTGTGTTCCTATCCCCCAACGGGATCCACTTCTCACGGGCTTTTTGGAACCAAAGCACTTCCTCCTGTTCCAGAACAACGTCCAGTTCCTTCATCAAGAACTCCTCCCTTTCTAAAATCGCATCCGTCAGCCCCGTCTCTAGCGCCTCTTGCACCTCTACTATCTCCTTCAACAGCCCCTCTTTCCTCTTGGTCACGTCGCCGAACACCTCCTTGTTCCAGCGAACCAACGTCCTCTGTAACACACGTAGAGCCTCATTCGTGCTCAAGTCTCTCCTCCACGAAGTCTTAAGGAGCTCCTGAAACTCCGGATGTTTTAACCAAGCTGCTTCGAACCGAAACGGTCGTCGCTTGGGATCTCTAGACACAACTGGTGTGAGCTGCACGTATAAGGGCGCGTGATCAGACGATAAAAAGGGGAGGTGCGTCACAGTGGCCTCCTGCCACTTAAGCCTCGTCTGGGCACAGCATAGAACCCGATCCAGCCTCTTCGCCACAAACGTATTCACTGATCTCCCCCGTTTCCAAGTAAAACCACTTCCCCGAAACCCCATATCGATTAAAGAGAGGTCGTTAATCCACTCCCCAAACGCTATCGAATCCTCCGATAAGCGCCCACTACCGCCGGCGCGCTCATCCACTCTGACAATAGTGTTAAAATCTCCACCCAACAAGACTGGCTCAGATATGCGCCCAACTAAATCCCTCAACTGGTCCCATAGCCCACTCCTCCGGCTCACTGTGGGAGCTGCGTATACGGCTATCACATGAAGAACCTCGTTGCCATTCGAGATTCGAGCATGGATAAACTGCTCCGATTCCTCCACAATCACCACATCTCCAATTCCCGATCTCCACAGTAGCCACAAACCACCACTCTGCCCCACTGCATCCACCTTAAACGAGTTCTCAAACCCCAAACCTCGACAGATCTCACTCGCTCGATCCCCTCCTGCATGTGTCTCAAAAACCGCCAAAACATCCGTCGCATGCCTCTTCAACATATAACGAATGGATCTTCTAAAATTGGGTTTGTTAGCCCCCCGGCAATTCTAAAAAATGCAATTCATCAGAAAATTCAATAATCTCCATCGAACTACCGGGGAAATCCGTTAGGATTCCACCAAGTCTATCCCTCCAACTCCTCCCGGAGCAGCTCCCGAGAGATTCGCCGACGATTGAGCCGCTTCTTCCGACGATAGCAGTTGTGGGTTGCAACCTTAGCCAGCGACAATCCCCAACTCCGTCTTGCCATTCTCACTGTTCTCCCCCGTGAAACGACCTCCCGCTCTACCTGAGACCTCACTCTCAACTCTCAGGCGCTTCCCCGATGTGGTGAACTCCGAATCAAACTCATGACCTATTGGGCCGAAAATTAGGCCTCTGGAAGGTTGATTGCTTTTCGGTTTTCTTCGGCCCCCATTAAATGGGCCTTTACTCGGCCCTGTACGCCTCTCACTTGCTACCCCCTCAAGTCCTCGATTCAAGATTTGCGAATCCCCGCCCAAAACTGCTTCCTTACTTGGCACGGTATTCTTGCCGAAAATTACCATACCCGAATCACTCGAGTTTTCCTTATCCCCCTTCATTCCGCGACCTTCTCCGCCTAACTGAATCTGTCCCGTATCCTCCCTTAAACGCTCAAACGTATTCGATAATGGAATATTCCTCAACCCCTGATTTTGAGGGATTTCCTTAAGGGCCCGTCTTGGATTTCCAAACTGCTTCCCCGCCGTGAAATTCACCGGACGTCGCGGCTCTGCTCCCGCCTGACGAGGCCTCCTTACCATCGTGAAACCATCCTCCTGATTCGCATGCACTACTACCTCACTTCCTTCTCCTTCCCTCGCTTCTTCCGCGACCACAGCCGACAGTGGGACATTCTTTGGGCATGAGTGAATCAAGTGACCGTAGATTCCACAACCAGAGCAAATATTCGTAAGGCCCTCATACGCCACATAGTACCTCTCACCATTGACCATCACTGAACCCTTCAGAGGATGCCTAAGATTTACTTGCACACAAACCCTTGCAAATCTAGCCCTCTCTACATTCAAGGTCGTCTGATCAACTCTCAGTGGTTTCCCTAATCCCTTAGCAATCCCCAACAGGATAGCTCGATGGTAAAAGTTCACTGGCAAGTTAGAGAGGCGGACCCACACCGGCGTCGTCACGATCTCATTCCTCATTGGATCAAACTCGGGCGACCACGCTTTGACCAATAGGTAACTACCAAAAGCCTTCCACGGACCCCCCGTTAGTGCCGCCATGTACTCCTCCTCTACTCCAAATCTTACCAAGAAAAAGCCACGAGGGAGATCTAAAACTGACATGGCACCTTGCGGTCTCCATAGCTCTCGTAATTTCCTTGACAGTACAACGATTGGGACATTCCTCCCCAACACCTTCACTAGCATACATTGCTTCCACAAACCATTCATCGCGTCCAACACTTCATGACCGATCGTTATAACCGGCTCCCCATCCTCTCCGTTCGGGAACTCCACAGACAGCCGCTCCACCACAAACTCATCCGACACTAACCTCTCCGCACGTGGACGACCCCCAGAACTTGTTCCCGACACCATGGAAGCCCAAGAGGTCCCTCCATCCGGCGGCTCTCCCGGCGGCTGATCTTTCCTCGGCATATCCTCTATCATAGCGTCGTTAGTCTCCAAAACCCTAGCGCCGTCAGAGCTCTCCATTCACCAGTTGTAATTTGCTTTGATAGTAATCTCAGTTTTCCTGTATTTTTTTATAACTTTTGTCGAGAATCAAAAATGTGGTTTAAAACTTAACATTTAAACCAAAACAAAAGGTTTATATGTAATTTAGTAGCTTATTTTCAAAATATTGAAATTTGATCTTATAAAATGCAATGACTCAATGTGAATAATGTTTAAAAACAAACTCTACAAAAAATAAGACAGATATACTCTCTTTGTTTTTTAAAGAAGAATTTTGACATATATTAAGAAACTATATTAACAATTAGGCTCTGAATGTATTATCTCTGATTAACAAATTCTAAAAAAAATTAACCAGTCGCAATTCAATAATCTCAGTTATTTTTCTTCAAAATTATAATTACTTAGTATTACTTAATAAAAAATGTATTGAAATCTGAGAAAATTCATATTTTTAAAAAAAAATTGAGAGTATATAATATGAAAATAGTTTAGAAGCAAACTATATAAAAAAAAGTATTTTATACATTAATTTTCTTCTTTTCAATGCATTTTTTGAAAAAAAAAATATAATAACAATTACTTGGGAGGTAGTGAAAACTAAAAGACAAGTATATCATCTTTTGGTGACAAATGATTTGTGAATATATTTATAACTCTGCCACACATACAAAAATTTTGGTCTTTGTGAAAACTATGGAATCTAAAATACAATTGCATCATCAATAAATTGAGATTAGGTATGGGACTTTGAATGATTGGATCGGATTCAGGTCGGGTTTGATTGGGTCCGGGTCTATCGGGTATGTGATATCTATACCCACATATAGGTGCCGAACGAATTTTGGTTTGGTATCGGGTCAAGTCTATTTCGGTACAAGTCTAAAGAATCGAATTATACTCAATACTGCCAAATCTTTGTATGATGTTGGAATTGCAACTCATAAATTATATGGGGGTAAATGAAAAAAACTCGAGAAACGAAAAAAAAATTGTGTCGGAGAGACTATCGTATTATTATTATTTATAAAATAAACTTTACAAACATGAAAAAAGAATTAAAAGAAAAAAAACACCACCCGCGCTATCTAGTCTTAATAAATCTCGTTGAAGAAAACTTGTGTGTTTGCATAACATTTATCAAAATTATTTTGTATAGATAACCGTTATTTGATGTAGAAAAAAAAACTGTTGATGTTAAAAAAAAGAAAAGAAAAAAGATAACCGTTATTTTTTTTTTTTCTCTTACTATTACTCATTTACTCTATTAGTCACGTAATTTAAACCTAAACGTTTTTTCGGCATTATAAATTATTATGATATTTTATAGGGAATTTTGCTTTGTTTTGTTTTTTTGTCTGTCCTCCTCAACCGTTCATTTACTGATTTTGTTTTTTTTTTCCTGTTTTCTCCCTTTCTCCTCCTCCGCAGCGCTGCCGTGCGCTTCCCCAACTCCGCCGGCGGTAAGATTACGTGCTCCTTTCACTTCTTAAGTAATTCCTAACCAAGACTTTTGCTTCATTGATTTATCTACTAACCGATTTGCTGCGTAATTTTGATGGCACGATATTCATACATATTTTGTTTTTAAGCCAAAACGATATTCATACATTAACCACTTAATTCGCGATTGTCTGTTTTATCAAAGAATTATCCTTTTAGTTTCTGAAGCACTTTGTTCACTATTGGTTTGAGAAGTAGATGCACATTCGCTATTCGATTCTTTAAACTGTTGCAGCAGAGTTTTATGGTTTGGCGTTTTGTACTGGTTTGCAGAAGATGATGAGCATTGTGTCAAGTCAACCATCGATTATACATGAACGATGTGGTAGTGAAGCAATATCTAAGGTTTCTTGTTCGAGATATTGCAGCCCTTGCTTCTCTGGAAGATTGGCTTTCTCTCATAGCCTCTGCTTGAAGAGTACTTGTGGGCAAACTGGTAGGAGAAGGTTTTCAAGAATTTGCACTAGTGTGGATGATGGGATCAATCCAGATGAAGAGGAAAACGAATCACTTGATGATGAAACCAAAAGGGTATGTAAAAGCGTAAACCTTGAAATTTTGTAAGGTCACAACAGAGTGTTGATCTACTTGTGCTTGGATTTGGATTAAAAGGCTCATGTAAACAAGATAGAATTAAGGTTGATTGCTTGGTGTTGGTACTCATCTGATCATTTTGTTTGAATCATCTGTCTCTCTGTCGTCTCTAGCAAGCGGATGATATAAATAGGGCAAATCTTGAAAGGATGGTTGGTTCGGATGATTCTGCATTCAACGGCTTAGATCTTGCAACTCTCATCAGGCAGAAGTATGGAAGGTCTTATGATGTGCAACTCATCAAGAAGGTTTGCGTTTTCTGTATTCAACACTCTTTTAATTACATGAATACAGAAGAATCAGCTTTTGCAGTTTCTTTTTATACAAATTATGTGGAAAGATTGGTCGCTCCAGAAGCCAGGAACTTAAAAATGATACTTGTTAGATGTGATTAATGTAGGAGTTCATGGGGAGGAATCTTCTTGCAATGAATGTCATGTGGAAGTACAGAGAACAGGTAAGAGAATCCTTTTTTTTTGGCTGTGTTTTGATTCATAAAAGAAGCCTATTGATAATGATGGCATAGTTGTTGCCTTTGGAAGCCAGCTAATTTACAGTTGTATCTTTCTTTCTTTCTTTCTTCTTCTTGAATACGTAGAGGTCTTTCCCTCTAACGGAAGAAGAATATATACTGAGACTTGACGATGTAGCAAACATGTTGAAATGCTGGGGAGCGGTCTCACACATCCGTAACAGCCTAGCAAAGTCCAAGGAGCGACCCCGGATTGGCAAGGTTAGTTCGAGAGAGAGAGAGAGAGAGAGAGAGAGAGAGAGAGAGAGAGACCACTCTGAATCATTTGATTCTACCTAAAACTTTGAATCTCTGCTGATATCTTGGCTTTGTGCAGGCTGTCAGCATTTTCATAGACATGGATTCTACAGGGGGACGAGCAAACGAATGGATTTACAAGTAGAACAAAAAAACCGAAGAAAGCAAAAGCTTCTGTATCTAAAATTCTAAACTTATCGTCATCAATCCATTCTTAAAGCTCTTGTGTGATGGCGATTTGCAGAAACAGAGGATTGTGCTATGTTTAAAGTCTGTAATCAGGTATAATTACATGTGTGTATAGCTTAGTAGAATATACATACAAATCTTTACATGAACTCTCTTTGTAAAATATTGGAATTGAAATCCACTTTGTGAATCTTCCACCCTCTTTGTGATTTGTTAAAGCAGCCACATGCCCAATTTATTCTTCTCATTTAGGACCATTTCTTGAGTGTAGTATACGTGGGTATCTTTACTTTTCTAGGATGTATAAATGTGTTATACTCCCTCTGTCTCACAGTTTTGGCATTATGTATCTGCTGTTTTTTTGATGTATCTAGATGGTTTTACATCCAGATATATCCAAAAAATTACAGATACATAATGCCAAAATTGCTTATAATATGGGACAGAGGGAGTAGTTAGTTTCTTCTTTAATCCCATAAATACGCAAAATTAATTTGTAAGCTGTACTATATTTTGCTGTAATTTTAGACTAGTCTTTAATAAATATGAATTTGGGTTGGGAGTATCTGTAGATAGTTTTTGTTAAAGTAAACCAATTTATAGTTTCCAACATGATTATTTCTCTAGTAACCGTAAAATACCTTTTATTTTTGTTAGTTGGAGACTAATTAGTAAATCACCAAAACTAGTACTGTTGGAACATGGCGTGATACTTTTTGATACAATCCATAATGATAATGCTTATCTTCATCATCATTATCATCACACTCAATCCACCTCCACGTCCTACATCATCATTTATCTGATGTTATTTTTTCTCATAAAATGAAACAAAAAGATCATCATACTATTATTGAATGATGTTGTCACATCACGATCCACATCATAAGCGTATGCTTCTTAAATCCATCATTAAAAGCATCCTCTCCTCTCCTCTCATCACCACAACCACTAAACAAGTAAAACATCTTCTTCATCTTTACCATATCCATACATCATCATCATCATCATCATCCTTTTTCTTTTTTTTTTGGTTTTATTGTTAATTATCACCATTACCCTTGTTTGTTCTAATCACCATCTTGGGGCATGAATTGTATAACCGCTACAAATTACTGTAAAAACCGCTACAAGTTCTAGTTTTGCAGTTTTAAATTTTACAAGCATGAATACGCATTTTGCATTTTCTTACATATGATTCTGTCAAACTAATTGTGTGCTATATAACGCATGTTTTTTAATTGAGTCATGTGTAGTAATCATATTTTTGAATGATTTCAACGTTAAATTTAGTTTATGCTCCTTTTGTAAAAAAGGAAAAATAGAAATTGATTTAAATCATTTGCAATTCGAATGTATCAGTATCAGTTAGCAAATCTTCGGAGCTAGTTTGACCCAAAAAGGAGAAGGTGAAAGTACAACAAGGGGTCTTCGCTTTTTACTATTCTCTCAAACACAAAACCAAAAAAACCAGAGTCGTCCACATTTCAGAACCACAATTCTCCGGCGAATCCAACCGTTCCCGGCTCAAATCTCTACTTCATCAACGGCGTTTCATGTTCTCAATTCGTAATCAAGTAGTCATCGTCTACCCGATTTGGACCAGCAGAGAGGTAAAATCAAGCCTTCCGTTCCGTACAGTAGAAATCCAATTCATCTCCGAAACGGCGATCTCGGCGACGTCAACGACACTCCGTAGAGTTCCAATCCGTTTCTCCGACGCCGGAAAACCATCTCGGAATTGAGAAACCCAGAGAGACTTATGGTTGGTTGGAGTGGCGATGCACCGGCTGGTGGGCTCGTCTCCGATCACGCCTCCAAGCTTTAGCGCCGCCGTCTCTGCTGCTGCCGATGTATCTGCTTCTCTGAACAGGTCTCATCCGATTACAGTGACGCCGATTTCCGCTGCTTACCCGTCCGGCGATCCTATGCTGATGATGTCCGGTGGTGCTCTTGCTAGGGTTCGATTATCTGAAATTCTGCCTTACGAAGGGGCTCCTTCTCCGACTTACGTTAAAGCCGTTGAGACTCTGTCTGTGTCTTTGATGAGATATAACGCTTCCGTGATCGAGCTCGGTAGCGAAGACGCTGCACTCTTGCGGTGTGGCCTTGAAGCTGCTCGCTTGTATTTCAGAACTAGAAGCGTTAACGTCTCTGGCAAAGGCAATCGCGGCCTCTCTATGTACAGAGCCGGAAGGTTAGCTCTTGATTTTGTTTATGTAGAAAGAATTGTTTTTTTTTTTTGCGCTGGAATTTGACAATTCTTGAAATCCTGGAAATGTTGTATTAAGGACTGTTTGTTTTTCTGTCTTCTGAGCAGATCTGTTGAAGATTTAGATTCTTCTCCTCCATGCATGGCTGAGATATTCCGGTGCTTGGGGAAAGTAGCAAGAGCTGCTTTATCTGCGATAGCAAGGCATCTGCGTCTAAGAAGCGAGTAGGATGGTTATGATGCGTTGATCTCTGGTTTACTGCTACTACAGTATTACCAATTTTCCTTGTGTTAACTCATAGAATGGGCATCTTTTTGTTGTCTGCAGTGTTTTTAACCATATGCTCGACGACTTTCCACTAGCTCCGAACGAGGTTTCCTCGTCTGTGCTACTGGCTTCCTATGCTCATGCATCTATCCAAAATGGAAAACCTGGTTCTGGAGGTGGGAATCTATCCGCTAATGTCGAAATTGAGAAGGGTTTGTTGACACTCTTCTGCTCAGATGGCACTGGCATTCAGGTCACCTGTATGAACTTTCTGTTTGTCAAAGAATACATATATGATTTCATTCTAGAGATGAACTTGATGGGAAAAATGACTTTCATTACCTTTCGAAAAACAATCTTGCTTAGTGGATAGATCTGCTTGAAAACACCGTTGGGAATGTTAAAAGTACCTTCGGCTATTTTTTGTTTGCTCTTTCTGAAATTTCGTCTATCCTCAGGTGTGTGACCCAAATGGTCGTTGGTACGCAGCAGATAATGGATGTGGGGTTTGTGATATCTTACTGATTACTGGCAAAGCGCTTAGTCATGCTACTGCAGGTCTCCGTCCAGCTGCCTCTTATAGAGCTACTACTGATCATTTGTCTGGCAGTGGAAGGTGCGTTTATAATAAAAGATGATAAGCATTTCTTTAACAAATTTCATGACACGATTGCATGCTTACATATTGAATTGAACTGTTGAATTTTTCACTTGCAGGGCCTCACTAGCATTTAGGCTGATGCCGAAAAGTAATGCTATATTAGATTGCTCCCCAATAGAAGCAGCTGGCCATATAATTCCTCAAAGCTATGTGCCAGTATCTGTCAGTCAGTTTATGGATAACCTCTTGGCCGAGAATGACATACTAGTTAGTCCGCCTGTGAAAACCAACGTAAGCTCATGTTTTATATTAGATCCGCTTTTGGTGATTTGCACTACCTCAATACTATAATGATATAAGTTTCTAATGTTTGATATTAACCGCTCAGAGCACAAGGTCTGATGTCAAGAGATCTTGTTCTGAATTGTGGATGTCAGGTATTACGGGATGATGTTTGCAAAGAGCCTTCCTTAAGAAGTATTCTATCAGATCCAGTTTCGTGAGTACCACTTTTTCCCTTCATGTATATTATTATCTAAGACGGAGAAATATCATCTATTCTTATGGTTTGTTTGGATGAATTGCTTAGTTACGTTACACTGATAGGGTTCTAATTCGTGTGTTTGCGAACTCTTTGATGTTTAGTGGTGCTTTTCTTGAAGATGCATCGGTTGTTTCTTGTGGACATTCATTTGGTGGCCTCATGCTTAGAAGAGTCCTTGAAATGGTTGGTGTTGGTATCCTTCGATTCTTTTTAATATGCTAGTTTCATGCGATGGTTTCTCCTACATACCCAAGAGTATTTAGTAACCACAGTTATCTTCTGCACAGTCTAGATGTACGCTCTGCAATGCAGAAATCGATACTGGGTCTCTGGTCCCTAACCATGGTACTTCCCATAAAGCTTCTATCTTTTTGGGCTTGGACATAGACAAACATTCCTAACTCTGTTCTTCGTTTTCTTATGTCAAACACCTAGCTCTTAGAGCTGCCGCTTCAGCTGTAAAGCAACAGGATGATAAAAGACTTTTCCATAACGCAGCAATGCGAAGGCGTAGAAAAGAAATGAGTGATCAAATGGATGTGGTGAGATGATCTGACACTATTCTATATAGTTAATTGCTTTGTATGTCTTTGGCTCTGTTGGTTCCCGGATGCATAATACTTCTATCTCACAAACTTATCAGTCTGCATCATCATCTGTTTTCTGTTTACCTTATTTTGATAAAAGTTACGATTTGATCCCGAATTTCTTCCTGCAGGAAAATGGAGATCCAGCTACGGATGATGGATTGCAGCGAGTAGTGCATTATCCATTTGCTGTAAACGAGAAAGTGCTTATCAAGGTAGGCCACTATTATTTTCATATTTTGGGCTTTGAGTGCATTCTTCCAGCATATGCTTTTGGCTTTACCGTTATGAAACACACTTCCAATTGCAGGGAAACCGGAGAACCCCGGAAAAGTTTGTTGGAAAAGAAGCAATCGTGACATCTCAATGTCTCAATGGCTGGTAACTAACTAACTATATAAGAGCTTAATGAAAACTATGCGTTTATAGGTGAAGAGAGTTACTGAAATTCCATTCTCATTTGCTTTTAGGTATCTACTAAAGATTCTGGAAACTGGAGACAACGTTCGGCTGCAATACAGATCCCTGAAAAAGATGATGAACGATGATGACAGAGGAGGAAGCCTACATGTTCAACCGGTTGAGAGCAATAGCTTGTAGAATGTAATCATATTTTACCCTTTTCTTTTCACCTTATTATGCATTTCTAGAAAGGACAAAGAAAAGATTATGTGGTTTGAGATTCTGCATAAATTTAAATCGTTTGGTTAGAGAAAAAAATAGTGGCAGACTGTTGCAAACTATTGGGTTTTGTACAGAACAAGTGTTAGATTATAAAGAAGAAAACTTGTTGTTTGTGCTTCTTGCATTGTTTTGGAAATTATTTGTACGAGAAAAGTAATTTCTCCACTTGAAAAATTTCTTCTTTACCCCACAACAAAAATACAAAACAACATCCTCAGGGTTTTTGTGCGTGTGTGTGTGTGTTTGGGTTCCTTTACGTGGGCACAAAAAGAATAAAAGTCTCTCCCCCTACTGCAAGAACAAAGCTTCTAAGTAATCATCAACGTAAGCTAAGCAAGGCCAATGATCTGTTCTTATATGCACCAATGTCGATCCTTGACCAACTTCCATTTCAAACAGCAGATGATATCTCGGTGGCAGAAACATTAACATCTTTATCTTTCCCATTTTCCCTCTGCTTCTCGTCATAGGAACCTCTTGATCATCTCCATATCCTATGTATGTCAGACGAAGAGGGCTCCGGTTAGATCTCATGGCCTCCACTGAAGAAGAAGTGGACCGATCCGCATTAGCTTGACCTTCTTCTTCTTCCTCCTGCCACACAATGTTCTCGATGATTCCTCCGTCTCTTACAATGTTCACAAGCTCTTCCCCGGTGATAGCCACAACAAAGGGCGCCAAGTGATACTCGCTGGCCTGTATCACAGTTTCCGCAGGGACTTCAAGCAGTTTCACTGACCGAGTCCCACTGATTGCTGCAGCGGTTTTGCCTCCTTTTAGTGCAAATGTCTCGTGTGCGGTGCTGGATGAGGAGCCGCACACTTCCCACAAAGCATTGAATAAATCTGAGTAGTAGCTCGGTATTGTATCTTCAGGTTCGTCAGGTGGGGCAAGAGCTTTCTGGAACATGTCTTCGATTCCCACAGGGACGCTCTCGAGTTTCCCCTGAATCATCTGACCATTCTCTGCATTTGCTTCCATCGAAACCTCAACCAAACCCGGTGTTGGTTCTCTAGGTTCCAGTTCAACTGTTACAGGTGCTCCTCCCAAGCCATCTTTTCCCTCCTCTTCGCTCGGTGTGTTTTCTAACAAAACGATGTCCAAAGAACCTTCATCGTTAGGTACATTCTTGTTCCCGTGAGACTCACCGAGAAGGAACGGTATGCGGCATGAAGGAATAGAGCCATAAGGTGCTGAAGATGAGAATTTGAGCACGGTCGCGAATATCGCAGGAGGTGAGTCGACTTTATCTAACTCGGTACTCTGGCTTTGACCGCCCCATATGCTGTTATATGGTTCAGCATCCAATCTCAAATTACAGATTATCCTAACTTTAATTCCAGGCATGTGTCTGAAATCAGGAATTACTGAAAAATATCTTCTTAATCTTTCAAGAATTTCTGCAATCTTTGCATCCATCACCCTTAATGTTGGCTTTACTGACTCGATCTTTCTCGAGTCTGGCAAAACCTGGAGTTCTTGAATGCTATCTGGCTCAACTTCATCTACCTGAATTTTGCTTTCAATAAAGCTATAACCATCATTTCCAACACCTACAGATGGTAGAGACAGCGACCATGACTGTTTCACGAGCAGGGGCATGACCCGTTCAAGATGAGTATAGGATGAAAGGTTCCTAGATTTGCTAGGATCATGACGAAAGCGAGGACTTTGGACACTGAAGAATGTAGATGAATGAGTTGATGGAGAGACGGTATCTGCAGGTTTCAATATGTTCTTCATTCTCCGTCCTGGTATACAGACCAGCATCCTCAGATATATCCTGCAATGCACCAGTTTAAGAGGTTGAGTTAATGCAATCAGGATTCACAAAATGTGGAAGATCTGTTTAGTGGTATGCCATGCTCATACCTAGCATTGTCTCGGACCTCCAGATCAGGGAAATAGAGACACATGAGAGAAAAAAGGCGAGAGAGTCCAAGAAATAATCTAGAGCTCTTATGGTGACTCAACAGTGTTCGACAAATGCCAAGAACTTCAGTCCCTTGATCCCACGATTTCAATTCCACATCAAACCCGCGCTTATCAACAAGTGTAACGACGAACTTGGTAAGCAACTCTATCAAACGAGGAGGAGGTATTGTATCATTCTCTGCAATCCGGTGGAAAAGCGGGAAGTAAGCTGTTAATAAGTTATTCTTCTCTAGCTTCGGAAGCAGTTTCTCATCAATCGTCTGAAGAAACCGCTCTCCTAGCCACTGATGCTTTTGACAGTTTATCAACCGCTCAATAAAAGCCACAATAACAGGGACCAGAATTTGATAATCCGAAGTCATGTCCACAAGCAACTCCTGAATAAAATATAGACGACAATCAAATTGAAGGAAATGTCCCTGAAGCTCAGCAAATAAGTTGAATCCAGGATAAAAGTTATATACAGCTAAAAAAGGCTACATAAGTATTGTTCCTTTTTCGAAAATAGGGAAAGGGAAAGCGAACCATCGTCAAGCGAGACCAAGAAGCAAGCAAAGATAGCAACAGACCTGTAAGTCTTGGAAGAGGCTAGACTCCATAAGGCCTCTAGTGGTGGAAGGGTCAGAGTCGGAATGTGAAGATGCAGATATCAGAAACTTGTGTAAAGTACGGAATGCTATCGCAGTTTCTGAGCTCCAAGGAGGCAACCATTTGAAATCCGAAACCGAAACCAAGCATTTCTGCAACAACTCTCCAGCAGATTTCCTGTTATCACCTCCACTCAAAGCGTTGGAACGAACGGAGCATTGTACCAGCAGATCAAGCTTCAACGCTTTCAAAGCGAGCGGATCAAAAACAAAAGGATGAAACTTCTGACCCATCTCGAGAACCGATTTCCTCTTCTCAAGCTCCCCACTCAACACAGGCTTACTCAACAAACCCATCAGCCAGTGAAGCGCAAGCAAGCGGAAAACAAGATATATCTGAGTCTCCTTGGAGAGAAGCATTAGACGTCTCATGATCTCTTTCTCTTGTCCCTCAAACGCATCAGGGAACTGAGAATACATGAGCAAGACAACATGACAGAGCATCGGATCAAACGAATAAATCATCCCCAAGAACTGAACTTTCAACATAGAGGCCTGTAACTCCAACGCCGACGCAAGTGGCACTACCATTCCCATAAACTCCATCATAGCACAAGACGTGAACAAATACGGCGATTCCAACATGAAAGCCAGTGTTCGTCTTAGCTCCTTCTGATCTGGCCCCAACCCCTGACTTTGATCCGAAATCGAACTCTGATCACGCATCCAAACGGGAGCATTGAAAGGCACCAAAGGCACAGAGGTACTAATAAGCGAAACCCTCAGCTTCTGATTGACCACGTTGTAGACAACTGTGGTGAACAAGAGAAGGTAAGCTTGCACGGCGTGAGTTCTCTCCGCTTGGCACAGAGACCAAAGATGACCAGCGACATCGGAGAGCAAACCAGGAAAGGCTCTCTCGAGCTGGCGTAAGCACTCACACGCGATGGCGCGAGCTTGTCGGTCAAACCCGTGGTTGGGACGATTAACGAGCGCGAGCAGCAAGTCGACCACTGCTTCAACGTGACGTACGGAGAAAGAATCAATCGACACCAGCACCGACGTGAAAGAGATCATAGCCTGCTCTTTCAATCCGGACGATCCATCTGTCGGAGACTGCACGATCGCACGAAGAGCATCGATGAAGCGATCAAAGGTCTCGCCACCACATTTCTCGAACAAAATCACGGAAAATTCGTCTAGAAAGACGAGGATCGAGAGCTTCACTGGCAAAGGAAATTCCTTCTTCAGGAGAGAGGAGAGAGCGAAGTCCACCAGAGAATCAATGGAGAAGACGGCGGTGAACCAGTCGCGAGGAGCGCCGGCGTCTTGGAAATCGTCGATAAGAACGTCCCAGTCCTGGACAGAGAGAGGTCTCACCGGATTCTTCTCCGGAGACGACGTCGTCGTCATCCTCCGATCGAATTTAGGATTTGAATCTGTAGAGAAAGAAAAATCCAAGTCATTTAGAGAGAAGATAACACAAGTCGCCGGCAGTAAGTAGCAGTCGGAGAAACAGAACAAATCAGAAGCTGACTCATTTATCAATTTTCCATATTTAAATTTAAATTATCTTTTTTTCTCCCTATAATATTTATTATTGTGCAAAAAATGCTTCTGTAGTGATTTATACAATTTCGTTTCCACAATTTACATTATGAATTAGATTTTAGATATTTTATTCAATTTATATAATTTATTAAAATTAGTGGGTTTTGGAGATTACAAATCAGCTGTGTTATTTATATTACTAAGAAAATGCGCCAAAACGCCGTTTTGAACAGCGACGGCGTTTTAGACTCTGGTAGTATGGTCATCAGGTTTCTGGCCACCAGCAACGCTAGTTGAAGAGCTGTTGTCTCGGACGCTCGGAGAAGATGAACATTTGCTAGAATGAGAACTCTCTTCTACGGAATTGTTGTTGCTGTTTCTCTTACATCTCTTCGTCTTCTCTGGCCTTTGCAATGAATCCTACAATTACATACAGTTTCGTTAACAAATCCGAGACATATCTAGCTTCTCAATGATCACAGGTTCTTTATCCAATAACCTTATCAGAAGTAGATCCAGGAGTTTTCAACTCGAGCTGCGTTGCAACGTCATTAGAGTCCTCTGCTTTCTCGGACCTGCTCTCTCTTGAAACCTTTGCTCTAGGTTCCCGAGGACGGCTCTGAGGTGGTATGTGCACGGATTGTTGTTCAATGACTGTATTAGGAGGAGGCATGTAAGGCATGTATGTAGGACACGGAGCTGGCATCATGCTAGGGTTCTGGTTTCCAAAGTAAGTGTAAGAAGGCATTGATGGATGATGATGCATTGGGATTGACCCTGGAGGCATAGCCATAGGCATTGGGTATGGAAAAGACGGTGGTGGAGCCATCATGACTGTGTGGTCCATCGCAGCGCCCCATGGAGACATTGACCTTAGTCTTTGCTGGTATTGGAGATTGAGATTCTCTATATCTGACTTCAACGATGTCTTCTCTTCTCTCAAATCGTTCTTCTCTTGCGTCAACTACAAAAGGACCCATTTTTATAAAGCACAAGTAATTGTTGCTAGTGATAAGACAAAGAGGAAAGGACAGATAAGAACCTCGCGGGACTCATCTGTCAAAGCTGTGTAGTCAGATTTCAGTTTGTTGACTTCTGATGAGAGCTCTTTTAGCAGCTGAACAGTATCTGTTAGGATTGTTGCTTTGTCATTCTTAGGTCTCTCTGGATCTGTTATACAGAAGAGGTACATGTGAGAGAATGTAAGTTTGGATCATGTAATGTTTAAATTATCATTAAAGGTTGGATCTTTACCGAGTACATTTCCAAGTTCAACAAAATGCTCATTCAGTTTTTCTCTCCTCAACTTCTCTCGGCCTGCTTTTTGGGACTTTCTAGCAGAAACGTCCATGACCTTCTCTGAAAACTACAAAATCAAAGCCAAATTGCAGTAAGATAACTCTGAGAATTCAAATCCACCATAGCAGCAGATCAAGGGCACATGATCACACGTTGTTGGCTCACAAGTCACAACTGACTTTTATAAATGATTTCTCTTCTCGCCAGCTAAACTATCTACTTATCATCTCTCGAAACATAAGAGTCCTAATTAAGCCCCTTAGAGCTGTTTCTCACATCTGATGATTGATTGATTTTGAATTACTTGAGCCTATCTGATTCTTGTAATTGTAAACTAAGCATCCTAGATTTTTACAGATGAACTAATTGCAAACAAATCTACATTCTTGTTAAACCGGATTAGGCATTAACATGTACCAAGCATCATAACTTTAAAAACTTATACTACAACGTTTTTGAAGAAAGGACCTTCACAGAAAAAAAGGAATCTTCAATTAGTCATCATCAGAGATTGACAAACTTACTACACTTTCATGAACTAGAGCTACTTCAAACCTAAAAGCACCCTCAAAATTGAAATAATTCCTTTAATTTAAGAAGCACCTAGCTCGATTCTGATCGAAACCCTAAGGAGGACGAATTGCGGTCAACTGAAGAAAACAAAAGCAGGTATTGAAGAAAGAAACTCACCGGCGGGACGAATCGACGGCGATGCTGACGGCGAGATTCGCCGAGATAAGACAATACAAGTTTCGGTGAAGAAAGATTCTCGTTCTAGCCCCCTCTCTCTCTCTGCTCACAAGCAATTGCATTATGCCATTTTCTCTTATCTCTTTTTCTTCAATTATTTTTTAACATTTTCTTTTTATTTAATTCATCCTTTACTCACATTTATTTTTATTTCTTTTCCATGACATTTAATAATGAGTTTTCAACTTCGCCAGCAAAGTTTGTTTTCTGCCAATTTTTGCTTTTATCAAAGTAGACCATAGTTATGAAATCTTACAAGACATGTATTTGATAACTTACACAAACAGCCTAATAGCTTAAGCACAAACCAATAAAGAAAAAGAGAGGAAAAAAACGATAAAGCACAGATCCGAAAAGCGGATTTGAGTGGGTTTCTTCATCTTCCTCTTCACTCAGTCATCATCGGTGGCATCGCAGAGAGGACTTTCTGTATGATGCTCTTAAGTGCCGCCGCGCTAACAGAGCACTTGTTATCCTCAAAGCACGACTTACCTTGTTCGGCTGCTTTGCAAAGCTGCGGATCCAACGGAACTTTCCCAAGAAACGGCACTCCCATTTCCCTACACATCCTCTCCGCACCGCCTCCGCTGCTGTCAAACACATCGCTGCAAACCACAACGTCGAGAAGCTCCGGCGAGTTCTTCCTTATCAAAGCAATCACGGCTTCCGTCACGTCGATGGAGGAGCTCATGAACTTGACATCCTTCAACGGCTGAGACAAACCGCTCATGTTCTCTACTACTCCAAGCACAGGAACTCCAACTTTCTTGCAGAAGCTCACTTCTTTCCTGACATCGATCAACGAGACTTCCTGTGGGGTAGTGACGATGATCGCGCCGTCGATCCCCGTTTCCTGGAGGTACTGGACAATGGAGATGTGCTCGTCGGAAGTTCCCGGCGGGGCATCGACCACGAGGTAATCAATCTCTCCCCAGTAGACGTCTTTCAAGAACTGTTTGATGAGAGCGTTCTTTCGCGGACCTCTCCATACCACAGCGTCGTCAGGGTTTGGGAGCATGAAGCCTATGGACATAACGCCGAGATTGTCTTCCACATAGACCGGAGACCACCCGAGGTTGCTCTGGTGAATCTCGTGCCCTTCAAGGCCTAGCATTTTCGGCATGCTCGGACCGCATATGTCTATGTCCATCAGGCCTACTTGATGGTCCATTCCCGCGAGGGCAAACGAGAGCTGAGCTGAGAATGTGCTCTTGCCAACTCCGCCTTTGCCTGACAAAATTAGAATCTTGTGTTTCACAGTGCTCATTCTCTCTGCTATGCCTACCAAATCTGGAAGAAAACAGAATATGTCAGCACAAATGCTCCTCCTGTATATGCTGAACAAAGTCACCAAGTGGGTCTAAGACTAAAAACACACATGGAGATCAAGTATCAAACAAGTTCTTGGTGTAATCGTCACAGGGTAAAGAAAGATATATCTTCACATATCAGAGAAATAAGACACTATGATCGATTCTAGAGTTCCAAATCGTATATACAAATCAATAGACTTCCAAATAACAAACTGATTCAGAAGCAATCGAAACAACAAGAATCTAATTCACGTGTAATCGAAGGAATAATGGTAGAGAGAGTAAAGGGGGAAAAAATCGAACCTGGGTCAGGTCCCTTAGGAGCAGTGGCACAGACTTCCTGATTTGGGCAGCCTGCGCAAGAATCTGACTTTCCAGCAGTTTCCGATTGAGGACCTGGGCAATCTATTCACCAGAAACAAAGGAACAGTAAGAAATTAGGTTTAAACAACAAAGGAAACAGCTGACGAGAAGCTGAAAAAGATTGAATTGATTTTGCTTACGTTCATTGGCGTTCTCTGGAATATCTCCGTTCTCCATGTCGACTTGTGATTTCTTTGATTGGTTCCTGACAAATCGTCTTCCCCGCCGTTTATATTTGGAAAAACTCGCTAATGGCGGTGATGGTTTAGATTCTAGAAGACGAAGACGACGGCGACGACGCGTAGGGAAATATTTTGAACAAAGCCCATTGTATTTAATTATCTATTCATTCTCATGGGCCTTATCGACCCATTTAAATATGTTCATTATTTTTCTTAGGGTTTATAATCCTAGTGGTTCCAAGAACATTTTTTGTCAAAAAACAAGAAAAAGTGTTTTTAAACCCGGAACGACCCGGTGGTCGAACCGGGTTCAACCATGAACCGGAAGCATCTCCAGGTTGGGTTACTACTAAAACTCATAGATAGTTAGACCGGTTAAAAACCCAGATTCGACCAACAAAAAATTAAAAACCGGTGACCCATTGAACCGTATTGAACCCGGTATTCTAATTAAACAATAAATTTTCTATTTTATTTCATAATTTTTAACCTTTTCAGAATGTTTTGTTAAAGAATATTTTCAAATATTATGAATTTTAAATAATTTATTTGATATTTAAAATTTATATATATTTCTATACTGTTTAAATATCATAGATATATTCATATATAAAATTTTATATATTATTTTTAAAAATCATCGAACCAGGTTGAACCGGTCGAACCATATTAACCCATGACTCAAAACATTTCCGGTTCGGTCACCGGTCCAGTTTTAAAAACACTGAGAAAAATTGACATTTTGTTCATATGGTTTACCTGTTTGACCACTCTTCTTCTGTTTTTTTTTTTTTTTGTGGTAAAATACCATTTTCTTCTTAATGTTGATTTCTTGTTAGATCCATAATTTTCTCTGATGATCTCTTCTTTATGGAGTTTGCCTCCCTCCCAAAATTTCTGTTTTGTTTGAGTGATGTTATTGTAGGGTGTTGGAGTTCAAAATTGTCAAACATTATGTGTTTTGTAGGCTTAGTAGCTTGGTGTTTTGTCACTAGTTCATTAGGATTGTTAAACTTGCACTCAATACGTTTTCAATGTCCAGTTTAAGATTATTAGATGTATCATACAATTTTTATGGCCCCATTTCGCTTGAACCACCAAAACCGAAGAGGAACATGATGTTGTTGTTTTTATTTGACTTAATCCAAGATATTGTTGTTTCTATTTCTGCTTTGTTTAGTGCGGTGATTTTAGCCAGTTTGGATTTGTTGTTCTTTGTTTGGAACAATTTTTTGCTTTGATGAAGAGTAATCATGAATGAAAAAGTTAATTCATCCAAACAAACTATAATTTTCTTGGATTCGAAACCGAAACAGGTTAAATCCTTTCTAAATGGCGGCTATTCGAAATTGTAATCTTGAATACTCTCTTCCTCTTAGATGGACGGACAACTAGTGTAAACAAGTAATCAAAGAGTGGTGATGAATATTTTCTGTTTCATATATCGTCGTTATCAAATACATGGCTGGATTTGGATAATGATGCAAAATACGAAGTCGAATCTATTCACAAACGCAAGAGTCATACTCATAACCCTACACATTCACATGCAATGAAAGTGAAACTCCCAACTTTGCAAGCAACTATATTATTTTACAATTAAAAGAAGAAGCAAACTCTTGAAATTAAATTGAATTTGGAAAGTGGTATTACAGACTTTTATAATAAAAGGCCAAGAAAGGGGGAATATTTAAAATTCACATAAAAACAAAGGGGACGCACTCATATATTTTGTGTATGTGTGTATAAAACAGCATATAAATACATAAATTTTATAATACTACTTGAGTAGCATAGTCCTTTTGCAATGGACAAGTCAGAAATGAATTCATGAAGCATCCTTTTCTATGGTGGATAAAATATACTTGAAATTCAGTTTTAACCCATAGTTCCCTACTGGGCAATTCAGATGTCAGTAGAGTTACAAAAGAAATGTGAAATAATCAACATACATATATGATATATTCAGATTTAAAAGAGTCTCATTCTGATCAATGAGCATAAAGGAATCAATCTTGCACCTGGTGTCGCAAGTGTCTCGCAAACCGCAAGCACCTGGTTTTCACGTTTCTGGTTTTATTGTTTTGGACTAATCTCTGATTAATTCATATAAGTATAACACATAGTCTTTTCTTACAAATCTTAGGAAAGTTGATCTCTCCTCCTAGACTATCCACATAGCACAAAAATAATTAAATTATATTTAAAATATTTAATAGATACATGACTATTCATATTTCTTTACATTTATTCAAATTTTAAATATATATAAAACTAAGAAAAATACACAAATAAATCAATTAATTAATATAAAGTATATGATAGCTTGATGTTAAAAGTTATCAAAGTTGGAATATAAAATGGAGATGAATTAAAGAAATATTTTACTTGAAATAGTATATATTTACCTTTTTATTCAAAAGATTTATCCTATTTAAAAATGTTATAATGTTTTTACAAGTTAAAAAGTTGAATATAAATTAATTAAGATAATAGAAAGCTAATGAGAATTAGAATTAGAGTTTTTTTTAAAATAAATAGAAGTCGAGTTTTTATATGTAAATTTAATTGCACTGAAAAACATGAAAATTTTAAGATTGTAATATGTTTGTTTTAAAAATATAATTTATATTTACAAAACTAACATAAAAGAAAATAATCAATGGTCATGGCTCAATGTTACCACAACAGTATATATATAAAAAAGTATACATTTTATTTCGAGTGCAAATATGATTTTACATTATGTTTACAAATTTTAATATTGAATCAAATGCATATGCATGTTTATAGTCTAACAGAAGTAAACAAACATAATATTTATAACTTTCGAAAATTTTAGAAATAGAAAACTCGAAATAAAGTGAGATGTTACATTCCTAATAAAAGTAAATAAAAAACAAATTGTTCATATTTTTTAGTGTTAGTAGTTGGATTAATCAAAATATAACAAAAACATGAAAGTTAACACAAAATAGAAAAAATATCGCGAACAACCCCGCACTTGCGCGGAGCTTCAAACCTAGTAATATTTAAATCAGCTACGTACACAGCCTAGACTCTGTGAAACCATTTTCTCTGACAACACCTCGCCATATCGATTTGTGCACTGCACACTAAAATACATATGGATTTCAAAATAAATATGGGTTCAATGCAGTTTATAATTTTTCTTTAAGTTCTAAGTTAAAAGCACTGTAAAAATAAGGTTATTTGATGAAAAAATGGTAATTCCATTTGAACCAAGCCGATAGGGCTAAGTTTTGTTTCAAACTTGAACTTAAACTAAACCGAAAACTATACTGAAAATGATGTTTGATTTTATCTATACTTCTGTATATTTATATTTTTTATAATGAATGTACTCAACAATAGATTATGGAAATATAATTTCTCAAAGCGGATCGACACTAACGTATTACATTTTCACGAGCTTGTCTTAGATGTAGTATTTTCTCCAAGAATATGCATTTACGAATTTTAAATTAGATGATGACACATTAACAACATTACTAATACTGTTACTATTACTATATAAAAAAAACATTACTATAAACACATTAGATGATGACACATTAACAACATTACTATTACTATTTCTATCAAAAAAAAAAAAAAAAAACATTACTATAAACTACTATGCTACATGTTGGTCCGATGTTTCTACTTCTACGACTCATTTCTCGTTTCTAAGTTTATAACACAATTTAATTTTGTATAATTCTATAAAGAAATATTTATAAAAAAGTATATTAATACAGAAATAAAGACGCCAAAAAAAGATATATAAGACGCCGTTTCCATGTGATAACCATTATTGCTCTCTCTCAACAATCCAAAAGGAGAAACAAAAGAAGAACAAGAAAGCTCACAAGAAGAGCCACTAATTGAGCTTCATTCATCATCAAATGCAAAACAAGTTAATGCAATGTCTCCTCTCTGTGATCTTCAAATCAATCTCAGTCACGAATTCATTTTCTTCGTCAATCAGGTAATAATAAACCAACTCAAATCTTCACACTCTAATTCAAACCTATAATTTGAATTAAACTCTGTCTCTCTGTTTTTATATGTGATATTAGGATTTGATGTCAGAGTACTCAGGGTTCTTGAGGAAGATGATAAAACAGAGCAACAAGAAGAAGAAGAATCACAAGAACAGCAGAATCATTCTCCATATCCAAGATTTTCCTGGTGGACCACATGGGTTCGACTTGGTTTCGAGGTTCTGTTACAGTAATGGCGGAGGAATCACGATCGATGTCTCAAACGTCTCCATCTTGCATTGCGCTTCTATCTTCCTCGAGATGACAGAGAAGCTCTGTTCCTCGAATCTCTTGCTTCAAACAGAGAAATTTCTTCAAGGAATGTTCTACTGGTCTTGGAACGACGTCGTTTCTTGCCTCAAGAGCTGCGAACAAGTGTTCCTCCACGCAGACTCGTGCGGTCTTGTTGATAAGCTCGTCTTCGGGGTCTTAGCCAAAATCGCTCAGAACTCTGATATGAGTCAAGTCTTTGCCTCGTCCTCCACGTCTTCCTCTGCCTCCGCCTCATCTATGTCTCCGGAGACGGCAAAGAATAGGTCTGATTCAGACAAACGGTCTACTTCGAGATCGTTTTCTTGCAGGACAAGCAACGAGTGGTGGTTCGACGATGTGTCAATTCTCGGGCCAAAGATCATCGAAAAGCTTATCAAGAACATCGGAGCTTATGATAAGAACAATGACAGTTTAGTCCTAACAAGATTCCTCCTCCATTATCTCAAGACAAAGGTCCATCACAAATCAAACAACAAGCTCGAGTATGCATGTTTAGCTGATACAGCGGTTCAAGGAGTGATTTTGGCGGCGAGAAACGCGTTCTCATGCAGGAAAATCTTCTGGGTTCTTAGGGTTTTATCAGGATTTAGCATCAGCAAAGAATCAAGAACTGGTTTGGAGAGAGTTATAGGAGAAATGGTGGATCAAGCAACACTTGATGATCTTCTGATACCTACAGGAGGGAAAAGAGAAAAAGGGTTTTATGATGTGGATTTGGTGATAAGATTGCTCAAAGTGTTTGTGAGAAATTGCAATACAGAAGAAGATTACAACTTGAAAATGAGAAGAATAGGGAAGTTGATTGATAAGTATTTGAGAGAGATATCTCCGGACCAGAATCTCAAAGTGTCAAAGTTTCTTCAAGTTGCAGAGAGTTTGCCAGATTCAGCTAGAGATTGGTTTGATGGATTATTCAGAGCCATCGATATCTATCTTGAGGTCAGTTTTCTTTTTTTCTTTTTTTATTCAATACATTTCTGACTTTTCTTCTGTGTTTTTTGTTTTTGTTTTTGTGTCTGAAATTTTTGTCCACATAATTGCATGTTCATGGAGATATTGGAAAATAATAAAAAAAACTTTGCATAAAATGAGACAAAAAAGAGAGAAACTAAAACTAACTAGAGTGAAATAGAAGATGACAAGAAGCATACAATTTTATATATAGTTTGGCTTTTTACAGTTATCAAGAGATGAAAGAGCTTAACTTATCTTTTTGTCTTTCTTTTTTATTTGGGATATCTAAAGATTCGAAAATCTGAGATTGCATTGCAATATATGTGCATACAACATAATACATCCATACACGTGGAACTAAACGTAGTGACCTTTGTTGGCATATTCTTTAATAATGTCTTAAAGTGGAAATACAGTATATACAGAATATAGGATTTTCAAACCATCATCATTTGCATTCGGATTTCTATTGACTAGTAAAAAATATGTTGTCTACATCTTAAGAATACAATTTGGTTTCTTTTCTATCAAACATTAACTTGAAAATGTAAACACAAATTGTTTTTTTTTTTCATGTTTGCGTTAGCAATTCTGAAAGATGTTTAACAAAAAATAAATGCAAAGATGCTGATTAATAACATTTAATATGTTATGTGTTTCTTTTTTCAAAAGTAAATAAATTAATACAAAGATATAATAATGTTAACCTAAAATCCAGCTAAAATGGACCAAAAAGTACTAGTTACTGTATTATATATTGTGTCCTAGTTACTGCATCATGTCAGAATCTGACTATGTTGTCTGTCTTTTGTTTGACTAATTATTATTAGTAAGTTTCTAAATAATAAGAACAAGATTAATCTCACGTGAATACTAGCTAGCTAGATAGTACTTGTTAGGTTTTTTACTATATAATCGCTTTGCTTATTCAAAATATTCTGAAGTGTTTACACAATTACACCTTAATTCAATGTTTATGCTATTGTTATTTTGCAGTCTCATCCAAATCTATCAACCGAAGATAGAACAAAGCTATGTCGATGTTTAAACTACAAGAAACTAACATTGGAGACATGCAAACAACTTGCAAAAAATCCCAAGATCCCTCCAAATATCGCAGTTCAAGCACTCAAGTCACAACAGTTATCAAATGAAACTCCACCAAGCTCAAGAGAAGACAAGTTTAAACAAAACAAGATCAGGAACTCGCGCAAGTACGTAGAAGAGAAACCAATACTGCTGTGTTTGAAAGGATTTGAGATGTCGGAGAAGTCATTTGACGGGGCTGAGGATGATCTAAGGAAGCATTGGAGAGTGAGTGATAATTCTGAAAAAGTTTGTAAGGAAAAGAAGAGTGAAGTCGTGTCAAGATTGGTGAGACATGGACATACATACTCAACTTCTACTTTTCCAAGGCTTTGCTAATTAACTACTTCACTATATATATTTTTTGTTTCTTTATAATATATATAAGATTGAGGTCTTCATATATAATCATCACATATTCACGTCTCAATCATGTATAGTGTAAGCTTTTCCATGCAAAAGAGATTGTAGTTTTAAGAATGCAGATTGTTCTATCCTTTTGGACAGGAATAAAAAAAAGATATTTCTTTACATACCGTGGAGTTTTGGTCATTTGGACCATGATTGTTTCCTAGTTCCTACGTACCAGAGAGAAAAAAGTTCATTTTCTTTAGAAAAAAAAAAACAGTTATATTAGACTGTGCTTAAACAACATTCGTATTACTCTTAGGCTCCGACTTGTGACCACTTTAGCTTAAGCTTTAATTTTGGATTTTCCGGTTATATACATAGAAAACAAATAGAAATCCGCAAGGTTTTTTTTTTTTGCTAAAACAAATCCGCAAGGTTGGGGTTACAAAATCATGACATTGAGGTGCATAATCTACAAAGCAATTCAAAATCAAATCACGGGAGAGATAGTTCTTGGCTATATACGTCACATGCTCCACCTGATTTGACATTCTTGAAAATGAGGTTCACGAATGAATATTGAGATTAGACCACAACATAGGCTGAAACTGTCATATCTCAAGTCCTAACTTTGCCCACTTTTGTGCATGTTACTTAAAATGTACTGCACCGAATCTTATATTTCTGCTGTCACGCAAATAATCGCTTCACCATATAGACCAAATTGTATCACAGGGGACCCTTAAAATTTCTCAAGATTGATATCTAAAAGTCGTATATTTTGGATTTAGCTTTAGTATTTTTAAAAATTATCTGTTGACAACAATAATTTTGTTTTTATTAGTTAACCAAGTAAAAATCAAACAACGAAGAAACCACCAAGACTATTGTTACAGTTTTAACAGTGAAACCAAGACAGGATATTGTTACAGTTCTAAGTTCTAACAGTGAAAAAGCTCACTCTGAAGAAGATTGTAAAAAGCAAGCTCAAAGATGCATCAGAAGAAGTCACCTTTGGTTTGCTGTTCTGTTAAAGTACACAAAGCTGATCGATGAATGAGAAATCAAAAGAGCTTTCACATATAATCGAGCTTTTGAGTCTTCTAACTATCAACCGAGAGACATGGCATTTCATCGGTTTTTAGGTCTTGTAATCTCTTCTTTTTGATGGCTTTCTTGTTTCTGTTTCCTCACAATATCATCAGCATATCGTCGCCATAAGACCTCCCTATCATTTCTGGGCATCTTGCTGTATCGTATATCGGGTTTGAGTACTTCTTTAGCTGTTGACCACGAATTAAGCACCGTCTTTGCCTCTTCCGTCTGTTGAGAAGCAGCTTCCGACGATAAGACTTCAATTACAAGAGCTTTAAAGTCTTTGGCACACCGCTGCAGAAACACAGGAAGAAACTATTTAGATGAAATACACAAACAAAGTCCTCAAAAAGACCAGTTTGTTCTCATCTTGTTGCAGAAAATGCTGAGAGTTTTTTAATTCGGTGAGGTTTACAGATGAGTAGTAGTATAGGTACCTCATACAATGTCTTGATGTGGTCTCGGAATAGCTTCTCTTTATCAGCAGGATCCAAGTCTGGATTAGAGGCACGTTTTTGAGGATCCCTTTCAAGTTTCGGCTTAGATTCTGTCCAGGATGCCTTCAGATGTTTAACAAAGAAATAGTGACTGATCAGAATCCCCACAGATTAAGGAAGCCAACCTAACTTTTTAGAATCGAAGAGCAAGGAAACTACAATCTAACTCTATCTAATCGTTAACAATTTAACATGTTTCAATAGAGGATCAAATGTACTCTAGCTGTGCAGCCCTATGAATGTTTTAGCGAAAGCACAAATAGAAATACCTCAGGGTCTCTGATCTTTTCCACTAGCAAAGCTTGATAAGAGGCAACTGCTTCTTTCCTTCTAATTTTTTGTCGTACTCTTTCCACCTCTTGTACTTCTCTTTCTTTCCGTTTCCGCAACTCCCGCTCTCGTTCTCTTAGTTTATCCTATACCCAAAAATCACAAAGAGGTAAATACATATATGTATTGTTGGTTTTCCCGCCTTTAGGATGGACAGAATATCATCATTTTTCATTCTGGATTCCAGAAACTCAAACAAAAGACTGCAGCAGCAAATAAACGCAAACTCTATCGTTCCCTATTTTGCAATTTGTTTCTTCCTGCACCACTAGCATGCAGAGAATTTTGACTACGAGAACATTTAATAATATCATGCCAGCAAACATGGAATGCGTGAACAGAAGACTACGAGAACTTTTGTAGAAGTTTCTTGCAGCATATAGAAAATTAAATTACCTCTTCGTCTCTGGCTTTCATCTCAAGATCATCTCCCCTTTGTGCAGCTTTTACTTCCGCAATGTACTCATTAAAGAAGACCTCCCTGTCCTCGTGCGCAGCAGATCTATACCTTGGATCATTTCTCAGGCTATCCTTCACCTAATATAGCAGGAGAGGAAAACAAATATCATATAGGTAGGTTGTGGTAGTATGCTAATTCTCTAAATATTGTGCCAATTAAGGGATACTTCGATAATAAAATAAGACAAATATAATACTAGAATATGATCAATTCTTCAGATGGCAGAAGTTCCTGAAAACTTAAGAATTATTCCATACTCTATATTTTTCTTGCTCGAATAGGAAAGAAACACTTATGTCACCTACCTTGGACCAATGTGAATATATTGACACTTCTCTTTCACGTAGCATTGTCTTGAAATCAGAGGCCGCAGCTTTGCGGATTTCTTGCGCCTTTTGTTCAGCAGTCCGTTTAAAAGAAAGGATCCTACAACAAAAATACGGAAAATATAGCACTCAGAGATCCACATGAAGAAAGAAGAATCATCCAGTGTGAACTTTAAGACTATAAGCAAATTTTGTAGCATACATAGAAATTGATTGCAAATTATAGATTGGTGGTACCTTTCTTTCAGCAAAGCTTCTCTCTCCTTCCGCTCAAGTGCTTCAAACCGCGGATCATTCCCCCATTTCCTTTTAAAAGCATGATAATCAGTGTGTTGATCAATGTCCTGACAAAAATATCAGGAGTAAATTCCCATTAGAGACATACAGGTTGAGAACATCAAAACTAAATAATAAAGATGTCTACATAAAGTAGCTCAAAGTAAAAAGGAACTCAGTTCATTAAAATAATATACCTTAGATGCCTCGTCCAGCAACTGCCTGAAACCTTCAACAGCTGCCTTATGAGCAGCACGCTTTTCCCTACGTTCTTCCTCAGCGCGCGTCTTTACGTACTGCTCAAATAAAGATCTTCTAACAGAATGGCTTGGTATTGCCTGCAAGAAAAACTAAATCTCATTTAGAAAACGGTGTGAGGGTCAAAATATCAAAATAATGTTATGATCTTTAAGATTGACAGACCTTAAACCGAGGGTCAAAGATAATTTTTGGCAGTTCATTATCCCATTTAGAAAACGGTGCTATTTCTCTTTCCTTAAGCATTTCCTGCAAATAAGAAACCGGATATTAAATGACTAGTCAAAATAACCTAGAAAATAAACATCAACCTGAATAATTTCAAGGTTTCCAAAACTGAAATTATCCACTAGAAGTTGGCACCAATATCAATGGTACTTAAACATGCAAAGTATTCACGACATTCCACTATTCTAACAAGAGCCATTAACAAGATCTACTCTTCTCTGGACTGCCTTAAATTAGGTGCTTTTTATTTGGGTGCACAACCTTAAATTATATGCATCTGGCTAAATTTAAAGCAGAAAGAAAAACATGAGAACAAAATCTATAACAAACCCTAGGTCGAAAAGGACTGAAAAGAAGAAAACGAGAAATTTTGATAGGTGCGGACTACGAAATACCTTAAACAGTTTGATACACTCTTCCTTCGATGGTCCACTATCTTCATCTTCGGAATCTGAAGAAGAATCGGAATGATCACCATCTCCAGGAGCATCTTTTACCTTGCCAATACCATTTCCACTTTCTCCACTAGGTGTGACCTCAATTGCTTTACCACCGTTTGCTTCAGATGTTGTCGTAGTTGAGACAGGCACTCCAGAATCATGTAGTTTCTTCTTAACCAAATCCAGCGCTGAGGGCCCAGGAATATTTGTAGTTCTGAGAGATGTGGCATCCCGACCACCATTGCTGATAGCAGGTGCGTTCAAACTTAATTGATCAGAACCCTTTTCATTTAAATTCGCAATTGGAGCAGAAGCTATACTCTCCATAGACCCCTCCTCTGTTTTCTTCACCAAATCTTTCACCTCAGCCGGAATCTGCCAGCTGCTTACCTGATCCAAGAGATTGAAGGATTCAAGCCTAACAGAAAAATATAGAGTGACAAGACACTAGTTCCAAAGCCAATAAAATGTTGCCTCCCCTTTACATTTATTTACCTTTGTTTTATTGTTGTAGTAATACTTTTTGCCATCATTTGTGGACACAAGAACCCAATCCGTCCCGTGTAAATTCTCCCTACATTTGGTACAGGTTAGCAGGCTGAATGTGATGCAACAAAATAAAAAGATAGATATGAAATTGTTGGCGGCCTAGTAGAAGATTCATACACAAGATATATAACAATATATTGTCTCATGCAGAACAATCTAAACTATATCTTTAAAAATATGACAACTAATTTTATAAGAGAAAGTTATGATCGCAATCTGTATCTTTAACCAAGCTAAATTGCATCTTTAGAAATAGGACAACTTACATAGAAACAGGAATTGGCTGCACCGGTACTTTATCAGGCTGCAGAAATTAAGCAAAAAGTAAAGATTACAAATTGCTCAAATATTCTAAAAAGGACTAGGGCAACATGTATACACTGTGCATACATTATCAAGGTATACTCAGACAAATATCCTCCTTAAGTTTTTTCACTAGCATCAAATGGCAAGCAGCCAACATTTACCGTGAATTACTTAAGGTGGATGGTGTAACCGTTCATCTGCTCTTACAACAAGTTCACTGTAATAAAATAACTTGACAAACTTAAGCAACTATGCAAGTAATAGTATTCAAGTTCAACTATTGCATAATTTTATATAAAACTAATTTGGATACCAACTAAGGATTGCAATCCTAAATTAAGGCACGGAAATTAGAGTACAAATTTTTTTAAACGAACACTGAAAACCATTGTTCGGCAGCTAATATATGGCATCGAGGAGACTAGGACTCTAAATATTGAATCACATCTGACATTTTATAACTTGGGGCTCAAATCAAATATAACAAAAATGCAAATATCTATTATAGAACTCCTAAGTGACATGTCGTGAAGCAAATTAGATCATATGATACCGTACTGAATAGACGTAGTCTCAACCAACAAAAAAATGCCATGTAAATCAGCTGTACCCACCTGCCCTTCAAAACCAGGAGGCTTTTCATAGGTCGATTGCCCTGTCGCCGAATTGTAATAGTAAACAACTCCGGTTTCTGATTTATGTGCAGTCCAGGCATCTACCCGATTTCCTACTAGCTGAGAACCAGCTCTGTCATCTGCAACATACAAGATGATCCTGATAAAGAGTATGTAAACAGAATCGAATAACCATTAAGGTCAAACAGATCTTACATGGATCAGTAATCTATCATGAAACCTCGAGCATACCGATTCCTACGAGTGCTTCTGTCTTTTGTCCGGGAGAAATATCAAGCTGATGACCTGGTAACGCCTGAATAGTGCCAGCGCTTCCCATTGGAATGGCCCCAAGCGGTTGAGAGCCAGAATATGGTACGTTAGGAGAGATTCCACGAACGTGAAATGGATAAGAACCAGGAAAAGGAGTATGGTTTGAAGGAAAATGTGCTCTGGGAATACCACCCATAGGGGGAGGCTGCATCCACATTCCTTGAGGCGTTCCATGCATTGCAGGCAATGAATGATATGGAGGATACATGTTCGGATGAATACCACCAGGATGGATTTGAGCAGGACCTGCAGACATGCCGGGTCTTGGAGTTGAAGAGAAAGGGTTTGAACCAGGAAAAGCAGGCGGTGATGTCATGAGTCCAGGAGGGACGAGTGTTCCTGGTCTACCAAAAGGCGGGTTCGAATTCCATTGTGGAGTAACAGAAGATGGAACTGAGTGAGACACAGAAGCTGTAGTAGCAATCTGCACAACAGCAGCCAAAACATCATGGAACCAGTTTAGAGACTAAAATGAAACGACCTGGAAAAACAGGATGAATCAGCAAGTGTTCAAGGCGTATAACGAACAATGGTTGATTCCTGACAGATTCTATTAGTGAATTAAACCAGAATGGCTCGAAATTCGATATAAAAAGAAAATTAGAGTCGGAATTTCATAGCTGATGTTGGCGTCTATACTCCTATCGAAAGAAATGCAATCATCACATTATAGGATCACACGTTCTTGTACAAGATTTTAAAGAAAACCATACAAGAACAAGAACCAAGATAAAAATCCTCTATAGGATTTAAGCGGCATTCAAGATTAATATATTATGTAACAAACAGAAGCGAAAGGGCTAAGAAATAAGCATGAACAACATACAGACATAGAGGATTGCTCCTTGAGCTCCGATTGAGAATTACTGTCTGGAGAGATACTCGAAGCTGTAGCCAATACTGAGTCACTTGGAGAAGGTCTGGGGAAGATACCCTGTCCCGTAGATGTCGCCGCCGTATACGGCGGCTCCGTTGTATTCTCCCCTTCCATCACTTTTCGGAGAGTAAAAATGTGGCGGTAAAGGGTATCAGTCTCCGACGAGAAATTAAATTTCCGGCGATTTCTAGGCGCGAATGAAGAAGTTAGGGTTTAGGGAAAACTAGAGTGAAGAAATCAGAAGCCGATGTCGCGATTCAGGAGCACGAAGTTCTGCCGACGGTGAAGATAGATCGTGGGAAGATAGATACGATGGACGGCTGAGATCACGCCCCGCGGAAGAAGGAAATATGCATTTTAATTAGTTGACGGCAAAGACCTTACATTTGTGATAAATTGCTGAAATGGCCCAGAATTTTATCTGTTACTAGAGGGTGATCCGCGCTATGCGCGGGTTGTGTTAGTTTTATTGTTCTTCCGCAAATTTGAATGGTTTGAAAGATATTATATACATATTACTTAAATATAATTAGAGTTAGACAAAATTTTGTATCATCTTATTCCATCTCGTCCCATTTCGTTCATTTTCATCATGTACGTTATTTCCGTCTCATTTGTCCTGAATGTCCCCGTCTCATTCAGTCCCATCCTATCCCATTATGAGTATTTCCATTTTGTTTATTCTCGTTTCGTGCCTAAAAATAATTAGGGGTATACATAATTATATCCCATTTGGTTCCTTTTCATCTTGTCATGTTCTTTCCCATCCTGTCTGTTCTGTCCGGCCCATCCAGTCTCATCATATCTTATTATGTTCATTTCCATTTTATCTTATCTCTGTCTCGTCTCTAAATATAATTAAGGGTAGGTAAAATTCTTGTTATGTCCCTTCCCGTCCCATTATGTCCTTTTTCATCTCGTGTCGTTCTGTCCAATCCTGTTGTGGGTTCGGAAAACCACACTCAAAATTTATGTGTATTTTGTAGGGAGAAATTGCTGTGGAATCAGAGGTTAGATTCTGATGTAAGTCGAATGATTCGTAGACAAATATTTGACGAAATCGGACTTAGGCTAATCGAATAAAGTGGTTACAAAACCGGCCTAAAAGACCATGTAAAACACTAGGATTCGACTAAGCAAAAGAGATGGAAATGAGGTGGTGGCTGCGCTCGTTAACGAGCTGCCTACGTACCCTGTTTTAGGGATCAAGCCTGAACGTAGTTCGATTGTAAGTTGTTCTCTATTTCGAGTCGTTTTCTGAAGAGAAATGACCACGAAAAGAGCTAAAGGGGTGTGAAGATGACGATAAATCTCAGGTTATCGGAGTGATCCGAAGGTAAGAGATTACGTCAAACTTCTGCCGGAAGTGATTTCCGGCTAGAAAGATCAGGCTTTCTGGGATTATCTCAAAGATCAAGGATAAGATCGTAGATAAAAGAGGATAGAATGTATCTCAGCGTAAAGAGTAGTTATCGAGAGGTCTAGAACTTCAATCTCTTAAAGATGTAAAAAGGAACATCATGCCTTGTGATCAAGAATCGTCCTCCTTTTATAGCTCCGAAGTAGATCGCAACCTCCTCCGCGTATCTCGTCCACGTGCAACTACCGATCCCGCTATTTCCGGATCTGAACAGTCGAAGCGAGATTCTCGTTTGACTCGTTCAAACTCAGCTTGCGGACTTGACTCCGTCGAGCTAGAGCTCGACTTCGTCTTCACAAGTAGCTCGGACAGTAAACAGCTGGATTTGGACAAGGATACTTGGTGGGCTCGAGGTCATTTTACTGGGCCTGAGTGGACTTATCTTGATCTTAGGACTTAGGTGATGGGCCTTATGGGCCGGATTTCTGGAGGGAAATCCAGGTCCAACAATAGCCCCCCAGCTCATTAAGTGAGTATAATCGAACTTAATGAGCGGTAGGTTGTTTTGAATTGTCCCGCAGTCCCGTCGAACTAAATCATGACTTTGAATAGTCATTAGAGATCGACGGTTGCAAACGGGAAGGCGAAAGATCTTGAGATCTTGCCGTTGAATGATAGTTTCACCTTGAAAGACAAGGTAATAACTTATTCTTTAGATCGACAATCAAGATCGAAAATAGATCGAAGAGCTATTATGATCTTAAGAGTCGAGCTTTTCGAGAGTGTGAAAACCTTAGGAGAAGATTTGCGATTATCAACTCTTTCAGATTGTTTCTCGAGAAGGCTTTTGGTTTAACTAACTCAAACATTGCGCGAGCTCTTTTTGAGTTAATCGATTGTTTTTCGAGTTCGACCAGTTGTTGATTAAATTCTTTAATCGAACTTGGTCACTTCAAGTCGGATTGTTTTTCCGGACTCGAACTCGAAAAAGGATACGACTAAATGAATTTAGTCGGTTTGTTTGACTCTCGCATAAGATTTTCGGCTGACCTGAAATCTAGCAGAAAAGACTTTGCCAACTCTTCTGGAAAGTTGCTTCAAGTTAAACTGATTTCTTTTTGAAATTTCGAGTCAAACTTGGCATGATTTCGACTAAGTATTTGTTTTATTTAGGTCGAGCTAAATAAAATCTAGTCTTTGGTTCGAATGGTATTTTGACCAAACGTTCGAGCTTATCGTTGAGCTAAGCTGAACAAAGACTTAGTCAATATCTTTGAAGATATTTTAAGGTCGGGTTAGAATCTATTGAGAATCTAGCTCGATCTTGGAGATGTTCTCGAGTTTTAGCTCGAGAATCTGGCAGAGTGCTTGACTGCCATTCAAATCAGACTAAGTGAGACTTAGGCCCTGATTGTTTAAGACTTTAAGGACTTTGAAAGTTAGATTTTTATTTTAAAGTATGGTTGTCAAAACTGTGACTTAAGTGAGGCTTTAGAAAATGTTAAAAGCTTTGTTTTTGGACTTTAAAAAAAAAACAACTGTAATGTAAAGGAAAAAAGGAAAAAAAACTAAAAAAGGCTTTGAGAACTTTAAGGGATGAAGTTAATGACTTTGAAGACTTTTAAACTCTAAAAGTGTGATTGGATAAAATATAATATTTAAGACTTTAGAAAATTTTAAAAGTTCCTAAAGCCTTTAAAGCTAAACTAGGGGTAAGCCCGCGCGATGCGTAGGTTGTGACTATTACAAAGTTTTGTTATTTTTATTTTAATTTTCATTTGAAATTTATAAATATTTTTTCTCATATATTTTTTTCAGATATGTTAATGTGCGGTTTATATCGCTCTTTACATTCTCTAAAATCAAATATGTTTGCGGTAGGCCTAGGATTTTTAACCTAAACATGTTCGACCCGAAATACCCATACCCGATTGATTTTGGGTATATAGCAAATCACCCATTTAGTAAATATTTAATACCAATGAGTATTGGGTAATACCCGAACTGAATCGATACCTGAATTATGGGTATTGCAGATTATTTTCAATATTATAAATATAATATTTTTATGTTTTTCGGATTTTCAGATATATTTTTCACTATTTAAATTTTAATTTTTTTTAAAAATCGGATTCACAATTTTTTTTTTAGATTTTTGAGTATTTTTAGGGTTTTGTGTATATTTTTGGATTTTCGAGTGATAAATAACCGTATTTCTCGAGAATAGTTCGAAAACATTAAAAGGAAAGATGGATTTTAAACCACATTTCTCGAGAATAGTTCGAACCTCGAGCTATTCCTGCTCCCAACCACCGAGAGATTCGACTTGAACACATCAAACATTTTCTACGCTTATATGGATGGATCTCCACCTCTGGCACCGTCACTATTGCTTTCCAGGACCTTAATTCACTGTCGGGTTGAGAATCATCGAGCAACGTAGAAGTCTCTTCTTTAATCTTTTGTTGTGGATCTCTTTCCTTCTTCTTTTCTGACATGGCTTTTGTTGACATGATTAAACGATTCACTGGTTTGGATTAAAAAAAAAGCAAAACAAAAATATTCTGGCTGCTAAGTAAAATGGGTTGGTTTAGTAAGATTTAATAATATTTATATTTAATTTTGAAGGAGTGAATTGAGTCTAAACACAAAACCATGTCAAACCGGAATATCTGTTTGAGCAAAAAAAAACCGAATTCGACACTTTTTTTTTGAACAAACTTAAATCGAATTCGACACTTTTAAAACATTTTTCCCAGAACGGTGTCATATTAGGAGATGTTATTGGATTGGTTTTTCAATATATTTGAGTGTATTTTAAAAACAGAGCTAAATCCAGTGTTATTTAATGGTGTATCTGAAAAAAGGATTTTAAAACCCATTAAAAACCACTGTTATATATTGGATAGTGTATTTGTTAATGACAGTGCTCTTAACCAAAACCACCTTGTGGATGAGACTAACTCAATGGAACAACATGAGAGACCAGCCATCTCGAGTAGTAAGTGTTAGCAGTCTCATGTTAAGTTACTTGTTATAATCAGTTATATGCTTCCGCTGCAGCTAGGTTTCTTGTTGTCATTTGTAGTAAACTCATCCATTTTTAATTTTCTCTTTCTTTTACAGCTCTTGAAAGGAAACACCAAGAAGCAGACAAAGCGAGAGTTGGTAAATACAAAAAACTTCCTCACAGTCCAGAATCCGAAAGCAGCTCTTGTAATGACTATTCCCACAAGCAAGAGTATTGCAACCTGAGTGGCAAAATCAAGTCGCAAATTGTTATTGTTATTCTTATGATTACATTACAGATTACCTATAGCTTGCAATACGCAACATTGAGAGGGGAGCTAGGCAAGATTGAGAGAAATAGTTTACTACAGAAGCAAGGGACAATGACTTACTGGATTGTACATGTCGTCACTCAGCCCCAAGTTGACAAGAATCATGTTCACCACCGTTGTGAGTTGGTGTAGAAAGAATGTTCCTAACCTGATACAAGCAAGGGCTATCACAATGCTTGTAAGATCAAGGATTCAAAGCTTAAGCTTTCGGATCAGGGTTGGATCGATTTGATTGAGCTTCTCTAATCAAATAGAGCCGTTGGGCGGATTGTTTGAATGGTGTAGCGATGGAACTAAACAACTTGAATCCACAAGCTATCTAAATCCGAGATGGAATGAGGTGTACCACACAAGCTGTGAAAGGCTTATGATAAAACACAAGGTGTTTCAAAACATGTAACCACCTAGGATAAAAAAAGAAAAGAACGTAAAATTATAAAGGATTGTATTATAAAGAGGTTGTGTTCCATTATTTTGAATCTTACACTACAGGAAAAAAGGGTATTTGTAGCATCCGAAAAACGCTATCTAATGATACGATAGCGTTTTGACAAGCGCTTTATCATCGCCCGTCATTGTAGGTCAGACATTTTAGATAGCGGTTTTTTGTATTGCTATTGTTTTATCATTTACTATAGCGCATTCTTGCATGTTATTATATATTATTCAATAGCAATTGGATATTGTTATCAATATTATTATTTATAATAATTTGGGTTTCCAATTTTAATTTTAGATTTTCAATTTTCGAATTTATATTTTAGATTTCGAATTCTAAAAACTCATATTTTATTGCAAAATAAAACTAATATATAATAATAATAATAGTTTACAAGAACATATTTCTTCATATCTTCTAGTTTCTAATCAACTGTAGTGTTAGTCTTAAACTCTCTCAACAATCTCAGCAGATCTCTACCGCCTCAAGGTTTCTCAGCCACCTCAATCACCAAGGCTCTTCCGACTTCACCTAACAACTGTCTTGGCAGCTTCACGGTGCAATCTAGCTTTTTAAATGCCACATATGTAGTCGTAGGCAGTTGTCACCTCCCTTCCACCTGAAAAAAAACCTTGAGTTCATCAGATCTGCGAGGAGAAAACTATAGTACCCAAGAACCCAAACTTAGAATATTTAAGAACACATGCAAAAAGGTTTCGAACCTGAATACCAAGAGAATAGGAGAAGCACTTGTAAATGGAACAAAGACATGAACTTGAACTGCTGGAAAATTCATAAACAATAACCAAAGAAAATGATATAGTTTCATCAAGAAAAATAAGATAATTGAACCAGACACAAACTCCAATGGGATATATAATTCTAGTCATCTAAGAGATGTGACCAGGAAACATCGTAAGACCATTCATTATTAACGAATGTAGACAACAATTCTCTCAGCAAAACACCCATAGCTTCTCTTTGTGTATCTCGCTTTCTATATCTCAGCTCCTAATAAGAACGATTTTAACTTGCAGCAACACAATCAAATCTTTAACTCTAAAAAGCCTACAAAGAACAAGATGTAAATTGCAGAAATGCAGCTCGGCCAACTAACCTGTAATCTAGTTCAAGATCTTCCAAATAAATAAGGAAAAGCTTCTTCAGCATCATAAGCTTTTTTTCAGATCCAACTCTTCCACATAACAGTTAGATGTTTGCAGATTCCAGAATCGAACAAACCACACCGCCTAAAACACAAGAGTTAGTCCCATCATCAGCCAAAACATAGAAGCATAATTTTCACTCTTTAGATTTATAAACAGATTCTCGATTCTAGACGAAACTAACCCAGAACCAAAGAGTAAGTGGGAGTTCAAAACAAGAGAGAAATATAATTTGACAGAGAAAGAGAGAGTGACAGAGTGAGGGGAAGCTGCTGCTAGATTCAATTCCAGATTAGACAATTGAATTGGTCCGCCGACGATATTAGTCGGAAATCATTGTGCAAAACTGGTAAGAAGCTGGAGAGACAAAACTGAAAGCGGAAGACGAAACTTCAAAATACCGTCTACTCCTCGAGAAGCGAGAAGGAGAAGAAGAAGATGAGGAAGATCTGTTCGTCTGCGACAATGCCACATCGTGACCAGCCGTCGCCCGCATCGTCTCTCGTCGTCACACTCAACTGTGTCGAGGATTGTGCGCTCGAGCAGGACTCACTCGCCGGCGTTGCCGCTCAGTCGCATCGCCAGTGGTAAGATCTGACGCCGTGTTGAACCGTCGCAAATTCTCACTACCGCCAGCATCTCATCCGAGCTGCTCTCAACCCAGATCTACGCTAACCTAGAAAACCTAGAAAAAAAGACAAAGGTAAGGAGAAACGAAGGGATGGAAGATGATTAAAAGTGAAGTAATTTAGCTTTACAAATATTTTCAATTTTTTATTTTTGTATAATTTTTATTTAGGCAGTAGTGAAATGTATATACACCTATGATAGCGTTTATATTAGATAGTACAAAAAAAATAAGTACAAAACCAATTTTCTTTTAGCCAATCAATATACTATAGCGTTTCTCATTTCGAAAACGCTATTAAAAAGTCACGCGTAACTCAACCATAGCAAAACAACCTAAAACGTTATCGTATACTGCTATGAATATTCGATTTTCTTGTAGTGTTATGATATCAGCAGGAAAAAAAAGAGGTTAGAGAATTTGAAGCTTGAGATTAGAAGAATATACTAAGACAAACAAAAAGTAGGTCAAAATGTATGGCACTATTTTTGCTTTTGTTTTGCTCAATTTTTGCTAATAAATGATGATATTATGCTAACAAAACGAAATTGCATCTTAACTACGTTATTAATATGTTTTTTTGTCAATAATAATTGAAATTGCATTTAACAAAAAAAATATTTTTATTCGTTCACATCAATACTCAGCTTATTTCAGGGTATAAATGTATGATTACATTTGTATTACTAGGTTTGGTACGTTATGGTGTGATACAGTAAGAGTGTAACACTCATATAAGAATTTGGTCACATTCATGTAGTAACAAACATAAATAAATATATCGACCGCGATTCATCTATCGATTGTAAGCTTTTTATATTTCTTCTTTTTTATAACTCATGTGTTTGGCCCCTAAGAGCCAAATGTCCTCCCCGCGGAGATGTCGGCGTCAAGATTCTGTTGGACTGGGACGGCGAGTCTCGGTTTGACACCCACGTTATCGAAAACATCAAATCAGGCCGAGCGGTTCTCGCCTCTGACTCAGTCTTGTACCAGGATGACGCAACCAAGATCATCATCGACGGCTACTTGGCGAACTTCTTTGCTTTCGCTGCGGATTTCGTCGGAGCGATGGTGAAGATGGGTGGCCTGGATGTTAAACATGGCGATCAAGGCGAAATCAGACTCCTTTGTACGTCACTAATAGTTCTAATTAGAGAGTGTTGAATTCGAGATAGCACTCGTTAAGACGGGCTATCTTAGATGTGAGTTTAGGAAACTGGAGCGCTTAATTCGACTCTTAGATTATCAAGAAGATTACAAGAGAGCAATCTCGCTAACAAGCCTAGCGAAATTATGATGGTGAACAAGAGGATAGAGTAAAAGCTAATGTGAAAGCCTAGTGATTCTAGATGTTTTCGGATCCCTTTCCCCCCGGGGGGGCTCCAATATATAGCGTTGATAAGTCGGCCGAATGATGAATATTCTCCTTCAGGCGAGATGGAAAACTTTCTCTTTTGCGATATGGAAAATCCCTCTTGTTTTTGGATCTTTCTCCACTCTTTAAGTCGGCATGAAGATTTATTTACATTTCTCCATGGATTGTGCCTTTCTCTTCAAGTCTTGCCTTTTTCTTGAAGATGTTTAGACCTAAAATCGGATTGGGCTTTGTGATTTTACTAATGATGACGGGCTCAGGGAAATGTGCTAATTTTTCCTCTAACAGAGAGTTGAATTCCATGTGTAATGAAAAACTCTGCTATGTTCAATGTCTCCTAATTTTTTTTTTTTTTTGGGCTAGCGCGGTGCTTCGCGTCTAGTCATGGAACTTGCGCAGATCCGACGAGCTCCAGAGGCGATCGGACGTGGTGCCGAGGTTGTCTTCTAGCTGATAGATACCTGGTTTGACGACTTTCGCGATGCGGAATGGTCCTTCCCAGTCGGAACCGAATTTGCCGAGACCATAGATCGTATCGTCATCGGTTTTGCAAAAGACGAGGTCGTCTAATGCGAAACGGAGGTGTTGCTTTAGGAAAGCGGCTGCTAGATCGTCGAAACTGTCGATGGAGTCGGCACAGAGGTTGCTGAACCATGTTAGGGCGTCGCCGCGCAAGTGTTCGGCGAGGGCTTGGCAGAAGTGCGCGCTTTGTTCTTCCGGCGATGTATATTTCTGTCTTCTCATGGCCGTCATGAAGGATGTGATCCACTGCTTGGGATCTTCTCGGCCATCATAGAAGTTTAGGTGTAGTGAAGCGCGCTTCTTCAGTGGTACCTCGGATAGGCGGCTTGTCAGGGGAGTTCTTCGAATATCGGCAATGATCTCGAATATCTCCTGATCGGAGAACGAGCATTGCGGGGGTGCATGGCGATCAGTCTTCGCGCGATTCTCCATGTTTCTCCTGGTCTCGCCATCGTAGACAGGGGCGTCGTCTCGGCGAGGGAGAGATTCGTGATGGCACCTTGGTGCTTTATGCGTGGACTTCTCCGGGCGAGAGGATGATGACTTTCTCTTGTTTCTTAGCCGGAACCGAGGATCTTCGGGGTCGAACCGTAGCTGCGGGATGTCTTGCTCGAGGCGGATGTAATTCTCAGCGCGGAGGAAGGCGTCCTTCAAAGTTGGGGAGGGGCGGATGCGGATATCTTCCCAGAATCCGGATTCGTATCGAAGTCCGTTTCCGAGGGCTTGGACGAGTACCGGTTCCGCGATTGGGGGTGCTCCCGGAATGTCCCTGAGGTCGAGCAGCGCGCTCTTGAATCTGTTCAGGTAGCTTCGTAGCGGTTCGTCCTCGAGTTGCTCCATCTCGAATAGATCGGAGAGATCCTTGTGTTTAGTGCCAAAGCTGGACCTTAAGTCGGATTTCCAGGCGGGCTCGGAGTTCCTTTGCCGATGGATCGGGGGATCTGCATTCTGCGTCGCCGGCTCGTTTTATTGCGTTGGACTCGTCGGTTTCGTCGTCCGATACTGGCTCGGTTATCATACAGGACGACGCGGTGCGGAGCTTGCGCTCGCGGAGGAAACATGATCTCGTCATCTTTGATCTCCACGTAAGGTGAAAATTCCAGAGGGTATCGGAAACTTCACGCATTGGTGGAACGTCGAGATGACAGCTTTCATTTCATGGAGCCATGGGGTGCCGAGGATAGCGTTATAGATGGCCGGTTTGTCCATGACGATGAACTTCAAGAGCTTTGAAATTCCGCCGACATAAACGGGGAGCCGGACTGTGCCACAGCTGTAAACATGCTCGGCGGTGAAACCGGTGAGGGGACGGGATGTAGGTTTGATAGATCCTTCCTCCACCCCATGCGGTTCAGTGTTTCCAGAAAGATGAGGTTCACCGTACTCCCGGTATCAACCAGGACCTTCGCGACGTCACAATCGTGGATCTGTAGAGTGATTACGAGTGGGTCAAGGTGAGGGATGTCCAGCCCGCTCGCATCCTTATCCGTGAAGGAGATGGTAGGGATCCCTTTATGGATATACGGGTAGCGTTGTGCCGCGACGGCCTTTCGTTCGTATTCCTTGATCGCCGATATGGAATCGTCGTTATCCAGGAAGCCTCCCATGATCATGCTGACTTGTCGCTTCGGTGGTGGAGGTAGGTCGTCGTGGTCATCACGATTCCTTTTCCCAAGCGGGCTTCCGCCTTTTCTGCATCCTTCCTCGGACGGGGTTGTCGTCCGCGCTTCTCCTGCTGCCCAGATTTTGGTGGTTTCGGCGGGAAGCTTTTTCCTTGGGACCTATCACCGTCCATTGGCGGGATTTCTCCTCGATGGTACATGCGCATGAGGTTGCTCATTAGGTGTTTGCAGTTTTCAGTGGCGTGGCCAGTTCCTCCCGTGGAACTTGCAGAAAGCTTTGGTATCGTTGTCATCTCCGAGCGAGTTGATGTCTTGTGGCATCGAAACGGCCGCTGCGTGTTCTTGCTCGAACTCGTCGTCGGCTGCTGCGAACGCTGTGAGGAGAGACCTCTTCGGATCGTGTCTTCTTCGCGCCTCCATGGGTTCCTCTCTGGGTTTCGTCGAGGTTGCCCTCCTATCTCCATGTTTCTCGGCGTAGAAGCGCTGGTCTTCCTCGAGGAAGATGTAGTTCCGAGAGCGGTGGAACGCGTCCTCCAGAGTCGCAGGGGGTTTTAGTGACAAATCCTCCTTAAACTTGGAGTCGTACCAGAGGCCGTTGCGGAGTGCTTCCAGCGGGACGCTATCGGGCATGTCGCCAGTATCGCGAGCTGCTTGTTTGAACCTTTCCATAAAGCTGCGCAATGGTTCGCCTTGGGTTTGCGTTGTGGTGAACATGTTCCGAGTGATTCGGGTCATGTGCATGGAGTAATGCTTCAGAAAAGCATTGGTTAGGTCGTCGAAGTTATCGATCGACTCGGCGGGGAGGTTAGAGAACCAGGTCAAGGCATCTTTCGCCATGTGCTCGACGAATACTTGACAGTAGTTGGCCTCCCTTTCATCGTAAGATTTGTATTTCTCCCTCCTCATGGCGAGGTTGAACGCGGTTAGCCACTTCTTGGGGTCTTCTTCGCCGGTGTAAGAGTCGATTTTGAGTCGAACTCTTTCGTGTAGCTCAATCTGGCGGAGCCTGCGGGTGAGCGGGCTTCTTCGGGTGTCGGCGAGTGCTTTCGTCAATTCCGGAGCTGAGCTGGTGGCGCGATGAACTTTCGAATCGACCTCGTCGAGGCGACGATTCACCCGTTCAAGCTCTTGAGTGGTAAGTCGCCTGAAGTGCGCAGGACGGGGGGTTGTTCCGTCGGTGGGACTTGACGGATTTTCATCGTCTTCTCGTGCTAGGGCTTCCACCTGTTCCTGAGTCTTTTTCTGCTGTGCTCGCATTGACTCGAAACCGTCGGCGAGTGGCTTGACGAGATTCTCCATGAGTTTGAGGATCTTCTCGCTCGAGGAGGATTTCTTCGAGCTGCGGGGTTTGTCGCTCGAGGAAGATTTTCTCGAGCGGCGTGGTGCGGACGGAGGAGGGCTCTCGTCCTTTCTTGGCGGAGGAGATCGTTGCGGCGAAGTCGATCTTCGCGGCGAGACGGATCTCTGTGGCGAGAAAGATGGGTTTCTTGTAGGGACAGGCTTGTCCCTACCTTCAGCGGGTAGCGACTTGTCTATCGTGCCTGGTAGACTGTCGCTTAAGTTTTCTTCTGAGGGAGACGGGCTCCCGGTGGGAGTGTTCTCTTTCGAGTTCGCCATCGTTGCTAGTTCGTGAAAATCTAGATATCTTCGAGATGAATAGCGAGAAGCGTTTCCAGCCCCACGGTGGGCGCCAATTGTTGAATCCGAGATAGCACTCGTCAAGACGGGCTATCTAAGATGTGAGTTTAGGAAACTGGAACGCTTAATTCGACTCTTAGATTATCAAGAAGATTACAAGAGAGCAATCTCGCTAACAAGCCTAGCGAGATTATGATGATGAACAAGAGGATAGAGTAAAAGCTAATGTGAAAGCCTAGTGATTCTAGATGATTTCGGATCCCTTTCCCCAATGGGGGGTCTTCAATATATAGGTTGATAAGTCGGCCGAATGATGAATATTCTCCTTCAGGCGAGATGGAAAACTTCCTCTTTTGCGATATGGAAAATCCCTCTTGTTTTTGGATCTTTCTCCATTCTTTAAGTCGGCATGAAGATTTATTTACATTTCTCCATGGATTGTGCCTTTCTCTTCAAGTCTTGCCTTTTTCTTGAAGATGTTAGGCCTAAAATCGGATTGGGCTTTGTGACTTTACTAATGATGACGGGCTCAGGGAAATGTGCTAATTTCTCCTCTAACAGAGAGTTGAATTCCATGTGTAATGAAAAACTCTGCTATGTTCAATGTCTCCGAATTAAATAAATAAATAAAATCCCTCAGATTTGTATCATGGATTGTGTGTGTTCATGCTTTCTCTCATAAATTTTATTTTCCGATAGAATTCGGATTTTGTTTTCATAATCTTTCTGATTTTATCTCACATCCCGTTTGGATTTTGTCTCGTCATTTTCTCTTCCTCTGATTATGTTCCATTATTTTGAATCTTATGATATCAGTGGGAAAAAAGAGGTTAGAAAATTTAAAACTTGAGGTTAAAAGAACACACAAATAAAAAAGTATGTCGAAATGTGTGGCACAAAGCCACAAACTACTTTTGTGCTCATAAGATTCCATTTAGTATAATATTATCATTTATTAGCAAAAATTGAGCAAAACATAAGCACAAAAGTAGTATATAGTGAGAAAAAATAAGCAACAAAGGTAGTTTTTGGCTTTGTGCCACACATTTCGACATACTTTTTGTTTATCTTAGTGCAGGCTAGTTCTGAAATAAAATTATCTTTCCAAAAATAATGATTTCATTTGGATAATAGATTTTGATCGTCGTCTTACATACCAAGTGCACATACGCTGAGCATCTTGAAGCTTTGAAGAGAGATGCTTCAACAATGGGTGAAGTGGACGATGAGGTCAAGAGGAGCATTAAGAGGGCCAAACAAGGTGCAATCAAAATTCTCGAAGGAGGACATAGGTCTCACCGCGATTTCGCCAGAGGAATGATAAGGGTAGGAATTATCGGTGTGAAAACAATCAATTATCGATGGTTAACCCTTTAAGAAAAAATTTGACGATGGCTAACCCTTGTTGGCCTTCGCCGCGGTAAGGACGGCTTGTTGTTGTCGTCGTTGTTGCAGGTTGATTCGATTCAGACATTCAGTGCCTCCGTGAACAACAAATTTGACGGTCACTTCAGTCGAGGTTCTATGGGTGGAGGTTTTTATAGTGAGAGAAGAACTGAAGGGGGCGGAGCGTTACTTGTGGAGTTAATGCCGGCCATTAAATTCCGGAAGAGAAGGAGCTCTATAATGGCAGCAGGCGGAATGTAGACAGTCGCGGCAGATGGAAGAGAGATTGAAGCCGGGTTTTGATTTTATGGAGAATAGTTTTTTTTTATTTTGTAAATCTACATAACTTAAACCAAACCGACGTCGTTTTGGCGTAAGTGGGGGAGACGGAAAAAAAAGAAGCTGACGTGGCACGCTATGGAGGTGCTGAAGTGTCACAAGCTAGAGAGTGTCCAAGAACGTAGATTTGGCGAGACCCCTGCGTGTTTATGCTAAGAATATGTTTCACGTGGCTAATGTTTTAAATTCACAAAATATTAGAAAGTATATTCACATTGAAGGGTTGACCGGAAATGATTAATTTAGTGCTATAATTTATTGACGATCCGACAAAAGAACACACACCAAAAAATATAGTACTACAACTTTTTATTGGTTAGACGGTAGCCAAGATTCAAACAATTAGTAACCATCTACTTCAACTTTCAAACAATTAACGTAGTTTTATTCGTTTAACCGTATCTTTCAATCGTTTGTCTAACATGTACTCACTACCACTCACTAATCTATGGCCGGAGCTATGAATTTGGCCCATTAAACTAAAGCCTATTTTCTTAGATATATATTTTTAGTTTTTCTGTGGACAGAAAATGGTAGGCGAGTGCCAAACTTCCGACCAACGTGTGGAAGAGTCCAAAAAGCCAAAAAATTACTACTCTTTACTCTTTAGGTCGCCGACCTCTCAAAATATCAAAGACAATACGCAAGACAGATGGAACAAGCGATAAAAATGTTTGAATCTAAGATCAAATTGAACAAACATTATAAACGTTGATAATTATGTAAATTATCGCACGCAATTATAGTAGTACATGATTAGTACTTGATGGCAAAAGGAGGACCAACAGTATAGTTTATTTACCGCGATAATAATCTTCATAACGCGTTTCATAGTCGCATATTCTTCTGGTTCGCATAGCTACAACGATATACTACCCTACCGATCACTGCCCATTCCATCTCTCTGCATTCTCTCATCTTCTCGAAAATCGCATCCATCGTTGCGCTTCATTTTCGAACCTTCTCGATTTTTTTTGAATTTCTTCCCCGGAACCCTAAGGGAGACAGGTTTCGCCACTGCTGTGTCCAGCGTTTATATGTTGCTGTGAGACGTTTGCTATTGTGTTTGTGTTAGCTGCGGAGATGCGTCAATTAGATTCTTCTGCGTGGAGCTTCCGGTGAAAGACGATTGATAAATGATTCCACAGTCTTCTCCTTGTTCTAGTTTCGATTTCCTCTCTAGCGCTAACGTGTCGCGCCGTGTATTTTGTCCATGCTCCAATGAGCACGGCCTGATTGTGTTCCGGGATGGGTTCGCGAGGAGGCGGATTCTCCGTCGGAAGACAAGAATTCAGGTGGCCAATGCGAGCTCGAGGTTTGTTTTCAGCCGAATTCGCGCGGATTCGAAGAATATAGGAGTATCGGATTCGGCGAGAAGGGTTGCGAGAAGCCTTGTGGTTGCTCGGTTTTCGAATGAATTCGAAGAATCTTCGCAGGAGTCTGCAATTCAGAGTGACCAAAACAATTTCACTAGCTTTAGAGAAGACCCGATCGTGGATAAGCTCAGGACTCAGCTTGGTGTAATCCACCCAATCCCGTCGCCACCAATTAGTCGTGATGCGATTGGTCTATTTGCCTTCTTCTTCTTTGTTGGTGTTGTGTGCGACAAGCTGTGGACGTGGAGGAAGAGGCGGAGACAAACGGGCGATGACGGAGGCCAACGAGGAGCCGGGCCGTGGCCACAGGTTCCCATCTCGCTGTCACTCGAGAAAGACTTGCAAAGGAAAGAGTCTGTGGAGTGGGTGAACATGGTGTTGGTGAAGCTCTGGAAAGTTTATAGAGGTGGGATTGAGAATTGGCTTATTGGATTGTTGCAACCGGTGATTGATGACCTGAAGAAGCCAGATTATGTGAAGAGGGTTGAGATTAAACAGTTCTCTCTTGGGGATGAGCCCTTGTCTGTTAGGAATGTTGAGAGGAGGACATCTCGCCGCGTCAATGACTTGCAGTAAGTTTATACTTTGCTCTCTCATACGTTGTTTCTGTTGTTGTTGTTTGTCACCAAACGAAGGTAAAGAAAGTTCTATGAATCATACGGATGCAATACACTATTGGTCACTGCATCATTGAGTTTACTCTCTGTTGGTTATTTTGGGGTTTGGATACTTCAAACTGTCTATTGCTCAGTTCAAGGTTTGCTTAGGCTGTCATTTTTCTTCTTATAGGTACCAGATTGGTATTCGGTATACAGGTGGTGCACGCATGTTGTTAATGCTCTCTTTAAAATTTGGTATCATCCCAGTAGTTGTGCCAGTCGGTATTCGGAATTTTGACATTGACAGTGAGCTTTGGGTCAAATTAAGATTAATACCAACAGAGCCTTGGGTTGGAGCTGCATCATGGGCTTTTGTATCACTTCCAAAGATCAAATTTGAGCTGGCACCATTCCGATTGTTTAATCTAATGGGTATGAGCTTGCTTTCACATGATCTCATGTATATCACATCTTTTCTTGTATTCCTAAAGAGTAGATACACGATCATATATCTGGTGGATTGTGAAGTTTTGACCATATACTATGTGAAAATGTTATACTATCCTCTAATATTAAAATGATGTACATGAGTAATTGCTTATACCATTTTCTTCTTTTTGCATGAATGCTTTGGATGATAACCTCAGGAATTCCTGTTCTATCAATGTAAGTCCTACTATGGCTGTCTTCATGCATCTAGTTTGCTGAGAATAACTATTCTTTTTCAACCGATGGTTCAATACTGCAATTGGTTAAGTGCTTTGGTACTTGAAAAGTTGTTTTCTGTTTAGATGAGGTATATAGTTGTAGAAAGGAATTTCATAACTTCTTTTAGCTCTACGTTTTTTTCTTTTGCTTTTCTTCTGTGAATTTTGGGAGCATATACTTTAAATTGCCTTACTGCATAATTCTGATAAGATACTGTTATTCGTTTTCTAATTTTTTTCTCTCTGTTGATTGCTCACCCTCCTCGATGTATTGATATATCAGTTTCTTCCCTCCTTCCTTTGCTTCATCTCTTTCAGGTTCTTGACCAAACTGCTGACAGAAGATTTGCCTCGATTATTTGTCCGCCCAAAGAAAATTGTCTTGGATTTCCAGAAAGGAAAAGCTGTTGGACCTCTTTCAGAAGACTTAAAATCTGGAGACGTGCAGGATGGGAACAAGGATTTTGTTGGGGAACTGTCTGTTACTCTTGTAAAAGCGCAGAAACTTCCATACATGTTCTCTGGTAAGTTATACTCACCCACATCTCTCTCCTTCAGTTCATTATTTTCTGGCAGTCTGTTGTTTTAGTGTCTATATATACCCCTTAGTTTATTTGAATTCGTTGAGCAATAAAATTCAGCTATGTCATGACATATAGTGAAGTCTTCAATAATTTACTTGTTCCTTCATTCAGCACATTTTGTTTCATAATTTGCGACAGGTAGAACAGATCCATATGTTATTTTACGAATGGGTGATCAAATTATCCGCAGTAAGAAGAACAGTCAAACTACTGTGATTGGGGCTCCTGGTCAGCCAATCTGGAATCAGGTGAACTGCTTAAAATATCTCAATAGCTCATTCATAATCGGATGGTGAATTAGTTTTTCTTAAACTGCTAAAATTTCATAGAATATTTCTGTATCATAAATATTGTCAGGACTTCCAATTCCTTGTTTCAAATCCTAGAGAGCAACTGTTACAAATTGAAGTCAACGACTGTCTTGGATTTGCCGATATGGTTATTGGTACCGGAGAGGTAAGTCATTGTTCTTTTTATCTTGTTTGTAATCAGTATTACAGCTTGATATGTTGAACATAAATTATTTCTCAAGATGATGATCGTCTACTTTGGTGTCAAGCTTTTTCATGTTTGTTAAGTGTCGCCTTCTCTATAATTATGCACACTGCTGAATAACAACATAATGCAAGAAACCAGTTTCATCACATTATTCTCTGCACAATTCTTTAACTAAAGGGTTTGAATACAAAGGGCACCTCGATTTACTTAGCTATTCTTGGCACAGTTCCAATTTCCTTCTTCTGTGCAACCTGTTCACATATCCTGCACAAAAACCTGACAGTACATATAACTATTTGTTGATGCTGCAGTTTGAGCATTCAGCCTCTGCTCTGATAACCTGTCACAGTCAGGCGATTGGTTGCTTACCTATTAATCTGAGAGTACTAGGATAATAGTGCTGAATATCAAGCTGCCTACTTAAATTTTTTTACTTGATTATACATCCAGGTTGACCTCGGACCACTGCCAGATACGGTTCCTACAGACAGAATTGTTGTTTTGCGAGGCGGTTGGAATTTGTTCGGAAAGGGATCTGCTGGAGAAATACTACTCCGGCTGACATATAAAGCATACGTGGAGGATGAAGAAGACGATAAACGCAATGCAAAACCCATCCATGCTGCAGATGCTTCCGATGATGAAATGTCTGATTCGGAAGAACCTAGCTCATTCGTGCAGAAAGACAAGATTCCTTCTGATGATATCAGCCAAGAGTCATTTATGAACGTGCTGTCTGCATTGATTTTGAGCGAGGAGTTTCAAGGCATAGTTTCATCAGAAGCTGGGAACAATAAACTAGATGATGGTGAACTAAGCGTGCCACCAGTACCATCGCAGGCTGAGGCCGACTCAAAATCTCGACCGGAAGATATTGGCGATGGAAGCATATCAGATTTGGAAGTGAAAAATGCAAACTCTGATAGAGGTTCTATTGATGATGGAGGTATATCGAGCTCTGTCTTATGATGATTTTGTTTTTATGGTTGCTTGGTCTAAACCATTCAAGCATTCTAATTTCAGGGTTAGCATTATTGTGGTTCGGTGTAATCACTTCTGTACTGGTGCTTGTTGCTATCAACATGGGCGGCTCAAGTTTCTTCAACCCGTAACATGGTGTTGAATGGATCACTAGCGATTTCTTTTGCCAAAGTAAGTCTCTGAGCCTAGTAATGAAAACTTTGTAAGTTCTGCCTATCGTTGCCAGTATCAGTTAAATGCACTTGTATAGCCTTGCAAACTTCTGGAATCACTATAACAAGGTCTTTTTGCTGGGCGTAGTTTCTGTTTTGGCTTTTCATATTAATATCGATACCCGAAAAAAAGAGTTGTCAGTTAGAGAAAATTATTGAATATGGTGTACCAAAGTTTCCGCAACTGAGACGATGCATAGAACCTGGCATACAGTCTACGGTAGAAACTTAGGAACCATACACAGTTTTGTAAATATTGCGCGTTGTGCTCAATGATCTGGTAGAGTCTTCTGTTTGCTGTAACATAGTCTAGTCCAAATATTTATAGTTCTGTTGTTTGCCTTTATTAGGGCCCCATTGTTGATTGACTAACCAAAGCCTCTTGTCTAATGGCAGGTTGGTTAATTTTCTCTTCTCGGCCATAGAGATGGCTTTATAACGAGGTCTCAGTTTTGTGTTTACATTCTAATGCTGTTGTATGCATGTCATTAGAAGAGGGGCACTTATTGGCGGTATAGTTTTTTTGGATCTATTTCACCCAATCTCTTATAATTGTGAATCAACGTGTATACCAGTGATTTGTTATATAGTACAAGAAAAAGTTATTTGCCATTCAAATAAAGATTTTTCTGCAAGGAAGCGATTCTGTTTACCTTAACACGTAGCACATTGACCCCAGCTACTAGCCGTCACCAACTTGTAGGTTTGAGAAAAGTGTTCGTCTGGGATTTTGTTGGTGGATGTTTACACTTGGAAGTAGTTTAGATTTTTGTCTTCTAGTTTTGTCCATTTTTCAGATACAAAAGGTGTAATACTCTGCCATGAAAGTACTTTTTCTGGAGGAGCAAGAGTCTAAACAAGGTACAATTTATCTTCTTTCTTTGGCCTTTAAAGTTTGTCTTGCTAGATTATATTAGGAGGATCTTAAAGTTGTTCATGGTGTCAAAATAGCTAATCTTTATAAAGTAGTATTTTCTTCCCAATTTTCTCATTCTTATTAGACATCACCTCTCTAACTGGTTCTAATAAAAAAATACTGTATTATGCTTGAAAATTTTCTTGCTTTATGGAAAGAAGGTGATTCCATACACTATATATAGCTATGCTTGCTTCATCTTTTTCGGCGTTTGTTTGCTGTTGGCAAATTACAGTAGATTGTAATGTTAATGCAAAAATAAAATGTGGGATGTGTGTATGTATATTAACAATTTTGTTACTGTTACACACGCTGGAAACAAGAGTGGGACTAATTGTTACTTTTCAGGTCAAAAATCAAAGCCAGAGGCGCAAGAAAGTCTCCACTCAGAGGTCATATTTCGAATATATATAGCTGAGAAAACGAGGAGCGAATCTTCTTCCATTCTGAACTCTGAAGTATATTTGCTAAGCAATGGATTTTAAGTATGAGTAGTGCAAGTCGCGTAACATCTTGTATCGTCTTGTGCAAAAAGCCACAAAAACTAAAGAGATCTGTTGTTGCTAGAATCGTGGTTTGAAATGTATTTAACTAACTGCCCGTTGAGAGGACGATTAGATCTAATCTACACTTATTATAAGAAGGAATATGCAATCAAACAAAAAGTAAAGTAAAATACAAAGGGGACCGTGGGTGCATTAAATAAAGGGAAAGTGACGGAAAACAAAACTAACACTGTAGTCCATGATGAATAAACAAGGATTAACAAGTAAGATAGAAAATGGAGATTAGAGATTGATGATTATAATATCTCCGGAGGAAAATGAGGTTGAGAGAGCACGTGAAGGCGTTGTTGAGATGAGATCACGTCAGGCACATGTGGTGGACAGTTCTTGTTTTTTTTTTATAGGTTTGCTATCCTCATCTGTCTTCGGTTTCTCCGTTCTCTTTTGTCTTCTTCTCTAATTTTTCCCAATGTATCAATTTTTTGTCTTCGTTATTTCTTTGATACTATATAGTATTTAATGTAAATGTTTTCACTACAATTACAGTTCTTTTGCATCTGACTAGATTGAAACAATACGAGATTGAGGCGTTTAATTTCTGTCAGTTATCTTCCTCCAAATTCCAATCCTCCTCACAAATCATAATTCACACACTTCTTTTGCAAGGTTTTCTAAAACACGGAATCAGTACGAAATAAGATGACACAGCACTGTCCGTTTTTATTGACACAGCATGCAAGAAGCATGGTTTTTTTGGAGTGGGACCAATTAGTATTAGCAAATTCAGAAGAAAGAAAAGAGAAATCTCTCATACTAAAATATGATTTTTGTAGTTGTAAATGTGAGGAAGAATAGTTGGTAACTGGTATAAATTATAATATGAAATTTTGCAAGAGCTGGATATCCATTTCGAACAGGCAATCATCCCTGCAAATTTGTTTTCCTAAATCAAATACTTTTTGAGCAATGATTACTTTAAAGTGTTTCAATTTTTATAGAAAAAATTATCATGGTGGGTTGCATTCTATTTACTAAACCGACTTTTTAAATTTTCTCGCAAATCTTGAGAGGGAAAATAAATGTTTATAATTGTATTGAGAGCCTTTTCACCAGTGACATCATAGGCACTGATAATTATACGTATTAAATTTCACATATGAATCATGATGAAAAACCTGAATATCACTAAAAGAAATTTTATCAAGCCGTTATTTGAAATATATCTCAAGACTGATTCATACAGCATATAAGATTGAAAATTGAAAAATGATTGAAATAGTTTGGAAACAAGTATTTAATTCATTTTTATATGTAACTACACATTTTACTTTTGAATATAAATTAAAAATGTGGGAAGAGTTTTGAGATTCAGGAATTAGAATAACGAGAGTAGCTTAAAACTATATAACAAAAGCATCAGAAAGTTTGAATATTCTTCCACTTTTGTTTTGGCTCAAGACACTTTTATTTGAAGATACAGTAAGGAACTATCATTCCAAATTGTAAGAATCTTTACATGTTTTGTCTAATTTTTATATGTCCAATAATGTTCAAAACATTGTAGGCTCTACTTTTCTAGGCGCTACTCTTTTGCTCCAATCGTGACATATCCCCACCACTGTCGCTTGTAGAAAATGTTAAAACGAAATGTTTGAGATGTATGCTTGTAATAACTATTATGATAAAAAAAAATGTAGTAAATAAACTTGTTACCAATAAACACAATACAGGAGAGGTTAGTTTATTGACCTCTCACGAAGATGGCATATGTTTTTGGGGACATTAACAAACACGTAGTAGGACTTCTTCACTAAAAGCATTTAGAACAAAAATTCAATGCAATTAACCCCTAAACATTTTTTTTTTGTTGCGGGTGAACAACCAACCATTGAGATTTTTTTTTCTTTTGACATATACATTTTCTGAACTGGATACATGTTTTCACTGTGTATATCTATGATTCATTGTAACATATACCAATAACTCTGTATAACTACAATTCATTGGACACATGCATTCACTAATCACTGTATAACTATAACTCATTAAATATGTAAAAAAAAACTCATTTAAAAAAACCAGTAGAATATAGACAATATCAAAAGAAATCAGTTAAAAAAAATTAATTACCTTTTCGATCTAATTAAAACCCGAAAAGTGGTCGTCGTTCTCAATTCTCTTTGAAGAGATTAGAAGATGTATGGCTTTATTTTCTCTTATCTCCATCAAACATGTACCAAGAACTAAAAATGTAAAGGCAAACAAGTTAGCACGGAGAGCTCGACATTTTCCTTGTTACATGTATTTTGTAAACTCTCTTTCACCGATTTGGATTTCCAAATTGTTGTAGAAATAGAGGCTGTTGAAAAAAAAAATCCTATACTTCTTAATAGTAAACTCTTTTAAGAAATAATTTTATATGCAAGAAATATAACAAATAAATGAAAAATAAAACATGTGATAGCAACCATAGAAACTTTAAAATATAATTTTGATTTCTACATTTTGTTATTTATTTTTAAATTAAAGTTAAAAAAAATATTATAAAAAAACAATGGGAAATGGCCTTGTTTTGTCCGAAAAATGCAAAGTGAAGCAGCGCTGGCTCGAATCACGTTTTTCTTGTATAAAGACAATCCTCTCTCACTGTCCTTTCACTTTCACTTCTCCTCCTCTCTCTCGCTCGCCTCTTTGGATTCTTCAGGTACTCTCTCTCTCTCTCTCTTTCTCTCTCCATCTCTCAGTCGCTGCTTTATCTTTTAGATCTCTCGAACTTGATTCACAGTTGCTCCTACATACCACTTGTCAACCATGTTAGTTTTGAATTTTCACCACCTCCGTCTTCCAATTTCATGCAAATTAAACTTTTCGCTCAACATTTTTTTCTTTGGGGAGTAGAAAACAGTTACTGTTGCGTTTGATTCCTTTGTTGGTAGACCAGATGCGTAGATCTATAGCGTATAACCAATTCCTCAACTCTCTGTTGGATTTTCCGATCCACAAGTGTATATATTAGTTTGGTCGGTCCAACCACAAGTGTCTCTTTGTCTTTATCTTGACTGTTTCCATGGAGTCCACTGTATATTGCTTACATATTGACTACATACACTGGATTTGAAACTCTCAATGATTTTAATTGATTTTGAGCTTACTTACAACGATTTTGTTTTGAAGCAGAGGAATCTCAAAAATGTCGGATCTTCGGGCACCGCTAGTGAGGCCAAAGAGAAAGAAGACATGGGTCGATTACTTCGTCCAGTTCCGATGGATCATCGTCATCTTCGTGGTCCTCCCAATCTCAGCCACACTCTACTTCCTCATCTACGTCGGAGACATGTGGTCAGAATCCAAATCCTACGAGAAACGCCGCAAGGAGCACGACGACAACGTCATGAAAGTCATCAAACGCCTCAAGGAGAGGAACGCCGCCAAGGACGGCCTCGTCTGCACCGCCCGCAAGCCCTGGATCGCCGTGGGAATGAGGAACGTCGACTACAAGAGAGCACGACACTTCGAGGTCGACTTGGGAGCGTTCCGCAACATCCTCGAGATCAACAAGGAGAAGATGATCGCTAGAGTCGAGCCTCTCGTCAACATGGGACAGATCTCTCGCGCCACAGTCCCGATGAACCTCTCTCTCGCTGTCGTCGCTGAGCTAGACGATCTCACCGTCGGTGGACTCATCAACGGGTACGGTATCGAAGGAAGCTCACACATCCACGGCTTGTTCGCTGACACAGTCGAAGCCTACGAGATCGTCCTCGCCGGTGGAGAACTCGTCCGTGCAACTAAAGACAACGAGTACTCCGATCTTTACTACGGCATCCCTTGGTCGCAGGGAACTCTCGGGCTCCTCGTGGCTGCGGAGATCAAGCTGATTCCGGTTAAGGAGTACATGAGACTCAAATACATACCGGTGAAAGGAGATCTCCAAACCGTAGCGCAAGGCTACATGGACGCAGTGGCGCCACGAGACGGAGACAAGAGCAAGATCCCTGATTTCGTGGAGGGAATGGTTTACAGTCCGGAAGAAGGAGTGATGATGGTTGGGAACTACGCGTCTAAAGAAGAAGCCAAGAAGAAAGGGAACAAGATCAACAGCGTTGGGTGGTGGTTCAAGCCGTGGTTCTACCAGCACGCGGAGACCGCGCTCAAGAGAGGGGAGTTTGTGGAATACTTACCGACGAGGGAGTACTACCACAGGCACACGAGGTGCTTGTATTGGGAAGGGAAACTTATTCTTCCGTTTGGTGATCAGTTTTGGTTTAGGTTCCTCTTTGGTTGGTTGATGCCTCCAAAGGTCTCTCTCCTTAAGGCCACTCAAGGTGAAGCTATTAGGAACTATTACCATGACATGCATGTTATTCAAGACATGCTTGTTCCTCTTTACAAAGTCGGCGATGCCCTTGAATGGGTCCACCACGAAATGGAGGTAAAAAGAAAAAGAAAAAAATCAATCCTTTTTCATAAAAGATTCTCTTTTTCATGATTCTTGATCATCTTGTAGCTAAAAGATTCTCCTTTTCATGATTCTTGATCATCTTGTAGCTAAAAGATTCTCTTTTTCATGATTCTTGGGTTTTGTTTTTGACATTTTCAGGTGTATCCGATATGGCTATGCCCACACAAACTCTACAAGACGCCAATCAAGCAGCAGATTTACCCAGAGCCAGGGTTCGAGTATGAGAACAGACAAGGAGACACGGAGGATGCTCAGATGTTTACTGATGTTGGAGTCTACTACGCGCCGGGTGCTGTCCTCAGAGGTGAAGAGTATGATGGGTCGGAGGCAGTGCGTAAGATGGAGAAGTGGCTGATCGAGAACCATGGATTCCAGCCGCAGTACGCAGTGTCTGAGCTGGACGAGAAGAGCTTCTGGAGAATGTTTGATGCTGACCTGTATGAGCATTGCCGCAAGAAGTACAGAGCTGTTGGAACGTTCATGAGCGTTTACTACAAGTCGAAGAAAGGAAGGAAGACTGAGAAGGAAGTTAGAGAAGCCGAGCAAGCTCATCTCGAAACAGCTTACGCTGAGGCTGATTAAGAAGTAATAAAAACCGGAACAAACTCATCCTGTTTGAGTGAAATGGGTTTGAGTTTATTATTATCATCTGTTATGTGTTTCCTATTTTTCAGTTTTAGTGTCTTGATGACTATTGTTGTTGTTTTGTTTCTTGCTGTTATTGTTTGACTTTATGCTTTTGAATGGAATTTTAGTTTTCCTTTTGAGATTTGGATTTGCTTCTGAGTTTTTCTTTTGAGTCCTCAATATTGTCTCAGATCATGTCAATGAGTCGATGACAAACAAAACTTGTCACTTAAATTTGGCTTGTAAGCGGTTTGGTTTGAGTAAACCGGGAAATATCGGTATTTGAACCGAAGTTGACCAAGTAGCCAAATTTGGCTTGTAAGCGGTTTGGTTTTAGCCTTTTACTCTTTTAGGATAAACGCCATCCTCGAGTGTGATGAGCTCTGTTTCTGGCAACGAAGAAAGTACCAGAAATTATCGTCTAAAGTCGAACCCAGTCTCTTGAATCACTTCATACTAGTAAGCAATTTTCAATTTCGAATCCTTCTCCTCTCTTTGATATTGGAAAAAATCAATTCTTGTTACTTTCCGATTCGGTTTCCATGATGGTTTTTTTGCGGCTCTAAACTGGTTGTGTAAAGGTCTGTTCTTTTTCATATATGAAATGCGCATAGAAGATGTTCGATAAAATGCCTAGCTCGAACTTCCCTTCATTCCTGTAGTAACATTAGCTCTGATTGATTTGTAAATGTGAAGTCTTGATACCCAATTCCTTCTTTTCACAAATATCTTGAGATCATTTCTCTTCTCAGATTTTTTCATGTGAATTGTCCTGTCTTTATCTATTCTTAACACTAACATCAGCACATGTTGCTTGCAGGTGGTGTAAGCTGGTCTTATCTCTGTTTCACGCTGAAGAAACCCATTCCTAGTATGATACTTTGATAAACTCTTCATAAAGTTGCATCCTGTTTTAGCCTCTGCTGCCAAAAATGTCTCTGGTTTGCTCTTCCTCTTGTGTAGCTCCCTTGCCACAGACCAAACGGCCACGTCCGAGTTTTCTGAATCTTAAACCATGTACCTTAAGCTTATCTTCTTCCACTGGCATTAGGAAGCACATCAATTACCTGTTCACAGAACCGCATAAGCTTCGTAAGAGTCAGATATTAGTTAGTAGTCAGGAATCATTCACAGAGAAGAGCACAATAGATCTTGATTGGGAAGATCAGGAGGAAATGGAGGATACTGGTTCACCTTGGGAAGGCTCGGTTATGTATAAGAGAAATGCTTCAGTTACACATGTTGAATACTGCACCACTCTAGAGAGGCTTGGCTTGGGAAGATTATCAACTGATGTCTCGAAGACGAGCGCTTCTGCAATGGGACTAAGAGTGACCAAAGATGTAAAAGACTATCCAGATGGCACGCCGGTTCAAGTTTCCGTCGATGTCATAAGGAAGAAGAAGAAGCTGAGACTCGATGGGATTGTCAGGACTGTAATCACACTCGGCTGCAACAGGTGCTTTCTTTGTGAACTCATCACCAGCTTCTTCTGTGATTGCATCAACTTTGTTTGTTTACTGGTTTTATCTTCTTTTTATGTGTTTTGAAGATGTGGTGAGCCAGCAGGTGAGAGCATCTTCTCCAACTTCTCGCTGTTACTAACAGAAGAGCCAGTTGAAGAACCTGATGTCATTGATCTAGGGTTCACATTCGGAAGTGACAAGACCAATTCCTTTTCTGGATTGTCTAATGATGAAGAAGCAGGTGAGGATGATGATGATGATGAGATAGATTGGGAGGATAAGCTCCATTTTCCGCCTGAGGTGAAAGAAATAGATATCTCAAAGCATATAAGAGACTTGGTGCATTTAGAGATCACCATCAACGCGATATGTGATTCAGCGTGTAAAGGAATGTGCTTGAAGTGCGGTGCTAATCTGAATAAGAGGAAGTGTGATTGTGGGAGTGAAGAGAAAGATAAAGGATATGGACCTCTCGGAAACCTGAGAAAGCAGATGCAACAGAAAGAGGGTTTGAGGAACTAAACACAACTCTACTTGTCTGGATTTTGATCTTCTTTTTCTCAGTGTAGAATCAAATGTATCAAAATGCTCAAAAGTGAATCTTAAGTAGCTAAACCATTCTTCAAGCTCGTTCTTATTCATCACCAATTCGTCCAATTGAGGTATTTGCTTTGAAGCCAATGGTAAACTTTTCACAAATCTGGAATTTAAAATCCAGAGCACTCAAAAGAATCTAATACAATAAAAATCATAAGCTTAATATCAGCACATTTGTTGAAACAAGATGTGTATATAACATATCTATAAAAAGCATTACATTTCTTGTCCCAAGTCGATGTGTATTTATTTAGTTTTGTATATGAACATCAAAATCTTTAGGCGACTTTGAAACTAGTGTATATTTTAGAAAGAGAGGTCTCTACTTCTTCTTAAGCTCAAGCAGTCGTGACCATCTCTTATGAACAGAAGCTGTATTTGTCTCACCAACAACTGCAAAAAGCAATTCAGAAAACCAAAACTCTTTAATCTTTATGAAGAATTAACAAACATATCATGTAAAGATAGAGAAACAAAAACCAACACAATGTTACTCTTACAATGCAGTATAGGTTCCGATTTTTCGCAGGAATCCGAGCATATATCCTATAACCAAACAGCAATTTAGATTCTTTGGCAATTTAAGTTTATGGATTCGATGAAACTTTTGAGATAGTTAACTTAAAACTGAATCTTACTTTAGCATAAGTTGTGAGCCGGATAGTGTCTTGTACAAGGGAGTCAAGGTTAGCTTCATATCCAGGTCTCACATATATTACCTACCATAACAGAGACCTTATTTAAAATTCTGTTTGTTGAAATGCAGTAAAGAGAGAGAGAGCTTATGAGGTTCTGAAGGAGGCGCTCACAGCAGGATCATCACCGCCAATTTCTGGCAGCTGTGAAGCTCGATTGTCTCGACTTGATGGCAAAATCCATACCGTGAAATTTGCATCGATCTGGTCACAGAACTTTCATCAAAACAGTTCCTTTTCAGAAACACCTTTAGAATGAAAACAGTTACCAGTCGAGGATAAGCAGAGGAGCAGATGCTGCACTTTCTTGCAAAAGACGTTACGATTCTTCCATCTACTGAGAGTCCCATGCTTGCGTGCTACAAAAGAAATAACACTTTAAGAAGAAAAAAAAATCAAAGTTCAATAAGTATTAACACAAACCTAAGCTCACAAAACAGAAGTGGACGGACGGAACTAAATTGTGAAAAAAGGAATGATATTTTATATTACTCTTTGGACAGAGAGATCGACGGTGACACGGGCATTGGCAGGGCCACTTTCAACAAGATCTTCAAGGTGAAGATCACGCAGAGAGACATTGTAGTTAGTGTTCCAGTTACCATTCCATTTTCCTTCAGAAGGAGACAAAGTTATCAGACGCTTCTTCCCTGTTCTTGAGCTCCCTCCTCCATTTATTGCTCCCTGTATTCGTTTAGGTTTGGATTATTTGTTATGACTCTTTACATATCCAATCTTCGTTATATAATCAATGTTTCAAAGATTTCACATTCATACAGTAGAAGTCAGAGGAGAATAAGAAGAAGTAATAATACCGAAGAAGCTTCTTGTTTCCTGGAGATAGAAGAAATGGGAAGCAGATGAAGGCGTGGAGTATCGCCGGAAACTTTGTTCTTAGTATTCAAGAGATTTGGAGAGACCAAGCAACGAACACAGGCTGATTCCGCCATGGATGATGATTCTCCAGAAAGGAGCTCTCCTCTGGTCTATGGAGAAAGAACCTGAACCAACCAAATGTCACCAAACCTTATCCTCTATTTATATTTACACTCAAATCACCACTAGTCTTTTTGGCGCTCGACGTGTATGTTCTTATAACTACCAAATTAAGAAATTGCTTAGGAGTCATCGACATTGGTTAAATTCAGTTAAATTCTAGACTTTTCGAAGAAGTCTGCAAGAGGAATGGTCATGCTTTTGATCAAAGGAAACTATGTAAAACCTATTTGTTGTTTCTTACAGTTTAAACCAACATTTTTCAACCCACATGATGGGTTTTTACTTTTTACTATCTTCTTCTTTCTAAAAGAAAGTAAAAAAGGGATGCAACAGCTTTCAAGGCCAAGCAAAGGCAATTTCTTGGTTGACAACATCCCATGCTCCAAGTCTGATCTCATCAAACAACTGTTCATATCTCCAGCTTGAGTATCCCAAGAAAAACCAGTACTCGCTTGGACTCAGATCTCTAGATTTCACCTCTTGGATTCGACGGGCCACAGACTGATGATCCAGGAAATACACGCCTGGTGAGATTTCCAGGTGCTCATGGTCCGAGTCTACCTCTCGTGTCAGAGCTAAAAGTGGGAGCCCTGGATCCACCACTGGACCTCCAAATGATAGAAGAGTCTTTTTCAAGAGCTCGCTTCTTTCGCCGAGCTCAGGGAACGTTTTCCAACTTACCGGTTTGTTGATGATTAGACCCATGAAACCGGATTCGGGGTCTGCTTTCATGATCAGAATCTTTGATTTGCCAAACGGTGGCGAGGCACCTAGCTTTTCTGTAGCGACCAGGATGGTGCCGGTTTTCACTTGGGGAGCGGTTTTTGGCGAGGAGGGTGTTGGAGGTGATTTGGAATCGACCTGGTCAGGTTTCACCTCTCTTTCGACGTGCTCTCTGTTCCGCAAAACGACCTCAACAAGTTTATCACCATCTGTTACTTTATCGTTCACAGCAGATGAAGATTTGTCGAGCTTGTTTGAGTTTCTTCTTCCTTTTCCAGACAGAGTAGGAATGATTTCTGCCAGAGAAAGATTCGTAACTTGCTTTGTTTAGGCTCTCCGGATTAGAGATATTATTCAGAATATATGAGTACGCAAGTGAACAAACGATGTTGACTTACTGAAGAACTCACGGGAGTTATTTGCATGGCGAGCTACAAACTCTGTTATGTCAGTTATAGACGTTTCCCCTTGATATGGAATGACTTTGTTTCTCTCGGCTGGAAATAATATCAGAGAAGGATACACTTCCCTCTGCAACGTCACAAGATTCATAGAGCGAGTGAATAAATAATTTATGAATGAGAATATTTAACGGTGATTTGAGAGGAATAATGGTTTGCACTGCGGCAAATGCAACATCAATACTGTAAATATATGCAAATACTAGAATCAATCAAACAAACCATACTAGAAATAAGACAAGCAATCATGTTAAGTACCTGATTTATTGATTTTAGGATCAAGCTGCAATCATTCAACGTGCAGTCCATTAAGTAGATTAGTGGAGACTTTAGACTCTTGCTATTAATTGGTGCCTCTGTTTCTGAACAGAAGGAACAACAAACGATTAGAATGATAATTTTTATGAATACATGTGCATTTTACTCTCCATATTACACTCAGATAAAAATATAGGAATAAAAAACTAGTAACTCTATATCACATGGTAATAAAAATTCAATTACCTGATCCTCCTTGTATTTTCGCGTTATATTCCTTTAGTGATCGGTACACCTCACGCAGGACTAGCTCCATCCTCTGACAAAACCCACACCAGTTATTGCTAAAAAGGACCAAAACGTCCTGGCACAAAGGACAGGGAGCCTTCTCTGCACTGGACTGATTCCACGCATGAACCATGTGGGAGAAAGTATTGACTGTGACACGGGGAATAGAATCCACCTCGTGGAAGTCCAGGTTAACAAAAGGTGGAACTGTAGCTTTTCTAGGCACTCGAATGGTAGATTCAGACTGTTTATAAGGTGATAGACTTCCATTGAGATATCCATGAAGAAAGTCGACCAGTGACAAATAGCTAAATGTTACCCCAGCTTGAAGGACATAGTGCTGTTGTAAAGCAGGGTCGATTATCACTGCTGATGGAATCTTCACATCACCAGTCAGAGCCCTAAGTAATGCGTAGTTTGCGTCAGCGAAGAAAAATGAGCCCCTGAAACTATGCACCAGATCTTCCTTTGATTCAGACTGCATCGATATCTTGATCTTCCCCTTATCATTTTCTTTCGAAAAAAAATTCATTTCGTCCTTTTCTTTAGAACCCATGTTGACCTTGTTAGTGAAACCTTCGGCAGAAGATGGAGCAGAGTCTTGACCAGACATAACTTTGGCTTGTGACGGTAATGCATCCAGTACTTTTATGTGCACATCATCAGATAATAGACGGAAACCAGCATCCTTAGCAATCGAGCTCAATTTACTAGTTTCTTTTCTTCTGTGAACAAGTTTCGTCAGTATCTCCTGCAGGGAACTGCCTTCCATACCTGGAGCTATAGAGTCTAGGGCAACATGTTTATCCCCATCCAGAATCACAAAAGAGACCTTACTCTCTAACTTAATTGTCTTAAACTTTCCGGCAGCTTTCTGAAGTGACACAGACACCGATTCTTGCTCAGCCTGGCTAACGGAGTTCTCATACTGAATACCATTCTCCCAGTTTATTATGTCAGACAATTTATGCTGTGCAGCTACATCTCTGAAAGTAGCAAGTGCTTTCACACTCCTCCTCCTATCCTTCAAGGAGCTACTTGATCTATCAACAAAGAGAATAACCGATGGTTTACTTGCAGGAAAAGAAGACTCTTGGTCCTGCCCCTCATCCTCCAGCTACATGAGAAAGACAGTTTTAAATGCAGAACTTTCTAAGCTTAGCAATACATGAGGGACTGGAAGTATAGTATTTAATAAATCAATAAAACGAACACAACTTCAACTGCAATTTCAAATTGTTTTGAGTCAAACATCATAGAGATCTTGCTTAACCACAAATGACAGTCTCCTGTTATCGATATACTGCTAACAGAGAGTGGTTTCTACCAATAAATACAGCAAGCGTACTATCCTACTTAGAAAGTTACACACTCAATTAGCTACATATATTTCTCCCCAACGAACAGGAGTAAAGATACCTGAATATGTAAAATCAACTAAAACATATGGACAGAAAGAGAACCATACCTCTGTGACTATTGGATTTTCCATCTTTAAGAGTCTCTGAATGTCATCCCCGACCTTGAGAATCTTTGAACAATGTGGACATCCTGCCAGCTGAAGAACCGCTGCCCACGAATCAGACACTCCAATATTAAAAGATGAAGCCATTGATCTTTCGGTGATCACACCAAATTTTTGCCTTTCCGGAGGTAGAGAAAACTTTTTAGCGGTGGCAATAAATTCCGAGAGGAATGAACTGAATTTCTCAAACTGTTCATGGTTACATGTCTGTCCAGACCCCCAATTTACTCTGTCATTCTCCTGCAAAGCAGCAGTATCATTGACATAGCTAAAATCCTCAAGCCAAGGAACTCTACCAAATCCGGGTTGGAGTCTACACATCAATTTCCAATTTGCATGGTCTGTTTATAAGGCACGAAAAAAAATCACACATTATAGAGGCAATACACAAAAAAAACATATCAACATCGTCTAGACATGAAGTGAGAATCTACCAGCCACCTTCTGGTTAGTTTTTCCTCCTAGCTTTATCGCTCGCTCAATTTCTACATATTTGGAGAAGTTTCCTGCAAAATTGGAATCAGAATATCTAAGTAATCAGCCAAACATTCCAACTTAATATAAACAGAACTAAACTTCTATGCCATTATGACCATCGCATAATCTTTTGAAGATTACAGAAGGAAACCAAATGCAATACCCGGAGAGTACCAATGCATTGTTGACAGAAAATAAAAGATAATATGATAGATTTCTTAGGTTTCTCTACCAAGGGATACGATACTGGGAGAGACTAGTCTCACAGTAAGACTCATAGGTCACAAGACTTGAAAGAAACGGCAATAACTGCTACGGATTAGGGATTGTTAGACTGAAAAATTTCTACTCTACACTCTAAAGGTCTAATACTCTATAGAGCTCACTCACCCTGAAAACGTACTAAGCTAATGGATTTAGGGTTCAAATCATAAAATAAAGACAAGTGATCTCACAAGATGAGTATTATCCAGAGTCAACAACGGCAGATCAACTCACCTTGCCAAAGGTTATCTTCAGTTACATTCTTCCTCAACTCAGACAGAAGTGTAGTCGTCCACCCGCAAAACTCGAACAGAATTAAAGCCTTATCAGATGATTCAAGGAAATCTTTCAAACTCCTTGGAGACTTCAAATGCTTGAGAGGTAGTTCTTGGGGAGTAGATGTCAGATAAGGATGAATAGAGGACAACACATTTGAGGCTCGGAGCTTCCCATTATAGTTGTAAGGCACAGTATGATGATAGTACAAAATTGTTATTCCGTTGGCAGCACCAATGGCTTGTGCTAGCGTCTTCTCTGAATTTCTGTATACAGTCATCAGCTTCAACAAGCCAAATTCGTCACTAATCTGAACCATCTGAGTAATTTCCTTCTTAAGGGATCTGGACTCGCCACACCCTATAAATCAGCAGTAGAACCAAACAAAAATCATCAAAATCAAACACTGAAAACATCTCCATATGGAATAAAAAACCGATCAAGTTACACTGCAAAGTCTGAGCACAAAATGAAAAGAGTTGTACACAGAAATTCGGAATCACGCTTCGGATTATTCAATCAATGTGAATGAAAAAAGAATCAGAGATAGTGGAAACCATTATCCTCTTCGCATCCTATAAATTTCTGCAAAAGCTTCGCAATATTTATCCGATCAGACTCGTCCCGAGTCAATTTATACGCAAACTATGTAACAGTACGGAGACACAGAGAGAGAGAGAGAGAGAATGTGCGAGTGAGTGAGTGAGAGAGTACATGGAGCGGTGACAAAGAGGAGGACGTGAGGATGGAGACGGATCTGAGAAGAGAAGTTTTGCTCCGTGAGAATACCCCATTCTCCATGGCCGCTTGCCGGAGAAGTAACGGATACGACGCCCAGAATGAGAAAGAGGAGGAGCGCCGGAGTTTTCATCGGAAACCCGCTCGCTCACTCGCTCGTCGCGTCTTCCGATTTTCCTGGCTGGTTCGGTTTAACAGATCAAATTCTCACAGAGATCGCATTTTACCGGTTCGGTGGAATAAGAGTTTTGTTGGCACCTGCCACGTGTATTATTCGATTGTCATGTACCTTTTTTGGCTTCTTGAATTAGATAGAGCAGAAGAAGAACTCTTTAACTTTGAAGTTTGACCTCAAATTGCATTGCAATGATAATTCGTATCCAACACTTTGGCAAATGTTTATTCTGATTATATCATAATTGTATTATACACAATAGCATATGTAAGAGTTACAATATGAATTGGCCAATGTTGAGGAGCCCTCCAAAATCATCTGACATGTTCACTATGATCTGATCTGATCAAAATCATCCTTTTCTCAACAAGGACTGATCCAATACAAGACACTCTCATATATCATTCTGAACCTTTAGAATCTGCAACTGGATGTTTAGAATCAACATCTTTATCTTCTACAGGTTCTCTCTCTGGACTTTGCTTCATCAACTCGATGTCTTTAGCATCTACTTCTCCTTGCACTTTGAGATCAGCTTCTTCATCCTTTCCTTTAACCAAAACTGAGCCATATTCTTCTTGTTTCACATCTCCCCCTTCACCCTGTAGAGCTCGGATCAAATCATCGACGCTCCTGTCAGTTTCCCTTTCCATTTGAACATCTGAAGACGATGATGTGGTATGATCCTCAGATTCTTTAGACGTAACCAAACCGGAAGATTCTTGCAAGGGTGAACCGGATGGAGCTACAGATGCTGCATTTGCATCACCCAAGCCTTTGGAAAGGCACACATATTTGAAAACGAGCTGTTTATAACTGTTTAACAAGCCTTCAACATCTCCTATCCTCAAATCACCACTACTTGCAAATATGTATGGATATTCTTGAAAGATCTTACTTGCCTCAGTATCCTTCATAAGCGTGGCAACACCCTTATGTTCTAAATCCGAAACGGATTCAACTTTCTTCACTGGTGTTTCACTCTTCGGAGTCACTGTTTCATTCGTCCCAGAGAGACTATCAGACGATTTTGATTGGAAAAGAGTGTTGTTATCCTTCTTGGGATTCAACACTTGAGCTTTATGAGCAGTGGACTCATCACGAGGGGGTGGTGCAGTGCCGTGACCAGTTTGGCTGCCCAGACCAGAAATCCGTGCCCGTGCAGACTCCATGTTCTTTTCAAACTCAGCTTCATCCATTGAAAGGGACTTTGCATCGATATTTGAGATGAAAGACTCTGCAGAGAGTATGTTTGTGAAGAAGTAGGCAGCTTCACCAACAAGTTTCGATTCACGCCTATATCTTTGTATATACAACAAGTTTGAGTGAAGTTGTGGAGGGTTAGCCTGCGAAAAAGAAATAAAAGAATGAGCACTAGCAGATGTAGTTGCACAATCAAAACAACATCAGAAACCAGCAAGCACAGATTTTGTTCAAATACTTTTTTCTCCATACCTTTATTGTAACATAAATCAAAACAGGAAGAAATTCGTCCGCTCCAGGTGTATTCTCATTTGAAGCAATGGAAGCATTCAGCAGTAAGTTATTTATCACTTTGCAGCAGTTAAGGACACAGACAAGCTTATCACGAGGAGCTTTGTACATGTTTATCTTCTGGAGCTCTTTCTGAGCTAGCTGCCGAGAGGAGAGCAAGAATATCACTAAGTAAGAACATTAACAAGAAGATGAAACACATTATTGCGCGAGAGCTAGCTTTTAACTAGATTAGCTTACCAGCCATGAAGTTTCGTTTTGAAAAGTTGGTTGTATATCCAAACTTTCAGGAGCAATGAATTGTTGAACCAACGACATCTTCTGGAAGAGTTTCTCATCAGCTATAACATCTTCGGTGTTTGACGCAAATACCCTGGTAAATAGCTTTGTCATGACGTACTTTTCCAGGCCCTGTGTATACAAAGGAGCAATGATATTAAGGCAGGAAGATGCAAAAAAATCCAAACAGACAGAGAGAGTAGAAAACTGATACTCACATCTCCCGCACTGTCCAATTCCTCCTCGGAACAACCGGACCAAAGTGGATGAGCCCTGAAAGCAGCTTCCATCTTGGCAAAGAAGTCCTGAACTGCAGCACAATCTTTTTCCGCGTCTGGCGCATTGTTCGAGAATGAACCGATGAAACTGCAACATAAACTCAAAAACCATAAACGAAACGTTTTTACGAAGCCAAAGAAAGAAGTAACATAAATAAACGGCTTATCATAGATAAGCTTTCGATGTTTTTTTTCTTCTAATTGTTATAGCTTGGTAGGTAGCAAGATCATGAACATAAATTGCAGAGACCAACAATGATAAACTATGGAACAGCAGTGGAATAAGATATAAGCTTGAGATATAGAAATATCTGCTTCAAGTTTCTAGCAAATCAGCTAAACTTTACAACAAATCATCGAATCAGCGAGATCATGACACTGACTTGCTCGCATGTATTATCAAGTGAAAATAGAGCTAAAACACACAACACTAAGCGCATCCACTTGAGCTAAGAAGGAAGATCGTAAATTGAAACACGCTAATTTATCCGCATCTGCATCGAATTACAGAGACAGAGAGAGAGAGAGAGAGAGAGAGAGAGAGAGAAAAAGACCTTTTGATGGATTTAACGAAATCGCCGGCAGAAGGATTTCGCATCCGCTCCAGGAAATTATGAACGGACACGTCCGTATTATTCTCCATGGTCGATCACCAGATTCGCGTACGATCAGATTGACTAGAGAGAACAGAGATCAGTGGGCGAAGACAAAGTTTGAGTTCCGCGTCGCGCTGGCCACGACGAACAAAACGACGGTGTTAAGTTGGTGAATATGCTTCGGAGTTAACCGGTTATAGGTCTTGGTTTAGTCTTGTTAACCAATCCATTTTATTAAGTAAAATACCTTACACTAGCCACAATCTCCGTAGACTACGTTAAATTGTGATGGCTTTCGAGTAAGAAGAAAACACTGAACAATTTTGAACGGTCAACCACAAGTCTTACAAGTTACGAGTCACCACAATCAATTACTAAGGAGAAACACAAACCAAACGGTGAAGTCATTAAATTTAAACATTTACCACAAGTGAGTTTAAGTGTGTTCAAAAGAGCCCACGAAAACTCCAAAGAAACATCAAAGGCGGTAGGTATCTTGGTGAAATATCATAAGATAGTGAAATGATTATGGAACAAGCTCTGAACAGAAGAACTCGCTCATTCAGACACTTCCTGAAAGCACAAAACACCATCACAAAAATCTCAGACAAGCGTCTCTCTTCTAAATAAGATCAGATACATTCACTGGCATCTCGTCAATCTGGGTACTGTAGTACTGCTCAATGTCCCTGAGGATCTTGATGTCATCGCTTTTAACAAAGTTGATCGCAACACCCTACAATGACGACAGTAAAACTTGTTTAATTGATTATGAGAGAATACACAACTCTTCAACAGATTAAAATCAACGCAATACCTTGCGCCCGAAACGACCAGACCGTCCAATACGATGGATGTAGAGCTCACGGTTGTTGGGGAGATCATAATTGATGACAAGAGAAACCTGTTAACATATAATTCCGCATGTCAATTTTCACATAATCATACTTCCTGCATTATTATTATCTAAACAAGATATGGCGGAGAAGTAATGACTAACCTGCTGCACATCAATCCCACGTGCCCATACATCGGTTGTGATCAAAACACGACTGTCACCTGACCGGAACTGCCTCATGATCTCGTCTCTTTCCCTCTGAGGCATGTCACCGTGCATTGATGAGACGGTGAAGTTGTTAGTCCTCATTTTCTCACTTAGCCAATCCACCTGACAACAAATGCAGATGTATAGTTAGCTGAATGAAGAAACCATAACTCCAGCACCCTAATTCGGAAAACTGAAATTGAAGAAACATCAAAGATGATATATAGCAGCATCACAGGACTAATCACGAGGCCAGCATAATCAACTAGAATTCTGCAAGTGAATAGAGTGTTTATGCAAGTAATTAAATAAGGCTGTGGAGTTCTATTTAAACAGCTACAAACATTCCCAAAAGACTACAATTTATGAGCAGTTTCTTAAACTGAGATGAGCTCCAGGAGGATTACCTTTGGTTTTGTATTGCAGAAGATAACAGCTTGAGTGACAGTAAGTGTGTCATAAAGATCACAAAGCGTATCAAATTTCCAGTCCTCCTTCTCAACAGCAACAAAAAATTGTTTAATCCCCTGAAAATGGTTTGTACACAAAAGTTAGCCAGAGAAATATACGAGTGTAACCCAGCTGCAAAGATAAACAATCATCAATGAGGATACGTATGCAGAAGAAGAAGAAACGTACTTCAAGAGTCAACTCATCACGCTTCACAAGTATCTTCACTGGTTCCGTCATAAACTTGCTTGTCATCTCCAAAATCTCGTGAGGAAGAGTTGCAGAAACCAAGCAAACCTGTAAAAATAAGTATTAGGTTAGACGTATCATAGAATGGAATTTAGTTCGCCATACTACACTTAATAGCTACCACAATTTGCTCATACAACATTCAAGTAACTCAAAACGGTTTTTTTAATAGCTTAACTACCAATCCATCAAACAAGTAAGTAAATGCAGTAATATCTAGCAAATGAACTAGAGATAGCCAAAAATAATAATAACTGAGCAGTGAAATTGGACCTGAAGATCGGGTGGAAGATATCTGTAAACATCATAGATTTGGTCCTTGAATCCTCTGCTGAGCATTTCATCTGATTCATCAAGAATCAGAAGTTTAATAGCTCTGGTGCGCAGGCTTCTCCTCTTTATCATGTCACAGACACGGCCAGGTGTCCCGGACACGACGTGGACACCATGCTCCAGCTTCCTGATGTCCTCTCCAACGCTCTGCCCACCGATGCACGCGTGCGCCTGAATATTTGCGTGCAATCCGATGGCTTGAATCGTCTTCTCCGTTTGTTTAGCCAGCTCTCTCGTTGGAGATAATATCAAAGCCTGAACCCTGCAATTGGAGATCCCAAATAGATAACATTTAAAAAATCCTAATCACCACAAATCGGAACCGGAGATGTCCCAAGCAAAAGGAAGGGAGAAACATACTCTCTAGACGAAGTGTCAACGATTTGGCAGACGGAGAGAGCAATCATGGAGGTTTTTCCGGTACCGGACTGAGCTTGAGCAATTACATCGCGCCCTTGGAGAATCGGCATCACAGCTCTCTGCTGGATAGCAGAGGGCTTCTCGAAACCGTACTCGTAGACGCCGCGAAGCACATCCTCCTTAATCCCCATATCATTGAAATTGGTGATGGGCTCGATCCCTTCCGTCGTCTCGAAGACCAACTTGTCATCGTCCATTGGTCCACCGCCTCTCCTACCGCCTCCACGGCCAGGATTCGCTACGCTCGCTGCCGCCATAACTATCTAGCTTAATCTCCCGTCTGGATTTGTTTCTCTCTCCTAGGGTTTTTAATCGTTTTCCCGAAAGCCTTCTGTTCTCTCTCTAGGATTAGCTGTCTGAGATAATCGCGGCTCTCAAGTAGGTACGATTGTAAATTTTAACAACTTCGTTGGGCTTTTATGCCAATATAGAGAAAGATACCGAATCTATTGATATAAGACTTTTTAATGTTTAATGGGCCTATATGAAAAGGCCCATATCCATATGATGAGTAACTACGAGTGTTGGCTCAAAACGACTACACTGTATCACGAAGCCGACCGAACTCGCGAACCAAGCTTAGCTTGAGAAGAACCTACAACTTAGATCGGTCTTTCTCTTCTGTCGGGATTTTCTTTTTTCTCTCTCTATCTCCTCCATCACCCTATCTCGCTCCTAAATCCATTTCCCTCTTTGCTCCAAGCCCGATTGAAATATATTCCTTAGAGCTTGGAGGGAATGAACAGAACTGGTTTTGTTCATCTCTGCTAAAGGTTTGTGTTCTGTAACGACAATAGCTTAACATAACCTTAAATCTCATATCTCGTTTGCGTTGGGATTTTCCATTGTGCGGCAAAATCGTATCTTTGATTTATGTCTGTTCTTGGTAATTTGAATTTTTTTCTTAGATAAGAAGAGAATCCTTTTAGTGGATCATTCCCTTAAGTCCAAAGAATTTTTGATAGAATCTTTCTGAGTTACTCTTAGCATTATTTGAATTGACCGTTATTCCGGTTTTTGCTTGCTTTAATGGTTCATTTACATTTGCAATGCATAAAGTTTTGATGGTGCAAGAAATGCAGCCTGCCAAGTTAATTTTGGGCTAATCAATGAATTTTTTTTTTGTTACCAGTAATCTTGGATTTGGAGATGGGGTTTAAGATGTATGCTAGAGCAATAAAGAGGAACCAGAGATGGGGTTTGGTATTGGAGCAAGCCAAATACTTAGTTAGACCAGCCATTCGTGACTATACGGTGTCCAGATCTTATGGATTCACAAATAGATTACCAAATCATTCGACCAACAATGCAAATTTGACAAGAGAGACTCTCCTCCGTTCATTTTCTCCCAGTATTGCCTCTGGAAATTGTTTAAGCTTTTCGAAGAGCATTCAGCTGCGTAGTTTTAGCTCTGAAGGGGATGGAAGGAATGCCAGTGAGGATAATAAACATGTCTCTTCGAACAAAGAGAACGGCGTAGATGATGGAAAAACCGGGAAGGAGAAAAGCAGTTGCGGTGTTGGGCATTTAGATTCTCATGCTCAACTTGGAGAACAGGACCAAATAGAATGGCTTAATAACGAGAAGCTTGCTAGTGAATGCAAAAAGAAAGAGTCACCTTTGCTTAACAGACGAGAGAGATTCAAGAACGAGTTCTTGAGGAGAGTCCAACCTTGGGAGAAGATACAGCTTTCTTGGGAGACCTTCCCTTACTATATCCAGTAATGATCTTAAACATTCTCTGTTATTGTGTTTCTCTCTCTCCATTTTCTGCTTATGCCTCAATTTTTTACAGCGACCACACGAAGAATATATTGGTGGAATGCGTTAGCTCACATATAAGACAAAAGAATGCCACTTCCATGTATGGTGCTCGCTTAGAGTCTTCAAGTGAAAGAATATTGCTCCAGAGTGTTCCAGGTTTGTGATTTGACCAGTGTTTTGCTGTTGCTCTTCTGTTCTCAAAGTGTAATTATCAAGGACATATAAGAAATTTGATGTTTGTTTTAGGCACTGAGCTTTACCGGGAGAGGATGGTACGAGCACTTGCTCGGGATTTACAGGTTCCTCTGTTGATTCTTGACAGCAGCGTTCTTGCCCCTTATGTGAGATTCTTGTGATTGAATATAACATGCGACCAAAACTGATTTTGTTTTTATTTTTTCTTCATTTTCTGTGTGTTTATGTAATCTTTCTTTATTATGGATCAGGATTTTTCTGATGAATACAATGAAGAATCTGAATCAGACGCTGAGAACGCAGAAGCGGAAGCAGATGAGTCCTCAACAGACTCTGAAGCTGAAGAGGAATCTGGATCTCATGACGAGGAGACTTCTGGAGAGAAAACAGATGGGAGTGACAGTGAGGAAGCTTGTCTCGAGGTTACCGAGGATGATATCAAGAAAATTATGCCAAAACTTGAGGAGCTCGGAAAGGTGTGATTACAGTAACTGGTTGTTCTTTTGTCTGATTCTTGGTTTTATTTTATTTGTATGAACATGTATTAATGTTATTGTGCCTGCCGTTTGAATGTTGTTTCTTGGTTTTACATGATTACTCTTTGCATTGTTCCCTTCTTGAACATCTAGTTCCAGGCATTGCTGAATATTTACTTGTTTAAATTGTGGCAGTTAGCAGCAGAAGAGCTACATATTAATGGTGAACCTTGCAAAGCAGCAGCTGCTGAGCATTCCGATAAACCAAAGCGACCGGCAAAGAAAGGTAAACATCCGATATCAAAACTCTAGAAGGCAACTTCATCATTATAAGTGTTACGTGCACTTGAATGTATCAGTTTGATGGATGAGTACTGCTGAGCATTGTTGTTACATACTTTTCAGGAGATCGAGTAAAATATGTTGGGCCTGCTAAGAAGGGTGATGCAAAGCACAGGTAGTGTACTGATTCACTCTTGTAGAATTTATTTTCTAACCATGTTGAACTCAAAGAGCTCTGGAAGAGAGAAACTTCCACGGCATGCCAAATATTATCCTTGATATTTGTCTTTATACCAAAATTTATATACCTGCAGGCCATTATCTAGCGGACTACGGGGAGAGATTGTTGAGGTGAACGGGAACCAAGTTGCGGTTCTATTTGACATTGAAGGTGATACATCATCAGAGGGAAGCAAGAAGAAACCGACAGAGAAGTCCCGCAAGCTACATATGCACTGGATAGATGGTATATTTACTTCATAAAGTTATATACATGGTGTAGTCGTTGTTTGTTTGAAAAAAATATCCTCTATGTAGACAAATAGACATTATATATAAATGTAGCTAACCTCTATATTGTTGGCGCAGTTAAAGACCTGAAGCATGATTTGGATATGCAGGCAGAAGATGGCTACATTGCGTTGGAGGCTTTGAATGAGGTATGTTTGGAACCTACGTGATGTTTTTTTGTTGCTTTGGCCTAGTTCGAGTACTATAACACTGAATCATACAAACTTTGTTTGAGAAATAAAATCTATCTTTTATGCTTGGCTGTGTCTTTTGCACTAGAAATAAAGTATATCTGGAATTTTTAGCTTTAAATTTACTCCATTATTTTCCGGTATTTGTAGGTTTTGCAGTCCACACAACCACTTATTGTCTATTTTCCAGACTCGTCCCAGTGGTTGTCTAGAGCTGTACCTAAGTCAAAACGAAATGAGTTTGTAGACAAAGTTCAGGAAATGTTTGATAAACTGTCAGGTCCTGTTGTACTGATCTGCGGACGGAACAAGATTGAAACAGCCTCAAAAGAGAAAGAGAGATTCGTAAGCCTTTCTCACATGTCGTTTTTCACTGGCGTTTCTTTTGTTATTGATCTGTAATTTAATGATTATTATTTTTGTTGGCGAACAGACAATGATACTCCCAAACCTTGGCCGCATTGCAAGACTGGTATGTTAGCTAAACATAAAAGTAACTTTGATTATGGAATCTTAGTACTTATCCATTGTGGTAAATTCTGAAAAACTGTGGTCTCCAAAATATTTACCATTGATGCCTTTGTACCTTGCAGCCCCTTCCGTTGAAGCATCTTACCGAGGGACTCGCAGGAAGAAAACCATCACAGGATAATGAGATATACAAGCTCTTCACTAATGTTATGAGCCTACTCCCTCCTAAGGTATGCCTTTTGTCTTTTAATAACTTTCTTACATGATTTTGGATAACCTATGAATTTTTTTATAGACGGGTCATGAGATTGCATAGACTGGTCATAAATAGATAATGTCTTTTGAGAAACATCTCTGCTAATTCCTCTTGGGTAACAGACAAAAGGAAAAGTACCAAAGCTATTTGAAAACCTGTCTGGACTTATCAAACTCATACTTGTTTTTTTTTTTTTTTTCTTCTTTCTGGTGCAGGAAGAAGATTCCCTCGTAGTATTCAACAAGCAACTTGGAGAAGATAGAAGAATTGTGATATCACGTAGCAATTTAAATGAGCTACTTAAGGTACACAGATCTTGACTGAATCTCGTTTTAGATAAATGGAGTCAATTTGTGATGTTTTTCAGTATCATTGTAACACTTTGAGAACTTATTCTCCCAGGCGCTTGAGGAAAACGAGTTATTATGCACAGACTTGTACCAAGTGAACACCGATGGCGTGATATTGACAAAGCAAAGTGTGTAACTCCTATGAAACACCTGGTTTATTATGTATGTGTTTGCTCGTTATGTCTTAGAAATGTTGTTATGTCTTAGTAGTGCTGTGTATAGATAAAGTTGCTGCTTGAGGATATCAAGCTTGCCTTTACTCTATGTTACCTATGCCATTTGTTTTAGCTATAATCTTGAAAAAAGTAAAGCAACTTGATCTATTTCTTGAACTGTTGGCAATAACTTGGTTGTTAGGAGGCAGCTATGATAAGGCTTTTACTTGCACGTGTATGTTGTGACCAAGAGTGCTCAGAAACTGGTTTATTTTGGTTTTGCAGGAGCAGAGAAAGTTATTGGCTGGGCTAGAAACCATTACTTATCTTCTTGTCCAAGCCCATCGATTAAAGATGGCCGTTTGATTCTGCCTCGTGAAAGGTAATGGCTTTTATCTTTCTGGTCTATAATTTATCTTTTAATTTGATATTTATCTTACTGTTGTCTTCCTGTTTTTGTTAGCATTGAGATTTCAGTCAAAAGGTTAAAGGCACAAGAAGATATATCTCGAAAGCCTTCACAAAACTTGAAGGTTTTAGTTTCTTCCTTCCCCGTCTAGTGTTTTGGAAACTGGAAGTTGAATACTCAAAAGTAAATATCAGAGACATTTTCTTGCAGAATATAGCAAAGGATGAGTATGAAACCAATTTCGTGTCAGCTGTGGTAGCTCCTGGAGAAATCGGGGTCAAATTTGACGACATTGGTGCTCTGGAACATGTGAAGAAGGCGTTGAATGAGTTGGTTATTCTTCCCATGAGAAGGCCTGAGCTTTTCACCCGTGGAAATCTCTTGCGTGTATGATTCCATTTCTTGCCGTTATTTTCTTTTCCTCATATGGATTTTCTTGATGGCCTGAGTCTGTATTTTTTTGTTTTGTCCAGCCGTGTAAAGGCATATTGCTTTTTGGTCCTCCTGGTACGGGTAAAACATTACTTGCCAAGGCCCTTGCTACTGAAGCTGGGGCAAACTTCCTTAGCATAACTGGCTCTACGCTTACATCAAAGGTACACTGTTACTTATAATATTCCCACCAGAAACTATCTCTTTGGTTCTGAGTATGTCAACTTTTTCCATTGTTTGGCACAGTGGTTTGGAGATGCGGAGAAGCTCACAAAAGCTCTCTTCTCCTTTGCAAGCAAACTAGCCCCCGTGATTATCTTTGTCGATGAGGTGAGAAACTGTTGTATCTTTATTGATATTACTTCTCCATTCACTCTTGTGACGGACCTGAAATATGTTTTTGTTTGTGTGGCTAGGTTGACAGTTTGTTGGGCGCTCGTGGTGGTTCGTTTGAGCATGAGGCAACACGAAGAATGAGAAATGAGTTCATGGCGGCTTGGGATGGTCTCAGGACAAAAGATAGCCAAAGGATCCTCATCCTCGGTGCCACCAACCGACCTTTTGATCTCGATGACGCTGTCATTCGTCGTCTACCAAGAAGGTAAAAAACCATAATCCTGAGTACTCACTTTTCTTTCTCCTTGGGAACATACATTGACGGATTCTTGTTTTATTCTTTAGGATATATGTGGATTTACCAGATGCCGAAAACCGGTTGAAGATTTTGAAGATATTTCTGACTCAAGAAAATCTTGAAACCGGTTTCCAGTTTGATAAACTTGCAAAGGAAACCGAAGGATACTCAGGAAGCGATCTAAAGGTTTTGGTCGTTCAGAGTTAAGTATCTAAACTTAAAGCTATGGTTTCTGTTTCTGATTCTTTTTGTTTTAAAATCGCAGAATCTATGCATCGCTGCTGCGTACAGACCTGTTCAAGAATTGTTACAGGAAGAAACTAAGGTAATAAAAGATCTTACTTATAACCAGCACTGTTGATTTTGACACAGTTTTTGATAATCACTCGGTGCTTTCCTCAGGATTCGGTAGCAAATGCAGCTCCTGATCTACGGCCTCTGAGTTTGGACGACTTCATTCAGTCTAAAGCTAAGGTATATTGGGATCATCAATGTCTAAAGACAAACAGGATCTGTGTTTATGCTTCTTCTTCATTCTTGTTTGTGTCTCTTGTTCTTTGCAGTGATCGGTATTGTATCATTTTTAATGTAATTTTGCAGGTGAGTCCGTCAGTGTCTTACGACGCAACAACGATGAACGAATTGAGAAAATGGAACGAACAGTACGGTGAAGGAGGAAGCCGGACTAAGTCTCCTTTTGGCTTCTAAACCAGTTTTGTTAGATTTTTTCTATATTGAACAATCAAAATCACTAATTTTTTTTTTATCATATACAATAAAAGTCACTCATTTTAATTCAATCCTAGTTTCATTTCTTTCCCTTAACGCAATCTATATCAACAAATTTCTTTCTTTTTTTCTAATAAATGGTGAAAACAGCCAATTCCTTGCCGCCATCAGCCTCTCATCCAGTGATCACAAAATAAATTTATGATATATCTCTTCACAACTATTTATGTAAAATTTTATTGAGTGATGTGAACACAACAAAAAAATTTGAAAATCCTCTAATTCTCTTCACGCGCTCTCTTATTTCCATTTAGCGGTGGACTATCCTCTCGTTTACTCGACGCGACATGGCTGCGCGTGTGGAATTACGGAGACAATGGAAAAAAGAAGAAGCTCTTTTGACTAAAAAAACAAAACAAAATCAAAATTTAAAATTGAATTAGCAAAGACTTACACACACTCCTCCTCTCTGCTCATCTTCTCAATTTTCGAAGAGTGACGATGTCGGATGTGGCAGCAGCGCCAAAATCGGTGACGGTTGAGGAAATGACGGAGGAGGACGACGTCTCGGCGGCGGAGGCAGCAATTGAGGAGCGGTGGAGTCTTTACGAGGCGTACAACGAATTACACGCTTTGGCGCAGGAGTTGGAGACTCCGTTCGAAGCACCGGCGGTGCTTGTGGTGGGACAGCAGACGGACGGTAAAAGCGCGCTTGTGGAAGCTCTCATGGGGTTTCAGTTCAACCACGTCGGCGGCGGGACCAAGACTCGCCGGCCCATCACTCTCCACATGAAGTACGATCCTCAGTGCCAATTCCCGCTTTGCCACCTCGGATCCGATGATGATCCTTCCGTCGCTCTCCCCAAATCTCTCTCACAGATTCAGGTGCTTATTCAATTGCTAAATTCTGGGAGATTTTGACGAATGCACTTGACAAAAAAAAATACTGATATAATTTGGAATTTTTTAGGCATATATTGAAGCTGAGAATATGAGGCTAGAGCAAGAGGCATGCCCATTCTCTGCTAAGGAGATAATTGTGAAAGTGCAGTATAAGTATTGCCCCAACCTTACCATCATTGATACTCCTGGTCTTATAGCTCCTGCTCCAGGACTCAAAAACCGAGCACTTCAGGTTTTTCGTTGTCTATGGCTTCCAGCGAAATCCATGGCGGATTTGAAGTTTTTTGGTTTTGCTTGATTTAAGAGTGGTTGATTTCTTAGGTTCAAGCGCGAGCTGTGGAAGCTCTAGTCCGAGCAAAGATGCAGCACAAAGAGTTTATCATTTTATGCCTTGAAGACAGCAGTGACTGGAGCATTGCAACTACTCGGAGGATAGTAATGCAAGTATGAGACTTGACGTAACTCCATTGCGGTCTAAACTCGTCTCTTAATTTATTTTCTCTTTTTAAAGTTTTGTTCTTGTTTCTTGTTCATGTAGGTTGATCCTGAGCTTTCTAGGACAATAGTTGTTTCCACAAAGCTTGACACCAAAATCCCTCAGTTCTCATGTTCATCAGACGTTGAAGTTTTCCTGTCCCCTCCTGCGATCGCACTCGACAGCTCCTTATTGGGGGATTCCCCTTTTTTCACGTCTGTGCCTTCCGGAAGAGTTGGCTATGGACATGATTCTGTATATAAGTCGAATGACGAGTTCAAACAGGTTTGTGCTCTCTGCTGTCTAATTCCGAACTGTGATCTTTTCATGGATTCTGAACTGTGTGTGGTTTTTTATTGCAGGCAGTGTCACTTAGAGAAATGGAAGACATTGCATCTTTGGAGAAGAAGTTGGGCCGTTTGCTGACAAAGCAGGAAAAAAATAGGATTGGTATCAGTAAACTTAGGTTGTTTCTGGAAGAATTACTCTGGAAAAGGTATAACTTCTTCTTTGTTTTTTACTCTGTGAATTTCCAGCTTCCCTCTTTAGTTTAAGTTCTTTCGTTATAGTCTTTAGTCTTGATGCCTTTATCTTTCCAGGTACAAAGAGAGTGTTCCATTGATCATTCCACTCTTAGGAAAGGAGTACCGCAGTACAGTCAGAAAGCTGGATACCGTCAGCAAGGAACTTAGGTTGCAACTCTTTGAGTTTTGTTTTGTCTGAACCTGTCAGTTTGGTTTAGTTATTCTCCCCTGATTTAAATCCTTGGGTGGTCGAATTTTCTTTCTTTTCGATGCAGCTCTTTAGACGAAGCAAAACTCAAAGAAAGAGGCAGGACTTTCCATGATCTCTTCCTAACTAAGGTCTCTTTAGAGCGTATTTTGGATTTTAAGATTTCTATTTATGCCTTTTATGTACTTTTTTCATCTGTGCCTGGACTCATGAAATAATAGTTTCAGTATCGTTACATCTAGTTCATTTGGTAAACTACTATGTTTTTTGTCTATTGACACGTAAAAACTTTTATACAACAGTAGATAATATCTAGGTATTGCTACTAGTTTTGAATGACTGGAAGTTTGTCCTGTTGGATACCATTAAAACTTGCTGCGTTCGCATATATATTCTGATTGATATACGAAGTACCTTTTGTTAGTAGTATTGATTTGTGTTGGGTTTTCTCATCTGTTTTGTTTTTATTTTCGTGACCAGTTATCGCTGTTATTGAAAGGAACAGTTGTGGCCCCTCCAGATAAATTTGGTAATGTTACTATTCTCTACCATCGACTGTCTTTGGCAATAATCTTTTTGTTTTTGGTTGTTGAATTTGACTTTTGCAAGATCAGTTGAGTTAGTTAAACGCATATTGTTCAACATGACTGCGATGATTACACGAATGATTTAAATTCTAATCAATCGATCATTTGGTCATGATACTTAAGTTACTTATTTTTAAAGTGATAGTCTCTTTATGTTGGGTTCTTTGATTATTAGTTAATAACTTATCATGATGTTTTTGAAGGTGAAACATTGCAAGATGAAAGGACGCAAGGAGGAGCTTTTGTTGGTACTGATGGTCTCCAGTTCCCACATAAGCTAATACCAGTAAGGCGTTTCTTTTGGCCTAGTCTTCAAATTCTACTTGTCTTGTCCTTGTACACATCAAAGGGATACTATACTCCATTGGACCTTCAAGAATTAAATTCCTTTTTCTAAAAACAGAATGCTGGGATGCGTCTTTATGGAGGTGCACAGTATCACCGTGCCATGGCTGAGTTCCGTTTTCTAGTTGGTGCTATCAAATGCCCCCCAATAACACGGGAGGAAATTGTAAATGCATGCGGAGTTGAGGACATTCATGATGGAACAAACTATTCCAGGTGTCATAGCATCGACTGAGTTGCAACACATTTCTGAATTTTGTTGTCTTTGCATCGATCTTAGACCCATTTCAGAAATTAATCTGACCTGCAATGTTTGTCATGTTTGACCTCTTATTCTCTTTTCTGTTACTTGCTTTTGTAGAACAGCTTGCGTCATAGCAGTTGCAAAGGCTCGTGACACTTTTGAACCTTTCCTCCATCAGGTGACAATGATATATCTACTATTTTCTTCTTCTTCCGTGGAGAATGGAAAGCAATCTTTGATAGGAAATATTGAAATATGTTTTTTGTGTTGGTTTAGTTAGGGGCGAGGCTTCTACACATTCTCAAGAGATTGCTTCCAATTTCGGTTTATCTTCTTCAGGTATGCACCGTTTTCTTTGGTTTGATGCTCTCCTACGCATTTTTCCTTCCCAGCAAATTGATTAATTTTTGTTTTAAATTTGAATAGAAAGAAGGTGAGTACTTGAGTGGGCATGAGGTGTTTCTCAAGCGGGTTGCTTCAGCTTTCAACAGTTTTGTGGAGTCCACAGAAAAATCATGCCGTGACAAGTAAATCTATTTCCAACTCCTACACTTGTCTGTTGTCAGTGATCACATATTCAGTTCTGATGATTAACCTCCCTTTGGTTTTTGCACTGATTGCAGATGTATGGAGGATTTAGCAAGTACGACTCGCTATGTTACGTGGTCTCTTCACAACAAGGTCACTACTACAACTTTATAGCTCTGTTTCCAATTAGATCGAGTCTAGAAGTATAAACTGTTCTCATTATTCATTAAGGATGCTTAAACTGTTATCAATGTTTTGTAGAACCGAGCTGGTTTACGTCAATTCTTGGACTCATTTGGCGGACCAGAGCAGCTCGCTGCATCAGGTAATCCCATAGGATTTAGTCTTCCCCAAGATGCACCAGGCGGCACAACAGACACAAAGTCAAGATCAGATGTAAAGCTAAGCCATCTGGCCTCAAACATCGATTCAGGTTCCAGCATTCAGACGACAGAGATGCGGTTGGCTGATCTTCTCGATAGCACGCTTTGGAATCGCAAGCTTGCTCCTTCTTCTGAGAGGATTGTGTACGCATTGGTCCAACAGATATTCCAGGGCATACGAGAATACTTCCTAGCCTCAGCCGAGTTAAAGGTTTTTGTTCCTACTCATGTTCTTGCTTTCTATATTGACTTTTGTCCTTTTTGAGGATTTCAATATGTGTTTTACTTTTGTTCTTGCAGTTCAACTGTTTTCTTCTGATGCCAATCGTCGATAAGTTACCAGCTCTTCTCCGGGAAGAGTTGGAAAACGCATTTGAAGACGACCTCGATAGTATTTTCGACATCACCAATCTCCGGCAATCACTTGATCAAAAGAAACGGAGCACGGAGATCGAGCTGAGAAGGGTAAACCCTCAAGTTTATCATCATGTTTTACCTTTGAAACTCTGCGTTTTATGTTTGTTTGATCTTGTTTACATGTTTTGGCCAGATAAAGAGGATTAAAGAGAAATTCAGAGTGATGAATGAGAAGCTAAACTCTCACGAATTTGCTCAAAATCTAAAGGCGCCTTCGTTGCAGCAGTGACTCAAGTGACGGATCTCTTTCCGATATATATATGGTTTGCTTAACTTTAGGTTAAGAAACAATTAGAGAGTGCTGCTTTATGAAGTAACATTTTTATGTATGTTTGCAACTTTGGATGTCCAATAAAACCAAAGAAAGTTGTTTCAAGTGATTTTTTGCTTTTCAGTCCAATATTTTGCAAATATAACTTGGCAATAGTGGTCGCATACTACGATTTTGAAGACCGAGTGTTGAGTGTTGAGTGTCACCAACAAAAAAAAAACTATGAAGAATACTTCCTTTTGTGAACACTGTAATAAAGCCTGAATAGAAGAATACTTCCTTTTGTGAACATTGAAATAAAGCCTGAATAGAGTAATATTACCCCAAAAAAGTGAAAAAAAAAAAGGAATTGACAGCTGTGGGATTTGAACCCACGCCCTTTCGGACCAGAGCCTAAATCTGGCGCCTTAGACCACTCGGCCAAACTGTCCTTGCTGTAGGATTTAATTTGCACTCATATATTACACAAATATCGGGTAAACTTGGATACTTTATTTTTGAGCGACAACTTATCCTTTTTGTTTTTCAAAACTTCTGTCTACATAGGAGGAAATTGTTGATGAGCTCTTTGAAAGACATCCACATTCTAACAATGGAGGAGTGCTCTACAAGCATCCATCAGGATTGTAAACCTTTTGCTTATGGGTTATGTTTGAGCTGTCACAAGGATGAGATGAGATGGTTTTGTCTCTTAAGCGGCTCCAAGAATTTAGAATGAGATGCTTTTTTCTTGTCCAATATCTTTGTTTGCAATTCGTAAAATTTTCTGGTGGACTTGTTGATGGGTCGGATCCTCCTGCTTTTATCTGGATATTCCATATACATATATACTAACAGGAAGGTGTGAGTTATTAAATAACTGGAATTTTTTTATCTGGTTGTAGGTGTCTATATGACGCTTATTAATCAAATATCAAAGTTCCAAATTTTCTATAAGCAGAGATCAAATACACCATAATCAATCTCTTTACCTCCACAGCTATAACAAGCAATTTAAAAGCTTGAACACTACGCACATCATTTGAATCAAATTGGAGATCGCAACAGAACAAATAAGAGATAGAGTTGCCTATTTTGACTTCAACCGTGATGACCACATTATTAATGGACCAACTTTTACGGGGGACAATATGGTCATCAGTTCATCACTGTTAACGTCAAAAGAGGCAACTCTATTTCTCCTCAATTCTAATTTGTCACCGTCTTCACTCCTCACTTCATAGATTACTCCCTTCTGCCATAGAAAAGGACTCAGATTTTAAACTTTTGGGTTTAAGCTTGTTTGAGAGGTTCGTAGTCTATGCTTCTCCATCTTTTCTCTCTTTTTCCTTTATGTGGGTTTATATGATCGTTGATCAATTACATGTATTTGTTCTCACTAAAGTACTTTTATCTTTTGATTATAACAGTTAGCTTCTTAGTTGATTTCAGTGATCTTGATGTATTTAAGTGTTTGATCTTTAATAGTATTGATTTTCTCACATGTTCTTTTGGTAACCTTTTTGTGTTCGTCTTAATTTCCAGATGTTTTTGTTTAATTCAGAAACATTAACTTTCTCTTTATGCCCTTTTTCAAAAAAAAAGTCATTAACTTTCTCATAGAACTTTGCTCTGAAATTCTCCATAAATTTGTACGACCTTGAGTTCTGATTTTGCTTTAGGCTTGTCTACGTCTTCGAACTTTCTTTGTAATCTGTGGAAACAGGAACGGTCTCATCACATTATGTATTTGACTAATCTATTATGGAATTTCTCTGAAATGATGACTCGAATCTGACTAGTAGTAATGTACAGGAAGGGTTTTTTCTGGCTATTGTAATCTTGAAATGATGGTTGTTTCTATTGTACGTACATTATGATAAGATCATTTTGGTGTGGCTAAATGGTTCAGTTAAACTTGTGACAATATTACATTTAATCATGTCATAACTCATTTTTGTGTCATCTTGCTCTTTGTGGAATTGAGAAAGGTATCATAATAGAAGTGTTCTCGGTTATATAATGCCTTTTTTCTGCAGGTTTCTTGCTCAGACAGGCTTAGTAACATTGGAGACGCAAATGCAGACACAAGGTAACATATCGTGCAAAAACTGATTTTGTGTTTCGTGTAATACTGTAATTGCCATTGAAAGATAAAGGTTAGGATATTAGAATGATGCTTCATAGTTGGAACTTTCTCTTATGTACTTTATGCTTTACAATTTCTGTTCTGGGAGGTGAAATATTTATAGGACTAGGTATTTTACCCGCGCTACGCGCGGGTTTCGTTTTTATGTTTTTTTTTTCTTTTAATTATGAATTTCTAATTTTCAATTTTTTAAAACGTTCATTGATAAAAAAATCTTTACAATTTTTATTTTTATTTTTAATATTTTAATATTTTATTTTATAATTATAGTTTCTTATTATTTAATTTCTTTATATTTTTAAATTTACCAAATCAATTTAACTCTTGTATAGTTGGTCACAATAATAAAAGGAATTGCATTGTGATAATTTCTTATTAAAAACAGATTACAATTTTTCTCACATTTTCTCATAAGGCATAGAGGCCCAATCATTGGAGAAGTTACATTAATCCCTAAAGTTTGTTGTCCTATTGTTTCAATTGAGTATATATAGCCGAATCTCAAATTTTCGGTTCAAAAGTTTGGCCGGTTTTGTCACATTTTGGGTTTAGTCATCATTCTGAAATTATAAATTTATTACATTCGGCTTCGAGATGCAAAGATGAAGATTCAAAAATGCGACTCTTTTGCCATTATTTTTCGAAAACCTTAAATTAAATCTCATTTATAAACCAGTTTCGTCGAAATTCTATATCTCTACATCCATATTATCACCCTAGCTCTCCTCTGCTTTAATTATATACATACTACCAATTATTTTGTTTCATAACAATTTCATGTCATTGAATCTCACAATTCATACTAAATCCTCTTAGCCCCAAATCTTTCTTATAATTTTCAAACATCCACTAATCAAACTTAGTTAGCTCCATGTTTCATCACTGAAGAATCATATTTCTTTGAGGTACTATCTAAACTCAATTTGCCGTTAATCCTTTTGTTTTGTTTTTTTTGAGTCCTATTTAAATTTGGATCTACCATATACTTATTCCAGCCTTTAATTTTTGGTTTCTTCTATAGATATATAAGGTTTAGTTATGGGAAAATTGCTCATTTTATTCCCCAACTATTTGCAATGAGAATTTTTATTCCTCAACTATCACTTGCTCACTTTAATTCCTGAAGTTTAAGTTGACTGCGCAAACTCATGATTAAAAAATCAAACTTTTAATAATAAACATATAATATTAAATAAAATAATAAATTCATCATAATTTTCATTGTTAAACATAAAAAATAAAAAAAAAATAAAGAAATCTATGAATCATTTTGTTGACTTCTAATAAAATTTTGATAGATTATTTGACAGAAATCTTAAAATTTGGATTATATTTAATCCCTAAAATCCACCAGATTCGAACTAAAGATCAATAAAAATCGCAAAAAAATATCCTAAATTATTTATTTAGAATTTTTTAAAGTATAATGGTGAAAATTATGATGTATTTACAAATTTATTTAACGTTTTATGTCTATTATTCAAAGATTGATTTTTATTTTCGAAAGTTTGACTTTTTAATTATAATTTTGCGCAGTTAACTCATACTTCAGGAATTAAAGTGAGCAAATGATAGTTGAGGAATACAAATTCTCATTGCAAATAGTGGGGGAATAAAATGAGCAATTTTCCGTTTAGTCATCCATAATTGTTGGTTTGTTGAATTTTGTTGCCATTAAGTAATACTCCCTCTGTCCCATAATATAAGCTATTTTAGCTTATAAATTTTGTCCCACCATATAAGCAGTTTTGACATTTCAATGCAATTTTACTTTATACAAAACTGTGTGACCACTTATATTTTGCAGTTGTTTTTGTGATTGGTTGGATTATATTTAAACTATATATTAAATGATACTTTTTTAAAGCAGAACAGTTTTCTTAATTCTTGTGTTTAAGCTAAAACAGCTTATAATATGGGACAGAGAGAGTATTAGTTTCTTTAGATAAAGACCTAAAGGATAAGTATTAGACCTAGTCGATTTATTATAACTCGGTTAGATCTTGTTTTGTCATGTTTTTGAACTCAGCTAGTGAACTTTCATGCTGCTCCATTTTCCGGTTATTCAATAGCTTTCCCAAAACTGTAAGTAGTTGCAGTTTTTATTTTCAACGTATTTTCAAGACAATATTATTTCCATTTTAATATATAATATGATGCATATAAATCAACAAATTAATAATATGTTGATGCTTATATACAATATAAATTTTCTTTTGTTTATATTCCTATATATATTCACATATAACTTTTTTTTTAAACTAATTAGCAACATATTTTGTTCAAAATATTAAAATGAACATGTAACATATTAACAATATATAAATTTAAATGTTAAATATTTTATATTAAGAAAAACGAAATTTGAAAAAATATATATAAGAAGTAATTTAAAGATTATATATTTCATAGGAAGTAATTAAAATTAGAATTAAGTATTAAGGAAATATCATAATAACAATTAGAAAGGAAATATTTTAAGGTTCTTATGTGGACCAATCAAATTGAATTTTTTATTTCCTTTTTCTGTCATTAGAAAAACAAAATCTATTTTTTAAACACTTTAGTATGAAGAAAAATAAAATTAAGTGTTAAGGAAATATCATAGTAATAACTAAAAAAATAAATTCTTTTAAAGTGATTATGTGGACCAATGAAATTCAGTTTCTTTAATCCTAGTTGAACACTTTTAGAGACTTATAGAATCAACTTTTATTTTAGATCATCGTATTCCTGATAGTAAAATGAATAAAATCATTGTATTCATAATGGTAAAAGGAATCACTATGCAATAAGGAAATTAGAGAAGTGGTAATTACAAAATTAGAATTATCCTAATCCTAATCTTTCTCAAACAATAATTTGTTGGATATTAAAAAAAATGTAAATTTGCTAATAAGAATAAAAAGGAAAATAGGAAATTAATTATTCAAAAAAAAAATAATGACATAGACCAATCAAATTCAATTTTAGAATCCTAGGTGGACACTCTCTAATGCATATAGGGTCAACTTTTATTAGTAATAGATTAGTGATTAGTGATTATCGAGAGATTGAGTGAAACTGGGTTCATGGTATTTACTTAGATGATGCAGGAATGTTGGTACTTGTTTTGACTTTGTTACAACCCTATTTTTTTTATGACAACGACTCTGTTTCAACTTGTGTGTTCCTTTTGTTGTTAATTCATTTGTTTTCAGGAATGTTGGTGTTCCTTTTCTCTTCTTCTTTGTGGCATACTCAAGCCCACCTGCAAACCCCATTAGTTGTAGTTTCAAAGGAAGAAATTGCATTGTTGCCAACTCCTATGGAGCTTTTTCAGATAGAGCGACTTGTGTATCGTCTCTGGTGGTATACCCGACCACAGAGGATGAATTACTATATGTGGTATCTGAAGGAACACATGCGAGGCAGAAGATGCGAGTGGTGACACGATTCTCGCATAGCATGACAAAACTGGCATGTGCTGATGGGGAGAACAGTAGACTGATCAGCACGGAGTATCAGAATAAGACTCTAAGCATTAATAAAGACGCTATGACGATAACTGTTGAGAGTGGTGTGTCCCTACGCCAACTCATCGAGGATGCTGCAAAAGCTGGACTCGCATTGAGAATGGCACCATACTGGTGGGGATTAACGGTTGGTGGGATGATGTCAACGGGAGCACATGGTAGTTCTTGGGAAGGTGGACATGGGGGAACTGCTTTTCATGATTACGTCACCGAGATGCGGATTGTTAACCCTGCTGCTCCAGATGAAAGATATGCAACCGTTAGAATTATCAATGGCAATGATCTTATCGAGTTAGACGCCTCCAGAGTCTCTCTTGGCGTATTTGGTGTCATATCTCAGGTAATAAAATTATGTGGCTTGTTTTCTTTTTTTTTTCAGAATAACAAATACAACCATGGTGTCATTGCTCTACAGGTGACAGTTCAATTGGAGTTGATGTTCAAACGATCAATTACCTATATGACCGTTAAGGACACTGATCTTGTAGAGACGATTGAGAGGCATGGAAGGAGGTATGAGTTTGCTGAGTTGACGTGGTACCCCAGCCTAGGAAAACTCGTTTACCGGATGGATGAACGGGTTTCAATGAACATCTCCGGGAATGGTTCATACAATTACATATTTTTCACAGCCAAGCCCTCAGATTATCTTGCTTTCGAAAGATCAAGAGGTACATCTAGTTGTACTATATATATATATATATATATCTTATTACAAAAATATGTGCATTTTTACATGATCATAGTAACTCAATTGTGATGAGTTTCAATTTCTTGATAAACAAATAGAGGAAGAGATGGAATTGCAAAGGAAATCAGAGAAGATCTGCACACTGGCGCATGATGTTACATCTTCACTATCTTATATACCATATGGTTTGACGAATAATGGTATGGCTTTTTCTTACTGTTTTCAAAAAAAAAACTGCATAGGTGAAATCATATTACTAAGTTATGTTTCGTATTTCGAACTACAGGTACGACTTACGATGGCTATCCAGTGATTGGAAAACAAAGCGATATGATGTCATCAGGAGGATATCTGGATAGCAAAGAAGATGGATTGGCCACGGTTTGTCCATGGGACTCTCGTGTAAAAAGCCAGTTCTTTCACAAGACCACGTTCACCATACCTGTTGAGAACGTAAAAGGCTTCATAACCGACATCAAGAGTCTGGTGAAGATCGAACCGAAAGCTCTTTGCGGTCTCGATTTGTACAATGGCTTCTTGATCCGCTATGTTCAAGCCTACTCTGCCTACTTGGGAAGCAAATTTGAGGGTGTCGAATTTGAGTTTACTTACTGCAGAAGCAGAGACCCTCTGATTCCTCGAATGCACCAAGACTTTTTGGAGGAGATCGAGCAGATGGGTTTGTTCAAGTACGGCGGGCTTCCACATTGGGGTAAGAACAGAAATGTTGCATTTATCAATGTCGTTGAGAAGTACAAGGACGCCGCACTGTTCTTGGAGGTGAAGAAGACGTTTGATCCTTTAGGACTGTTTTCGAGCGAATGGACGAATGCAGTTTTGGGCTTGAGAGGCAATGTTACTGTTGATACGGAAGGCTGCTGGCGCAGCCTAACCGTGATAAAGTTCAAGGTTCCTTGATTCCCTCGGAATGGCCGAACAAAGAACAAGCTTGAAGTTTCGTTGATTCAAAGAATAGCCGAAATTCAAGAGAAAAGAAGCTTAATAGCTCTGATTCTTATTCAATAAAATACTACCTCTTCTCACAAACACAAGAAAGGCTTAAATAATGAATGTCAAAGACAAAACCCTAATCGAACGATCAAAAAGGAAATAACAAAAAGGAAACTTAAAGCCCAAGTAACCTTGAATTCAAAAGATAACTAAAAGCCCGAATAGTAATAAAGGAAAGTAAGAAGATGCGCTGCATCAGGTCCCTCCGGGTAGGAGGAGATTCGTCTCTGAATCTGGAACGTCATTATCACCAAGAAACTTCGAGAGGTATTTGACGTTGAAGACGTCGGCTGTCTTGATGTGTGAAGGTAAGCGTAACCGGTAAGCATTGTTGTTTATACGCTCCAAAACTTCCACGGGACCAATCTTACGCGATCGTAACTTATTATACTCATGTAATGGCATCCGATCTTTAGTGAGAACCACCCAAACCAACTCTCCAGGCTCATAAACAACTTCACGGCGTTTAGCGTCGGCACGAGCTTTATACTTAGTTGTAGACAATTCCAACTGGTCGCGAGCTTGTTGGTGAGTATTCTTCAAAGAGTCGACGAACTCCACAGTTTTACCATGCATGCGACGTGGATCCGGCACTGTGGTAAGATCCAACGGACCACGAGGTAAAATGCTATAGACAATCTCAAACGGACTGAAACCAGAGCTCCGATTCGTAGCATGATTGTGCGCAAACTCTGCTTGAAAAAGACGTGCTTCCCATGAACGTAAGTTTTCTCCCACAAGACAATGTAGCATATTACCCAAAGCTCGATTAGTGACCTCCGTTTGACCGTCTGTTTGGGGGTGATAAGCGGTGCTCATGTCAAGACTAGTTTGTAACATCTTCCACAATGATCTCCAAAAGTGACTTAAAAACCTTGTATCGCGATCCGAGACAATGGACGTGGGAAGACCATGCAACCGATAGACTTCTTGGAAGAACAATTGAGCCACACGAACCGCATCCGTCGTTTGTTTACAAGGCAGAAAGTGGGCCATCTTAGAGAAACGATCAACAATGACAAAGATAGAGTCATTACCCCTTTGCGTGCGTGGAAGTCCCAAAATGAAGTCCATACTCACATCTGTCCAAGGCTGAGTGGGAATCAGTAAAGGGAGGTAGAGACTAGCATTGGAGGCGTTGCCTTTTCCCAGCTGACAAGCGCGACAGCGCTCAAAAAATATTTCGACATCGCGACGGAGAGAAGGCCAAAAATAAGAACCGGAAACCAGTTGTAAGGTTCGATCACGTCCGACATGACCTTCCTTGTGGAGCTCCTCAATCACCTTCAAACGCAAGCTACAGTCAGGGACACATAACTGTAAACCACGAAAAAGAAACCCATCCGTTAAGGTAAAGTCATCGCGCACACCATCACGAACATCAGCAAGAACTGAACTAAAGAATGGATCCGTGTCATATAACTCCGAGAATGATCCAAATCCGGGAACAGCAACGTGCATTGTGGAGAGCAAGGTGTGTCTCCGACTCAACGCATCCGCCAAGCGATTCAACTTACCGGCCTTGTGACGAATCGAAAACGTGAACTGTTGTAGGTACGCTATCCAAGACGCATGTCGTGAAGAAACTTTGACTTGGCTATCAAGGTGTTTGAGCGCGTCATGATCGGTGAACAAGACAAACTCTCGATGCACAAGATAATGTCTCCAATGCTTGATAGCTTGCACCACAGCATAAAACTCAATGTCATACGTGTTGTAGCGACTTCGTGCCCCTGCTATCTTCTCGCTAAAATAAGCAATAGGCCGAGTCTGTTGGCTCAACACTGCTCCAATGCCCAACTTGGAAGAGTCACAATGAAGCTCAAACGGCAGCTCAAAATCTGGTAAGACCAAGATGGGGGCGGAGGTCAGCTTCTGTTTAATCAACTCAAAGGTATCTTGAGCTTCTGTCGACCACACAAACTGTCCTTCCTTCATGCAATCAGTCAATGGCGCCATAATGGAGCTGAAATGTGGTACGAAACGTCGATAAAAAGACACTAACCCATGGAAACTGCGAACATCAGAGATCGTTTTTGGTATGGGCCAAGATCTCACAGCCTCAACTTTGCTCGTATCCATGGACAAACCCGAAGAAGATACTACATAGCCAAGAAACAACACACTATCGACTCCAAACTCACACTTTTGGCGTGCCACAAAAAGTGTTTCTCGCTGTAGAACCAACAATACTTGTCGAATATGGTCTTGGTGGTCGGCTAGGGAAGAGCTGAAAATCAAGATATCGTCAAAGTAGACCACCACAAACTTACCAATGTAAGGTCGCAAAGCTTGGTTCATCACTCTCATAAAAGTACTCGGAGCATTCGATAACCCGAAAGGCATCACCATCCACTCAAACAATCCCTCGCGAGTCTTAAAAGCCGTCTTCCACTCATCACCTGGCCGGATACGGATTTGATGATAGCCGCTTTTCAAATCCAGTTTGGAGAACACGGTTGCTTTGCCAATTTGATCAAGAAGGTCGTCCAAACGAGGGATGGGAAAACGATAGCGAACCGTGATCTTGTTAATGGCACGACTATCTACACACATACGCCACGAACCGTCTTTCTTTGGGATAAGAAGAGCGGGAACAGCACAAGGACTAAGGCTCTCACGAATATGGCCTTTAGCGATGAGCTCCTCTACTTGGCGGCGTAGCTCTTCATGTTCTTGTGGACTCATGCGGTAGTGAGGTCTGTTTGGAAGAGCAGCTCCTGGAACCAAATCAATCTGATGTTGGATATCACGTAACGGAGGTAAACCTTGTGGTAAAGTTTCAGGAAAAACATCGTTGAACTCCAGTCCGCTAACGGTGAGTCAGGTGGAGAAGAGACATTCGTCGAGAATAGAGCAACAGCAAAACCGGTCTCCTGAAATTCCGAGGCAAACACTGGTGCAGAACAGAGGAGAACCTTCGTTGGTCGAGGAGGACCCGAAGACAATGGCTGCACTTGAGAAGACTTTTCTAGCAACGATGCTTCTGGCCTGGGAAGCAAAACAATCTTACGATTGTCAAACACAAAACTATAGACATTACTCTTCCCACTATGAGTCACGTCACGGTCATATTGCCATGGACGACCAAGCAAGAGATGGCCGACATCCATTGGAGCAACATCGCAACAAATCTTGTCTTTATAATACTGTCCGATCGAGAAAGAGACCCATGCTCGGTGAGAGATGCCGATCTCAGCGTCAGAGTTTAACCACGTCAGCGCATAGGGTCGTGGATGTTTCTCCCGAGCAAGACCCAATTTTTGACAAGCTTCCTCCGAGGTTACATTCTTTGAGCTCCCTGCGTCAATAACAAAAGTGCAGACCTTACCCTTGATTGTGCAAGTCGACTGAAATATGTTAGTGCGGAGCCATGATTCTTCTCGTGCCACCGGTGACAGGCAAGAACGAACCACAAGGAGTGTCCCCTGATCGCCATCATTCCGATCGACAAGCAGGTCCTCGTCGTAAGTGGCCGGAGTCTCTTCTCCGTCATCATCCCATCTTACTTCCTCACTAAGTAGCCCACGTCGAGTCTTCTTCGGACATGCGGTTTGAATGTGGCCCGCCTCTCCACAACCAAAACAGCGTAGGGCGTTTGGTCGAGACGAACGACGCAAGCTCGGGTTCTCGCCTGTCGTTCCCTTGTCTCCAAGGCGCTCGCTAGCTGCTTCTTCTACAAGCCGAGAGGGAACGTTTAAAGGACCCGTCTCTGTCGGTACATTAGTTGGAGGTCTAGTACGACCAGAAGAATTCCAGCTGAGATTAGATTTGAATTGTAGCTCGAACGCTACAGCTCTCCGGTGAGCTTCGGCAATGGTGGTTGGATCAAACTGGACCAAAGCGTTTTGGATTTGTGCTCGCAAGCCTCCGATGAAACGGGAAACCAGCTGAATCTCACTATCGAATATTTCATTGCGAGTAATCAACAAGAAAAATTCATCTGCATATTCGTCAACTGTACGAGCTCCCTGCTTCAAATTTTGCAGCCGAGTGTACATAGTGCGATCATAATTCTGAGGCAGAAAAGAATGCTTCAAGTGTTTTTGTAACTTCTCCCATGTACTGATCTTGGGTTTACCCGTTCGTGTACGTGTTGCCTTCAACTACAACCACCACGAGGCTGCCCGACCGCGAAACTTGGTAGCTACCAAGGCGACTTGACGGTCTGGTGGCACTTGTTTGAATTCCAGCAGCTCTTCCACAGCTACAAGCCAATCCAATAATTCCTCTCCACGAACACTACCATGGAATTCAGGAAGGTCCAAACGAAATCCTGATTCCCAACGTCGATCCTCTTGTTCATTATCGCGAAACTCTTTGTGATTGCGATGACCTCGAGCTCTGTTTTGCGAAAAAGGATTTACATGACTCTGTTCCGATACATCATCCTCCGAATCGCCTTGGAACTGATGATGTAGAACAGTTTCTGTTAACTCATGGATTGAGTTAGCAATAGTAGCCTGGATATTCTCTTGCATCGTAACAAGAGTTCTACGAAGCTCGGCCCACTCGTTGAGTGGCTCACCATCTTGCCTCGCGTGTGGGTTACGTTTAGGAGCCATGATGTCCGGACAAGAAAAACCTAGACAGGAACGTCGAAGTCTTTGATACCAAACTGGCGCAGCCTAACCGTGATAAAGTTCAAGGTTCGTTGATTCCGTCGGAATGGCCGAATAAAGAACAAGCTTGAAGTTTCGTTGATTCAAAGAATAGCCGAAATTCAAGAGAAAAGAAGCTTAATAGCTCTGATTCTTATTCAATAAAATACTACCTCTTTTCACAAACACAAGAGAGGCTTAAATAATGAATGTCAAAGACAAAACCCTAATCGAACGATCAAAAAGGAAATAACAAAAAGGAAACTTAAAGCCCAAGTAACCTTGAATTCAAAAGATAACTAAAAGCCCGAATAGTAATAAAGGAAAGTAAGAAGATGCGCTGCATCAGCTGCGCATTGGAGGGACTATGCATTTGTTCAAAAGACATTCATTGTGCTCCTAACAAAGGTTATTTCTGTCGACGTGGGAAGATTTACAAGTCAGCACACGTTTGTACTCTATAGATGTGATGGCCGAGAAATAAGTGACATTTCAAGCCTTGACTTGATTGCAAAGTAAAATTTGAAACTACGAAGTGTAAAATGAGTAATCCAACCCACCACTTTCCGTAATCCGACTTATGACCCCCCAAAGAAAAGTTGTAAAAACATAAGCAAAACAAAAGAGAAAAATGAGCAAAATAAAAACAAAATCTAAGAAAAATATAAGAAAATAGAAAAACAAAAATAAATTATCGATTAAAATTTGACATATTTTAAAATATATAGATAAGTTACTTGAAAAACACTGTTAAAGCGACCAGCTTACTATAATCATAACAAATAAACCTAAGCCGTTAGCCTTAATATACTAAACGAGTCTCACATGTTCAATCATCTGGGAAAATATCCAGTACAATAACACAATATCACATACAATTGTAGTGTCTATCTGAACCAGCTCAATTACTTAATTATTCATTTATAATGGATAGCACAAGTGAATGTAAACAAATTTATTTTTTGAGGCAAAAATACCAATCTTGATTTTTGATGAGTCATCCGATCAGAAAGTTGGTATTACAAGCATAACTTCTTGAGTGAAGCTTATCATTCTTATAAATCTTATAATTTAGCTGTTCTCTGTTACTCTGTTAGAATCTTATCTGATGATTCTTGTACATTTTAAGATATTGTAATTTAGTTTGCAATTGAAATCTGACAACTTTTGTTTTTCTTCTTCGTTGTATCTTCTCTATTTCACTTTCGCTGTACAACATGACATGCCTGCAATGTTGGCACTCTCCAGAGCCTTTTAGCCACTCCTTCCTCAATGGTCAACAATATCAGGCTTTCCATTTTGCAAATGGAAAGAAATCAAATGCAACTTCAACAACTTTCAAGTCGTATCGTATCCATTAACCTCTCTGACATATCTTTAGGTCGCATAATCTCGCCAGCAATATGATATCTATCTGCTGACTGTTGTTGAAGGAATTAATCTCCTAAGAAACAACCTTACAGGAAAATTTCTTTCATCTTTGGTGGCACTTCCGTGGATACTTAACGTGTCAAACAACAATTTCAACGGAATAGTTCCAGAGTTTAATGGATCCACAAAGTTTGTTTACAAACTAGGGAATTCTTTTCGCAAGCAAATATAAACTGCTAATGCGAAAATGAAGAAATGAAGTAATGCTGAAAGTGAAAAAAAATTGAAACCATAATAGCACTCATATATAAACTGTGAGGTATCTTGGGCGATCAAGGGAGAGTTCTAGTCCCGGATTGGACTCCACTGAAGTAACCCACGCCGCATATCGCAAAAGTATACTCCATTATATAAGGTTGATAAATTATCATCCTGCTGATCAGAATCCATAATATGAATGAACATAAAGGCTGATAAGACAATCGACACAAAATTTATAGAGCCTAATTCATGATGTTGACCATGGAATTACGAAAAATTAACAGTTGTTGAGAAAAAATTACCATTTTCATCTAATGACACAAGTGGGTCAAGTCATCTTGTAAAGAAACCAACACCGATAGTGCTTAGTAATAGCATCTAATCAGATCAGTGATTGCATATGTCACGGAATCACTTATGTAAATAAGATATTCACTCACTTACTACCTCTGTAATACCCTAGCTACTCTCTCTTGTATAAATAGCGGTTCTCTGTAAATCAATAAGATCATCTCTTCTACAATAACCTATATGGTATCAAGAGCAAACGATCTATAATTTTTTTTTTTTCTTTTTTTTTCTCTTTTCTCTTCTTTTTGAAATCAACAAAACTCAAAAACCATGTCTACTTCAGAAAACACTTCCCCCACAAACATCACCGAAAACATTCCAATCACTCCTCAATCCATCTTGACAATCAACATGTCGCATGTGTCAAAACTCACATCGACCAATTATCTCATGTGGAAGATTCAAGTTCACGCCTTACTTGATGGATATGATCTCTCCGGTCATGTTGATGGCTCTGCTGTAGTTCCTACAGCCACTCTCACCGCTGGAGATGAGATCTAGGTGAATCCAGCGTATACGCTTTGGAAACGCCAAGATAAATTCATATTCAGTTCTCTTATTGGTACCATTTCACCATCTCTTCAACCGCTGGTCTCTCGTGCAACCACTTCCGCCGAAGTTTGGAACACGCTGGCTCTTACCTATGCCAAACCAAGCAGGGGTCATATCAAGCAATTGCAGACACAACTCAAAGGCTGGCGCAAGGAAAACAAAACAATTGATGCCTACCTTCAGGGGATTACAACTCGTCTTGATCAGCTGGCCATCCTTGGCAAAACCATAGAGCATGAAAATCAAATAGATCTCATCCTTGAAGGCCTTACCGATGATTACAAAACCGTGGTTGATCAAGTCGAAGGCAGAGACAATCCACCCACACTTGCAGAGCTTCATGAGCGCCTCCTGATTCATGAAGCCAAAATTCTTTCCGCTGCTGAGTCCATCATTCCTCATACTCCTGTCACTGCCAATGCCGTTCAACATCAACCACGCAACAACAATAACAACCCCCAATCGTAACAAGACCTCCAACAACAATTGGCAGCAGTCTTCATCGCCAAATTGGCAAACCTCTACTCAACAACAAAACAGATCACACTCGTCTGGGCCAAGGCCATATCTTGGACGTTGTCAGATCTGTGGATTTCAAGGTCACGGTGCCAAACGCTGTCCTCAGTTACCGAGCTACCAATCCTCTATCGCTCAACAACCAAGTCCTTTCACTCCGTGGCAACCAAGGGCGAACCTTGCAGTCAATACGCCCTACTCACCCAATCAATGGCTCCTCGACAGTGGTGCTACACACCACATGACTTCAGACCTCAACAATCTTGCTTTGCATCAGCCATATTATGGCTCAGAGGATGTGGTCATCGCAGATGGTTCTGCAATTCCAATTACACATACGAGGTCTACCTCCTTTTCCACATCATCTCATCCTTTACAGTTACAGAAAGTTTTATATGTACCAGATATACATAAGAATCTCATCTTTGTATATCGTTTGTGCAATACTAATCTTGTCTCGGTGGAATTCTTTCCTGCCTCCTTTCAGGTGAAGGATCTCAGCACGAGAATCCCCTTACTCCAAGGCAGAACTAACAAAGAGTTGTATGAGTGGCCAATTACACGCTTCCAAGCCGCTGCCTTGTCTGCTTCACCATCCTCCACAACGTCTCTCGGCTCCTGGCATGCTCGTTTGGGGCATCCCTCTTCCTCAATTTTAAACACTGTTCTCTCCCGTTATTCTCTTTCTTTTTCCAAACAATCTTCATATCCTTTGTCTTGCTCAGATTGTTTGATCAATAAAAGTCATAAAATTCCTTTTTCCACCTCTACTATCACCTCCTTGAGACCACTAGAATACTTATACTCTGATGTTTGGAGCTCCCCCATCTTGTCTCAAGATAACTTCAAATATTACCTAATTTTTGTTGATCATTACACCCTACACTTGGCTCTATCCCCTCAAACAAAAGTCCCATGTCAAAGAGACGTTTATTGTTAAGAGAATAGATGTATTATTCCGATAACAAGAATACAATGTCGATAGACGAGGAAACTTTCCGTTCCTCAAGCGACATTCTCTCTCTCTCTCTTGATCTGAGAACAAGCTCTCTGATCACTCTCTCTCTCTCTCTAACTTTATGTTTACAAAATATCTGGATAAGGAAATGTAAAAGAATTACTATGTTTATGTATATCAATGCGTTTAAAAGAAATGCGAGCTCCTCATTCGTCCAACTCATCTAACGACTTCAGCTCAGCCACTTCTTCTTGCTCTTGACTAATTGCCTTCTTCCTCCAAGTCCTCGCCAATATCTCTACGTGAGAACCTAGCTCACTCGCCACCATTAACTCCGACGTCGCCACGATGCCACCCCTACCGCCGTATCCTGCTGGCTTGGATGAGCCAAGTCCGCAAGCGATCAACCACACGATCGCTCAACTCTTGAGGTTGCTGCATAGTTGCCGCCACCACCACTGCAGCCGGTGTACTACCGTCATCTTGGATGCATGGGGTGCCGTCGCCGCATCATCATCACTCATTCGCTCGTCCGCCGTATCCGAGGTGAGGATGGGCTTATGCTTCTTTTTCTACTCTTCTTGTGTCTTAAATTAACATTAGGCGTATATTGTTTTTGTAGTGATCTTTAATGTGCAAATCGATTGTTATTAATCGTTGATGAGCATTCTTCTGTTGCTTGTGTGTTAAGTTATTGCTACTGTCCATTCTTTTGTTGCTTGCGTAATAAGTAATTGTACTTTGCCATCGTTGCTGTTATTGTCAATTAAGTAATTACTTGTTAAAAGATCCTATACGTAAAAAAGACTGTTTTAATCATCTAAATAAACAATACCTTGTTGTAGTGCCGCATTGTTATGATTCGGTCACTTGTTATCGAACTCTTGTTGCATGTTAACCTCGTATGTTCATTGTTGTGTTTCTTGATCTCACCTAGTATGCGTTTTAAATGGTTAGGATCTAAACCGGTATCGTGTGATATCCACGTTATGGTGTTTGTGTTGGGACGGAAATGAGAACATGGTTAGTTTTGGACCAAGGTCTTGGTCGATGATGTTGTAATCAGAGCCGGCCCTGGGAGCAAGCAAAGCAAGCAGCAGTTTGCGGCCTGGCCCTAGATATATATATTTTATCGGTCCATAATTAACTGAAAACTTTTAGTAGCCTCGTGGTAGCTTCCATCGTAACTGACTTCATTAATTAGAGTTCGATTCCCCTTCGGTGCCGGCTGTATATCCGAGGAGAAGGCAATGTGACCACTATGTAAGACATTTTGAATGTGGTAGTGGCCACATATGACGTATGGGCTTTGCAGACTACCGGTTGTGTGGAAAGCATTGAGGAGGCGTTGAGATTGGGGATAGCGCCCAGACCTGTCTGGCTGGTGGACATTTAAATAACATATGTTTTGACTTCTTATTCTAATAGTCAAGCAAACTTGCGATAAAGCATACAAATCAAACATGTCTAGATCTCCTGTACTTCTCAAGATTATAAGAAATTAAAGAAGGACAACATAACAGACATGCATTTGTGATGATCAGCTAAGCTCAGTAGCTTCAGCTTGGTATTTGTCTCATCTTCTTCCACCAAGTTTTCAGCCTCCTCTGCATTTGTGTGAAAGAGAAAGTTAAATGGAATATTAACATGGCATAAGACAATGTTGTATCTAGGCTTTGTTGTTTACCGTTCTCATAAGCTTCAAAACCCTTGAGCCAATTCCGACTGCATATCAAAGCTTGAACGTTTTTAGGAAGTAAGCGGCTTCGGTATTTGTTCAAAACTCGACCTCCGATGCTAAAGAAGACTCCGAAGCTACTGTTGTGATAGGTATGCTAAGCACATCGCATGCCACAGAAGATAGCTCACCAAATCTTTTTGAGTTGTCTTTCCACCAATCTAGGAGGCTCTTAATATCGGTTGTATCAAGAGGCGGTTCATCGAGATAAATATCCAGGGAAGACTTTCCACTAAAAGCAACATTTGACTTTCTAAAAGCGAAGAAATCCTGAAATGACATAAAACAAGAAAACACATCTTAATGAAAACAAAACATATAACATGGTTAAGTAAATAAATGTTTGAAGTATACAAATCTGATGTAAAACTTACATTGTAGTTTTTGAACATTCTCGTTTTTGCTTCACCAAAATTCTCTATTGGATCAGATTCTCGTTGTTGTGTAGATGGTGAGTTAGACTTTGGCTTGTTCTCATATGCTTCAAAAAGAACCTTCAGCTTACTTCACAATGCTCAATCTTCGTTTTGCAAGTGAAACTACAGTCCCTCTCAAAGCAGTATTGAACAAGTGTGAGCTTCAAGCGAGGATCCAAGATGCTAGCTATTGCAAAAATATCACCCAATACTTATCAAACTCTTGGAATGACCATTTCACTGACAATTGTCACTATTGATTGTGGATCTGCCAAACCTGAAAGAAATACATGTTTGAAGTCGGATATGTCGAACCTGATATAAGCTTCGTGATCTCATCAAACGGCTCCAGAAAATCACATATGGCTTTTGCTCTATCCCATTCTTCATTGGTAGGACTACTCTTGAAGTTCTTATCCATTGTTTTAAGATTGATAAAACCAGCTCTATACTTGAGAGCCCTCTCAAGCATGTGATAAGTCGAATTCCACCTCGTTGGCACATCCAAAATCAATTCCCTCTTCTCCTCTACACGGGCAGATTCACAACTTCTTCTAAAAAGAATGTCACGGGATTCAGAAGCTGTCACATACTTAATACTCTCCCTGGTTTTATGCAAGGAACTCCCAATCACTTTAGACCGTCTTGCACAATCAAGTTGAGGATATGAGCTGAACACCTAACATGAAAGAATTCTCCTCCACACAACAAATCATCACGCAAAACCAGCTGAGATTTCAGGATATCTTGCATACAATCATTGCTAGTAGCGTTGTCTAGGGTGAGTGAAAACACCTTCTTATCAATTCCCCACTCTTTCAACATCTCAAGAAGATGCATAGCTAACTTTATACCTGAATGTGGTGGTGGCAGAGCATTGAATACTAGGATCTTGTTCTTCAATTGCCATTTGCTGTCAATGTAGTGTGCTGTCAAACACACATAGCCTTCGTCAGTCACTGCGGTCCACAGATCAGAAGTGAAGCTAATCCGACCATGAAGGTTTCTCAATTCCCTTTTCAATGCAGCTTTCTCATTCTCATAATATTTGATGACATCTGCGACAGCGGTATTGCGACTTATCACTTGCACATCATCGTTCAAATACTTCCACACAGCTCTGACTCTTTCATATTCAACATAAGAAAAGGGAAGATCATGCTGAATAATTGACTTAGAAACCATCTTGCGGAAAACAAGCTGATCAATCTTCCTTGCTTTAAGTTTTGCATCTGCACTAACCAACCAATATATGAAGATGTACCAGTCTTGTGGGAGTGAAACTTTTATTTTTTCTTACAATGCTTGCATTATGCTTTGTGTGTTCCATCTTTCTTAATGATGATGTCGAAATCCTCCCACAGTGGTGAGTGCTTCTTACTCTCTTTTTGCTCTGTATCATTCTCCTCATCATTGTCAGTTTCACTTTCATCCTGCTCATCATTGTTACTATTGTTCTTACTCTGCGAAGATGGTGTCTTATCACTAACATGTCCTTCTTTCGTGTTCTTTTTACTCGGCTGACTTGACATGCCAATCTCATCATCTTTATCATCCCATAATCCTTCTTCTTTTTCTAAGAAGAACTACCTTTGCCATTTTATTTCTAACCCCAAACATCATCTTCTTTTTTTGTTATGAATTAACTTTCCCACTAACTTATTTACGGCCATAATCCTTCTTCTTTTTCTGAGATGCATTACTTCTTCCACCATCTCTCGGTTTAGGGAAGTCTTCTCTCTCAGTTTCAAAAACGTTATCATCATCACCATCATCAGAATCTTCAACTGAAATGACCTTTCTCTTACAATATTGTGGCTGTGAATTCTCAGATTCCTCTACACTCTTCATGTCATCGTCAAGATCTTGTTGGGTAAGCTTCAAGAGTCTAAGGCCCAAGACATCCATTGACAAGGCGGTTATGGATACTATAGGCAAAAGGAAATTATACAGTGTTGTTACAATAGGAAAAGAATAGTTTTCCATTATGTAAAAGGCAAAGCAAAGTTGTGCTTGCCTATATATATGATTATCAAGGTGTGATAATCATTAAGAAGAAAAGTGTTTAGTTTTGAGCTATTTTCTAAGCATAATAAAGAGAGTTATTCTTTGAGTTCTTCTTGAAAGAGTTATTTGTTTAGTCTTAAACAACTTTATTTGGTATCAGAGCGGTTAAACAGAGAGACGTCACAAGGAAAATCAAGTTATGGTTGATCCTCCTCTGCCACCTCCTCCTCCTCCAAGGACGAAGAGATCATGCCATCGTCGGTTCTCTGTCCGATGTTAAACTCATCGAACTACTCTGTTTGGTCGATGAGAATGAAGGTGACCTTGAAGGTTCACAAGGTATGGGAGTCAATCGATCCTGGTTCGACCGACGAGGTGAAAAAAAATAACGCTACCGCGTTATTGTTCCAATCCATACCTGAAAGTCTGACACTACAAGTTGGTGATCAAGACTCACCGAAGGGAATATGGGATGCAATAAAATCACGACATGTTGGAGCAGATAGAGTCAGAGAAGCAAGACTTCAAACTCTCATGGCTGAGTTTGAACGATTGACGATGCAAGATACGGATACAATCGATTCCTTCTCCGATAAGCTATCGGAAATAGTTTCCAAATCTGCATCACTAGGTCAAACGATTGAAGAATCTAAGGTGGTGAAGAAGTTTCTTCATAGTTTACCTCATGATAGATTCATCCACATCATCGCTTCACTAGAGCAAGTCCTAGACCTAAACGCGACCACTTATGAAGACATAGTAGGTCGTCTCAAGGCATTCGAGGAGCGAATACTTGGGAAAGAGACTACTACTACTCAAGCTCAAGGGAGCTTGTTGTTTGTCAAGTCAGAGCCACAAGAAAACAACGGTAGCTCAGGAGGTCAAGAAGGAGGACGAGGTCGAGGAAGAGGCTCTCGTGGTCGAGGTCGTGGGAGAGGTAACGCACAAGATCGAAAGAAGGACAGACCGGATGTGATATGCTTTCGGTGTGATAAACCAGGGCACTTTGCCTCTGTTTTTCCCGAAAGAATAAAGAAGCTTCAAGAGCTCAACAAAGTCGAAACAGAAGAAGAAGAAGGAGAGGCGTTATACGTGCATGAGATGGTGGTTCTCAACGAGGAAAATCTAATGCCAAAGAAGTATGAAACAGAGAAAGGAGAAGAAGGAATTTGGTACTTAGACAACGGTGCAAGCAATCACATGACCGGTGTGAGATCATTCTTTTCAGAGTTGAATGAAAACGTAAAAGGCAAGGTGAAGTTCGGAGATGGATCTTGCGTAGACATCGGTGGGAAAGGATCAATTCTTTTCCAAGGAAAAACAGGAGTGGAGAATCTGTTAACTGATATCTACTTTATTCCCGAGTTGAAGAGCAACATACTAAGTTTGGGACAAGCAACCGAGTATGCCTGTGATGTTAGGATGAGAGAAGACTACCTAACTCTACATGATCCCAGCGGAATACTCTTGATAAGTGTAAAGAGATCTCCAAACAGGCTTTACAAGATCAATCTCAAGACTGGAAAGTCATCTTGTTTGCAATCAAGAATAGAGCTTGAAGAAGAAGGAGAAGAACACCAAGAAGCAAAGGACTCCATTGAGTGGATAAAGGCTGATTTGATCAACAAGAGCAAGACATGGATGTTTGTTGATAAACCAGTTAGAGTCAAGGGCAATGGTCTTAAATGGGTTTTTAAGATCAAGAGAAACACGGATGGCTCAATCAACAAGCACAAAGCTAGACTTGTTTTCAAGGTGTTGACACAAGATTCGAGGTGTTGGGACACAAAGCTTGAGGTGTTGACACAAGCTCCAAGGTGTTGGAACACAAAGCTTGACCAGATTTTGAAAGGAATGAAGTTCGTTGAACTGAGAAGCTTCAAAACGATCAAGACCATGTATGTCCACGTGAGGGACATACTTACAAAGGCCCTAGCAAGAATCAAGTTTAAGAAGATGAGAAGTTTGATTCGAGTTCAAGACTTTTCAAAGAGTGACTTGAAGCTTAAGGGGGTGAATGTTGGGTAAGCTTCAAGAGTCTAAGGCCCAAGACATCCATTGACAAGGCGGTTATGGATAATATAGGCAAAAGGAAATTATACATTGTTGTTAGAATAGGAAAAGAGTAGTTTTCCGTTATGTAAAAGGCAAAGCAAAGTTGTGCTTGCCTATATATATGATTATCAAGGTGTGATAATCATTAAGAAGAAAAGTGTTTAGTTTTGAGCTATTTTCTAAGCATAATAAAGAGAGTTATTCTTTGAGTTCTTCTTGAGAGAGTTATTTGTTTAGTCTTAAACAACTTTAGATCTTGTAGAGAAGAAGAAACATATTGTGATTCATAGTCAAGTGGCGTTTGTATGGTTCTCCATGTTTATGTATCCTCTTATTAGATCAAACGTTAAAACGATTTGGTACATTTAAAAACATTAAAGCAACTACTAAATCATGTTTTATGCATTAGACTTTTGAAACAGAATATCTACTATCTAATTTAGGCATCAAACGTTCAACAAGAAGCAATAAAGAGGAAGAAGCAATACCGGGTCGAAGCTCATCTTTCAAATTTTAAGATTTTTCAGCCGTTCACAATGCCAACTCCAAAATGCCAACGTACCCAAAGGAAAACGAAATCCAAAATCCAGAGAAAGAAAAAAACAGAACCAAATCCAAAATTCAAAGAAAGAAAACAACACCAGATCAGAGAATATCATAACTCACTGCTAATCTCACTCATCACCAAATTCACCATCATAACTTAAATAGGTAAAGTCATTTTCGTAACCCAGATTATCCTCATCTCCCATAAACTTCCTTTTCCATCGTATCATCATTGTCTTCATCATCCAAAGACACAATTGTAGGCATGCTAGCATTAGATGTTCCCTTCCTTGCGTCTCTCATAAAACCCCTTTCCATCTCAACATCACTATCTTCATGATCCACAAGTGTAGGTGGTCCATGTGGTCCGCGAGCACGAAGATGTCTTAGCAGGTTTGCGGAGACGAAGGTGGAAGCAATGTCTTTTCCTTTGTTAACTTTACCTGAATTTCTTGCTGCTTTAGTATAATGGATAAGATCTTCAGCTCCTGCAGCTTGACTAACATGTCTCGATGTCAAATCACTATCTTCATATACCAAATCATCATTTTCATCATTAGAAGAGCTCCCATCCATTATCCCCATTAACCACTCAAGTTCTTAGTCTCACTTGTAGTGCTACCAGATGTGAAAGAAATTGGGTTGTTTTTCAACTTGTAAATATTTAAAACTGCATTCATTACTTCTACAAAAACTAGATTATCTAACTTACATTCTTTGATTCGTACAACTACATACCAAGAAAAGAAACCGGCTGGACCAAACTCAGTTGAATGACATGGTCTATATCAAATATAATTGTGCTTTGCACCGCCGATACAAGAGGAGCGACACTGTGGATCCTATCAGAGTTGGATGATAGCAAAGTTCTTCATTTTTGGTGTATCAGATCCGTAACAAGACTACCATTCAGCTATAAAATGAAAAAAAATGAGTTACTCATTCGATTAGTATGTGAAAAAGTTATAAGATAATATTGTTACCCGTGATTTTTTTGATCTATGTCTAACTGCCAATGAATGACCAAAGAGACCATTAGCATTTTTGAATTTATCCATATTCACCATTATCTTTTCTCGAGTGGCAACATCTTAAACCAATATGCAAAGGCAATCATGCAAACCTTGCTGAACTTTCGGAGAGCTAACTTCATCATGTTTATCATATTGCGTCTCTGGATTAAGATAAAGCATGCTGCATGCAATGTTAGATGAAGCTGACACTCCCATCTTCTGTCAATGGTATCGATGACCTTTTCATACTTCTCTTTTACATTGAAACTCACCTTGATAGTCTCTTTAGCCTTATCTATGGCTGCATAGATATATCACATGGCTGGTTTTCTATCTCCATCAACTTTTCTTAATGCCTCAACAATTGGACCTGGCAACTTTAGAGCATACACAACATTTTTCCAAAAGCTTTCTTGCAGAATATATGTTTTTACTTTCTTTCCACCAGCTTCCTTTGACCATTTCAAGCTCTCCCATTCTTCTGAAGTAACCATCTTCCTCAAGTTATTCTGCTGCTTGTGATATTGCGCAAGAGTGATGAAACATGTAGCAAATCTAGTAACCGCTGGCCTATACAATTTTGCCTTATTTGTGAACTTCCTCATCATAGTCACAAGAGGGACATGAACATAAATGTAGCCATTCATGAAAATGCACTTCTTTAAAACACTCGTCACCTGTGGGAGTTTTCCAACATCCTCCAACATCAGATCAATGCAATGTGCAGCACATTAGTCCAATAGAGATTTGGTCTTTTAGCCTCTAGTAGTTTTCCTATATGTCATGTTCAAGAGAACCAAAGTTTCCGAATTAATATTAGAAAAATAAGAAAAAATGAATGTATTTTTTTTTCTTACCAGCCTTTAAGTAGTTAGATGTGTTGTCTGTTACTACTTGAACAACATTTTGTTCTCCTATTTCCTCAACCATTTCATCAAGCATGTTGAATAACAGATTCGCATCTTTGACAACTTCTAAGACGTCTTTCGATTTCATGAAAACAGAGTCTCTTGGAGAGTTCACCAGAAAGTTAATAAGATCCTTTTAGACAACTGAATCACGCCATCTATCAGACATTATTGAGCAACCTTTAGACGCTCATTCTTTCTTGTGCTCCTTAACTTGACCTTCAGATTTATCTAGTTATTTCTATAGAAGAGGAACTCTTAGCTCATACATACTCGGTGGTTTTAGCCCTAGACCATATTGACCAATTTCTTCGATCATCCCTGCGAAACTTTCATAAGTCACAACATTAAATGAAAGACCAGCATCATATAACCACCTAGAAATCGATCCACAACCTTGTCTCTAAATTTCTTATAACAAACTCTAAATCTTGTTTTTGTTCATTTCTTCATCGCAATATATCTGCATGTGTATAAGTAACAAACATGTCCATTGGACCTGTGTGTTTGCGTTTCTTAGGCTGATTTGCATGGATTGGTTCACAATTCATCTCTTCCGCAGCATCATAACCATCTTGAACATACGGCGGTGGCATCAATTTAGTAGCTGCTCTTGATTCAGCTTTCTTCATCATGTAATTATTGACTTCGTCTCTTACATGCGGTGGACATTGAGGACATTTAGCTACATTCTTAAACCTCCAACCAGATGATGTTTAAAACGAAAAATTCCAGCCTTTGTTATTTGAGGACAAAAGCTACATAGCCAATTGTTTTTGTTTGTAGCTTTAGGTGTTCTATACCTTTTTCCAGAATCTGCATCAGATTCGGGCATGGAGACAACTGAAAAGAGGAAGAGTTAAGTCTTTGTCGAAGAAATCAGAAGGAAAAATAGATAACATGAGAGAGTAGAAATAGAGAGAGAGTAGAAACAGAGAAGAAAAAACTAATCAGAAAATAATGGAGAAGAAGAAGCTCATATCGTGAGAGAGTAGAAACAAAGAAGACATAATGTAATCTGAAAACAATTGACACTAACATTTATTCTCTTAGTTTTGATCCGAAACAGAGAGTATGTCAACATTTCAATGAGAGATGGAGAAAAATATTTTATTTCAATTAGGGTTATAGTCTTTAACCAATCACATACAAGTACACATAAAACTTGCATTTTGAAAACAACTAAAACAGAAAAAGGGAAAAAAAATTATCGTTATGGTCCTCATCCGGAAAGCACTTGCCTTTCACCGAATCGCTCAAATGCGCTCATAGGCCCACGGTTCATGGACATGGCTGTGCTTTGGAGCGTTACTCACGCCTCTCGCCTCCGAGCGCCTAGGCACACCTAAAGCTTGGTTTTTTTAAATTAAGCTTGTCAGTGTCACAAAATCTAACAATGTCGTATATCGGTTTGGTGAAATCAATAATATAAGACACCTTTTACCACTAATCATCATTTACAATCTTCTCTTTAACCAAGTTTGCTTTGTCCACATTATCTTCTCTATAAATTAACTATTCCTGACACTCGATCCTGTGACCTCTAAGCTATGCAGCTTTGCATAGGGTCCCTTTACCAGTCGAGTTATAGCCACTTGGTGAAGACTAATGAACTTAAATCTCTTAAGCATCACAATAATAGATGCAAATCGAGTATCAACTATAGAAAGAAACTTAAGAGTAGATAATTTACTGAAAATAGCAAGCCTCATGTTCTGGTTCATGATGAAGTTTTTAATTGCAAGTGACACTTCATGGACTTTAGTTATCCACTTACACACGGTATATGTTTCCAGATTCGTTTCAGTATTCTTTGGTGCTCATATATTCTTCAGAGCCAAGTGAAGTGTGTAATTGTGGCGAAATAGACCTCAATAATCTCTCATGCAGCCTTACAATTTGCTGCATTGTCGGTATTACTTGAACAACCTTTTGATATCCCACTTGGTTGATGACTTCTTTCATCAAATCAGCAATGAATAACTTTTTCACTTCCCCGAAGAAATTTACAGCTTTAAGAAACAAAGAAACATTAGCACTAGTAGCTATGAAATTAATTAGAGCTTTCGTGCGGGATCACTCACAATCGACACTGCTCTTTCTTTCCATGTCGATTTCAGTATCATTAAATGCTTCTCGACATTGGCTTTTTCTTTATCCACTAACGTAGTGCTCAGCTTATTATACCCAGGAGGTACATAACCATCAATCTTTTGGGCTGCAGAAAACTGATAAGACCTATAATAATGTGGATTCCGTGCCATGTTGAATGGCATGCCTCCAGTATAAAACATCCTAACAATTTCTTGATTCAATTGGTATCTGGCTTGAACACCAAATGCTACAACACAATAGGTGAAAAAGAAGACATTCTTCTCTTTGCAGAAGTCAATGTTTATGTTTCACACCCGAACGGAACCTCCCTAGCTAGCACCAGATTTCTTCTTCTCAAATTCTTCTTCCAACTTTTCCATCTCATGCTTTTGTGATATTGTTACTTTTTTACAAGAAGAAATGCTACACTTTCCAATTCCAAGAAAATGCCCCTTCACCCTTGAATACGAGCCTTGTCGACTTAGGTTACAAAAATTGCACTTGAATTTCCAAGTTCCTACCGAAAAAAATATATAACTTAGTCAAATAATTTCATAATGGAGCAGCCCCTTTACTTTCACTTTGATTTGGTGTTGACAAACTACTAGTGTTGTTTTGCTCTTGAGTAGACATAGTTCTAAGGGAGAAAAAAATGAAAACAAAGACATATATCAATTATCAATGTCTAAAGACATGATAAAATAATAAATAGACAAACACACACAAGCACATAAAAAATTATAAAAGTACCTTGTTGATTAGTCGCTAGTTGTTTGCTCGGAAGGTTTGCTTGAGAAGAAGAATTCAGAACATTAAAGGAGATAAACAGAGAAATGGATCATGGGATGTGGACCCTGATAGAATATATATTGTCCTTTAATTATTGTTAGTTTTTATGATTTAATATCACCACATCACTGAGACGTCCCTGAAACGTTCCTGGTTTTGGCCGAAGCCGTCCCGAATTGAGCTGCTGTCTCGTCTTCCTCAAACCGTTCCTCGAACGTATCTAAGCTGTCCCCAATCAGTTCTCATCCTTGGGACGTTTTTCAGTTGCGAAACGGCACCAATTTTCCATCCCCGTGCATTGTAGCTACTAACATCCATGTTCGTGTTACACAAGAACGACAAACAAGTGGAATCACATTAGACTGTCACACATGCATATATCAAACGCAACCGGTACCCCGCAAAGCCCATATGTCATCTGCGGCCACTACCGCGTTCACAAATGCTTTACATGGTGGTCACATTTCCTTCTCCTCGGATATACAGCCGGCTACAATCACTCGCCAATGCAACCATAGCTCATAACATCAAAGCCAATACCAATGTTAGGTGAGTCTTTTATCCCTAACCAAAAGCGTCGGGTTCATTTATGTCTAACCCCATAGACATGCCCACATGACTCTTAATCACACCATTACAACATCATCGACCAAGATATCGACCAAAAATACGTCTGTGGAGTAGTAATTACAAAAACAAATGGGTTTTTCTCTCTCCCCTATCGACAAAAGCTTCTCTTCCGACCAAGCTTTCACGCGTTTTCTCAGATCTTGGTGTCGCTCTGGCCCGTCGCCCATCATGGAAGCCAAATTTCGTCTCTTCTCTTGATCTCTCAATCTAATATATTCTCTAAATAAATCTCTTCTCCTAAAGCATGGATTGGAAAACCCGGATGAAAAATGTCAATCGTCTCCGTTAAACTCTGGTTTTCTCTCTTCACCGACAACAATTCTGGCCGGAGAATCCTCGATTCCAAGTTCTCAGTCACCAAGAAAGTGGTCGTTTAAATCAAAACATCCTCTCTCCAGGATAGCCAAGGCGGATCGAGAAGCATCGCAATCTATGTCTGAGCTTGAAAGCTCAATGATGGAATTGCAAGGGAGTGTTTCTCCAGTCGCCTCTGAAATACCAGAAGTGTTAATCCTCCCAGATTCGTCTCGGCAACACCTCTCGAACCCATCTGCATATATGTTTTCTCCTCTTCTTCAGACAGTCCGTCAAAGTGAAGATTCAATTTTACCTGAGCTGGAGGTTTTGAATGGGAAGTCTTTCTTAGTAGAAATTCAATTTGAAGAAGCGACAACTTTAGCTTCTCACAGTTATGTGGAAGTTCCAAATAAGGATCACGACTCGTAACAAGGACTTCAACCAGGCTCCTTTCCTTAAAGGCGCATGGACTAAGAAGTTGGATTTCTCACTTAGCTCAACCTCTCAACAAGCTCCTCAAAATTCCAGAGAAGTTCAGGGAATGTGGCATGCTCTGTGTGCTTCAAAAACTAGTCGCAAACATGGTGAATATCATGCTTCACAAAAGCCACTAGCCATGGAGGATGATATTCGTTTTCCTTGGCCAGCAAAAATGAATACAGAATCAAGAAATCTCTATAGAGCTTCTGAGCCGGAATATGTGGACGACGGGACTCCAAAGGTAACGATTCCCCAACATGTTTTGTTACAAGGACTAGAGAACCATAAAGAGTATATATTAGGACAGTTTTATCATTGTTATACTCTAGCTGGTGGTCTAATTCATGTCGTATTCATTAAGATATGGGGAAGAAATTGCAAGATCACCATTAGGAAACTTGGTGAATCGAATTATCTTTTCCATATACCTGATGATTCAACTAGGATTTGGGTTCTTCAAAGGGGACTTTGGCATGTTGATAATTGTATGATGTTTGTTGCTGCTTGGACTCTCGAAGCTTCCTTAGCTATTCAAGAGATTAAAACTATTCCGGTTTGGGTAACCTTGAAAAAATTACCCAACATTATGTATTCTATTCCTGGAATTAGTCACATAGCCTCAGGTCTAGGTGCTGTCGTGGCAACTCACAAACCTCGATGGGATCTTATTCTCATGGGTGAAGCCAAAATTTTGGTTGAGGTTGAGTTGAGCAAGGCTTTCCCACCAAGAATCACTGATAGTGATAAAACAGGTTTTATCTCTATGGTTGTTGTAGAATATGCATGGCTTCCTTCTCAATGCAGGAGGTTTAGACAATTAGGACATAAGGTCAAGCACTACTTACAAGCAGAAAGTGGTTCTCATCAACTTCCTGCCAATTCAGCTCCGGCCCCTAGTATCAAGGTGCTTCCTTGCAAAAGTTCAGTCGTAATTAATCCAATAATTCCCAATGTGGAAGATACCAGTAGGCCAGACATTGCCTCGGATTCTGAGATTGCAGCTGATTCTGAAGTTCCAGCTACGCAAGCATCTCTTGAGTCTCCTCTTCTGGAGACTGCCCATACTACAGAAATTCCAGCCGTGAAAGCGTTTTCAACCATTCCAAAATGTCTTGAGTCTCCTCTTTCGGAGCCTGTCCAATCTATTTCCGTCAATGCCCCTACTACTGCTCATACAGATTCTACTCTTTAGCTAGAGAGTGGGAAAACACGTGAGCAGTGTCTTGGTTCTAATCAGTTTGCATCGCTGTTTTTTTCCGAACATGAAGAAGATTTATCGGATTCCAACGAAGAGTCAAATTCGATGGATCTTCAGACACCGTCAGGTAAAAGAATCCTCAGAGATCGACCGGTTAAACCATCAACAAAAGTTAAAGAGATGCATTGACAATCCGTATCTCGAGGACGCAGGAATCAAGGACGTGGGAATCGAGGTGGAAGTGGTTAAGGGTCTTGTTAACAAGTCAATCGAAGCGCGGAAGATTTTGATTGCATTGTAATTCATCTATTGTACATTAACTTTATCATGCTTTTAACAGTTTTTTAAACATTGTATGCCATGGTTATGTTTATCAAATAAATTATAATTCAAAAAAAAAAAATCATTGACCAAGACCTTGGTCCAAAACCGACCATGATCTCATCTCTGTTTGTACACAAAATATCGCAATACCGGTTTAGATCCTAAACATTTAAAACGCATACTAGGTGAGGTCAAGCAATATAACGCAACAATGAACATATGAGGATAACATGCAACAAGAGTTCATAACAAGTGACCAAATCATATCAACGCGACACTACAACAAGCTATTATTTATTTAGATGATTAACACAACCTTTTTACTTACAGAATCTTTTAAAAAGCGATTACTTACTTAGCAACACCAGCAACGATGGCAATGTACAATTACTTATTACGCAAGCAATAAAAGAATGGAACTTAACAAGCAAGCAACAGAAGAATGCACATCAACGATTAATAACGCATAACGGCATAAGTAACAAGCTATTTGCAAGTTAAAGATCACTACAAAAACAATATACGCCTAGGCTTAATCATTTGCTAAGGATGTCTAAACACTTAAAAGAGTAGAAGAAGAAGCATAAGCCCATCCTCACCTCGGATACGGTGGACGAGCGAAACACTAATGATGATGCGGTGGCCGTGCATGCATCCAAGACGACAGGTAGTATACCGGCTGCAGTGGTGGTGGCAGCAGACCCGTGACCAAGGCCCTGGACCAAGGCAGCGAGGATGTCATTGTCCAAAGGCAGCGACCTCAAGAGTCGAGAATCACATGGTTGATCGCTTGCAAACTTGGCTCATCGAAGCCAGCGGGATACGGCGTCGGAGGTGGCGACGTCAATGGTGGCGAGTGAGCGAGATGAGAGAGCGGAGAAGAATCAATCTAGAGAGATAAAAAATGAATGAGAGGCACGAGAGAGCTATTGTGCTCTTGAAGATTTTGAGAATGGACTCTTATTTATAGTCATCAGCAGCTTGGGAAGAAAGGAAGAGATAAACACAAATCTTTGTATATAAATCCAAATGTGGAATCGATAACTTAGAATAAGGAATATGCTTAAGCATATGGAAGGAAGATATCTTCACTTATTTTGATTAAGGAAAAGATAATCACAAGGAAATCTGGAGCGGGCTTTTTAACGGACCTTCTAAAAGAGGTTTAAGAACCTAAACCCAATTAAGTACCCAAAACCGAATTTCAAACCAAGTTACAAGAACCGGGATGTCACAAAATTTCCCATGTCTTTTGTCTCGTAAATTTTATAAATTTTAATAGAACAAGAAAAAATACGTTGTGGTAGTATGAGTGGTTTTTGTTATGATTAGTTTATATGGAAGCCCATTATCGGCCCATATTCTAGAATGTTCTAGCTTGTTCTCCAAGTTGTACCTCTTCTCCAAGGAAACCCTTCTCTTGTATCCCTATATAAAGGACTCATTACTCATGAATAATACACAACCAATTTCTCTCTTCTTACTATAACACGTTATCAGCACGAGCTCTAGCCGTCTGAACTGAAGGTATAATTTTAGATATTTTTCTTCTTCATAAATATTAAGATCCATATTTATTTATCGACTCATGGTTCTTAATACTAAATCATAAGATCACATATATTGATACATCCGATCTCCGTTATCGTGAGCCATCTATATGAGACTTATTGATTCGCTTATATTGCTTGTTATTATACAATCATACGATGTGATAATTCAACACGTTTATCTTGCTCTTTCTTTTATGCGATTTTTTTTTAAGAGTTTTATAATAAGAGTTTCATTCATAACAATTCGCTTTATCACTACGTTTAAGCTTTATCACTACCTCTGCAATTCGCTGAATTTTATAATATAAATCTACACTCTTATTTTAATATAATATGATAAAATTCTACGCATATGAACTTTTATAGATCTGTTATCTCTCACGCCTGAATTCTATGCATATGAACATCTATCTGAATTTTATTTTGCAAACTTTCACTTATTTTAACTGTTCATATCCGAAATTCACTTATAAATCTGAATTATATTCATATTGTTTTAACACATAGTTTGCATCAAATTCATAAAATTGAATATTATCCTTTGAATGAAACTGAATCCTCTATGCTGAATACTGTTAGGGTTCTATCGACATCTAAATCCCAAATTTTGCAGTCACCGAATTTTGCATATCATTCTTTTTCGTTAAATTGTATAATAATCACTACATATTATATATTATGCATATCCATTGTGCACAGTCATTTTCCTTTTTCTGGCTGAATTAGAAATGAATCTTATGCATACATATTTACAATTTAGATGTCGTATATATGCTGCTTTATTTTCAAGTCTACGATATCTACACATGTCCTGAAGACATGATTTATACTTTTATTTTCATCTAGCTTTGAAAATTATGTTATATATTTTACTCTTTTCGTTAGATTTTAACAATGAGTCAAATTTAATATTCACAATGAATTTGGCATCTACTAGTTAATATTATTTAATTCATTACATGAAATGGTATTTTCACATATGTTAGATTTGATTGGTCAAACTTTACTTTAAAGTAAATGTACATTGAATTAAGTATATATATATTTTCTATTTATAGCTTTATATTTCATGACTTGTGAAGCAAGGATATTGATCTAATATATTTATATATGTCGTAGCAACTTTCTTATATGACTTTAGTTACACATTCGCTTGATACATTATACTCATGGAGTTAATTGTTAATTTCGTTGATGCATTATACTATTTTCGTTATATTTTAACAATGAGTCAATTGTTGGTTTAATTGTTATATTATTGGTATTCATTGTGAGTTTAAAATGTTGATACCAATGGCTATAAAAGATCCACAAATTCTTTAAAGTAGTTTAAAAAAAAAGAATTATCACCAGAAGTGATATGATCTGAAACATTAATCTAAAGAAAAAGATTTATCTAAAGAAAAAGATTTATCACCAGAAGTGATATGATCTAATATCACCAGAAGTGATATGACCTAATAAAGTAATCTAAAGAAAATTATAGTATTAAGATCATATAAACTTGAAGTTTATAAGTGGAAATAATACTACTAATACAAATGTGTTAAAAGAAATCAAGAAAACATTGTTGTCCTGAGACACAATAATATAAATATGAGTATTTATAAAACATTGTTGTCCAGTAGACACAATAGCAAAGAAATTCTTAATGATTTTTAATCTATTATTTTCTTTTAAAATTAAATTTGTCACCTGAAGTGATAATAAAATAGTACATGTTACTAATATTAATTGTTATTATCATGTTTTACTTATATATTTATGTAGCTTGATAATATTTATTTATTTTATATTTTATATATTAGTATTTGCATCAAAAACCACATGACCTGAAGTCTATAAGTGGAGATAATAAATATTATGAAGATGTTAAAATACATCAAGAAAATTTTGTTGTCTTGCAGACACAAAAAACATTATCACCTGAAGTGATAATATAATTTGAGAATTTATTCAAATTATATCTTATCTTTCTAATTTTATTTTAAACTAAATTTGTCACCAGAAGTGATAATAAATGGTATATATTATTAATATTTATTTTGATTATGCTCTATTTATTTATATATATATACTTATTTTTATTTTTATTTTATTATTCTCTATATGATATCTTAAATTTTCATGAAAGATTACAAGACCTGAAGTCTGTAAATAACTTTTAACTATATAGAAGATAATGTATATCAATAGAGATGCTAAAAAGCATACTCTAAATAATATTGTCATATTGTCTGTAGACAAAATAATCTTAGACAATATTGAATCATTGATGAAAATCATATCCAATTGGTTATGATCAATTCCCTGAAGTGAATGTGATATACAAGTAAATGGTTAAAGAGGTTATTGATTTTATATTGGAATTCAATTCGAGATAGATGAACCTGAAGTATCATCATCTCGAGGGGGAGAATGGATGAATCCCACAATCAATAATAAATGGAACATCTAGAAGATTATGTTCACACTCAAGATAAACTTGATCATTGATCAAGAAAAGTGTAAGAATCCCTAATTCATAATCCAGAAGATTATATCAAGATGAATGATCCTGATGAATCATATATAAAGTAATTCAAGGAATTTCAATATACAATAAATAGGAAAAGTTAAATAGATATTATATAGTAAACCAGAAGTTTACTGAATCTAACATAATTTGGCATGAACTGGTTAGACCATTCCAGTTCAAGAATTATGCGAAGTAAAATACAACATGTAGACATTTGTTGAAGAACTAGAAATTCTTCTTAATGATTTCTAATGTGATATTTATCATAAGAGATTATGAGATTATGATAATACAATAATATCACTAGCCAAAATAGATTTTGAGTCTATTCATTTTCTAGAGAGTATACAAGAACATATGGTTTAATAACCCATTTTGTGGACTAATCATCCTCTTAAGAAATTTCATTGTGTTTTGTAATGCATCAACAAGTTGTTGAAATGTATAAATCTGCAACCTGAAGTTTGCAAGATTACTTAGTAGTGCTAGTGAATCACATCTTAAGTCTATGGTAAGAAAAACATGTTTGTAAGCAAATGTTCATCATTAGACATAATGTAAAGCATTAATTCGCATAAAGCCAACAAGTAACTAAAAGTTCTCCCCATCAAAATTGGTTTTGGGTCAGAAACCTTTGGATGTGCAACATCCACATTGCTCCACCACAGCAATATAAGATGGATCTTCAAAAGAGATTGTAGATGTTGGATATGAATCTCCATTGATAATATCTAGAGCTATCCCTGAAGGATTTAAGTAAGCTCGATTTATAGACTACCATGTTAATGGATAAGTCTTTCCAACATCAGGGGGAGAAAATAAAAGGCTGGAAAGAAAAGTAGTTGAATGAATTATCATTGATCCTCGGACTATAGAATGTGAAATAGAAGTCCAAAAGATAATTCATTCACAAAACTTATTGTATCAGTTGCCAGATACATTTACTGACCCAAATATAGTGATTGAGTCACTTACCAGCTGTAAATGCTCTAATAAGAATTGATGTCCCAGAAGGACAATATCAAGCTGCTAGTGAGTCTAAAGAACGCATGAAGCGTGATAGACTTGTCGGTTCCAAATATTAAATCCTCGAAAAAGTAAAAGAGCATAAATTGACAATGGTCAAACCGAGGAAACAAATATTTTTGAGTGATCTCCAGAAGAGACATTAAACATGACAAATAAGAAATTCAGGTACCTGAGACAATGATGAGATCTCGAGAAATTACTTATGTCATGTATAGAATAAATGGAACCAGAAGCAAATCGACGTCGTAAATAATATATTTGCATGCAATGTAGCAGTTGATATTATGAATGAGAAAGAGGATCATGAAACAAAGTCTATTGCATTGTGTACACAAAGTAATGATTTGGCCAAATCAAAAGAAGCAATAGACACAAAACAAAATCTCTTAGAAAGAGAAAAGTATTTGGACCAGAAGTCCTTTCACCTAAAAAGTGTGAAACAAGTGAGTTATAAATTTGGCATTTGTGCCGAAGAAGAATGAGTATGAAGAGATATACTCTCATGTGGTGGATGCAACTTTCAAGTTCATTAAGTCTGGCAATGAAAGAAGAACTTGACTTATACAACTCACTAAACAATGATTTTATGTAAAAGTCCCTGAAGGATATAATCATTAAAGAATTAATGATATCATTTTTTGTTCCCGGAAAATATTAGCTATTAATCAAATGAAAAGAAATTTGATTCATGGATATAATCACGAAAGTGAATATATAAAGCTAACAAATACCCATGTATATTTATAGATCAAAAGAGATTTAGTCTAAACATATCGAAATTCCAGAAGAATTGTCGAAATTAGTATCACAAAAGGAGATGGGATAAAAGATCTTGGAAAGACAAAGTTGTCTTAAGATATATCCCAAATTCCCAAAATGTTATGGCATGATTTACATAAGCAATGCTCACATATATTTGGTCCTGAAGTACCATACTTCAAATGCTATTTGAAAAATATGTTAGTCTCTTTCATAATTGAAAATGAGCAAAATGAGCATGAGATTATATATACAAGATAGATGTTTTCAAGAATGTATATAAAAGAGAAAATTTGGCCAGAAGTCCAAATGATTATTTATAGAAAAAGATGTCATAGACTAAAAGTCTAAATGACTTTCATCAAAGTTATACTTATAGTAATCTCCAAAAGATAGTATTGGAATGCATCTCCTGAAGAATATGCTTCCAAGGGGGAGAATATGATGATATGTGTGGTTGTACTCTTTTTCCTTATCATGGTTTTTCCATGAAAGGTTTTAATGAGGCAACAAAGAACACACAAATGAGAAACATCTAAAGAAGTCTTGTCATCTATTTATGAGATCAAGTGAAGCAAGGAGATTGATCAAGATGAATCATCTTGACCATGCACCAAGAAGAATGGCGATGTCAATGTTCTAAAGACTGTTCAAGTGAAGATTTTAAAGGAGTTTCCATCTGCTATTATCAAGAAGTTCATTCACCTAATCTACACGGATGTTCTCATGAGGGGGAGTAGTTGCGCGCTGTACTCTTTTTCCTTAACTAAGGTTTTTCCCTTTGGGTTTTCCTGGTAAGGTTTTAACGAGGCAGCATCATGCGCACTTAGAAGATATTTTTAGATAATGGACTTCCAAGGGGGAGTGTTATGATTAGTTTATATGGAAGCCCATTATCGGCCCATATTCTAGAATGTTCTAGCTTGTTCTCCAAGTTGTACCTCTCTCCAAGGAAAACCCTTCTCTTGTATCCTATATAAAGGACTCATTACTCATGAATAATACACAACCAATTTCTCTCTTCTTACTATAACAGTTTTAGAGTATTTGGGCAAAGAAAAAGAGTAATATATAAATCGATAGTACAAAACTTTGTATGATAGAAATATATTTTCTTAAGAACTCTGTATAATTATATAACAACTGGAAATTTTTTTTTTTTTTTGATATTCTTGGACGTATGCTCGGTAAGCAAAAAGTCACCCTTCTTCGGATTTTCCAATCTATGAGTTATAAATTTCAGTAATCTCATCACTATCATTATCATCATAACTTGCTTCTCCATTATTGCTGCATGAAGACTCTGTTTTCTCCAGCATACAAACCACTGATTTCATAGACGGTCGACTCTGAGGAGACTTGTCCGTACATAACAAAGCAATGGTCAACACTTTGAGAGCATCCTCCTTGTGTTCATACTCGATAATCGGATCGATTAATTCCATCATCTTCTCTCTGTTCATTTCCTTGCTCCTGCTCCAAACCCACATGACGATGTCTTTGTTCTCGCCGAACTCTGCCTCCACTGGCTTCTTCCCTGTCACCAACTCCATTAACACCACCCCGAAGCTGTACACATCGCTCTTCTCGTTCACGTTCGACGTGTATGCGCATTCTGTGGATGAAAACGAAATGATTTGCAGTTGAGAGGGGTTAAAAAATTGTCATGTTGAAATGCAAGAAGATTGGAACTTGAGAAGCAAGAAACTTGACCTAATGGTAAGAAGAACCACTGTGGTCCGGGTTTAGGGTTTAGTGTCAATAAAGAAAAGGAAAGAAACTAGAAGATTGACTTACCGGGGGCAATGTAACCAAGAGTTCCTTCAACAAGAGGAGCCGAGAAAGCTCGTTGAACCGAATCAGGCTGAATGATTTTCGCCAATCCAAAATCAGCAATTCTCGCTCTCCACTCTTCATCAAGCAATATATTGCTTGACTTCACGTCGCGATGTATCACAGGCCGATCTAACCCATGGTGAAGATACTCCAACCCTTTAGCAGCTCCTAAAGCTATTGCTTGTCTCACACGCCATCCAATCTCTTGCTCACCACGGCGCTCGTGCAACTGCTCCCACAAGCTCCCGTTAGGCATATACTCATAGACAAGCAAGTTACTATCCTCGCTCATTATGCTGCAGAACAACTTCACAACGTTTATGTGTTTTATATTGCTTAGCGTGGCTACTTCTGCCTCGAACTCTCGGTTATTGTTGTTGTTGTTGTTTCTGTCACTACTTAACATTCCCGTTGAGCTTCTGAAACTTTCGTTGCAAACCTCTGGTCTCCATATGTGTTTAACTGCCAGTGTTTCGCCGTTACTCAGGGTCACTCTGTACACGTTCCCGTGACCACCTCTGCCTATAAGATTCTCTGACTTGATCTCATCGATGATTTCCATTTCGTTCATGTTGAGTAGCCGGAAAGAGCTCACTAGCCAGTTGTTCTTCTTCTCAGCCGTTCGATTTAACCTACCTTGCTTTACCTTGAAGATCACGTAACAGAATAAGACAAACAGAGCAAGTAACAAAGCAACGATGAAACAGATCTCCAATTTAGACAAGTGTTTCGCTGTCCCATCGTGGTCGCGACATGGCTGAAGATACGCAATCTCTGAGCTGCATAGCCCTGAATTTCCTTCAAAGCTTCCAGTCTTGAGTGATTGAGGAACAGAACCGGTCAATTTATTATCGGATAAGTCAAGTAGGCTTAGCTTGAGAGACGACAGACCAACCGGAATCTTTCCTGATAGTTTGTTTCCTGAGAGATTCAGAGAATTCAACAAGTGTAGAGATCCTAAACTATCCGGGATATTACCAGAGAGTGAATTTCCAGCTAGGTTTAGGTCAGCCAGAGATGCACACAAGCCTAGTGACACTGGTATAGCACCGGAGAGTTTGTTCTCGTTAAGATAGAGACTCGAAAGCTCCTTAAGTTTGCCGAATGACTCAGGGACATTCCCGGAAAACTTGTTCAGGCGAAAGTTAACAGACACTAACGAGTTAGCTCCTGAGATCTCAGACGGTAGAGAACCGGAAAACTGATTGCTGCTCAAATCTAAAGAGCCAAGAGACTTGGCCTTACCAATATCACCAGTGAGATTTCCTTCAAAACGGTTTGAAGCAAGATCAAGAAACTGGAGGTTAGGCAAACCCCAGATCCCATTAGGGATCACACCAGAGAGAGAGTTGTTGCTTACACGAACACGAACCAGACTCTTGCATTTCGCATAGCTCTCCGGGACTTGCCCTGAGAATCTGTTCTGTAACAAGAGAAGATGCGTCATTACACCTTTCTTGCACATATCAGGAGGAATCTGACCTTCCAAGAAGTTCTCAGACACGTCCATGTGTTTGAAACCGGTCCAAGATCCGAGTCTCTCCGGTAATTTCCCGGTGAGCCGGTTTCTGTAAAGAGACAGAGCAGCCAAACTCTTGAAATCACCAAACTCTCTTGGGATCTCACCGGTTAGTCGGTTCTCGAACAATCCCAGAGAAACGAGGTTCTTTAAAGATCTGAGCTCAGACAAATCACCTTCTAAAGAGTTGTTAGAGGCGTCGAAATACCTCAAATTCGTCAAACTCCCAAACCCGGTTGGTAACTTTCCGGTTAAGTAATTGGTGTAAATCTCGAGCTGGATTAGGTTTTTGAGCTGAGAGATCCCCCTTGGAATCTCACCGGTGATTTCATTATCGGAGAGCTCAAGGTTTTGTAGAAGAAGAAGGTTTTTGATTCCCTCTGGAATCTTACCGGTGATGCTGCTGTTACTCAGATAGATCCAATTCAAGGCGGTGAGGTTTAGAATCTCTCCGGGAAATGGATGCCGATCGAATCGGTTATCTCCGACGCTTAAGAACTTCAGTCTCTTCAGGTTTTTCAGAGAATGCCACGGGAATTTCCCGGAGATTCCGGATGCGTTAACGCTTAAAAACTCGAGTAATCGCAACGAATCGATCGCCGGGAACTCGCCGGAGAAATTGTTGACGCCGAGGTCTAAGTATCTCAGGCGATTGCATTTCCTGAGATTCTCACGAATCCGGCCACGCAAGGAGTTGTTTCCTAGAACGAGCTTCTCCAGGAACTTCAAATCGCAGATCGAATCGAAAGGAAGATCGTGACTAGTGTTGTCTCCGTTGATCAAACTCCGACTTCCGAGGTTGATCTCGACGACGTTTCCGACGGAATCGCAGACGACTCCGACGAATTCACAAGCCGATTTCCGGTGAGTCCATTTGGCGAAGACGTCGTTTGATTCTGTTTCTCCAAATGCGGATTTCAATTTGAGAAGATTCTCGACTTCTTCCTTTTTATGGTCCGGTCGCGATGAAGCTAAGGGTAGTAGAAAGAGGAGGCGAAGGATAAGTAGACGCCGGAACATCGGTCTCTTTGCCGGAAGGATAAAAAGCGTTGTTGTGTTTGACGAAAGTGAAGAATTAAGAAAGCGGTAGTGGTAGGCGGTTTGTACTTTGTATCTCTAATATTCAAATATGGACAACATTTGAAATTTAAAAAATTGTATAAATGGAAGGTGTTTTATGTCAAGTTTTCCCTCTTTGTGATATTTACTTGGTTTTATCTTGAAACTAAATCAGGACAGTTATAGAATGATCATCAATTCAAAATTACAGTACAAGTTAGAACTTAGAAGTATGATCATTCATAAAATTATTATGACTTTTAATGACTTTTCAGTTTTTTGTTTGATTTAAATGACCTTTGTCATGTTTTTTTGTTTACAGTCTTGTATTCTGTATTTGGGCGGCAAGATTATTTCTTCTATAGTAAATCTTGAATCATATTTTTTTGGATACCTGCTATAAATAAATTTTATCTCTTTCCTGAATTCCATTAGTAGTTTTTATAGAAATAAAATGATTTTTTAATTGACAATTAAATTTTAATTTCAAAATTAAGGAGACATATCACGTGTACAAACATTTTGAAAAACCCCAAAAACATATCCAATGAATATGAAGAATTGAAGATTCGAATGTAATGTTTGACTAGCTGTCTCTTTTATGTAGAGAGTATTTTGGTAAGGTACTCTTTCAAATTTGGAAAACAAATAACAGCAAACAGTTTCCTGTGACAACCTTTTATTTGGTCTAAATGCTAAGATATCTGTTACAAACTTACAATCCAAAGTTGTTAATTATTCCAAAATTTGAAATATAAATACTCATATGAACTCCTAAGCTTTATCAACATCTAATGAACAATGTCTCTACTCAAAACCAAAATCTTATTTCTCTTTGCAATCATTCTTTCCTATAGCTTGATCGTTCCTTCTTTAGCCGACGACTGGAAACAAGAATTCTTAGAGGCCCAAAACGAAGCCCGGAACGAAGTTGGCCTGGACCCGTTCATTTGGGACGATGAGGTCGCTGCTTATGCCTCGAGCTATGCGAATCAGAGGATCAGTGATTGTGCCATGGTCCATTCGAATGGACCTTTTGGAGAGAACATAGCGTGGAATAGTGGAGATATGTCGGCTGAGGATGCTGCAGAAATGTGGATCGACGAGAAAAAGTACTACGATCACGATAGCAACACGTGTAATGATCCGAACGGTGGCACGTGTCTACATTACACACAAGTGGTTTGGAGAAACACTCTTCGTTTGGGATGTGCTAAGGTCGTGTGTAACAGTGGTGGTACTTTTATTACATGTAACTATGATCCACCGGGAAATTACATTGGACAACAACCATACTAAGTTTTTGAATGATATAAAATAATTTCATTAAAAGTTTTTATTTATTTATTTCTTGTTCAACAGAAAATAAAGTAAAAGAGAGAGAATGAGATAAGAAGTTGTTTCTGCCTTTTATTAGCTGTACAGACAGATATAAACAATTTTAATGATGATGACATCCACCTTTCAAAAATTGGCTGGCTAAAATACCTAACGCTACCTTAAAAAATAGAAAATACAAAAACATTTTTGGAGGAAAAAAATTGCGAGTGGAAGACAACTCATGATAAGTAAAACGACAAAGCGATACACGTCAAACGACACCAAGCTGGCTTTGCTGTCGCAGCTCTTTCCTTAGCTTATGAGAAAACAGCCTGCAAGCGTCCAAACTCAGATCCACCGCCGCAGCTAACGCCACGTGTGCTGCTGCATCCTCTGTGCATGTCACGTGAGTCACACCCACCTCTACCTCCGGCTTGCTCCGTTTCCCCACGCCTTCCACCGTAGCCGACATCACAAACCCTCTGTTTTGCGCTGCCGACGACGACGGATGTTGCGGCAGTAGATATCCGAAATCCGACCCGGATCCCGATCCTGGTCTAGATGCCGGTCTCGACCCGGAGCTAGATCCGGATCCGAGATCCCAGCTTCCTTGAGGACTCGTTGTAGGTGTAGAAGCCGCCGTGCTGGTCCCGCCCGTGACATCGATCACGAAACTCCCGCCATTTTTCAAGCTGACGGACGACGACGCGGAAACGGCGGTGGCGATGCCGTCTTGGAAGAGCTCGAAACGGTAACCAAGCGTGTCGGAGTAACCGGCCTCGCGCCATGCCTCTAGTCGTCCCCATGGCTTCCACGTGCAACCGTTGGGTCGAAGAATGAGCCAAGCGCCTGGACTCGAACGCGTCACGCGGTTCGAACCGGGAGAAGGCACGAAAGGTGTGACCATAGAGGCCATTGCTACTGGTGAGCCAGAGAGATCATGGACCGTTATGGACCAACCTTTTCTCTCTTTCGACGCTTGTTCTTTTTCCGATTTCATCGATGATATGCAACTTCTCGTTGAGATTAACTCGGACATCATCGAAGAACTGCATAATTAAAATTGAATTGCAAAATCAATTTAGGATCTCAACAATCTAAATCAAGTTAACAAATCCGAGAATTAGCGAATATCTGTTGAAAAGTTCGGAAGTAAAGAATCTATCTGACAAAAGGCAATGTTTCGATTTTCTAATTCGATGCTAGTTCCAGTGAAGATGATGATTTAACTGACCTGTGAATAAGATTCCGATCGCCGGAGTTGGAGTTCCTGGCGCCAAACTTGCAGGTGAAGACGGCTTGTTTTGTGTTACCCTGAACTTGGAAAACCTGAGGGCTGCACTCTGGCTCGCCGTCGAATTGAAACACGAATCTCGGGTCAGGTTCGACCCGTACGCTAACGTGGAGCTCCGGATCAGAACCAGCCTTGTTCCTCGATTTTCCCATTTTCTTAGATCCCAACGCAACCCATCCGTTGTGCGGCAAACACGTCTTCGTCTCCGCCGATTTCAAATCCACCGAAACTTCGAATCGACCGAGCAGCTTGTCGCTCCCCGGAGCGAGTCCACACGAGGCGCCGTCACCGTCGCTGTTTCCGCGGGAGTAAGTCTCTACGGAGAGGACACTCCACTTAGGTTTCTTAAGGGACGCCTCGATCTGAGTTTTGCTTAGACTGAAGCAAGCGGCGACGGTGGAGACGTTACCGGAGCACCGAGTCTCGGATTCGGGTTCGGTTCGGAACATAACCGGAACGGAAACGAACTGGCGAGGGAAACTCTTGAATCTGATTTTGCAGTAGCAATCAGGAGCCGATACCGTGGACGAGTGGTTTCCGGAAACGGACGGTCCCGATGAAGAATACGAAGACGACGCCGGAAAACGAACGGCCAAGTTTCCGACTATGATCCGTACGAAAGAGCACGGATCCATTGAATTAAGATTGAATTCTCAACGCTTTGATCTATTTGAGATTGGCGATGAGCACGCAACGCAATACTTGCTGGTTTAAGGTTTGAGAGAGAGAGAGGGAAAGGTCGAATGAAGAAGATATGAGTGAAGATAGAAATGGGGAAGAAGGTATAAAAATGGAAAGAATTGATAGAGAAACAGGCTGGAAAATAGCTGGGGAATGTGATTAAATTACAATTTAAATAAATAGAGAGATATTTGATTACAAAACTACAGATTCTGTGTGGGGTCAAAGCGAAACAGTGAGCTTATCATATTTTCCAGAGAGGCAGAGTCTTTTTTTCTTCTTTTTACTTTTCAAACGTTTTTAAGATTGTTTTCTTTTCTTTCCTTTTTGGAAAATGATTTTTATTTGTTTCCTTCCATGAATATTTTCAGAATTTTCTCATTATGAAGTGGAACACCGAACACTGTTGCGTTGTATTTGAAGCGAAACAAGAAAGTATATTTTCTGTTCTTTTTATGGAAGTGTACAAAATCTGTTAAGGTTTTTGCAGAAAATGTAGTTGTGTGATTGATGCAATCTCCATGTAATCAGTGCATAGTTAGACTAGACTGCTTTACCCGGATTTGTATCAATGGTAAAGTACTAAAATAAACAGTGGAAATAAATAATCAAACCATCTATTCAAATTTATACTTTTTCCGTTTCATAATAAGTTGTTTAAGGTTTTTTTACATATTAAAAAAATATGTTAAAATTTCTACAATATCCTTATTTAATATATTACAGAATTTAATTTCTTTGTAATTCAATAATAAATAGAGTTAAATCTGGAAATTATATTAAAATTCTGCATTGAAAATGTAAAACGACACTTATAATGAAACAAAAATTAAACTCTAAAACGATACTTATTATGAAAGGGAATGAAGACTTTTTTATATTTAGAACCATTTTTGCATTCAATAAAATGTTTTGTGTTTTTGTTCTGTTTTTACAGCCCACTTAATAATCTAACCATAAAATCCGTCGAACATATACTTAGAAACTACTAGCAAAATAAATAATAACAAGATTATGTTTATAACTTTATAGGGAATATCGCATAAAAAATCATCAAAATGACAACTACTTCACTTTAACCATGAGAATTTTTAGTTAGCAGTTTAAACCGAAAACTTTTAACACATGTAACCTTCAATCTAACATGGTCGTACTAATATTTCTCCAGATCTAAAGTATAAGAGATTGCCACTTTGATAGTTTTTTATGCGATTTTCCCCTAACTTTATATACTGAAAAAGATGTAAAAGTACAAAATGATATATTATTCATCTCCTTCATCCAAAAATTGTAGTCGGTAGATATGGGAAACTGATTAAATATTCAGTTGATTTGATATGATTTTGAACCGGTATGGAAAAATAATAATTGTGAACACCGTGGAGGCAAGAGGTTAATCGCTGCCATTGGATCTCAGGTGGGGTCAAGATTAGCTACAGTGCACCACCCTCTTTATCTTATCTCTCTGTTCACCACTTCGAGATGAGATGAGCTGGCCACAAAGTGGTGAACGTAGGTTTTTAGTTGGCATCATCTTCAGTGGCCAATAATATACTCCAAAATACAATCAATCTAAACAAACAAATGAAAGAAAATACTAATCATAAGATTAAAAAGAGCTTTCCTACTATTGTTGTCGTTTTGCTCTGTTCCCACACACACACGTAAGGTACTATGGTTTTCATTACATTGGATGTTAACTCTACTTTGTTATGAACTGTTAAGTGAATAAAAATTAATTAGAAGTTAAGTGGGTAAGAAGACCAATCTGTATTACAGAGAGGATCGTTACGAGACTGTCGAGCCGCAGCTGTATGGCCACATAGCGCCAGATAATATTTTGTTTTCATTAAGTATTAAATTGACATTTTTTATCGAATTCATATTATATTCATTTTGCATGTACTAATCAAACTTTATATTTCTTAATACATCAGTGACACATGCGTAGAAGTTAAATCATCCAAAGCCTATGAAATTATGGTTGCAACCTTGTTGCCATACATTTTTTTTTTTTGCTACTACAGTATATAAAAACTATATGCTAAGCTATTACTTTTACAGATGACTTTTATTAGAAAATAACGGTTGCTATCCCAAATTTGTCAAGACTAACAAATACTAATTCATAGCTAACCCCTTGTACTTTCTTACATTATCAATGAAGTTTTTGTTGTCAACAAAAAAAAAACAATTCATAACTATGTTCAACCTTCTCAAAACTTAAATTCAATTTTAATTATGAAGATTGAAGTCAATAGTTGCAAAGAAAAAATATTAAGTCAATAAATTCATCATTTCTGTAAATCTCAACTCTTCTAATTAATCATTTTATGTATATATGAGTATGGGCCTAGACATTCTAATTCATTCAAGTTTTGTACAATAAAAACCTCTATAATTGTTTGGGAAATTAAAATTTATTAGGACTTTAAGTTCCACTAGAATATGTTGGGACTTCAAAACATTGGATTTCATATCAATGGATTTGGAATATGATTTAAACAACATTATGAACTTGAAACAACAATAGAGTCGTATTTTAATAAATTACTTAATATACTTATATATATACATCCACATATTCATAATTATTAATTAATCTTATTATTGTGACCATGCTTTTACATAGGAGTTTAAAAATATTCTTATCTTATCGAATTTTATTTTATTTTTACACACCTAACTTGGAATTAAAACAAATTATGATTTTATGGTGATTATTAATTTATAGATATTATATTGTATGCCCATAGGAATAAAACTTTACTTAGTTTAAAGAGCTCATTTTACTCATTTAATCAACTTATTGAGTGTTGAGTCCTTTGAAATATTTAATTTTGTTTTTTTACGCTAATTCATTAAAATTGCAAAAAAACATGTGAGATATAACAACAAACCAAAAAAAAAAAAAATTGCTTATCAAGCTTTGCGAAAGGAAACCAATAGTAACTCAAATATAAAATAACAACAAAACAAAACAAATGATTAAATGAAAAACCTAAACAAATGTGTTTATCAAAGCCAAATTTGCATAAAACAAAAATTTAATAGTAATCATCTCCAAAGCGAGAAAGATAATTAGGATGGTGATCATTTTCGGAGATGTCCTCTTGCTTAAATTGATACTGGTTCTGGTTTTGATTGTATTCTGGAGCGAACCCTTGAGTAATATTACCATTATTCCCGGCAGGTGTTGTATGGTTAGGAGCAACCATCATGTTGTGGTTGTAATTGAATGCGTTCATGTTCACCATTCCTGGATGATTAAACAGATCCAAATCAGTGTTGATATTACCATTATTACCAGAGACCCCAAAAGCAGCACTACTAGAACTTTCAACATAGTAGTTATGGCGAGGAATTTGATTTGCTTGAAGATATTTGGAAGCTTCAGTTGTCACTGTTTTTCTCAGATTTTCCAAACCGCATTTGAATTCAGTTAGCTGAGTTAGGTCGAACTCTTCTATGGGTTCTTCCCACCAATTCTCAGCCCTCTTACTATCTCTTCTCTTTTGTTTTAAACCTTCGTTTCTTTTTTTCTCTGCTTCGAGTTGATCAATCACCTACAAATATCATATTTTGTCACGATTTTTAACTAAAAATAAATAAAACCCACATAGTGACCATTGAAATTAATTTGTTGAAGAAAATAAATAGCCAGTTATGCCATATACTAAGAATTTATTTCAAAATTTACCTGAGTGAGATGATTGTTGAGGTCTTGAACAAGTGCATTTTGACGAGCGTCATTAACTTGCAAGTTGTTGTGTTGGTTAGGATGATGTGACTTAATGTTTAGAAAACGATCAATTACAAGATCAACATTTGGATGACCAAAAGAAAAGACTTTTCGACCAGGAGAAAACACAATAACAACGACTTCTGCACCACAAAGAGTGCAAAGCTCACTAGCTTTTTTGAAAAGACCAGATCTTCTTTTTGAAAAAGTAACTTGAAGGTTATTTTCATTTTTCATTTTCACCATCTCTATTTTTTGACGACCTTTGATTTTTCTCACCATTTTGCAGATCTTTGAAGAAAAGAAAATATGATTGAGTGTTAACAGACTGAATATTTTGTTGTATTTATAGTTGAACATTCAGTATCGACCGTTTGCATTTTGTGTAGTCTCTGAATAAAATTTAACTTTTAAATTATTATATTAATATTAAATTTTATTTTTTACCACTTCAGAAACATTTTATAATCTTTATATTCTTTCAAAATTAGGAATGAAATTTATGATATCTATAATATTATTATTTCATCTGTTACAATGTATTAGAATATGTGGAATGCATGTATTGTATTACAAAAAAATATGTAATGAAATTTTATGATATCTATAATATTATTATTCTATCTGTTACAATGTATCAGAATCTGTGGAATGCATGCATTGTATTACTGATAAAAGGTTGTATATCACACTTTTTGCTATATATTTTTACAAGTGTATTTTTATAAATGAGAAAGTTATCTTCAAGAATGATCATGATTGTAAATAATCATGTATTAAAGAAGTTTTCACTTAACAAAAAAATATGTAAACTATATGGTATTTAATTTCTCCAAATTTTATTTTTGACTTTGCATTTTTCTGTTTCTTTTTCTTTTACATCAAATATTTAGGCTGCAACTGGAATGCCTTTTTGTGGGATAAATTTCTTCTGAATGCATCATTCCATGAGATCCCATAGAAAATTGACCAGTTATTATGAATAAAAAGTAAAAACAATCCCATGTATTCCATTTTCAGATGGGAAAAAAAAGCACAAATCCTTCTTTAAATTTATCCCTTTTATTCCATGTCAAAATCGTAGATGAATGTATGGGATAAATGGAATTCATTATTCCAATTTTTTATTCCATTTCTTGATCATCCCATATTTTTCCATTCCACTCATTTTATTCAGCACATCCCTTTTAAGAACAACCAATTACAGCCTTAATAATACATAGTGAAATAGAACGCAAATATTCATTTTATCTTTTCCAACTTATTTGATTAAATAGTGAAAGAAAAGTATAAATACTGTTGCGTCCAAATTGTCTGGTTCAATAATACTGTATAAAACATAGAAGAAATATAAACTTGATTAGCTAACTTGATTATATTCCCTGTTGATATGATCCAACGAACATTAAGGAGGAAGAAGTGACATCCAATACAGCAATGAACCAATCACCATACTTTCTTCTTGTTTATTATTTGTATCACCTTCAAATTAAACCACACATGCATTCATCTATGTACCCATGCTTGTTGTAAAGCCTGTAGAAACGCTGTTGCTTAACCCTGTAATGGTGTGAGTCATGAACATACAATAAAATTTTGCCGCGATTACCAAATTAATCCAGAGTGTAGACTGTAGGTGTCTACGTTTGTTGTCTACATTTAGACTTTGATATTAAATTTACGTAGTATTTATATTTTATATTTTAATTGAAAAAAAATAAAAAATTAATTGATGAAACCATTTGGATACATAAATCAAAAATAGACATTTTCATCTAGGAACATTATAATTATACAAATGAATCAATTTAAACTAACATAGGAAATTTATGTTGGATGTTTATGTTGGAAAGCTATAAAAACATGTGAGGTCTACGGAAGAGGTCTACAAATTAATTAAATTTGAATTTAATTTATAAAATATGTAGAAAATATTTTGATGAAAACTTTGTATTCATAAACAAGACAAAGAAAATTAGAGTCCATATAAAACAACCATGCATGCTAATGAGTCAATTTAGATTGACAAAAAAAAACTAGGTGAGAAACTTGTAAAACCGTAGGAGGTCTAGCAATAAGGTCTACAACAATATGAAATCTTAAAATTAAATTATAAATTTGATAAAAAAAAAATATATTAAAAACTTGTATGTATAATTAATTCTTATACATTCGACATCTATTAAAAAAAATTATACGAAAAATGAATCAATCTATAAATCTCGTGAGTTTGGGTATATAGTTTAGAGTTTAGGTGTAGTTTCTATATGAATTATTATTTTTGGTTCGTGTTTTGATCTGTATTGAATTGTTTTGTTGTCCAAACCGTAAATACTGTAAATGGCAAACAAAATTGATATTTGGTTCATGTTTTTTTACAAATTTTGTGGTTTAGGGTTTTGTATACCTCATCTGTAGAACGCGAAATAAAGTGAAATTGAAATTAAAAATGCGGGAATTCCAAAATTTGAAAACGAAACGAGCGTCAATCATGAGCGCGAACAAAAATTTCAAAATCAGTTAGACCGCAGACTTAGACCGATAATTGGGGCGGGTGTATAAATACAGACGTAAACCCTAATTCTCCGGAAAATAAAATTTGCAGTCCGCGCCGCCACTCATCCTCCACCCGCTCTCTCTGTAACTGCGGTTCTCATCCTTCTTCTTTCTCGCCGTCGACAGTATCCAGGGTTCCGGCGGTCGTATTGGTTAGGTTTTCTTCTATGTGCGGTTCAGATCTGGTCATTGAATAATTTTGTTTACTGTTTTAAAAATAACATATATCTTTTCCTCGTACACAAGAATGGGACGCTTTAGCTGGTTAACGGAGGCTTCGAATAGCTCTGCTAGGCTAGTCAGTAACGACGAAGAAGATGTGAGTTTTCATACCAGTCGAGATTTAAGCGTTGGAATACCGAGCAGATGGTACTGCGGTTTCTTGAATCCACTGAAAATGATAGACCATACGAACGAACATCCTGGTGGATGTTCTTTGGCTGCAAGGATTATAAGGTAATGTAAATAGTTTTCATGGGCTTTCGTTTTTAAAAAAAACCACTTTCGCTTTTTGGCTTCACTCAAACATGGTTTTCGTCATCATTGTAGCTAGGTTTCCCACATCTTATGAAATGGTGGGACAAGGCTATGATGGAGGAATTTCTACAACTTAGATGGGCCGTTGACAAGCCAGGTTTTGGCTTTCGCCAAACTGAAACTGAAGAACGTGAAACCTTGCTTCAGACTGAGGCATGTTTTTGCTCAAGTGAAGAAGCAACTTCTTGAGATTAGGCGTTTTAGAAGAGTCGAGGTGACGACGGTGGATACTGTAAATGCCGAGCTTGTCTGTCTTTTTAGCTACTCGGTGTTTGGTTGAGAAATGTAGCATGCGGGCATTCTTGTTCAAACATTTTATTTGGTTGTATCATGTATGTAATGCAAATCATCGGATTCAATCAAACTTTAAACCGAAAACGGAATTGACATAAATGCAAGGTAGGCCTCTGTCGTAGAATTTGGATAATGGGAAAGTATAAGTTTTAAATAGATAATCAAAAGTTTTTACATTGGCGTTGTGTGGTAACAAGACTTCCACAGCATCTGTCTGGTCGTGTCCAGCAGCCCAAACCAATGGCGTGCCAGACTCGCTTTGAGAATCAACGGGAACACCTCTAGATAGCAATTCCTTTAGCAACTCGATTTCTCCTAAGGCATGCATATAAGCAAAAAGCACAACACTTTCTTCATTTTTTATCATCTGAGAAAGTGAAAACGAAAACAAAGTAACTGATAAACCAAACCTGTCCCAGCCGCGTGATGCAGTGATGTGGCTCCTAGTTCACTTGCAATGTTAGTATCAGGTCCTTGCTCTTTGTACAAAATAACGGTTTTGGCAAATAACGTAAAATGGGGAAGTTTCACGTTGATATTTCAGAAATTTTTAGATTAGAACTTCCCGAGACATTTACCAATATAAAGGTAAATCGAATCACCTTTATGCTTTATGGCCGGGATATAACAAATGATATAACTGTTCTTTTGTTTCAGACGGTCGAGCTGAACTAGTCTAGTGGTTTGTGACGTTCATAGTTTCACTCAAAACCACGTTAACCTGAGTTCGAGCCAGCCACTGGTCCAGTTCTATTACCTGGGGTCGGTTTTTTTGTTTCAGTGAATCAAATTACAGATTTACCCTCGTCCTCTTTCTTATCCCTGCGACAAAGCCAATCCTTATTCCGCCGCTTCTCATTTTTTTTTTGCATCAATATTATTCAGGACGATTCAGAAAACCTCTTCTTCTCTCTTTATCTATCAGTAGTCGATTTAGCGTTTCTCGGCCGCCTAATCGTGAACTTAGAACGCAGCTTCCCAAGTCTCACGAACCACTAGCCATAGCCGTGTGGGCTTTTCTTCTCTTTCCGATTACTATGGCAGCGATAGAGGATCCGTCGGAATCGTCATTGAAAAACAAAAAGGAAAAAGAAGAAAAGAAAGAGTAATCGTCGGAATCAGCGTTTCCGATTGCATCACTTCCCGAAGACTTGATCGTTGACATCATAGCGCATGTAAGGAGATGCTGCGACGATCCAGCACTCTTCCTTGTGTCTAAGCACTTCCGGTCAATTGTTAGGTCGCCTGCGCTAGACGCCAGAAGATCCTTGTTGGGCCGCACTGAACACCATCTCTATGTTCTCTTCCGAGACTACTACACCTGGGAAAAATGTTGGTACGTTCTCCGCAATCGCCGCTTGGTCCCTATCCCTTCCCTTTCCACTAGAGGAACCTTTATCGCGGCGGGCTCCAAGATATATGCGTTTGGTGGGGATTCTGTGTACTTGACAACTGCCGTAAGCATCGAGTGTACATCTCAGTCTCAAACGGTGAAACCCCTCCCGAGCATGCCTTACATGTTAACTAGAGCTGCTAGCATCATTGACGGGAAAATATATGTAAGTGGAAATTGCGATTATGACGGGGTTAAGGTTTCGATGGTGGTGTTTAATACAGAGACACAAATGTGGGAGCCAGAGATTATAGAACCAGACATCAAGGTAGGTGCTCAGATTAGGTATAGTCTTGTGATGGGTGATAAGATATATATAGCGGATTATTACAATAGCGTTTTTTACGATCCAAAGGAGAGGACATGGGGAAGAGACGAGATGCTGGATTCTAACAAGTGGATGCTTGCGGATGCGTGTGTGCTTGATGACGTATTGTACTATTACGATCGTACTGAGAATTGTTTAAGAGCGTATGATCCAAAGAAGAGGTGTTGGGGAGTGGTGAATGGTTTGGATGACTTGTTGGCTAAGACGAGAGGTTCACTGAGCCAGGCAGAGGCTGTGAGTTACTGTGGGAAACTGGCCTTGTTTTTTCTTAAAAAAGTAGTAAGAAGACCAGAAGGAGAGATTTGGTGTGCTGAGATTTCGCTGCGAAGAAGACAAGGAGGAGAGATTTGGGGTAAAGTTGAGTGGTGTCATCATGTTTTGGGTACTAAGTATATATCCCCCAGTAGATGCGCATGCGCATTTAAATCTCTACCTGTTATGCTTTGATGTCTCTTTCCTTCACATATGTATTATTATAACTTCACCATAAATGGCTTGATAAATTTTGTTTTAAATTGACATACTAGAAGGAAGTTGATGCAAATAGGAATTAATTTTAAGAATATTAAAACGATTTTTAAGATACAAATGTAAGAAGCGATCAAAACTTCAACATGTACTTAGCAACCTTTCGAACAAAACTTTGTTTTTTACTTTTTTTAGTACATTCAAGTAGAAAAAAAAAGCAACTCAACTACACATCAAAACTTCATTCGTACTCTAAATATTGCCTCTCTTTCGAAGATCTCTCTTATGATTTGGCATCAATCTTGTCCTTGCCGTGAAACTTCCTGCCGGCATCCACAGCTTCTCTGTGGAAGAAAAGACATCAAATCGGTTATCTCGAAAAACCAATAACAAAAGAATAAAATATCAAACTTCATCACAAATAGGGGGTTTAAGAGATAGGGGCTACGAAGTACTGTTCTATGGCTGTCAAGATCGACATGAGTAAGGCGTATGATAGACTCGAATGGGGCTTTATCACGACTGTCCTAGAACGAATGGGTTTTCACCCTAAGTGGATTAACTGGGTGCTACAATGCATATCTACTGTCTCCTACACTTACCTTATCAATGGAGCGGCCCAAGGACATGTCGTTCCACAACGCGGCATCAGACAAGGAGACCCCCTTTCCCCGTTTATCTTCATCCTCTGTGGAGAAGTGCTTTCTGGACTCTGCAAAAATGCACTAATTAATGGGACTTTAGCGGGAGTAAGAGTCTCAAGAGGAAGCCCAAGGTTGAATCACCTTCTCTTTGCGGACGACACAATGTTTTTTTGCAAGACAAACCCGAAAAGCTGTGAAACTCTCCACCAAATCCTCAGGAAATACGAAGAAGCCTCGGGACAGATGATCAATCTCCAGAAATCCTCAATCACCTTCTCTAAGAAAACCCCACAAGACATAAGAGAAAGAGTCAAAACAACGCTTGGCATAACAAAAGAAGGAGGACAAGGAAAATACCTAGGTTTACCTGAAAGTTTCGGGCGCAAAAAGAAGAACCTTTTCACCATGATCGTCGACCGTATCCGGCAACGCTCAATCAGCTACTCCTCGCGACTCCTCTCAAGCGCAGGGAAGTTGACAATGATAAAGTCTGTCCTTGCATCCATTCCCACCTACACTATGTCTTGCTTCAAGCTCCCTACAGGCTTGTGCAAACGCATCCAGTCAGCGTTAACTCGCTTCTGGTGGGACTCAAAACCAGGGAAAAACAAAATGTGTTGGTTATCTTGGGGGAAACTTACACAATCTAAGAACCAGGGAGGTCTTGGCTTCCGAGAAATCCAAGCTTTCAACGACTCCCTCTTAGCAAAAATCAGCTGGCGACTTCTGACAGAGCTCTCAAGCCTCATTAGCCGCGTTCTCAAAGGAAAATACTGTAAAGACCAAGACTTCCTTCAAGTCCAAATCACCTCATCTACTTCGCACAGTTGGAGAGGTATTCTCATTGGCAGGGACCTAATCCAGAGTAAACTAAGCAGAGCTATAGGCAATGGACAGGAAACCTCCCTCTGGAATGACCCATGGCTCTCCCTCGACAACCCTTCATGTCCCATAGGACCACCTCTTCTGCAAGACAAGGATCTTACAGTCGCATCATTACTGAACCCGCAAACAGGAGAATGGAACAAAGAAAGAATCACTAACCTCCTACCACACCATCTTTCTACCATCCTGGAGCTAAAACCAAGCAAAAAAGGGGCCATAGACTCCTACTTCTGGCTTCCAATCAAATCCGGAGCTTACTCGGTTAAAACGGGATACTTTGCAGCCTTGGACCTGAAACCGGACCCTGCTTACAACCAACAACACCAACATATCAACTGGATATCCGATGTTTGGCAAACAAAAACCTCTCCAAAAATGAAGGTGTTCTTATGGAAGACCATCCAAGAAGCACTACCTGTTGGTGAAAACCTCCTAAACCGCGGTCTCTTGGATACGGCTTGTTGCATTCACTGTGGAGACCTCGAGACGACTGATCACCTCTTCCTACACTGTGGCTTTGCAAAGGCAGTTTGGAACCTCGGCCCTTTCTCCACCAACGTGAACCCAACCCCTCTCAAACCTTTGCCACGACCCTCAAATCCTCACACTCGTGGATCTGCCTACCACCAACGGGAATCAATGCAGGACCGCTGTTCCCGTGGATTTGTTGGGCCATCTGGAAAACACGGAACCTCCTCATCTTTGAAGAACGCCACACCTCCCCTGAAGATACAATTTCAAAAGCTGTAAAAGAAGCAAAAGAATGGCAGCAAGCACAGATCCAGTCTCAAACCCAAATCAAAAGGACAGCAAAAGGAAAACAGACAAAACCCGGAGCGAATTTCGTTACCTGCTTCACAGACGGGGCTTGGTGCAGAGAAACGAAGATTTGTGGAACAGGATGGCTTTTCATCGATTCCACCGGAAAAGAAACAAAACGCGGCAACTCGGCTGAACGGCATGTCTCGTCACCGGTGATAGCGGAAGCTCTAGCGCTCCGATCAGCCCTCAATCAAGCACTTGAAGACGGAATCCCCAATCTTCTCGTCCTTTCAGACGCTCAGGATCTAATCCGAGCTATTAACTCGCAAGAGCAAATCAAGTCGATCTTCGGAATCCTCTTTGATATCCATGCTCTCGCTTCCTTGTTCGATTCGATCTCCTTTAGTTTCATTCCTAGATCGGAGAATGTTATCGCCGATTCCACTGCAAAGCTTGCAAAGAGTCGTTTGATTGACCTCTCTTCCCAACTGGGACCCACTTCTGTATTCGAAACTTAAGTTTATGTTTTAATGAAAATGTTGTTCAAAAAAAAAAAAGGGGTTTAAGAGATTTTTATTTTCTTTCATATTATAAGGTAAATTTCTATGCAAAACTAAATATGCTTTTGTGGTTTTTGTCTTTTTTAATCGTGCGGATTGTTTTTTCATTCGTTGAAATGTTTTGGAATTGATGATAAAACATGTTTTATTTTGAAAACCTAAAAAAAATTAAATAAGTTATTAATCTATTTGCAAAAACCTTAAACCCTTTATATTATGAAACAAAGAGAGTATGTATGTTTAATTGTTTATAAATAATAAAAACCCTTTATTGTCGTGTTACACTATGCCTTATTCTTTGTTAATAAGAAGGTACTCCCTCCGTTTCATAATAAGTGTCGTTTTGACTCTTCACCTACCCAATATATCTAGATATATATGGATGTATTAAAATACATCCAAATACATCAATAAATAGTCCAGATTCATTTTGTCAAAACGACACTTATTATGAAACGGAGGGAGTATATGTTTTCTTTTTTTTGGTACGGGAAGGAGAGAAACGTCTCCTTCAATTTATTTCAAAACACAGAAAATCATGTTCTTATAAAACATGCTGTCTAACAACAACACTGAAATTTCAGTGGGAGTAGAGTTAAAAGAATGAAAACCTAAATCCAAAGAGAACACTCTATTCGCTTTTCTGAGACATGTGTAACTTGGACTAACCAATCCCTGATAAAAAGCCATAGCTTAAATGTACTAGGAAAGATAGGGGTGAGAATCACTGATCCCTAACTGAAAGAAACCCACCACTATCTTCGAGTCTACCTCCACTACCAATCATGGGACCTGTCGTTCCCAAGCCATGCAAGAGCCCGTAGTACATTTCCCATAACTTTAATAATGGAGCTGACTGAGAGCAAACCCACAGACCCAATTACCATCTCCATCCCGGACTACACCACCAGCTGTAGCTAGACCTGGATTCCCTGAGATGCCCCGTCCGTATTCACCTTCATGCGATATGTCTCTCGACTTTATCCCCCACACTGCCTGGATCCCTTGTTTTTGCGTATGTTGAGGAGACTTCCTTCACGAGGTCCCTGATGAAGCGCACACGATCCCTACAGTTCCCAGCCATGTAACACGTTCCAGTACCACCATTTCCAGCCCCACCAAGTGTCCATTGCAAACACAGTGGCCCATTGATATCCCCTCATATCATCAGTATTCTCCAATTTCAGATTTAAACAACTCAGCAGAGGTGAAGCAAAGAATTCAACTCCCCTCCGTGGTGGCACAATACGCCTCCATATTCCCTCCATTGCCGGCAGTCCCATAATACCTGCAGAATAGACTCCTCTCCTCCTCTATATAGTTGGCAAACTCCTGTGTCACTAAGATGGCGCCTATGTCTCTCCATGTTTGTCATGATAGCTTGGTTAGCTACTAACCAAAGAAAAACCCTTGTTGCATCGTGGCACTCCAAATAAGGTTGAAGAATGCGTGCATATTTTGCTTAGGGCTGTTGTCACCGTTAGAAAAGCATATGCTGATTTTGCTGAAAACTCTCCATCTTGCGCTGGTCCCCAAGACACTCTATCCCTTGCACCCATAACATCATCCACTACCACCGACGCTAACCATAGTCGTATCGAGTCCGTGACATAGGGAGCGATCTGAGGCAATAACCAACCAAAGCCGTTCTGCCATAGGTCTCGGACCCTTGCTTCCATCATGGCTCCAGGTATCTCCGCCCTCCTTAGTTCATATAGTGGCTGTCCTTCCAGAATCGAACATTTCTTCCATCACCAATAACCCAGTCAAAGTATATGTTTGATCATGTTATAGTTTAATATTTGAGCGAAATATTTGTTTGATAGTGGTTTATGTTAATGTTTACAAGTTTATAAAAATTTCCATGGTAAAAGTGTTATATGACCTCTAAGCCAAACTCTGTTTTGCAAATGAAATCTTAGATTATATGTAACTGAAATTATTTTGTTGGCCCCAGTGGACTCAATGTTGCATGTTTAGTTTTAAGTTTTTAACTCATTAACGTGAAAAAAAAAATAAAAAAATAACAAGAATTCACAACTTGTCTAGACAGAAGGCGCTCAATCCAAGCCGTGATCATTGGACCGCTGTCAAATGGGTTCTGAGATACCTACGAGGAGCATCAAAAGCCAAGTTAACGTTTACAAAGAATGAAAGATTCAGAGTCGAAGGATTTTGTGATTCAGATTATGCTACTGATCTAGACAGAAGGCGCTCAGTTACTGGTTTTATCTTCAAGGTTTGGGGTAATACAGTTTCGTGGAGGTCTAATCTACAATCAGTTGTGGCTCTATCAACTACAGAAGCAGAATACATGGCACTAACATCAGCTACTAAGGAAGCTATCTGGTTGAAGGGAATCTGTGAAGAACTAGGTTTTGATGCAGGGGCAGTTATGATTCACTGTGATTCGCAAAGTGCTCTGGCCTTAGCTAAGAATGCAGTGCATCATGAACGAACTAAACACATTGCTACTAAGTTTCATTTCATTCGGGACATTGTAGCAGATGGGATTATCAAGCTCTATAAGATTCATACTAGCCGTAATCCAGCAGACTTCTTAACTAAAGCCTTACCTGGGCCTAAGTTTGAGCTCTGCCGGGATTTGGTTGGTGTCATCTGAGAAGCTTGACGGCTCCAGGTAACTCCACGATCAGGAAGGTTCTCGCATCACAGAAGACAAACAATGGATGGTTAGTTTGGTTTTCTGATTCCTGATAGTGTAAATCTCAGAAATAAGGTTGAGAGATTGAGTTACCTGAAGAGCGTTTGGGAGCTGAGAAGTCTTCAGTTCCAGGTGGAGTTTCTGCACACAGAGATCAGAGATCAGTCAGTTTGATTTGGGTTTCAGGGATTTCTTGTTCAGAAAAGGTTTTCAGCGAGAAGAGGTAAAGATCTGAGTTCAGGGTTTCAGAGTTTTACCTGGGGATTTCTTTTGAGCAGCTACGGAGCAGTGGATCTGTTTCACGGGAAGTTGTTGAGAAGAATAGAGGAAGTCGAGAAGCTACGGAGCTTCTTGCATGTCACCGGATCTCGGCAAGCACGAGGAATCGGCCAGTGCTTAGTGCGGAGGCTGATAAACCTCAAGAAGATACTTGCAGAGACTGGTGGTCGGCACCGTCAGCGGAAGCCGGAGCTCATCGGTTCAAGTCCGATTGGAGCAGTCGTCTTCACTATCGCGGAAAGACAGAGAGAAGCAGCTAGGGTTCGAGATTCTCGGAGTTGTGTCCGAATAGGTGGAGATTGTAAATTTGGATTCAGACTAACTCCTAATGGGCTTGGCCCAGACACTTCGAGAATTCGTCTTAGGCCCAAGACGGAACCCAACCCCAGCTGAAGTTGACACGTCAGCAGAGTCAACGTCTTCTTCTTCTCCTCCGTTATAACCTGCAACAAGAAACAGAGAGTGTGTGACGAAAAAGAGAGTTACAGAGAGAGAGAGAGCAAGAGAATCTAAGGCTAGAGAGAGAAAGGCTTACCCTCAAGCCATCTCTAGAGAGATTTGAGCCAAGGCTCCTTTGTAACAGAGTACAGTAGTTTCCGGTGTACCGGAACCATCTGTAAACGTTTCCGGCGATAGTGAAAACGACGGGAGACGTGTTTTCTCCCCCCAGTGAGTAGGAAACGAACACTGGGTAAACAAAACTCTGTGTCTTTTACTTTCCTGCATTTACGATTGAATTCGATTAGCTAGAATCAAAGATCTAATCTCAACAAGTGGTATCAGAGCTAAGGCTAGCTACGGATTGATCTAAGGTTTTCTCGGGAAAAGTATAAGGGAAAGGGAGCGCTTATCTGTTTTGTGATCGCGGAGTGGATACCGAGAAGGATCTGGTTCAAGTCCATTTCCTTAAGGTTGATCACTGGATCGGAAAATCTCCGCGGTCACCGGATTATCTCAGATCCTTGGTTTTCTGATCTGGATCGGATTTTCTTGTGGTCATCGGGTTTTCTCTTCAGGTTTTCTTGGATTTCTTCTGGATCTACGGTTTTCTCTGCAAAATCAGTGTAGTCGTGCTCGTTTAGTGAATCTACTATGGAGCCTACACTGGGAAGGTTCGAGATGGAAAAATTTACCGGGAAAGAAGATTTCGGAATGTGGAAGTATAAACTCTTGGGACAACTTGAAATACAGGGTCTCGCCTCGGTTCTAGATGAAGATTTCTCGATTGAATCTACATCAGAAAAACAAGAGGAAGGGTCAGATCCAAGGAAAGATCCTAAGAAAGCGGCAATGGACTTGAGAGTGAGGAACTTACTTGGTACATGCCTAAGTGACGTGATCCTCAGGAAGGTGATGGATAAGCCTACGTCTCTTGAAATGTGGCGTGCTCTGGAAGATGAGTATCAAGCTCAGCTCCTGCCAAACAGAATCTATCTTAAGCAACAGTTTGCGAGTTTTAAGATGGAAGAGGATAAGTCCATAGAAGCTAACCTTGATGTATTCTTGAAGCTGATTTCTGATTTGGCAAGCTTGAAGATCACTATTAGTGATGAAGATCAGGCAATCCAACTTCTGACAAGTTTGCCTCCAGCCTATGAGCCACTGGTGCATACTCTTAAGTATGGAAATGGCAAGGAAACTCTCACGGTGAGAGAAGTGAAGGCATCTGCATATGCGAAAGAAGCTGAGTTAAGGCATAAGGGATTGTTGAAAAAGACTAAATCAAACTCAGAAGGTCTCTATGTGGAATCAAGAGGCAGATCGAACAAAAGGTCAGATAAAGGAGATGGTAATCAGAAGGGAAAGTCTAAGTCTAGATCAAAATATAAAAACAAGAATGGCAAAGGAAACAAGGGTACCTGCTTCATTTGTGGCAAAGAGGGACATTGGAAGAGGGAATGTCCAAATCGTGGTAAAAGGCAGTCTGAGGAGTCATCCGCGAATACTGTGGCTGAGGTTAAAGAGCCCTTAGTTCTGACTGCGAGTCAGCATAATCGCAAGGATGAATGGATCTTGGATTCAGGGTGTACCTTTCACATATGCCCAAACAAGGAGTTAATGTTTGATATAAAAGAGTTTGATGGTGGAAAAGTTAGTATGGCAAATAACACTTACAGTAAGGTGAAGGGAATTGGGAAGATCAAGATCACAAACCCAGATGGATCAGTGGTGATTTTGACTGAAGTGAGATACATGCCTGACATGGGAAGAAACTTGATATCATTCGGAATGTTAGAAAAATCAGGCTGTAATTACAGAGGTGAAGATTATACTGTTACCTTTTACAAGGATGGACAGAAGGTGATCTCTGGAAACTACATTGACGGTCTCTACTACCTGCAAGGCAAAGTTTCAAATGGAGAAGTCAATGTAGCTGAAATGAAAGATGCTATGACTAAGCTCTGGCATTCGAGATTGGGACATATGAGCGCTAAAAACATGGAAGTCCTAGCTAAAGAAGGTTTTTTACCTCTAGGAGAAGTTGGAAAACTGGACTTCTGTGAAAGCTGTGTACTCGGAAAATCTCATAAGCAGAGCTTCCCCAAGGCCAAGCATACTACCACGAGGATCTTGGAGTACGTTCACTCAGACCTCTGGGGTTCACCATCAACACCTGCAAGTCTCGCAGGAAACAAGTATTTCATTAGTTTCATCGATGACTACTCTAAGAAGGTTTGGACTTACTTCTTACGAACTAAAGATGAAGCTTTTATGATGTTCAAAGAATGGAAAGAGACGGTTGAGAATCATACCGAGAAGAAAATCAAGTGCCTGAGGACTGATAATGGCCTTGAGTTCTGCAACCACCTATTTGATGAGTTGTGTCAGAGTTCTGGGATCAAGAGGCATCGAACCTGCACATATACGCCACAGCAAAATGGTGTATCAGAAAGGATGAATAGGACAATTATGGACAAAGTACGAAGTATGTTAGCAGAAACTGGCCTGGGTCAGGAGTTTTGGGCTGAAGCTACTTCTACAGCAGTATATCTGATAAATCGAACACCAAACTCCACTATTGGGTTCCAACTACCTGAAGAGAGATGGACAGGTCAGAAGCCAGATTTATCAAATTTGAAGAGGTTTGGATGCACTGCGTATGTTCATGTAGTTCAAGAAAAGACAAGTCCTAGAACTATCAAGGGTGTGTTTGTTGGTTATCCGTTTGGAGTTAAAGGGTATAGGGTATGGATTCCTGAAGAAGGCAAATGCACAACTAGCAGGAATGTTGTGTTCAGGGAGGAAGAGGTCTATAAAGACACCCTAATTGATACTCCTAATGCACCTACAAGCTCTAATGGTGAAACAAAGAAGAAGTCTGGGAGGAAAACAGTTACCTTTGATACGGAGATGATACATGGACCATCTACGTCTGGTTCAAAGGTAACTGAGACTCCATTTTTTTCACCAGTTCAGTCGACTCAGACAATTTCTTCAGATGAAAGTTCGTCTCAGGGTGGAGATTCATCATCTCAAGGTGGAGACAACTACGCTCCGAGTTCAGAGCCTTCGAGTTCAAGCAGCTCCAGTGACTCTGATGACTCAGACGATGAGGGCCTGTCATTTGGAGAAGAAGATTAGTCAGAGGTTATAGCTGATATTGAAAACTATCTACTAGCACGAGATAGAACGAGAAGGGAAAATATCAGACCTCCTTCGAGATATGAAGACGCTGACTTTGTAGGCTATGCTCTGCAGGCTGCAGCTGACATAGAAACAGAAATGGAAATCCCAAGGTCAATGGCTCAAGCGAGAAAAAGTCCTAACTGGAAAGAATGGGATAATGCTTCTAAGGAAGAATGGAGCTCACTCATGAAAAATCATACTTGGGATCTGATTGACAAACCAGATGGTGCTCGGGTTGTAGGCAGCAAATGGCTCTATACAATCAAGTCTGGAATTCCCGGAGTAGAACTGAAACGGTTTAAGTGCAGACTTGTTGCTCAGGGTTTCTCTCAGACTGAAGGGGTTGACTACAATGAGATCTTCTCGCCTGTCGTCAAGCACGTATCGATCCGGATTATGCTATCTGCAGTGGTAAACAGGGATTATGAGTTAGAGCAGATGGATGTTAAAACAGCATTCTTACATGGAGATCTGGAGGAGAGAATTCTAATGAAACAGCCTGAGGGTTTTATCAAAAAGGGCGATGAAAATAAGGTTTGCTTATTACGAAAGTCTCTCTACGGTCTAAAGCAATCTCCTAGACAGTGGAATCTAAAGTTTGACAGCTTTATGAAGGAGTCAGGGTTTATCAGAAGAAGCTATGATTCATGTGTTTACATGAGGAATCTAAACAAGGAAAATGCAGTTTACCTGTTGTTGTATGTGGATGATATGCTGATTGCTTCTGGGTGTAAGGCTGAGGTCAGATTGGTTAAGGACACTCTGAGTCAGAAGTTTGAAATGAAGGACTTGGGTCCAGCGTCGAGAATCCTGGGAATGGACATCATCAGAGACAGAAAGAAAGGGATTCTCAGTTTATCTCAGGAAACTTATATTGAAAAGGTGCTAAAGGCATTTGGAATGTCTGATGCTAAGTCTACGATTACTCCTCTAGCTACTCATTTCAAGCTAAAGAGTCTAGGCAAAGCATAAAAGAAAGAAGAAGCTGAGCATATGGATAACGTACCTTATGCCAGTGCAGTAGGCAGTCTCATGTACGCCATGATTGGCTCCAGACCTGATCTTGCTTATGCAGTGGGTGTGATAAGCAGATTCATGTCAAGTCCAAGCCGTGATCATTGGACCGCCGTCAAATGGGTTCTGAGATACCTACGAGGAGCATCAAAAGCCAAGTTAACGTTTACAAAGAATGAAAGATTCAGAGTCGAAGGATTTTGTGATTCAGATTATGCTACTGATCTAGACAGAAGGCGCTCAGTTACTGGTTTTATCTTCAAGGTTTGGGGTAATACAGTTTCGTGGAGGTCTAATCTACAATCAGTTGTGGCTCTATCAACTACAGAAGCAGAATACATGGCACTAACATCAGCTACTAAGGAAGCTATCTGGTTGAAGGGAATCTGTGAAGAACTAGGTTTTGATGCAGGGGCAGTTATGATTCACTGTGATTCGCAAAGTGCTCTGGCCTTAGCTAAGAATGCAGTGCATCATGAACGAACTAAACACATTGCTACTAAGTTTCATTTCATTCGGGACATTGTAGCAGATGGGATTATCAAGCTCTATAAGATTCATACTAGCCGTAATCCAGCAGACTTCTTAACTAAAGCCTTACCTGGGCCTAAGTTTGAGCTCTGCCGGGATTTGGTTGGTGTCATCTGAGAAGCTTGACGGCTCCAGGTAACTCCACGATCAGGAAGGTTCTCGCATCACAGAAGACAAACAATGGATGGTTAGTTTGGTTTTCTGATTCCTGATAGTGTAAATCTCAGAAATAAGGTTGAGAGATTGAGTTACCTGAAGAGCGTTTGGGAGCTGAGAAGTCTTCAGTTCCAGGTGGAGTTTCTGCACACAGAGATCAGAGATCAGTCAGTTTGATTTGGGTTTCAGGGATTTCTTGTTCAGAAAAGGTTTTCAGCGAGAAGAGGTAAAGATCTGAGTTCAGGGTTTCAGAGTTTTACCTGGGGATTTCTTTTGAGCAGCTACGGAGCAGTGGATCTGTTTCACGAGAAGTTGTTGAGAAGAATAGAGGAAGTCGAGAAGCTACGGAGCTTCTTGCATGTCACCGGATCTCGGCAAGCACGAGGAATCGGCCAGTGCTTAGTGCGGAGGCTGATAAACCTCAAGAAGATACTTGCAGAGACTGGTGGTCGGCACCGTCAGCGGAAGCCGGAGCTCATCGGTTCAAGTCCGATTGGAGCAGTCGTCTTCACTATCGCGGAAAGACAGAGAGAAGCAGCTAGGGTTCGAGATTCTCGGAGTTGTGTCCGAATAGGTGGAGATTGTAAATTTGGATTCGGACTAACTCCTAATGGGCTTGGCCCAGACACTTCGAGAATTCGTCTTAGGCCCAAGACGGAACCCAACCCCAGCTGAAGTTGACACGTCAGCAGAGTCAACGTCTTCTTCTTCTCCTCCGTTATAAACCTGCAACAAGAAACGGAGAAGGGGTGACGCGAGTTAGTTACAGAGAGATAGAGAGAGAAGCGAGAGCATTGCAAGGTAGAGAGAGAGTGACTCACATTGAGATCATCTCTGGTGCGATTGAGCTTCTAATCTCTTGTAACATGTACGGTGGTTTCCGGTAAATCGGAATCACTTGTAATCCGTTTTCCGGTGATAGTGAAAACGATGGGAGACGTGTTTTCTCCCCCCAGTGAGTAGGAAACGAACACTGGGTTAACAAAATCTTGTGTCATCTACTTTCCTGCATATAACGATCAAATCCGATTAGCTAGAGAAACGATTAATAAACTCAACAAAGAAGAGAAGAAGGCATGAAGAAACCAAAGAGACACTTGATCTAAAGAAAAGAATATAGAGCAAAGGAAGAAGTCACGGTACTGATCTCTTCTATGGGGTTTCGTTGGTTTAGTAAGAACCAAGAAGAAATATTAGACTAATCTTCTGCTAAGTACATTGGACAAAATTGGTAATGCAGCATAAGGTTTGTTACCAGGTAACAAATCCCGTAGTTCAAACAATTTTGCATCATCAGAGATTCAGAGTAGCATAGTTTATGGAGCCGTAAAACCACCGTCTCTAACGTCTTTGCGTTTCTCAGAACCAAAAGTTCAGGCCTTACAATCTGCAAATGTAAAATCGACGTAGGAAAGGCCTTATATCTCGAAACTCCAACACTGATCCGGATTCAAGGTTTCTTATGATCGCTTGAGCTTCAAGGGTATTAAGGGAATACCCAACATAACCGTTGATTTGCCTAGTGTTAGACATAGACCGTTCCTTTGAGTATCAATCGATGATTACGGTATTACAAAACTGTGGACGAAAAAAGGAAATAGCTAATATTTTCGTTTGCCTTTTAGAGCTACGATTTGGTGTTTTTCACTGAGACGGGTATGGGAACGGGAAACGGGACGGGAACGGGTATGGGAAACGGCTAGCTTAAAAATTTGTGGAAACGGGTACGGCATATAGATACGTCAAAAAAAAATGTACTTATAGGTTTAAAACTATATACTGCTCTAAAATTATAGAGAGAACTAGGTTACTATAAACATTTTTTTTGAAAATAAATAATATAGCTTAGTAGTGAATTAGTGATTATAAAAATAGGTACACAGTGTAGAAATATATACAAGTATTAGTTGAAAATTGTATTTGCTTTTGTAAGTTTGTTACTTAAGTGTTTGTGTTAGGCGGGGAAGAAAATGTGGGTTAAATGTTTAGGGGACATTTCTGAATTGTCCCCGTAGAGTACCCGTCTCTGAAACGTATCCGGGACGGGAACGGGTTGCATTTTGCCGTCCCCGTGCATCATAACCTTTTTGGTTTTCAAATTGTTATTTCAGTTCAGGAAAAGTAGTTTGTATCCAAGGCCTATAAAAGCTTCTCTTCTATTCAATAAGAAACCATCTTCCAAACATTAACCTTATTCTCAAGAGAACAGACTTAATTAGGGTTAAAGGAAGCTTTTGCTTTATTCTTATTGTTTTCTTCCGTGACTGTTACGGCATCTCAGACTTGCATTAAGAGAGTCGATCTTTTTGTATTATCGTGCAGTCAAGAGAATTAAGATGTTGGATCCTCTCCACTTTCCACCTGTAACCCTATCTCCGGGGATAACCACCGCAACAATGGCTGATAAGACACTTGCGGGAAACGATCTTATGCAGGAAGATAACAATCGAAAGAGGAAGAGAGACCTGACCTCTGAGGAAAACGTAGGAAAGGATACAAGAATGGTTCTTTTGCCCTTCGAGAAGAATTTACCAATTTGGAAGAGATTTGAAACAATGGAGGTTTTCAAAACATTCCCTCATTTCAAGCCATTGTTGGAGACTAGAAAAGAATCTCGTGAAAAGTATGCGGTTGGTATGATGCTTACCTTTTCTAGTTTACTAGAAGCAGTCAAAGATGTGCAACCCGAAGATCCCATAAGCTCACTATCTAGCCTCAGTGACTCCTTTGCTGAGTTACAGAAATACGGCTTCGATGTAAAAGTACCCGAGTTGCAGATCAGTAAGCTCTTGTCTCTCAGAGATTGGCAAGCAGAGAAACTGGAGGGTGCCGAGAAAGACAGGATAAAGGTTGAGAAGGAACACAAGATTCTCGAGCTGCAAAGGCTGAATGAGGAGGCTGTCAAAGAGATAGATGAGAGTCAGTCATGTGAAGCAATGGATTTACATGATCTTGAAGATTTCTTTTAACTTAAGCTACACATCTTCTGCTCTTTCATATTCCTAAAATGGCCAAGTCCATATATTATAGTCAAAGGGTCATATATATCTTATATATAATAGGAGAGTGTTCTCTCCGTCTAGCCAATCCACATCAGCAAAAAACATTAATTTGTATTTAAGAAATTTAATACATGACTATTCATATTTCTTTACATATAATTCAAAGAAATACATAAAATAAATTAAGAAAAATACAAAAAATATAGTTAAAAAATATAAAGTATGTAATAACTTGGTATCAAAATTTAACAGAAATTGTAATATCAATGAGAAAGAAAACTGAAATATTTTATTAAATAGTATATAGTTACCTTATAATATGTTTAATAGTTATAAAATATAGAATATCATTTATATACTACAGTTGAAAGCGAATAAGAAGTTAGAAACAAGAAATGTAGATTTTAAGGATTATGACATGTTTGTTTTAAAAGTATAATTTAAATTTACAAATATATAATTGTATATAAGAATCAACGATCATCTTGATCAAACGCTAATTTACAGAAAAATAAATACATATTTTATCATATTTCGAGTCAAAATGTGATTCTATACCATGTTTTAAACTTCTGTCTTTCAACTTAATGTTAAATTATAGTCCAATAAAACTGAATAAGTGAAATATTTAAAATGTTAAATTTCAGAAGAAAAAAAAAGAACCAGAGATGAAGTATACAGTTAACATTTTTTAAAAGTCATATTGAACATCCTTAATGTGAATAATTAGATTAATTCAAAATGTAACCACTAAAATAAACAATAAACCATCATAATTTAAATCAACGAATACACAAAAACATAATTATTTTTGCAATAACCCGCGCTTGCGCCTAGGGCTGTTCAATTTTGTAAAACCGAACTGAACCGATCCGAACCGAACTGAAATAGGTCATGTGGTTTGGATTTGGATACACCGTATAAACCGTATGGATGCAATTTTATATAAACCGTGGATATTGATATGGTTTGGATATTAACCGACCTAACCGCAAAAACCAAAAAAAAAACGAATAGTTCTATATACTAATATAATAATATATAGTATACATATGATATATAGTATTATAAGTTTAGAGTAATCTCATATATCTTTTTGAATTATATATCTTTAATTAACCAAAATTTAACAATTAACAAACACTAAATACTAAAATCTAGATCTTTGGAGTTTTATACTTTAAAATAAGACATGAATTTGTAGTTTCTTTTATAAATTCGATCATTCGATTACCAGAAAAATTAAAATATTTATATAATAAAATAATAATCAAACAAAAACGACAAATAATCTGAGAACCGAGATTATTCAAACCAAAAATATCCAAACCGAGAAAACCGATAACCGAGAGTATCCAAACCAAACCAAACCGAGGTAAGTATGGTTCTAATAAGGTAGCTTTTTTTAGTAACCGATCGAATACTGAAAAACCCGAACCGAGATATCCGGATTGAACACCCCTACTTGTGCGGGCTTCATACCCTAGTATTAATAATTTAAAAGGCTGTCAAAACGTGTGAGTATTATCAAATTAAAAAGGTTGTCAAGAATATTAAATTAAAAGGAAATTTATTTTAATTTCCTCCGCAATTCAAAATCTATGGCTTCCTATGCATTCATATACCTATTAAAGAAATAAATCCAAATACATTGCAAAAACACTATCTGTAATTTTGTAAATTACAGCTCATCAAATGTTTTTTTTTTTTACTTTAATTAACAAAAATAAAAAAATGGCTGACACTCTATAAATAATTTTTCTTTTATATTGCTATTGATGAAAAGATAGTAAGAATTATATGAATATTACTTATTATATCATAATATTTTTATATTCTCCTTTTTTACATTATTATATTGCTTTATAAGTCTCTAACTAAAAATGGAAATTTGAAGAATACATCTATTGTTATTTAGTAATATTATCATTTGAAGATTATCATATATGAGTACTGAAACAAGTTCATCAAAAGACGAAGGCTCACAAAATATCTCATAAAATCTGTGTTCGAGAGTGGGCGATCATCGGATGCTCGGTGGCTTAGAAAAATAATCGGAAAATAATCGGTTATTTCAGAAGTTTGGCGTACGTGAATACTTTGATTTGTTAGGGGAAGCCGGAACAGGATCAAATACGGATCTACCGGGATAAGCATCAAGTACAAATTTTTGATAGCTAATATAAATGATCATGGTAATTTTTATTACAAAGTTTGAGTAGCTTTTTGTTAGTAAATTTTCAAGTTTTTCGATCATTTGTGAATTTTTATTTATGTTTTTGAGTAAGTAAAGTTAAATATTTTTGAAGTTTTGTTGGTGATTCTGTTGCTTGGTTGGATGAACTATTCTTACATTTATCCAATATGATATGAGAAGAGATTAGAATGAATCAATAGGATACACACAATTGTATTTATTCTTTAATCGTTCGTTGCACACTAATATAACAAGACTTATTAAATTTAACTAAAATTTCGTTCTTATTCTACAAAACTATTTTGTTCTTCCAATCTGCAGAGAACTATTTTTAAATCCAAATATACACTAATTGGTTTTTTAGATGGTCACCTCAACCGTCTAAACCCCCATATAGTATTGGATTAGGATCCTAGCCACCACATAGCACATGAACATTAATATATATTCATCAATGTATTCGATAATTTGTTGTATGATTTTTTGTTACAGACTAATTGGGTGTTTTTTTTAAAAAAAAATTGGGTGATTCATCAATATATTCATCAATGCATTAGTAATTTACATTTTTTGTTCTTTTACGATTAGGAGGTTTCGGGTCTTGTGGGCTTATACATCCCATTGACAAAACCCAAACCATGTAATTTAACTATTTTTTTGGACAGCAGATTCCTCACAACGTGAACCTGTGACATCCAAAATTCATCGTTGGTAATTTATGCATTTTAAGAGAGCTTAACCATTAGGCCAACTCATCGTTGGTAATTTGTACATTTTATCTGATTGAGTTTAAGAAGTTTATAATATACTAGGTTTAGAAATACATTTACAATGTCTAAGATGTATTTAAGTTTGAGGGTATTTAAGTTTAAGAAAATAAAATAATTGGCGTAGCCTATATCACAATCTTTATAAAACTCATTTTTTTGTTACTATTCAGGTATTTGCTGATTACTTTTTTACATTTTTTTTATGTAAGGCTGAATCATAGAGACTGTTCTGTTGATGTCAAATTATATTACCATCGTTTATTTTCTTTATTTCATTAAATACCCCGGCAGTCAACATTTTATCTTCTAATGATTATCATTTTACTGTAGCGTTAAAATCCAATTTGGAATTATATCAGAAAGATGTTGACCGAGCAATTCAGTCAAGTGTTGATTAGCAAAGTCAGTGGAAAAGAAATTGTTCCGTTGTCTAGATCAGAGGATTCAAAGGTTAATGCTGAACAAACGAAAATGAAGCAGGGAAAGCGAAAGAATGAAGATACCGAGAAACGACCGATGAAGAAGAAAAAAGAGTTGCTGTGGAAACGAGAGAATTGTGCGCAGCCAGTTGGCAAAGTGATTAAGGTTACTGGTACAGGACTTAAGAAGAAATGCCACTACGAGAAATTCGAGTTTCATGGCATAAAATATGACTTGGTGAGTTTTGTTTTCCTTAAGATTTCTTAATTTTGTTTTTTTTTCTGACTAATTACAACAGATTTTTAGTGTTTAAAAGAAAACTAAAATAACAATTTAGACAACATTTTAATAGAAACAAATGCTCCAATTTATAGAATTTATACCATTTTTTTTTTTTACATAGGAAGATTCGGTGTTATTGATGGCAGAGTCCGCAAACCAAAATCCCTATGCCGCTATCATAAAGGTTAAAAATCAAAAGAGAAATGTTGACATAATTTTCAGTTTTTACCTTATATTAATCAAATTATATTGTTGGACAGGACATTTATACAACAGGCAAAGAAGGATACGTGAAGCTTGTAGTGCAGTGGTTTTATCGTCCAGGAGATGTTGAGGAAGAATATCTAGGAAAATGGGAATCCAAAGATTCAAGGGACCTCTTCTACAGTTTCCATTGCGATGAAGTGTTTGCTGAATCCGTGAAGCAAAATTGCATTGTGAATTTTGTGCCGGATAACAAGAAAGTCCCAGACCGTAAAGATCATCCTGACTTTATTGTGCAGAATATTTACGATTTTGTTAAGAAGAAGCTGCGAAAGTTCACTGATAAGGACTTTAACAAGCAGCAAAAGCAAGAGATTGATATTCTCTTGGCACAGACGATGTCGCGAGTTGGCGATCTTCCTGAGAAGGAGCACAAGATTAAGAAATCGAGGGGTAAACAAGTTGTTCCTGAAAGCATCATCAAGAAATCTAGGAGACTGAGTCCTATCTTGAAGAAATTTGGTATGTTAACCGGAAATATGGATCGTGACAACATATTGGATGAGCTTCTATTGGCGGTGAAGAGCAAGTGTCGTGTAACAGAGAAGAAACAAGCTGGTGATTATGATTCTTTCTGGCCAGATGATGCAGTTCCTGTGGTGCGTGCTCTTGAGCATGTTTTATATGAGTCTTTCGCAGAGGATATGCCAAAGTACAATAACATATCGAAGGAGCTAGTTAATACACTCGAGGTTTGTTTAATTCCATTCTCTCCATCATTTTGTCTATGTGTGAGTGCATGTACTGCTTAGAATCTGTAGGATGTGAAAATTATTTCATTCATATAGTATGAAATGTCGTTGGTCTTGGAAGTTGATATAACAAACGAACGATGAAAAAGATAAAATATACTATGCTTTATAGAAAAGACGCGCACTATTAATGTATGAAATCCACACTGATGTTTGATGATTGAACTTCACATTATGTTTGAATAGAATAGGGGAATCTAGTAGATTTTGGGGATCCTGTGAAGGACGATATTAAAATAATTTTATATCTAATTTTATATTCCAGGTATGATATATTTTCCCTAAAATTATTGTTTGTATTCAGTGGTATTAGTTTGCTGCAAGTATCAGTTTAAGTTAGCATTTATTTTTGATTTTGTATTTTGAGTGATAATGGTAATTTCTTCTCATTTTTTTGTAGAGCTCACAAGTGCTTGCTGAACGTATCCTCAATGGCAAATTAAAACCAGAATAGGTTAAAACGATGACGAGCTATGAGCTAATGGTATTGTCTCTTTTTCACATACTTTCTTCAAATATGATCACCGGTTGATGGAATAACACTAACCCTGAATTGTATACCTTCATTCGCATCTTAAGTGAATTTACATGCTGAAGTGACTAACAAAATTAGTTTTTTCATTATTTTTTGTCAGAACGGTCGTACTTTTGACGAGACAACAACTGTCATCGAAGAACCACTGCTGAGGAGAGACGATCCATCCACTTCCAGTCCAAAAGTATAAGGCGCTGATGTTTCCGTCGGCAATTAAAGATATCTAATGGTATCTTGATCGCCTTTGTGTTCATTTGAATCTCTAGACGAGTTCTTTATCCAAAGTTTTTGTCGATCATGACTTCTTCTTCTTTTTTTTTCTTTTTTTTTTTGTTTTGTGGGCCAAAATTTCTTATCTAAAACTTCAGTTATTTAAGTTTTTTTTTATTTGGCATCAATAACATGTGTTCGCGCATGTATTCAACTGAACTATAAATAAAAATAAGATGAATATTTTTTATGCGGCTATTTTTTTTAATAGAACAAAATAAAAAAGAGTTTGTAGCCAACATGTGTTAGATAGCTTGTGTTTTTTTCTTGCAAATTAACACATATTAACAGACATGCATATACATATATATATATATATATATATATATCTTTAGATTGAAGGATTTATTTGCTAGATAGCGTACTTTCTGGACAATATTTGAAGAGGGTAAAACAAAAGTGCATGATTGGTTGTTGTTGTAGTTTTAATTTTTTTGCTGTAACTTTAGATTTTTGCTGCTTATTTATTGCTATAAAATACTTTATTTATTTAATATATATATATACATATATATATATATGTAGTTTTAAATTAGAAAAAGTAAATATAGAAAACAAAAGAAGCAAAAAAAAATACTTAACAAAGAAATAAGGAAAGAAAATTCTCAAAGCCCATGTTTTCATATATAAAATTATGGTTATAGACTTTAAAAATTGAACCAAAGCTTGATTGGTTTAACATTAGTGTTTTAGAAAAAAAATATAGCTTCAGAGCAATCAGATCACTTACCAATCAGGGAGATTGATTTTCATATGTGATTTTACATATATAGATTGTGTGTTAGATTTTACATCTACATGTATACTCGAGTATAAGTCTATTTTTATCTCTAAATATGGAGACACCCTATTTAGAATTCCATTTAGGAGATGAACATTTTTATTTACAAAGTAGTCATTTGAACTTTTTGATAAGAAACTTAAAAATTATTGAAATTTAAAATAACAGAAAGTCAATTTAACACAACATCAACTAATAAAAGTATTAAAATCTACTATAGTTTTATTTTATGTTATGAAATATGTTTTTACATAATAATGATTGAAAGTAAATAAATATAATAATTTATAAAAAGTTTTTAAAGAAATATAAGTTAAAAGGTTAATTTGTAAATCTTACAGATTAAGTATAGTTCTAGCAATTGATAATAATAATAATATATAAGACAATATATATATATATATTTATTTAAGTTTTTTTTATTTGGCATCAATAACATGTGTTCGCGCATGTATTCAACTGAACTATAAATAAAAATAAGATGAATATTTTTTATGCGGCTATTTTTTTTAATAGAACAAAATAAAAATGAGTTTGTAGCCAACATGTGTTAGATAGCTTGTGTTTTTTCTTGCAAATTAAAACATATTAGCAGACATGTATATATATATATATATATCTTTAGATTGAAGGATTTATTTGCTATATAGCGTACTTTCTGGACAATATTTGAAGAGGGTAAAACAAAAGTGCATGATTGGTTGTTGTTGTAGTTTTAATTTTTATAACGCCCCGACCGCCCCTTCCGGTGAGTCACCCACGCCTCTCTCTAGGCCCGCAGGCCCATCTCGGCCCGTGGGCCTCACCCCTGTCCGACGGCCGGTCCGTTATTTTTGAGAGGCTCTAATGACTTGTTTACTATCCCTGCAATCAACACCTGACCTTTCCCCGTGTTTTGGCCTCACTCACACGGTTTCGGAAACCACTTCCCGAAAGGTCACCCATCCTTCAACTACTCCAGCACAAGCACGCTTAACTGGAGTTACTTATAGACCTTTGACCGAAAAGGTAAGTGCACTTTGTTGACATAGGTAGCCAAATCAATTCTCTTAAGCCTCTCCTCATTTATCACAAACCGGGATGTTACAACTCACCCCCACTAACTGCGCGCAACGTCCTCGTTGCGCACCTGGATCGTCACCCCCTGACGGTGTGAGTCAAGGCCACTTCAACTTGACTCCACACTCTCGTCTGGGTTTGGCTCTGATACCAAATTATAACGCCCCGACCGCCCCTCCCGGTGAGTCACCCACGCCCTCTCTCTGGCCCGCAGGCCCATCTCGGCCCGTGGGCCTCACCCCTGTCCGACGGCCGGTCCGTTATTTTCGAGAGGCTCTAATGACTTGTTTACTATCCCTGCAATCAACACCTGACCTTTCCCCGTGTTTTGGCCTCACTCACACGGTTTCGGAAACCACTTCCCGAAAGGTCACCCATCCTTCAACTACTCCAGCACAAGCACGCTTAACTGGAGTTACTTATAGACCTTTGACCGAAAAGGTAAGTGCACTTTGTTGACATAGGTAGCCAAATCAATTCTCTTAAGCCTCTCCTCATTTATCACAAACCGGGATGTTACAATTTTTTTGCAATAACTTTAGATTTTTGCTGCTGATTTATTGCTATAAAATACTTTATTTATTTAATATATATATATATATATATATATATATATATATATATATATATATGTAGTTTTAAATTAGGAAAAGTAAATATAGAAAACAAAAGAAGCAAAAAAAAATACTTAACAAAGAAATAAGGAAAGAAAATTCTCAAAGCCCATGTTTTCATATATAAGATTATGGTTATAGACTTTAAAAATTGAACCTTGATTGATTTAACATTAGTGTTTTAGAAAAAAATATAGCTTCAGAGCAATCAGATCACTTACCAATCAGGGAGATTGATTGTCAGATGTGATTTTACATCTATAGATTGTGTGTTAGATTTTACATCTACATGTATACTCGAGTAAGTCTATTTTTATCTCTAAATATGGAGACACCCTATTTAAAATTCCATTTAGGAGATGAACTTTTTTATTTACAAAGTAGTCATTTGAACTTTTTGATAATAAACTTAAAAAGTATTGAAATTAAAAATAACAGAAAGTCAATTTAACACAACATCGACTAATAAAAGTATTAAAATCTACTATATTTTGTATTTTATGTTATGAAATATGTTTTTACATAATAATGATTAAAATTAAATAATATAATAATTTATAAAAGTTTTTAAAGAAATATAGGTTAAAAGGTTAATTTGTAAATCTTACAGATTAAGTATAGTTCTAGCAATTGATAATAATAATAATATATAAGACAATATATATATATACATTTGACTAATATATATAGAATATTACTTTCGGTGTAGAAAATATGAAGTAATATACATTTGACTAAAATTGATTCTCATTTTGAGTTACCTCATTTTGGAAACAAAATCAGGTAATACAATCTTAAAGAGAGGAAATTGTATGAAGAATTTATCTTGTGAATGACATATGTATTCATTTATAGATAAGATCTAGTATAAACATATTAGCTCTCTTAGCTGTATATTAGCTTTGACTTGATATTTCCTTGAACCAAATCATTTACAGGTCAGATATTATACATGAACATGCACCAATATTATCACTAGAACTAGTATAAAAGAAACATTCTCACAAAACATTAGATACAAACATATCATCAAGCTTTGACAAGCTTAAGAAAGATGTCGTCCCAGCAATTGCCACCGAACACTATGGAGAGGACGCATATTAAACGAAAGATGGAACGTAGTGCTGGGAAAATGCATGTAAAGAAGAAACGGGAGTTAGAGTCGAAACCTGAGGATTCCCCGCAACCAATTGGCGAATTGGTTAAGTTTACTCGTCGATACCCCACAACCAATGCGTTTATCCCCAAACGTCACTACGAGAAGTTCCAGTTTCATGGCAACACATACACACTAGTAAGTTTTGTTTTGCTTAAGATTTCTTAGTTTTAGAGTTTGCTTGGCTTATTACAACAATTTTTCTAGTTTTACTTAAAATCGAAAGGCTCCAAAATCCATGACTTATATGGTGGCCTCAACTAGTCGAGAGCTTAGATAGCTTGAACCACAGACAAGGCATGAACACTACATAATTTGTTCAGTACTCTTGAGAAATTCTAGAATGACTCATAGAAACACAATTGTTTTTTTTTGGGAGTCCATTTTATAACAAATTATTAATTATTATATGTTTTTGGCATAGGAGGATACAGTGGTGCTGACTCCAAAGGGTGCAAACAAAAAGCCATATGTTGCGATCATAAAGGTAACAAAGAAAAAAACAAAAATTTATAAGATATTTCAGTTTTTACCTTATCATAATCGAACTATCTTTTGACAGGATATTTATCTTTATATACGAGACACGGAAGAATCTTTGAAACTACAAGTACAGTGGTTTTATCGTCCAGAAGACATGGACAAAAAGTACGTTAGACACTGGAAATCCAAAGATGCAAGGGAACTCTTGTACAGTTTCCATCGTGATGAAGTGATTGCTGAATCTGTGATAAACAATTGCTCTGTGTATTTTGTACCAGAGGGTAAGCAAATCCCAAATCATGGAGAGTACCCTGACTTCATTGTGACTCGGTTTTATAAATTGTTATATTAAAAAGATGTATAAGCTCTGTGATATAATTTTCGACGAGGAGCAACAACAAGAGCTTGATCTTCTTGTGGCAAAGACGATTTCTCAAGCTGGTGATCTTCTTGACATTGAGAAGAAGAAAAAGTCGAGGAGGAAAACAAGGTTGGTCAAATCGCAGGAGCTAGTTGATCAAATCAAGGTTAGTTACCATTTTCTCCTCAAATTTTTCTTTTAAATGTTATTTGTGTGTGCGTCCATGTGCTGCTTGGAAACCCTAGGCTTTAACAATTGGTCTTGACAGTTGATCTAACAAATTACCGGTGAAAATACCTAGTATGTTATGCCACATTAATGTTTGATGATTAAAATTTGCATTATATTTGAATACGTAGAATAGGGAATCTAGAAGATTTTGGGGATCATGATGAGATCAACATAATTTTTAAAGAATTTCTTACATCATCCCTTAGGAAATATTATCATTTAGGTACAACTCTGGTGATACTTACGGTTTTATCAACTAAAGTCATTTAGGATTTTGTTACATCATCCTTTAGGAACTAATACCATAGTCTATGGAATTTGCAGAACTATCTCCAATTTAGTTCATGTGTACTCGTAGAAATATCTTATCAGAAGGCAAAACACACGCCATAAGCAATAACATGGGTTCATATTAGAGCTCTGATATCGCTTGACCATAAACAAAACTTATTCTCTAAGATATTAGTGATATATCTTCATGACATTATCTTAGTTAACATCAAGTTCAACATCATACAACCTACACGAAGATTCTTGTTTATATTGCAAAAAATTGTGAAGTGTTACCCAATTTGTACAAATAACATTTTAAGTTAGGATTTTCTTTTTGTCTTGCCAGGACGGCCTCACTGTTGATGAAGGAACGGCTGAAAATGAGAAGTCAATAGGATCAAGCTCCGAAAGTGTTAACTCTGATTCTTATCTCGACGATTTTTGATCTTGATCTTCATTTTGTTTAAAAAAGTCTCTAGATGGGTTTTTCCTAGAGTTGTCTTTTCAATTTATGATCCAGATCATGAATTCTTACCTAATACTTCATTTATTAAAGTTTAGGTATTTTTTTGGATTTTTAATAATTACATGTGTTATCATGTATTCAATTGGATTATGAAAATTGTTTTTTTTTTTTTTAAGAAAAGCATGGCGCTTTGAATAGACTCTTAATGTTTGTTTAAGTTTTTACTGAATAGATTTTGTTTAAGAGTACTAATGAAGTGACTGTGAAACCAGCTAGTTTTTTTTCCCTTTAAATAATACAACTACAGTAGAACCTCTATAAAACAATACTTTGATTTACTTGCAAGTCAAAGTAAATTACACGAGTAACATCAACTATTGCTTAATTTAAAGAATAAGAATCAACTATAGTAGAACCTCTATAAAACAATACTCGATAAAACAATAAATACTATAAGATAATAATTTTCTCCGGTCCCAACTCTGGCCAATGTAAAAAATAGTATAATACGATAAGATGATAAGACAATAATATTTTTGAAACTCCTATGTAAAAATATAGTCCCAACAATAAGGTAAGATAATAATTATAAAACTAAGGCATATATATCTAAGACAATTTAGTAAAATATGACTCCAATGTAGTTTGTCTTTTCTGAAAGTTGGATTCCCGTTGGAGCTCATCTCGAATTTTTCTTATTGCATCTACAATTTCTGGTGGTATATTCTCAACATGCAGTCAAAAGTTGTGAAGAGTTCTCGAAGCCACAATTGCTTAACTACTTGCACATGTCCTTCCTCATCATCTTCAACTTCATCTTCACCATTAAGAATAGTAGACATAATTTCTTCTAGATTTTGAACTTATGAGCATGAAATATGTAAATAACAAAGTATAAGGAAAATTTGAATAAAAAAAGTGAAAAATATATTTCTATAAAGTTTCTTGTTTTTGATAGAATATTTCTATAAATTAATAATTATTGTTTTATCGATAAAATAATAACTCTATAAGATAATAAAATTTCAAAGTCCCAACATTATTGTTTTATAGAGGTTTTACTGTAATTTGAGTTGGGTTATTTTTTATTTATTTATTTATTTATTTACGGCAGTTGGGTTTAGATTCTTTAGAATAATCATGATAAAATGAAGTTAACACACTTCTACCGTTATTACTTCCTTACCGGACAAGTAACAAATGAGCAGAGCTGGGTTAAGAACGATTGTGTACAAGTTCACCCTAAAAACAAAAAGAGAAAACGAACAAATGAACAAATGATTGTATTTTTAAATGGTTTTGGATGAATTAGAGAAGATATTACGATGTTTGATGTCAGTAAAGTTATTGAACATAAGATGCTCGATGAAATGCCACTAAGAACTAAATTCCATTTTTTTTTTCTGTTTCTCTCAGATTGTTGTAGATTCTGCAATGTCGACTGTTCCAACAACACAACTTATGGCTCTAGGGACATGTATTGTAGCAGAAGGTGTGTTAAGACAACCCCATTGGCTGCTTCTACAAAACATGTAATTGAGCTTGAGGCAGAGAAGCTTCTTCACGTAGGAACAGTGGATCCAGACAAGTATCCATTGTCGAAAAAAAACAACTTCCTCTGCATATGCTTACAGATTTCTCACTTCAGGCCTCGCACAACCACAGTAAAAACTATACTTCAACATTTTTATCCAAGATTTTTTCACATATGTTCTTAAGTCATACACTCATTTTAGTATTTTTATTGTTTTTGAAGGTTGGGTCTGTGACACGAGTCCACAGTGCTGTTGTGCAAGATGCTTGACCCCAACCCTGAAACTAGAATCACTATTGCAAGAATCAGGGAATGCTCTTGGAACAGGAAAGGTTTACACATGAAACAGAAAAAGATGGAGAAACGAGTTAATGAGAGATAAACTCCGTCGCAGCTAATGGTGCAGGTCCAAGTGAGAACGGAGAGTAAAACCAAAAAAAAAAAAGTGAGAACGGAGAGAGGATCACAGAGGGAAACAATACAGACGAGCCTCCAAGTTTGAACGCTTTTGATATAATTGCCTTGCCCTCTGAGTTTAATCTGACAGGACTGTTTGGAGATGTGTATGACAAGCAAGAATCTAGATTCACATCTGAGAAACCTGCTTATGTGATAATATCTAAGCTAGAGGAAGTGGCACAGCGATTGAAACTGAGCAAAAGAAAGCGTGAAGCAGATTTGTTCAAATTGGAAAGTTTAAAGGAAGGAAGAAAAGGAGTCATGTTGAAGGATGCGGAGATATTCCAAGTGATGCCAACATTTCAGATGGTGGAAACGAAGAAATCTAATGGAGATACTCTGGAGTATCAAAAATTAGTAATAGAGGATCTTAGGCCTGCTCTGGCAGATATTGTGTGGGTTTGGCAGAGCGATAAAGACGAACAAGACGAACAGTTATTGCCTACTTCAAAGCAAGAGACAGAGCAACATGAAGAGCTATTGTCGATTTTGAATTTTGAATATATATATATATTTTTTGTGTGTGTGTGTTTAGTAGCATTTGAGCACAATGCTCATTGATTCTTTTATTCCAAATTTGAATTTGAAAATTTTAATTGTAAATTTAAAATATACATATCACAATATTTAAAATTTTCAAAATGTCATAAATTTACGTATTATATAGTTCAACTTCTATCAACATTAAAAGAAGAAAAACTTTGACTCAATCATTACATTAGCTTTTCACTATATTAACTAAATTATATTGTACATGTTTAAACTCGTAAACACATTATAACATTTAAAAAAAAAAATATATTTTCGATACTACTTTTTGATTAAAAATCTAGTTATATGTAAGTTCAACTATAGTATTTCATTATTTTCTTTCCAATCCATAGTACATATTTAAAAAAAATTAGTACCAAGTTATCACACATGGATATTTGATCAGGAGAGTACCAATTTTTCATCTTTAATATAACAGGAGAGTTTTCTTTCCATTTCGCATATCCAGATCAGCAAAAAAATTATCACTAAATTATATTTAAAATATTTTTTTAGTACATGTATGCTCATATTTCTTTACAACTAAGAAAAACACACAAAATGGGTAATATATATAAAGTATGTGATATCTTAGTACTAAATTTGTTTTAAATATATAATATTAATCTTTAATATATAGACAAACAAAATAACTGGTATAGACTTTGATTTTCACCACAAATGAGAAGGACAAAAATTGATATTAAATCATAATATATAGGCTGTATTCTAGCCAAAGAATGGTTATGGTTAGTTTCTAGATTATTGTTTCTAATATGATTATCTAGTGTAGTTTTCCTAAATCAGTAGGCAAGTTTTTTTTTTTTTAAATACTGAAATAAATCAAGCAACAAAGAAAACAATATGCTTCTGATATATGTTCAACAAATTATAAAACAAAATTAGAAAATAAAACTTTTCTTTATTAAAAATAATATAAAATGACATATTCATTGATAATAGTTTACATAAAATTATAATTTAAAGTTAACATTACCCCGTGCATTAAGGCGCGGGAGATCACCTAGTAAAAAAATGAAAGAAAAAAGAAAATCACACAAGGCATAGTACTAGGCCGATATAAACATTTACATATCAACTTTAGTTACGGGTATTCTAAAAGAAATGTAAAACAATAAAAAATATTAACTTTTCCATGTTTGTAGGAAAGCCATATGCGAGGAGAGAAAATGAGGCAAGACGATATATAGTACAAACTCTATAAATTAATAATGTGGGAACTTTGATATTTTATTAGTTTATAGAATTATTAATATATAGATTTTGACTAATTTGTTTTCAAAAAAAAAAAATTCAATATTAATAATATTTTAAATTTTCATTCAAATTAAATAAAAAAAATTCCTTTATACCTATATTTTCATATATGCATTCACCAACCACAAAGAAAATTTCCTTTTTTACATTTTTCTCATTTTCGTCATATTCTTTAAATTCATTTATTCTTCAATTTCCATGTCATGTGTAAAAAATTCATATTTTATTAGCTAGATATCTTAGTTATATATATATATATATATATATATATTAACTTTTATATGATAATTATCAATTTATGATATTATTGGGACCATATATTACATAGGAGTTAAAAAAAAAATATTATCTTATTATCTTATCGAATAGTGTCATATTTTACACCGGCCCAACTCGGGACCGGAGAAATTTATTAATTTATCGTATTTATTAATTTATTGAGTATTCATTTATAGAGTTTCTACTGTATATATAAATTCACGGTTTTTTAAAGCACAACATAAAAGGGAATCAAGAATTAAAAGAAAATGAATTTCATAATTTAATAAGTAAATGTGTATAGCTTAGAATTACGTTTTGAAAATTGGCGTTTGGTGATATCGTCTGGCGCGTGATGTTTTAAATGCAAAAAAAAAAAAAAAAAAAAAAAAAATAGTTGGCATGACGACAAAATGAGAAATTGTCAAGAAACTGGCTTGACCCTCATATATAACTGGCTTGACCCTCCTATATTAGTAGTGTTAAAGTAGCTTCTGTTTGATATCGTTCTGTTTGAGAGAAAAAACCTGAGGCCACATCTTGACTGGGTCGGTGACGAATGGTGTGAGACACCACGACCAAATCTAGAGGTAAATTCCTCAACTTTCCGTCTCAAGTCTCAATTTTGTTGCCTTGTCGGCTTTGGTTGTGAAAAGCATCCAACTTTACTGTGTAGGAGTCCAATTTTAGCCCTGGAACAATGGTGGAATGGTCCGCTAAGATGAACAAAACAGAGCCCGTCTGGGTTCCTGCAATGTTTATAAAAGAGATGAAAGAGAATGATAAGACGAAATATGTTGTCAGGTTTTGTAATGGTAACTTGGGATGCAAGGGTATTGAGGCAAGACGCAATGTGACCACTGAATATTTGCCTACTGTTAGACCTAGACCGCCTCCTTTTCCGGTTGAAGAGTTGCAATCGATGGTGTGTGTAGATGTGTTTCATAACGGAGCATGGCGTCAAGGGCGAGTGACGGAGATTCTTCCTCGGAAATGGTATACAGTGCGTTTACATGGCTCAAACAACCTGGAATTGAGTACCAATCTCTCGAATATTAGGCCTTCCAAGGTGTGGAAACACGGGGTTTGGAAGGTACTTAACATTGTTCTTGCACTTGTTGTCAATCAGTTGTCTTTCTTAGAACTAAAGCCAAAATCTTGCTCCTTTTGATCTCTGATGTTGCAGTCAAGGGGTCAAGGATTGGTTAAAAAGATGTGTGCTTCTATGATGAATGGTAAAAATACACAATTCTTCAAACCCCTTTTCAGTTTCATTATCCCTCATGTGTCATTGTTTTCCAGCAAATGAATCTGTAACCCCATCTCCGGGGATCACTGCAACAATGGCTGATAAGACACTTGCGAGAGATCAGATTAGCTTGGGAAAAGACAAGGTAAAGTGAATTCTTGCTTGTTTGTTAGCTGGTGTGGATTATTAGTATCATAATCCTTCTTTGGGTTTTTGAACTTTTATGCAGCAAGATAACACTCGTAAGAGGAAGAGAGACCTTCCTTGTGTTCTTTTGCCCTTTGAGAAGAAGTTGCCAATTTGGAAGACATTTGAATCAATGGAGGTTTTCACAACATTCCCACAAAGCCCTCATTTCAACCCATTGGTGGAGACTAGAGAAGACTCTCGTGAAATGTCTGTATGATGTTTACCTTTTCTGGTTTTCTAGAGGTAGTCAAACATCTGCAACCCGAAGATCCCATAAGCTCACTTACTAGTCTCAGTGACTCCTTTGCTGAGTTAGAGAAATACGGTTTCGATGTTAAAAGGCCTGTGCTGCGGATCAGTAAGCTCTTGTCTCTCAGAGATAAGCAAGCAAACAAAACGGAGGAGCTCAAAGGTGCTCAGAATGTGACTGCAGAGAAAGAGAGCGTCAAAGTTGAGAACCAACGCAAGATTCTCGAGCTGCACAGGCTGAATCAGGAGGTGGACAAAGAGATAGCTCAGAGCAAGTCATGTGAAGCAATGATTGTACAACAGCTTCAACGTGTGAAGCTTCAGTATCAGGCTACTGCATCCGCTCCATGGTAAAATACAAGTGTTACAGTATATGAGCTCTATCAGCTAGGCTCTGTTTTGCTAATGAAATCTTAGATTCCATGTCTTTTCGTTGCTTTCTTGTGGACCTCTCTGTGGTACCGTAGATGAATGATGTTTAGTTTTAGTAAAAAAATTCAAGAATTCAGATGTCATGTACAAAGCTCATGTCTTTATTTCACCATGCAAATCAACTGACCATCCTAAGAAGAAGAAGAAAAGCTTAGGGCTTTGAATGACTTAAGCTACATTTTCTGCACTTCCTTTCATATTCCTTTTTCTTTCTTTTTTATCAACCAAAGACTAAACTAAAACAAACACCCGACAATACTGTATGTATGTCCTAAGTTTTGTAAGGTGAGAAATACCAAATCTATCTCATTAAATGTTTATATAGGCCTAAGTATGAAATTTTTGAGGTTGAATATTGAAATTTATCATAATGCTTTCCGTTTTGAGGTATGGTGCTATATATAGAAGAAGTCTGCAAAGACAAGGTTGTTGGAAAGATGTGAAAGACTTGCAATTTAAAATATTTCCCTTTGACTATAACATATGGACTTGGCCATTTTACGAGGATATGAGGAGCCGACCGAACGGTCACCGACCGGTCCTGGGGCCCGAACCGATGATCCGAGTTTTGTGCAGCTGTATCCAGTTATTCCGAGGATCAAACCCGAACAGGAACCGACTATCCCCTCGAAAGGGGTCCAGGGCCCCAACAGAAGGGATGTAACCCAGGGCGGGCACTCCAGCTGGAGTTCCTTTACCACTAGACCAAGGTGACTTGGTTAGCTTAAGTTAATTATTAATAAAATAATCTTCAAAATCATGTAAATCCATTAAATCTTCAAGATCATGTAAATCCATTGCTTCACATGACTGACTCTCAGCTATCTCTTTGACCGCCTCCTCCTTCAGCCTTTGTTCGTTCTCAACCTTGATTCTGTCTTTCTCGGCACCCTCCATTTCCTTTGCTTGCCAATCTCTGAGAGACAAGAGCTTACTGATCTGCAACTCGGGTTCTTTTACATCGAAGCCGTATTTCTTTAACTCAGAAAAGCAGTCCTTGAGGCTAGATAGTGAGTCTATGGGGTCTTCGGCTTGCACACCTTTGACTGCTTCTACTAAACTAGAAAAGGTAAACATCATACCAACCGCATACGTTTCACGAAATTCTTTTCTAGTCTCCAACAATGGGCTGAAATGAGGGAATGTTTTGAAAACCTCCATTGCTTCAAATCTCTTCCAAATTGGTAACTTCTTCTCAAAGGGCAAAAGAACCATTCTTGTATCCTTTGCTACGTTTTCCTCAGAGTCAAGGTCTCTCTTCCTCTTTCGATTGTTATCTTCCTGCATACCATCGTTTCCCGCAAGTTTCTTATCAGCCATTGTTGCGGTGGTTATCCCCGGAGATGGGGTTACAGGTGGAATGTCGAGAGTATTACCATCCAACATCTTGATTACCTCTTGACTACAAGATAATACAAAAAGATGGACTCTCTTAATGCAAACCTGATATGTTGTGCGCCTTAGTCTGAGATGTCGTAACAGTCACGCAAAAACACAAAAGCTTCCTTAAACCCTAAGTCTCTTCTCTTGAAACTAAGTTATTGTTTGGAAGATGGTTTCTTGTTGAATAGAAGAGAAGCTTTTATAGGCTTGGATACAAACTACTTTTCCTGAATTGAAAAAGAAAAACACCAAATCGTAACTCTAAAGGCAAACGAACATATTAGCTATTTCCTTTTTTGTCTTCCACAGTTTTGTATTACATTTCGAATATTTGGTCTGGACATACGTAGTAAACCGAACTGTAATCTACTGAACCGATACAAAAACTGAACCGAAATATCCTTAATTACACGTGGATAGGATGTGGGCCAAAACTCGTGGGTCGGCAGGCCCGGCTTAAGACACACCAAATTGATCCCAATTACTCTTTTTTTTTTTTTTTTAATTTCCTTCTTTGAATTTTTATAATCAATCAGGTGAAGCGCCGTAGCGTCGCGTTGGCTCCGAACTTTGAGTTCAACTTCTTCCTCGCCTCGCCGGCGATAGGGTAATTCTCTGCAATTTCTCTTTCTCTTTGCCGGAAATGTCACTTTATTCGTTTGAGATTGTAACAGAATTCTGCGATATTCACTAAAGGTTGTTGAGAGTTGATTGTAGGTTTCGGATATGTCGTCGTATCTGCTCGTCTGATTAGGGTTTGGTGATCGTTTTCTAATAGTATGAGTATCTGACGGGTAGAATTTAATTGGATAAGTTCGTTTCTAGTCCCTATTATGTAGAAATTAGTTGAAATTTCCATTTAATCTGCTAGAGTGAAACCTAGAGTTGAAAAACTTCAAGCTCCTTACGAATTAGTGGATCATTTTCTATCATTGAATTCTCATGTTATGGCATATTAGATGTTAATTCACGTCGTCTTTCTTATTTTTGTGGTTGTGGTACAGGTGTAGTTTCTTTTTCTTCCATTTTTCAACGGAGTCTACAGGGAGCAAATACAGCCAGTTTCCATTCTTTAGTCGCACTGAGGCTACTACTTGTGGAAGATGGCCAATAACCCTCAGTATCCTGGCATTCAGGTAGGCAGTGTACTCTGTTTTTTCCTCTTCATACTTGTTAAACTCTTTCCCCATTATTGATCTGCCCTCCCAGGAGCAGAGCTTTATCTCGTTTGAAATTTGTTGTTTGATATTATCTTTTTGTTTTTCTACATCTAATTATCTTTTTTTTTTGTCTTTCTTGAAAGCCATTCCAGCATCCTAATACTAGCTCCATAGATTTACCCCGAGGCTTTGCTCCTTCCATGAATTTTCAGGTAAAAGTTTTAGTGTCTTCTATGTGAAGACTAATATTAGTTCTACCCTTAACATATGTTTTGCTTGTTTTATTCATGCCAGTTTCGTCCTACCATTCAAGTTCCGCAGTCTGAGCAAGCTGCTCGCTTGTCTTCTCAGAATTTTCAGTGTGTTAGCAGAGGTGGCACAATGATGAACATAGGTTTTCCACCTCAATCTTGTGCACCTCAGTTATTACAATCAATGCACCACTCTCTTGAAAGACCTAGCCAATCAAATCAGGTGCAGCATTTGCCACCAGGACCCCCGTCTCTAGTCTCACAGCTAAATGGGCCAATTGCTCCTGGCACCTCCCTGCCTCAGCCTTACGTACAAACTCCAGATATTAGCATGACTGGCTTTGGTGGCCCTAGGGCGCTCTTCCCTTATCCGGTAAGGAAGAAAGAAATTTTTGTATTTATATTTGCAGAATCTAGATCTTGAGTTCCTAACTTAGTGATCAAACAGAGTGCCACATCTTATGAAGGTTTGAGGGCACCAACTGAAGGCACTGGACCAAGCAGTCATGGTCAAGCACAACAGAGAGCATCTATTAGCCAGACTACTGCACTATCTTCTACCATGAATCCGACATCTGAACAACCGAAGGTGGTTACCATGTCTCTTATTGTAACTTCTGGACTGTTTTTGGTTACAACACTAATTTATATCAACTTGTGCACCTTGAAGGCAGCTCTTTTTCAACCTATTCCTTCTCAAGCGGCTCTAACAGATTGGATTGAGCACACCTCGGCGGATGGAAGGATGTAAGAATTATTTCTCTCTTTTGATTGTTTTGCTTGGGTTTCCACTAATGATGCTAAGCTAAAATATTGACATTCAACGGAGATAAACTGCTGGCAACTAGGAAGCACCCTAGTCCGAAAGCTAATTCTTGAAAAGATATGCCCAGAACTATATTTTGTGTTAATTTTTGTAATGGTTAATATATCTTCTATGAGCCATGCGGTCTTAGATATGTTTAAATCTCAGGATTTATTGGTTGGGTATCCGGTTTTCCTTCTCTCTTTGCTGTAGGGAAACTGTTTGATGTTTGATGTTTATAGATTTATGTTTTGTCTCCGTTTCCTGATGATTCATGTCCTGCACCTGGTGAAACCATTGCGTATTTTCCAAACTGATGGCACATTTTGTGCTCATCGTTGAACTTGTAGAATGAATTTATGTTGGTTTATGTTTCCAGGTGTCAAGAGTATATTGTGTATGACGTTGTGATTTTGCTTGTTTTTAGATATTTTTTCAACAAGAGGACGAAGCAGTCTACTTGGGAGAAGCCTGTTGAGTTGATGACTCTTTTTGAGGTGAGTTTTACCTAGCTTAAAGAAATCAAGTTTCAGGACTGATCTTCTCATTCGGATTTTTCAAAGCTGCCTTGTGCCGTATCATTCCATATACTGCTTACTAGTAGTCATCGCTCCTTGGTTTGAGGTGGACATGCTGTCTTTTTTAGTAGGAATAAGCTTATATCTAGAATTTCGGTGGTGAAAGATTGTGTGATAGAGGTGCTAGGGCTACACAAAAGTTACAACGTTGCAATACTGTGAAGTTCTTACATTTGCTTATTTTCTGCTAATGAAAGTGATAAGTAATATAGTTCATGCCTCATGTAGAACTTATCTTAACATAGATGAATGCATAAGGAAGGGTACCTTCCAGTGTCTATTTCTTGTGACGTTCAGATATTATTAGAGAGAACAATTGTGCTTATTCATTATGGCTAATATCCAATTTTATATTATGGGCTTATGGCTTTGGGGAACTGGACCGTTCCAATTGTTCTTTTGTGCAATGATAACCAAGAATATGTGGGTACATAGTTAATGTATAGAATGTGTATACGCTGTTACAGAGAGCAGATGCAAGAACTGACTGGAAAGAACATTCAAGTCCTGATGGAAGAAAGTGAGTGTGCATCTTAAGGTCTTCTTTCATTAGCATACAATTAATGGAAAAAAAAACTTCTTCTGTAGCTTCAGGATGTTGAATCTCTTCCTAATTTGATATGGTTGCAGGTATTACTACAATAAAGCTACCAAGCAATCAACATGGACAATGCCCGAGGAGATGAAGGTTTCTCTTAAGTCAATTTATTGACTCCTAGTGTCTGTGTTTTAATTTCTCTGTTTCCGAATGTGTGAATTTTAAATTTTCTCGCCAGATTGCACGTGAACAAGCAGAAAAAGCATCTGTTCAAGGGCTTCATGCAGAAGGCATTATAGATACTTCTAAGGCGCCGTCGTGTTCTGATACAGCATCGACTGCTTTACCAAGCCAAACTGCTTCTACGCTTTCAACCTCTGATGCCAGTGAGAAACGAGCTCTTACTCCTGATTGGAAGCAGGCAGCTTCAGTTCCTGGAAGTTCTTCTCCAGCCGAAAATGTTGATCGAGTTCAGACTACTGCAGAAACTGATGATTCTTCTGCCACTGTGATAATAACTTCTGCTGCTACATTGTACTAACAGTTGTAGCAATTTGATCTCCCCTTCTCTTTAATTTGATGTTAGTTTGAGTTGGGAAAATCATGTGCTAAATTAGTTGTTATTAACTATTCTTTGCAGGGTTAACAAGGATAAAACATCAGCGGAGAACAGTGGAGATTCAGATGGCATGTCAGCTAAAAACCTAAATGTATTTGAAGCTAAGCGATGAACATTTCTTGTTAGCGTGTATTTCTTGTGTATCCGTTTACCATAATTGTTCATCTGCTCTCTAGCAAGGTAGTGGGACTGCACCAAAAGAAAGCCCGAAACCTGTGGTGGAACGTGAAATAGTTGACAGTCAATCGGAAGAAAAGCAAATTCACCAAGAGGATTTCTCTTGTATCAGCAAATCGGTATGATTGGGTTTTGGTTCATGAGTATATTTCCGGTCTCATCTTTTTGCATAGATTAATTTTACTTTTTATATACAGGAAGCGATGGATGTCTTCAAATCACTTCTAAAATCCGCCAATGTTAGATCTGACTGGACATGGGAACAGGTAATACAACTTTCGCTATTAGCTGCTCTTTGAGCATGTCCCTGAAGTTTTAGATGGTTTCTACCACAGGCCATGAGAGAAATAATTAATGACAGAAGATACGGGGCTCTGAAGACTCTTGGAGAGCGGAAGCAAGCCTTTAATGAGGTTACTTCTTTTTATCAAATACACTAATAGCAAGAAATTATCAGAAGAGAATTAAGTAAATTGTGGATGTTTAGATATAGCGCAGTCATATTCTTCTCCATGTTTTGAACAGTGATGCTTAAAACTTGGTCGTAGAAGCTAATTACATTTTTCTTTTGATTCAGTTCGTAGTTCAAATGAAAAGAGCGGCAGAGGAGGAAAAGGCAGCAAGACAGTATAAGCGATATGAAGATTTCAAAAGGATGTTAGAGGTAAGTTGCAGATTTGTTGGTGCATGATATTTCTGCGTTTCCTTTTTATGCATTTTCAGACTACTCCATACGACTTATCGTTTTTTGGACATTGGTTTTCTTACCAGGAATGCGTGGAGATTACTCCTTCGACTCGTTGGAGGTATGTTCTCCAGAATAATTCTGATTCGAATTTTTTTTTTCGTCTACGAGAATTTCTGTAGTGCAATTTATTTCGTGATATAATTTTCTTTTTAAATCCAGCAAGGCTGTGACTATGTTGGAAGACGACGAGCGTTTCAAAGTTGTTGAACGAGAAACAGACCGTCGTAATATTTTTGAAGATCATGTCAGTGAACTAAAGGAGAAGGTATTATATGGTCTATACATTTATGACTCTTGTGTTGTTTGAAAAGTAACTGCTATTTTGTTTCTCCCATCTATTTTCTGTAAGCATGCAAGGTATATTTGATAGTAGTTTTCCACTGGAAAATCTTTCATCAAGTGGTCATCTGAGTCTGAGACTTCTTGATTCTAATCCAAACTTGCTAATTCATTTGAAACTTCTAATCTGTGCCTTGTTTTTTAGTGTATACAATTGTGTACCTTCTCTTGAAATTTGAGTTTCATTTACTACGTGTCTTTAACTCTGCGAGGACCAGATATCAAATTGTTTAATTTTGTTTTAAGTTTGGTCATAGACTTCGATTTGATTTCTTTTGTTCTTAATATTGTTAATTCTATAAGGAGCGGGTGAAAGCTCTCGAGGATCGCAAACAGAACATAACTGAATACAGAAGATTTTTGGAAGCTTGCGATTTCATCAAGGTGATTGCCCCTCTTTATTTCTTATTTGACACTTTATCTTGTGCTAAATCGTTCTAACTCAACATTTTTTCTATCTTCAGCCTAATAGTCAATGGCGCAAAGTTCAGGACCGCTTAGTAGTGGATGAAAGATGTTCACGTCTTGAGAAAATTGATCAGCTAGAAATCTTTCAGGTATTTTCGTTGATTAGGAACTTTCTTCCAATTTCCATACTCGACTAATTTGAAGGTGTTGTACAGGAGTATCTGCGCGATCTGGAGAGAGAAGAAGAGGAGAAAAAGAAGATACAAAAGGTACTTAGGTACTAGGCCTCTTTCATGTTTGTCATCTATTTGGTTGTTTTATTGGACATTATCTCATTATATCTGTCTTTCGTTATAACAGGAGGAAGTCAGAAAAGCAGAGCGAAAGAATCGTGATGAGTTTTGTGAGTTGCTAGATGAACATATTGCAACAGGAGAGCTTACTGCCAAAACTAGTTGGCGTGATTATTTAGTGAAGGTTAAGATTAATATTATGTCACAATTCCATTTCAAGTATTGAACTAAAGGTTTTGATACAAAATGGATTCTGCTTCTCAGGTAAGAGATTTACCAGTATATTCAGCAATTGCTTCGAACTCCTTAGGAGCTACTCCAAAAGACTTATTTGAAGACGCCATTGAGGATTTGAAAAGAAAGGTACTAGATTCTTCTCGTTAGTCTTGTATATTTTCCAAGATATCATTTTAGCGACTGTAATATTAGTAAAATTTGTATCACTAGGTAGTTCCAGTAAGCATTATTCTGCTAGTTTTATGAGCAGTGGCTTCTTCTGTTTCGAATTCTTGTTTATTTTTGCTTCTTTTTTTCTGTCCCTTAATACCTGAATTAACCATCTGTTGCATATTACATGTTTTTGTCTTCACAGTATCATGAGCTCAAATCTCAGATAAAGGACATATTGAAGCTGAGAAAGGTACGGGTTCTCTTTCTGTAAGCATTTATGAATTTTATAAGTGTCTTGATCTTATTAATTTCTTTACAGGTAACGTTATCTACTGGATCAAAATTTGATGAGTTCAAGGTCTCAATTTCCAAGGGTATCGATCTCCCACCTATCCCTGACGTTAGTCTAAAGGTCTGTAGATCTCTCCTTGAGGTTTAATTTATTGCTTCTCAGTACAAAGAATAGTACAACTAGTCACTGCACTGCGTACATATTCTTTTATCAAACATCGAATGTCTCATTGGATATGACTAGAAATGATGCGTTTTGGTGATGCTTCTCAGTTAGTTTTTGATGATTTGCTGGAAAGGGCAAAAGAGAAGGAGGAGAAGGAAGCCAGAAAACAGACTCGGCATACTGAAAAGTTGATGGATATATTTCGCTCCTTTAAGGTGCTGAGTCTATTTGGTCTGATTGTAAACAATTATATGTGATAGGTGAAGTTTAGATAGGTGGTCTTACTTTCTCCCTGATTATTTGTTTTGGTGCAGGATATAACTGCCTCTTCATCATGGGGGGAATCAAAGCATCTTGTTGAAGGCAGTGAAAAATGCCGGTACGTTTTTTCAATTATTTTAACCCTTCATGGACCAGTTCATGACTGGATCCTGTTTGTTTGCTATATTTTAGGTCTTCTGAGCTCCAACGTTTGTTCTCATATGCCTCTCTTAACTCCTATCACCAAATTGTCTTTCTGTGCAACTAGAAATCCCAGTGCTTTCTAGAGTACTGTTGAGCGGATATTTGAAATCTAATCATTCTGTTATTTATTGCCTCTGTTTATGTAGTTATATAGGAGATGAGAGCTTCCGGAAGCAGACATTTGAGGATTATGTGTCACACCTCAAAGAGCAAGCAAAAAGGATCAAACCGAACAAGAAGGTAAAGGTTTAGCATGTCAATCCATTAGAGTAATTTCAGACTGTAAAAGGAACATCACCGGATTGAGAGTCTTCGTCTGTCTTAGCTGCTATTATAACTGCACACTAACATACTTCAACTTTTGGTTATAGATGATTCATTTCCAACTATTACGTACTGATGACATGTCCGGAAGCTCACAGAATGTTATATTACTACAGGTACCCGAAAATGTGAGAGAGGAACATGACAAGGGGAAGGATAAATACGGAAGGGAGAAGGACAGAGTGCGAGAAAGAGACAGTGAAGATCATCATAAGAGAAGTGCAGCTGATCATCACAACCATGACATGACTGATCCCCATGGAAAAGAACGTAGAAGATCAGGAAGAGATGGCCATAATAGACATAGAGAAAGGCATACTAGTTTGAGGGAAAATGAAACAGACCATTACCAAGAACTCCACAAAGCTGGTGGTGGCTATAAGAAATCAAGAGAACAGGTACATCTTGTTCAATTTGTCACCACATTCTCAAGGAAGATGTGGTATATTATTCAATATCTCTCTTCATGACAACTAAGTTAGTTTTTGGAATCAGTAATTGGTTGTAGAAGTGCTTCTACTGAAAGTCAGTCTAGAGTTAGGTCCAATACCATTTGATATAATCTTGTTTAGCTCCATATGGTTTATACCAAGATATGAAAACTGAAAAGTGTTGTGCAACTGCAGAGAGGTTTGGTTCCCGAAGCAGAGGATGAAGGCAGGGAAAAGCGGCGTAGAAAAGAGGAAGAGAGTGTTGTGCAAATAAAGGCTGCGGAAAAAGAAGAGGAGCTTGAAGATGGAGAATGTGGAAGGTATTGAACATGCTTACACCAACAAGTTATATGTCACTCCCATGTTTTGGAGATGTTTAGGCTTCCAATTTGCTTGGTTTGAGTTTCTTAAAAACTATTTTGTTACAACTTACTACCATGTCAAGTCGACCTCCACCTTTAACCTAATGAGAAATGATAGGTAATTTGTTTTGTTACTATTTTTGTGGAGTTTATTTCTTCTCTGTTGAAAACTTGAAACTAAAATGATTACAAGAACCTCTTAGAGCTCAAGCATTTCAAAAAGATGTTTACACAGAAAAATTATAACGATGTGATTTAGACATTTGATCTTCTGTTTCCAAAATAGTTGAAATGTTTTCTAAAAGTGACAAACAAAAACTGATTTTTAATTTTTTCTTCTACTAGAAAAAATGAGCTGTGAATAAGTCCAAATTTTTGTAAAAACTTGTATCTGAAACAAAAACTAGATATGAAAGCTACTGATTAGAAATTAATCTGTGTTTCTTAGTATTTAGATACAATTATTCCATGAATATGTGATCTCAAGTGTCTATGTTGAACAAAATTTTATATTATATTTTACTTTTTAATTGGGAAAAAATATATTATTTTATATTTTGATATAAAATTTAGAATGATTTTAGAAATAAATATAATTTGGTATAAAATCTACAAACTGAATCATATATGTTCATTTTAGATTACGAATCAATTTTTAAAAAATGATTTATTTCTTCTTAAACAAATATTGTGTATTCGACCAATTTGGGTAATGAATTTTAATATTTAAAAGGCTTTTGTATATACAAAAGAAATGTCTTCATATTCAAAAGATCTTATTTCATTTTATATTATTAATTTCAGAAAATGATATTATTCTCGGATAGTCTTATTAGGTACCATAAATACATATATATGGGCCTTGATTGGTAGAGTATTTAGAAGCATTAAGTTCTTTCTAATCCAATCAAGTTTTTTTAAACGAGCATTTAGTAGAGCATTTAGAAACTGCTCATGCTCCCAAACTGCTCATTCCCTCTCTGCTCTGAAATGTAGCATTTCAAAGCATTGAACTCAATAATATTTAAAAAATCTTAAATAAATTATAATCAAATATATATAATTTATTTATTTTGGTAAAAAAATGAAAACTATATTTATATTAAATTTACAATTTTATAATTTCGTAATTGATGTATCATTAATGTATTATTCATAAAATAAATATTTAATGTCATAAAAATTTAATAAATATAATTTAAATATGAAAAAATTACTTAATAATAAAAAAAAATCTTATATTATTAATGAATATATATATATATATATGATGCATTAAAATAAATATCAATATACATATTAAATATTTTCACAAACAAATTATAATAAAAAGGCTCACAGCTCTACCAATCATTTTTTTTTTTGAACATACAACTTAAAGAGCTTACTGCTCTTCTAAATACTCATCCTGCTTATGCTCTTTAAGCCTAATACTCTTCTAACTACTTTGCCAATCAAGGCCATGAACTATGTATATTCATCTACAAAGCCTTTATAAAATAGTTCTCTTCATGTAACTAAAATACATTACATTTTAACTCTTTAACATCATAAGCAACAAAGAGAAGTTAAAGAAAAAATATCATACCACATAAAAAATTTAAGAAAAAATATGAAGAGTTTCTTTGGAGTTATAGTGCTTCAATTTCTTTTTCTTACGTTATCCTTAGCCGCTCGTGAAATTGTTTTCTATGCTTCTGATTTTGAAGTGGCTAGAACAGTTCTAAACGGTCAAAGCAGCGAAACATCTCCACCACTTTCTGTAGCGAAGATTGAAGAGAAGAGAACAGTTCCAAGCGGTCCGGACAATAAAACATCTCCACCTAGTTCATCCTTTTTCATAGCGGATATTAAAGCAAAGAGAAAAGTTCCAACTGGTCCAAGCAATAAAACATCTCCATCTAGTCCATCATTTTTCATTGCAGATATTGAAGTGAAGAGAACAGTTTCAAGCGGTCCGGACAATAAAACATCTCCAGCTAGTTCATCTTTTTTCATAGCAGATATTGAAGCGAAGAAAAAAGTCCCAACTGGTCCAAGGAACAAAACATCTCCATCTAGTCCATCATTTTTCATCGCATATATTGAAGTGAAGAGAACAGTTCCAAGCGGTCCGGACAATAAAACATCTCCACCTAGTTCATCCTTTTTCATAGCGGATATTGAAGCGAAGAGAAAAGTTCCAACTGGTCCAAGTAATGAAACATCTTCATCTAGTCCATCACTTTTCACAGCAGATATCGAAGCGAAGAGAATAGTCCCAACCGGTCCAAATAATGAAACGTCTCCACCAAATCCACCACATTTTGTACTTGGAGAGAAGAGAAAAGTCCTGACTGGTCCAAGCAATGAAACATCTCCACCTAGTTCTATCATTTTTCATAGCAAATATTGAAGCAAAGAGAATAGTTCCAAGCGGTCCAAATAATGAAACATCTCCATCTACTCCATCACGATACACATGATACGGTTGAATGCACATGCACTTGAGCCTTATATATTGGATACAAATGCATACAGTAATTTTTTTGTTATATAATTAATGCAATTTCTTCAAACATTAAATTCATATCCCTGTGGGTGCTGAAAACCACACTCGAAATTTATAGGTTTTGCAAGGAAGAAACTTAGGGAGATTTAGGGCTAGATTTTGATGTAAGTCGAATGAATCGTAAGCAAGGATTTGGCTAAACGGAATTGTATTAAACGAATGAAAATGGTTACAATGAATTCTCAGAAGAGAGAAAGAACTAAGCTCAAAGGAAAATACAAGGAAAGTATGATAGTAATTAGGTCTAAATGATCGGAAGAAGTCTGTCCCTTGATCCGACTGCTGTCAAGCTCCTTTTATAGCTCCAGAATCAGCTACGATCCACCTCCGCGTATCTCGCCACGTGCAGCTAACGATCCCGGTGATCTCGGACCAGACCGGATTTGAAGGAGATCTTCTTTGACTTCGTCTTTCTTCGCAGTGCCGACCTGGTCCTTGATCGAGCTGGAGCTCGTCTTTACGTCGACCGGAATAGCTCGGATGGCAGTTAACTGGCTTACGAGGGAGTCGCTTGGTGGGCTCGAGGTCTTCTTGCTGGGCTTGAGTGGGCCTGGACTTCAATCTTGGATCAAGGTAATGGGCCCTTACGGGCTAGATTCCAGGTGTGGAATCTGGGTCCAACAATTGCCCCCCAGCCCTTTTAAGTGAGTTTCGAACTTAAAACGGGCGGTTTGTTTTAATTTCAAAAATTCAAACTTTTGCCGGGCTAAATTCGAATTCCTCGATTCGGGGTATATTCGAGCTTATCCGCAAAGGTTTGAACGGGGTAAAAGATCGCGGGGATCTCGTCGTTGGAAATTGCCTTAGGCATTAAATTTTTCTTTTCTTCGAGGTGAAGATAAGATCTGGCCGTTGAATCGAGATGAACGGCGAGATCGAGCAAATCTTGTCAACTCGCTGCAATCTCGCACCGAGCTCCTCGATAACGTATATCGCATATTTTCGAGATTCGAAATGATTATGTTTTCGAATCGGACGGTTCAGATTGAGGAGAGCGAAGAGTCCGTGCGGCTGAGATCTGTTTGGGACCCACAGCGCGTCACATCATCAGCTCGTCGCATGCAAGCGGTTAAGATCTGTGAGTTGTACGGTCGAGATTCACGCAGAAAAATCGGATTCTTTGCGATCTCTTCAGCAGTTAATGCTGAATATAAACTCGACCCACTACTCTTCTCTTTAACCGTGCCCACGTTTTTGAAAAGGTAACTTCTCCTCTCTCTTTTACTTATTTATTTGCTTTCAAGTTTTAGATTAGATAACTCCAAGTTCTTGAAAATTATCGAACCTTTGCAAACTTTCGAGCGTTTTAGGTTGTTTCGATTTCGAATTTCTCCAAAAACTCTTTCAACCTCTTTTTCCTCCGTCTCTCCTCCGATTACATGCCTCCGAAGGTAATCGTCAAGCAAGAGAAGGGAAAGGCCGTCGACCTCGCGGTGACGGGAAGTTTCACGCCGCACGCCGAGACGACGCTCGACGCCGAGCCTCGACACTTCCGGCAGGATTTCGGGATCCCGGAGAGATCGAGCTCTCCTGCCGGCTGAGGGCGAGGACCCGGAGCATGTTCGTCCGGGGTTTTGCTGCGCCTACGTCGTATTGGCGGAGCGCCGGGATGATTTTCCCGGTCCCTCGTTTTCTGATGGAAGCGCTCGCTCATTACAAGATGGCGTTTCCACAGATGCACCCGAGCTTCGTCCGCCACGTGATAGGATGTGCGGTTCGAGCTCGGGAAGAGGGCGTCTCGTTCGGTGTTCGAGATCTGAGAAAGCTTTTCTCGGTGAAGAACAACACCAGGCTACCCGGGTCGTTTTACTCCTCGCCGAGGCCGAATCGGCGAATATTCACGAACACCCCGCAGAGGGATAGCGGGTGGAGTGACGAGATGTTCTTCTTCCGGGTCAGCGAGGCCACGATGGGCGACTTCGACTTTGGTCGAATCCGAACGGAGTGGGCGACTAGCGTTGGTTAGCTTAGGCCGATTTCCGTTTAGGATAGCGATACCTCGCTTGACTTATGGAATACCTCGTTTATTGATGATTTTTTTTGTCTTTTGCAGTTGTAGATCCAGTACCGAACAACCCGGGGATTGATTACCTCGTCGAGCGACTCGGAAGGGAAAAGGTGAACTGGAGTACTTTTACTCCGGAACGGATCCGTCGAGTTCTCAGCTCTCCTCCTGCTCCTCCTCCAGGTAATAATCTCCCTTGACCAGCTAGAAATTCATTTTACGAACTCTTTATAACGAGCTGTTTATATAAATTTTCCAGCTGATCTTCCGGTTAGATCGGCGCAAGATTCTAGCTCCGCTTCTTCTGTTCCTCCTCTCTCACGCAGATCGAAAATGACCCGTCGTCAGCCTCTCAGATCCCGGACCGCAAAGGGTGCCAAGGCGCTTCCTCGGGTGGAAGTCGAGTTCGTGCCGGCGAGTTCGTAACGGCGGTGGAGGAGGCTATGGCTTCGAAGCCCACGGCGGGGTCTTCTGCCCTTGCCGACCAGGTGGTTGACCAGGTCGACGCGACCGCTGAAGGAGAGATCGTTCCTCTCCCGAGTACGGTTCATGTGAGCTCCGATCGGACTCGGAGTTCGGATCAAGGTCACTCGAGGCAGGCGCCGAAGCGAGCTCGGAGTGACGATGGAGAGCTCGTTCTCGCGAGGGCGGCCCGACTGCCTCGAACGGGAGCGGGGGAAAGCCGCCGTTTTACTGGCAGTACGAGAACTCCAAGGCTTCCCCGTTCAGGACGACGAGGAGGGAACAGCTCGCATTCAGCTCCACTTCAAGCCCGTCGGATGCCGGCTCCCGTCCCTGAACCAGATGTCTGAGAAGGAGCTCTACATCGCGACGTGCGCTGCGAGCGGGAGGGTAAGAACTGTTTCCCTAGTCAAAACTTTAGACGAGAGTCTTTGTTGTTGTTTTGGCCTTGGTTGAATTTTTTGTTTTTGTTAGGCTGTGGCAGCTCGTAACATGTTGGTGTCCCGCCTGGAGTCGAGGATCAGAGACGCGCCTCAGCAGAAAGAGCTCGATCAGGTGAAGGAGCTCGTTGCCAAGTTGACCTCCGATCTCTCTGCGGCGAACGAGCGGGTAGCTCGTCAGGGTGAGCTCTTGAAGAAACACACCTCGCAGGAGGGTCGTGTGAAAGAGCTCGAGACCAGGGAGGCCGATCTCTTGCGCCAGCTGTCCCAGAATCAGGAGCAGATGGCGGCTTTGCAGAAGGAGAGCTCGAGTGCGCTGACGCAGTCGCTTCGCCTTAGCCGGGAGAACCAGGTACTCGTCGCCGAGAAGGACAACGTAGCTCGCCGTGCCAACCGCGCAGGTCGGAGGGAGATGGTCGCGAAGCATCGGGAAGTGCTTGAATCGGCTAAGGCAAAGTTCGAGGAGAAGAGGGTGGAAGGTGAGAAGGAGGTGCGATCAACCAGGAGGAAGAGCTCGCCAGGTTGAAGGGGCTCGAGGATGAGGTGGCCGAAGCAGCCAAGGCGGCCCAAGTCTCCGATTTCTCGATCGGGAAGTTTAACCTTCCCGTGGTTTCGGAGGACTCGGTCGCGCGCATGGAGATCGACCCATCGACGAGCATCCCGGTTGGCTTGAACCCGTTCGGGACGAATGCCGAAGAGAAGGGAAGCAACGAGGAGGAAGAGAAGGAAGATGAAGAGATGACCGTCGAGGACTGAGCTCTTGGTCGACCTCTTTCTATCTCTACTCCTTTTTCAATTTATTTTAAGACTTGGTTGCCCGGCGGGGTTTTTACGCTTTATGTTTCGGATTTGGTGCCTGGGAAGGCTTTTATCCACAAACTCGTTTGCCCGCGGGGGCTTTTAATGTTTTGGCCTTAGGCGTTTTGCCTTAGGCGCTTTTGCTCAAATTGTTTTGCAACTTTCATTTTAGCTCGTTTTTACTTGCCAAAATGTTTTGAGGCTTTTTGACTAAGTGTTTTGGCCGGTCGAGAGACCAGGGCCAAGATGTACTTTAGTCGGAGGTCGAATCGATCCGTTTAGGTTGATTCAACACTTAGAATATTTTTACTAGTTTTGGCCGATCGTATGTCGAGCTAAACGTAGTTTTAGGTCGAATCGAGTCCGATTCGGGACGATTAGATCGATTCAACACTTAGGCGAATTTTACTAGTTTTGGCTGATCGCGTGGAACGAGCTAAACATAGTTTTAGGTCGAATCAAGTCCAATTCGGGACGATTAGATCGATTCAACACTTAGGCGAATTTTACCGATTTTCGTCGATCGCACGGATCGAGCTAAACGTGGTGTTTATTCTTTTTCGAGCTCTTTGGCGAACTGATGTAGCTCGCGCTTTGCGGAGTTGTTTTCCCGTCTTTCGATCGAGGTGTTTCTTATTCGGCTTTTGGAGATGGAATTTATTACCTTTCGAAGTTCGTCTTGGTTTTGTCGCTTCGCCGATAGTGTTCCGAGCTAATCGTGAACTTTAGGTCCGTCTGGATGGCTCGGCTTCGTGTTAGATTTCGGGCTGTCTCTGGGTCTTCGGTTCTACGATTGCTAGAACACTACGCTGGATGCTTGGACGCTGCGGACTTCGATTGGTTTTTGCGAAGTAAGAAATTGAAGGTAAAGAGGTGGACTCTGAACCTCACTTCGTTCGAAAGGGGAATATCGAGGTGATCTCGATCTTCCGATCTGTTTTGAGACGAGAGAAAGAGCTCGATTTCTTTTCAGGTCACGCAAGATCAGGCGTTTTCGACGTAAATTGATACGCTTAAGTAATTCGGAATTTCTTAAGGACTTGCTGAGTCGATTCGAGCAATTCGTAGCGATAAACATAGAAAACATTTTATTTAAGTATAATATTCGAGATGATACAAATCGAGCCCGTTTTAGGGCCGGCCAATGAGGTCGTCTCAAATAAAACGAAGTAAATTCGGATTGGGGCTGGACTCGTGGTTGAGCTGCCTACGTACCCCCAGGGAAGGAGGATCAAGCCTAAACGTAGTTCGAGGGGTGGAGATACTCAGATTAGATCCTTTTCAGTGATAGTACCTTTTCAGGTTCATCGCATTCCAAGGTCTTAGTTCAGGTATTCCGTTTCTGACTTTTGTGAGCTTGTAGACGCCATCGCGAACTACTTCGGTAATGAGGTAGGGACCTTCCCAGTTGGTCCCAAGTTTCCCTGCACGCTCTTTGGTATAGTCTTGTACTTTTCTCAGAACCATGTCGCCTATATGAAAGCTCCGGTGTTTAACCTTGGAGTTGTAATAGCGAGCTGCGGCCTGTTGATAGTTTTGTATCCGGATCAGAGCTTGATCTCGACGTTCGTCGATAAGGTCAAGGTGATCTCTCAACATTTCTTCGTTCAGCTCGACGTTCGCTGGACATTGCATCCTGCGAAGACTTGGAACGGAAGTTTCAGTTGGGATGACGGCCTCTAGCCCGTAAGCTAATGAGAACGGGGTCTCATGAGTAGCTTTGTGAGGGTAGTTCGGCAGTGCTGCGAGCTCTTCGGACCACCTATGTTTACGGGCGTCGAGTCGTTTCTTGAGGTTACTCAAGAGGGTTTTGTTTGTTGCTTCAGCTTGCCCGTTCCCTTGAGGGTAACGAGGTGTGGAATACGTTATGCGTATGTTCCACTTCTTGCAGAAGTCTTTGAATGTTCGAGCTATGAACTGAGATCCGTTATCTGTCACGATCTCGAAAGGGAGCCCGTGTCGACAAATGATGTCTTTCCAGATAAATTTCCGGACCTCGAGTTCGGTCGTTTGTTGGTATGGTTTGGCCTCGATCCATTTAGTGAAGTAGTCAGTAAGGACTAATAGGTATTGGAATTGCTTTGGTCCCGAAGAGACCATAGGTCCTATTATGTCCATAGACCACCTCATAAAAGGATAAGGTGAAGAGATCGATGAGAGTGTTTCAGCTGGGACGTGAATGCTTGGGGCGTGCCTTTGGCATTTGTCACATCGCCTGGAGTACTGTTCGCAGTCTCTGATCATCGTTCGGCCAGAAGTAGCCTAGCTTTTTAATCCGTATGACGAGAGCTCGGCCTGCGGAATGACTTCCGCAAGGTCCTTGATGAGTCTCGTGCATTACGGTGTAAGCTTCTTCGCCATGGATGCATGTTAATATGGTTCGATAAGGCTTCGCTTGTAGAGCTTATCTTCCATTATACAGTAATGTGCGCTTTGGGCTTTTAGCTTGCGAGATGCCCATTTTTCGTTAGGGACGGCTCCGAGCTGGATATACTCCATGATAGGGGTTCTCCAGTCGGGTCTCGCAGCGAACTCTTCCTTTAAGGTGAGTTCGTTCGCCATAGCAGATGGGACGGTATGGATCGTGGACTCTTGCGTATTTTGCGAAGAGTCCGAATCGATATACCTTGTTTTTTGCCTATCTTGGTCAGGTTCTTCTTCCTCGGAATCAGGTTCCGGGTTAGATGGTCCCGGATCTTGGGACTGTCTAGTTTGAGAACGAGTAGACGGGCGCGAGGTAATTGCGTTTATACTGTCAGACTTGAGTGCGATGTCGATGCTAGGTTTATCTATGCCTTCGACTGGGATCACACGTCTTACAGTTGGGTCCGAAGTGGAGGCGAGAGCAGCTAAGGCGTCAGCCGAAGTGTTCTCTCCCCTAGGCACCCTAGTTAGTTCGAATTTACTGAATTGTCCAGCTAAATCTCGAACTACTTTGAGATAAGCTTCCATGCGCTCCTCTTTTGCTTCGTACTCGCCGCTGTATTGGCTAGTAACGAGCTGGGAGTCGCTGAATGCGTTGATCTCATTCACGCCGATCCCGATTGCGAGTCGGAGTCCGGCTATGAGTGCCTCGTATTCGGCCTCATTGTTAGAGGCGACGAATCCGAGTCTGAACGATTGTTCGATCACTTCTCCGGTTGGAGATGTGAGTTTGATTCCGACGCCAGCTCCTTGTTTGGACGAGGCTCCATCTACGAAGAGTGTCCAAACTTTAGAGAGGGTGGTATCGTTATTGGCTTCCGGTGCCAGCTCGATCATGAAATCAGCTAGGGCTTTAGCACAGGTTCTAGTTCGATATTCGATGTCGTATTCGCTGAGCTCGATAGCCCATTTAGCTAGTCGTCCAGATTGACTTGGACTATGTAGCATAGTTCGCAATGGTTGCGAGGTCATCACCACGATTGTGTGTGATTGAAAGTAAGGTCGCAGCTTGCGAGCGGACATTACTATTGCTAAGGCAAGTTTTTCCATAGCTGGGTATCTAGTCTCGGCATCAATCAGGGATTTACTTACGTAAAAGATTGGTCTTTGTTCGTTTAGCTCTTCACGAACTAAGACCCCGCTGACCGCTGCAGGCGAGACCGCGATGTAAAGGTATAGCGGTTCTCCTTCTACTGGTTTTGCCAGTATAGGAGGTTCGCTGAGGTAAGTTTTGAGCTGTTTGAAAGCTTCTTCGCATTTTTCGTCCCAGAGGAATTTTTTATTTCCTCGGAGGAGCTGGTAAAATGGAAGACACTTGTCGGTTGACCGGGAAATGAACCTATTAAGGGCTGCTATTCGACCGGTTAACCGTTGTACTTCTCTAGTATTTTCTGGAGAAGGCATATCTAAGAGGGCAGAGATTTGCTTCGGGTTCGCCTCGATTCCGCGTTCAGTTACTAGGTAACCGAGGAACTCGCCAGACGGAACTCCGAATGTACACTTAGTCGGGTTCAGCTTCATGCCGTACTTGTTAAGTATGGAGAAGCATACCCGGAGCTGTGCGACGTGGTCTGTTTCCCTAGAGGATTTGACCAGCATATCGTCTATGTACACCTCCATTGTTTTACCGAGCTGATCGGCAAACATTTTGTTTACGAGGCGCTGATATGTAGCTCCCGCGTTTTTTAGCCCGAATGGCATTACTTTGTAGCAGTAAGTACCTCGGTCTGTTATGAAAGCTGTTTTCTCCTGATCTTCTGGGTTCATCTTGATTTGATTATACCCAGAAAACGCATCCATGAAGGATAGGAGCTGGTGACCAGCCGTAGCTTCGACCAAGCGATCTATATGAGGAAGTGGATAGCTGTCTTTTGGACAAGCTTTATTAAGGTCTGTGAAATCGATACAGACTCTCCACTTTCCGTTTTTCTTTTTGACAACTACAGGATTAGCTAGCCAGTCGGGGTATTTCACCTCTCTGATCGAGCCTACCTTGAGTAGTCGGTCTACTTCGTCGTTTACTGCTTTAGCCCGATCTGGGCCGAGTTTTCGACGTTTTTGTTTCATGGGTTTGAACGTGGGATCTACGTTCAGCTCGTGAGACGTGATCCTAGTGTCAATCCCGGGCATGTCCGCGGTGGACCATGCGAATGTGCTGATGTTTTCCTTTAGGAAGGCGATCAGCTCGTCACGGATAGGTTTTGCGAGATCGATTCCGATACCAACGCGCCTTTCGGGGTCGGTTTCGTCGATGCAAACCTGAGTGACCAAGTCTTTTCGAGGTTCGCGGACGGTCGGATCTTTGCCATGTTTGATCTGCCGAATCGCGAGCTCCTCTTCTTTCTGTAATTGCTATACTGGCGATTTTTCAGCTCGCAAGTAGCTGCCCATATAGCAATCTCGGGAAGCTCGTTGGCAACCGCGAATTGTTTTTGTCCCCCAAGGTGTAGGGAACTTGACGCATTGGTGGTAAGTGGATGCAACTGCTTTCATGGTGTAGAGCCACGGCCTGCCGAGAATGGCATTGAATGGCGCGGGGCGATCTACGACCACAAAGTCAACTGTTTTCGTTATACCACCTGCTTTGATTGGGAGCTGGATAGTTCCCATGGAATAGGTCGTTTCTCCTGCGAACCCAGTTAGGGGCGTACGGCCTCCTATGAGTGCGGAGTTTTCGAATCCCATTCGCTTGAAAGCATCGTAGAACAGCACGTCTACAGAGCTTCCTGTGTCTATCATGACTCTGGTCAGCTCGAATCCGGCTACGGCGAGCTCGATTACGAGTGCATCGTCATGAGGTTTATCGAGTGCGAGTGTTTCGCTTTCTCGAAATTTGATTTCGTGATCAGGTCCGTCTAGAGGACGTGGTTGTCCAGATGACTCGACCCGTCGCTGATGTGCTTTGATCGAGTTAATCGAGTCTTTGCACATCTTCGAGCCACCGCAAATGAAGTCAATTCGTTTAGGGGTAGGTGGCTCTACTCCCCCCGAGAGCTTGTGAAGTCTGCGTAAGCAAGAGATCGCAATGCTCTTAGTATCGGGTCTGGAGGTAGGTGATGTAACAGGCGAGCTTCTGTAAGAATGCTCTATCCCCCCGACAAGTCTAGGAGGTCTGTGTGAGCTAGAGCTCGTAGCCTTTCTAGGAGCGGGTGGGGGGGTGACCACGGATCTCGTTGAGCCGCCGCAAAGGCTGAGCTCTCCGAAGATTAGGTCGATTCTTTTCCTGTTAGAAGGAGGGGAATCGGGGGCTTCGACCTCGACTTCGCGTTCTCTTTTCTGAGGTGCGTTGTCGGAGTCTTTAGCTGGTTTGGGTTTTGGCTTTTCGGCCTTAACCGCGGTTTCAGCTGTTTTGCTTTTTCCCTTCTTTTTGCTAGACTTTTTGCCTTTAGCACGGCATTCCTCTGTGGAATGGCCGTTTGTATTGTGAATATCGCAGTGTTTCTCTTCTTCCTCCGAGCTCTTTATGGGAGCTGAAGTTTCGATAGAGTAGGAATGTTGTCCTTTACTCTGCGAAGGTGGTTTAGCTGGTGCAGTTTTCTTAGCACCTGGTGGAGCATATGCGAGCTCCCCTTTGAGGTATTTTTCTCTGAGGAGAGCTGTGTCTTCCTCGAGAGTTGCGAATGCTGATGCGCGATGTAATGCGTCATCTAGTGAAATTGTAGGTCGAACAGTTAGTTCTTCTCTAAATTTCGATTCGTACCACAAGTTGTTTTTGAGGGCAAGTAGAGCTACTGCCTCATTAGGGTTTGTGATCTTAGCTTTGACTGATTTGAATCTGTCAATGTAAGATCGAAGTGATTCCTTTGGACCTTGAGAAAGTCTCCAAAGGTCTGCTTCCGTAATTTTAGATTCGATGAAGATCGAATACTGTTTTAGGAAGGCTGATTGGAGCTGGTCGAAATTATCGATTGAGTTTTCGTCCAGCGTTGAGAACCATTCTTGAGCTGGTCCGATCAGGTTCTCAGCGAAGAGCCTGCAGTAGGCTGCTTCTATCTCTTCTGGAGAGAAAGGAACTCGAGATACGACGAGGTTAAAAGCTCGCATGTAAGCTCTCGGATCGCTGTTACCAGAGTATTCTGGGATACGCAGCTTGCTGGTATCTCGAATAGGTACTTTTGATCCTGAGTGAAAAAGGAGTTCGTCTAGACTCTTTAATCACTCTGTCGATATCAGGAGCTGAGCTCGTTGCTTGATGAAACATTGAGCTCATATGCTGAAACGCGAGGTCTGTGCGATCTTGGAATCTTTCGAAAGATTCGCTGTCGACGAGGTTACGTGGATCAGCTGGATTCCGATTAGCTGGAATCGGATAGAATGGAGCTTGATTCGTGAAATCGTTAGCTCCTTGGAACTGAGCTCGATTGGGCTGACCGTTCGAGCTAGGGAATTGTTGATAATTCCCGTTCACGTGCTCTCGCGCTGTTGCGGAGGGCTGTGAACCGTATGTCGCGCCTAGCTGATTCTCGAACTGAGGCATTGCCTGCGAGCTCGAGGCAAAAGCTGAAGCGCCAAACCACCTAGGCCTAGCTGGATCGGTACCAGGTGGCCCTGGGGGTGGAGATGAGAGCGGAACGTTTGGTTGAGCTCTCGTCTCGCTTGGGTGCGAGCTCGTATTGTTTATGCCAACTGGTGGCGAGCTCGGCGGTGGACCGAAAGTCTGAGAGACTTGAGGTCGCGAAGGCGTAACGAATTGCGCCTGAGGTACGCCAGATGCGTAGATCGTCGAAAAATCGAGCTGAGTCCGCGGAGGCGGGCTAGTGATGTTTCGAGATTCAGCGAGGCGTCTCTCATGTCTCTCCAGCCTAGTTTCGTGGTCGCGCTGACCGTTTACCAGGTTGGTGAGAAGCTGTTTGATCTGTGCCAGATCATCTGGACTAGCTCGCGGAGGAGTTTGCGTCGCAGATGCAGGTCGAACAGGAATAGTCCGACTCTGTGGAGTCACAGTTGTTGGGGGATCTTCCGATCTGACCCAAACTCGAGAGAGAGGTCTCTCGATGGTGTGCGAACCCAGATTCGGTAGAATCGGGCTCGGGGTTGCTACCGGCGTGGCGAGATTGATCACCACTGGTTCCACGCGAGGTGGAGTGCTAAGCTGCACTCCAGTGGAGGCGGTAGCAGATGTGATCGGCGTGTTCGAAGTGTTGGCAGTTTGGCGGCTGCTACTGATGTTCGAGGTGATGATCTGATCCGATGGGATCGAGTTTTGGGAGTTAGATCCCTGGGTTTGCGACCGGATAGTATCCATTTTCGCTCTTACCTGGCTTAGGTTCGACCCTTGTGTAAGAAAATCTATGTTTCCTCCCCACAGTCGGCGCCAAAATGTGGGCTATGAAAACCACACTCGAAATTTATAGGTTTTGCAAGGAAGAAACTTAGGGAGATTTAGGGCTAGATTTTGATGTAAGTCGAATGAATCGTAAGCAAGGATTTGGCTAAACGGAATTGTATTAAACGAATGAAAATGGTTACAATGAATTCTCAGAAGAGAGAAAGAACTAAGCTCAAAGGAAAATACAAGGAAAGTATGATAGTAATTAGGTCTAAATGATCGGAAGAAGTCTGATCCCTTGATCCGACTGCTGTCAAGCTCCTTTTATAGCTCCAGAATCAGCTACGATCCACCTCCGCGTATCTCGCCACGTGCAGCTAACGATCCCGGTGATCTCGGACCAGACCGGATTTGAAGGAGATCTTCTTTGACTTCGTCTTTCTTCGCAGTGCCGACCTGGTCCTTGATCGAGCTGGAGCTCGTCTTTACGTCGACCGGAATAGCTCGGATGGCAGTTAACTGGCTTACGAGGGAGTCGCTTGGTGGGCTCGAGGTCTTCTTGCTGGGCTTGAGTGGGCCTGGACTTCAATCTTGGATCAAGGTAATGGGCCCTTACGGGCTAGATTCCAGGTGTGGAATCTGGGTCCAACAATCCCCATTATAAAATCTTTTTTTTTTCACGCATTCTTTTCTAAACAACAAATCTTATCAAATATTTTAATTTTTTTTTTCTAATTATTTAATTAGTAAAGTCAAACGTTATATAAAATATATATAAATATAAAATTTCCATGTTTTTATTCTCAAATATATATAAGTCAAAGATAATATATATAATGAAATTCTCTAAATAAAATTCTTTTAATGGTAAACAAAAATATGATTAGTATAGATATTTAGTTTTCGTTAAAAGATATTGATAAAAACAATTGTGATTTACAAAAACTCCTGCTAGATTTTTTTATTTGTAATTATAATAAAAACTATAATATATATAAAATGATGTCCTTTATCACAAAATATGCCACTGCCAAATGGTGTATGAAAAATCTCTAGCTTCTCAACCATTTGAATTTAAGTTATGCTTAGCCATGGTTTGAGAAACATTATTATAAATGTAGTGATCATATTCCTATATTAAATGGTGATGAGTAATTTCCAGATAAAAAAACTGAAATTTGAGATAAGTGGTTTTCTAAAATTTTGAAAGTTACTTATCAATACATTATTTGCGAAATAGTCAATACATGCTTTGATCGCTAATGAAATCAGGAAGACTGATATGGTACCAACGATAAATCATTATTCGCAAGAAATAAAGGGTATGTACATCTCTTCTTTTTATATATAACTTAAAATTCATGAAACCTTAATTCTAATAAGGGTATCTAATATATCCATCATATGAGTTTATGATTCATACTAGATCGTTAGTGTTGGATCACATAATTGCTTAATGATTGCCTTTAAACTTCCTTAAATCAGGAACTTACAAAAAAACTTATTACATATAATAAGGCCTTGATGAAGAAATTTACTGTTTCACGACTTGGGCCAAGAACACACTATGACAGGGTAAGAAGATTCAGGCAAGGGTATGTGGTTCTGTTTACGATGCCTATGATTGCAAACAAAAAGAGGGAAACTGGATTCACATCAAGAATTTCAATTACTACTCAGACATGACATTTGTAACATCCGTAAACCAAATTGCTACTTTTGTCAGTCGACACCCGGCTATGGCAAAATCGAATCAGTTCGATTTGAGTGTCGGTTTGGGTCTGGAAACCCTTGTTTCGAGTTTAAAAGAGAGCAGCCGTCTTTTTCAGCTCAGTTTTCGAGGTGAACTTCTCGAGAGAAGAAAAGAGGCAATTTTAGAGAGATTTTTGAGTTTTGGAGTTGGATCGGAGTTCTGTTCATCGTTGTGCATAAGTACTTCTACTAAAAGTCTAGCGTTAGGTCTAAAACCATTTGATATATGTTGTTTAGCTCCATATGGTTTATACCAAATATTGTGTATTCGACCAATTTGGGTAATGAATTTCTGTGTTCGAAAAGTCAGCGATGTCTCCGACTAATCGGTTAAAAAATCGGATTCGGGGTAAAAACGTGGCGACTTTCTAAAATCCGACTAATGAGAAAAATCGTTTGAAATTTTTAAAATGAGATGGGCCAAATCTTTGGTTTCCGAATTTTCTTTGTGCCAATTCCAAATTATTTCAAAAATGGGGGCCAACTAAGGAATGTTCATTCTATTTAATTTTGTTTTAGCAAAAATAAGACTATAATTGATAACAATTACATGAGAAAAAAACGATTTTGTGGATTTATAAACCTCTCCATCTACTCCATCACGATACACATGATACGGGTGAATGCACTTGAGCCATATTGGATACAAATGCATCCAGTAATTTTTTGTTATATAATTAATATTTCTTCAAACATTAAATTCATATCTCCATTATAAAATATTTGTTTTCACGCATTCTTTTCTAAACAACTAATCTTACCAAATATTTTAATTTTTTTTTCTAATTATTTAATTAATAAAGTCAAACTTTATATAAAAATATATATTTATATATATCTAGATACATGCTTTCATTATATAACTTTTCCAGGTTTTTTATAGTACTCAATTATATATAAGTCAAAGATAATATATAATGAAATTCTCTAAATAAAATTCTTTTAATACTACACAAAAATATGATTACTATAGATATTTATATTTGTTAAAACATATTGATAAAAAAATTGTGATTTACAGAAACTCCTGCTATATATTCTTATTTGTATTTATAATAAAAACTATAATATATTTTAAATGATATCCTTTATCACAAAATCTGCCACTACCAAATGGCGTATGAAAAATCTATTATCTCTCAACCATTTGAATTTAAGTTCTGCTTCGTCATAGTTTGAGAAAAATAATTATAGATGTAGCCATCATATTCCTATATTAAATGGTGGTGAGTAGTTTCGAGATAAACAAATTGAAATTTGAGATGAGTGGTTTTCTAAAATTTTGAAAGTTACTTATCAATACATTATTTGCGAAGTCAGAATTGCGTTTCGAGACATCACATTCGCTCTCAACCGCGGAATTACAAAGACACCTTTAATGAAAATCTCAGCATTATCTTTAAAATTTATTTTTTATTAATAATTTGTTTCGTGTATTAAAAAAATTATAGAATTTATCTTATTCAAATTAAAAAAAAATACTCTTCAATGATATAATGATCTTATGGGTTTTTTAAACCAGTCACAAATTTATGTATTCATTAAAATATTAAAATATCTAAACCCTAACTAGTAACTACAATATGACCCGCCACAATTTTGGAATAAAACTATAATCATAAAAAGCCTAGGTCTTTTAACTGAATCTAATATATAAAAAGATGGTAATAAACAAAATCATCACAATATACTCTTCTTCGTTTTAGTAGTGTTTTATAATCTTTAAGTTCTTATTTCTTCTTCTCATATATGTTAATTGTTGATGTTAGACCTTTGTTCTATTATCTCTAATGATTTACTGTTTATTCATTATTTTACTGGAAATTTTATCTAAATATCCGCATCTAAAATTTAGTTCTATGACTTTTGAAACAGTCAATACATGCTTTGGTAGCTAATGGAATCACGAAGTCTGATATGGTACCAAAGATAAACAATTATTCGCAAGAAATAAAGAGTATGTACATCTCTCCTTTTTATATATAACTTAAAACTCATGAAACCCTAATTCTAATAAGGGTATATAATAAGATTTAGTGTAACATCCATAAACCAAAAATTAAGAATTCTGTCGGTTCAATTTAAGTGGTTTGGTTTGGGCTGGTTTAGTGGAGAAAGCTTTAGTTGTGAAATAAAAATGAGGAGTTGCATCCTCACTTTTAACAGTAACAGAAAAGAGAGAGAAATTTCAAGGAGAAATTATGAGATTTTGGAGCAGATTTCGTACTGTTCATCGGGTACTGTTCATCGAAGTACTGTTCATTGGGTACTGTTTATCGGGTACTGTTCATCGTCGCGATTCGGCACTGTTCATCGTGTTTCCTATTTTCATCAGTCTCAGTCCATTGTTAAGGTGAGTGCATGACTGTGGGTCCGCGATTTGCTAGATTCGATTTGGTTTGTGGTTGTTCTTGATGAGTTTATGTGTTTGATTGTTATTTCATGGTATTTTGGTTGTTTCTGTGGTGAATTGTGGGTTTGTGTGGTTTAGTCCGGTCTAATTGAATTTAATTGATTTAATTGGTTTATCTTGTTTTAATTGAATTTAATTGATTTAATTGGTTTATTTTGGTTCAATTGAATTTAATTGATTTAGTTGGTTTATTTGAATTTAATTGATTTAATGGAACTGAATTGGTTTAATTCGGATTTAATTAAACTAGTTTAAAATATTTAATAATTTAGAAATGAATTTTTAATTATTAATAATTATTTAATAATTGGAAAGTGGTATTTTATAATTATTGGACTTTGTAATATTATTAAATATATATAGTAAATTGCGTAAATGGCCTGTAGGCAGAGTGATTGCCTCACTAAGTATTTATTAAATACTTATGCAACTCCATTCTAATGTGTTGAAGGTAAAAGGTTTATGTGATCGCGGAATCAAGGCTGAAGAGAGGGGATGATAGGATTTATCTATTTGCATTGTTTTGTTAGACATGTGTAATTATTTATTTGCTTCCTCTGAACTGAGTTATTTGTTATTGATATTTATTTATTTAACTTTAAAAAAAATTTCGCTAGAATTTTTTAGTATTTAATTATATATATAAAAAAAAGTATTGGTTGTTTCATTTAGATCCATCATATGAGTTTCATGGTACATACTAGATCGTTAGTGTTGGATCACTTAATTGCTTAGTGATTGTTTTTAAACTTCCTTGAATCAGGAACTTACAAAAAAATTATTACATATAATAAGGCCTTGATGAAGAAATTTACTGTTTCACAACTTTGGGCAAGGACACACGATGACATGGTAAGAAGATTCAGGCAATAGTACATGTTTCTGTTTACGATGCCTATGATTGCAAACTAAAAGAGGAAAACTGGATTCACATCAAGAATTTCAATGTTACTACTCAGACATGACATTTGTAACATCCGTAAACCAAATTGCTGCTTTCTGGAAGTGGTGTCGAGCGACACCAGGGTATGGCAAAATCGAATCAGTTCGATTTAAGTGTTGGTTTAGCCGGTTTGGGTCTGGAAACCCTTGTTTCGAGTTTAAAGGAGAATAGCCGTCTTTTTCAGCTCAATTTTCAAGGTGAACTTTTCCAGAGAAGAAAAGAGACGATTTGGAGAGATTTTTGAGTTTTGGAGTTGGATCAGAGTTCCGTTCATCGTTGTGCAGAAGTGCTTCTACTAAAAGTCTAGAGTTAGGCCAAAAACCATTTGATATATGTTGTTTAGCTCCATATGGTTTATACCAAGCTATGAAAATTGAAGAGTGTTGTGCAACTGCAGCGAGGTTTGGTGCCCGAAGCAGAGGATGAAGGTAGGGAAAAGCAGCGCATAAAAGAGGAAGAGAGTGTGCAAATAAAGGCTGCAGAAAAAGAAAAGGAGCATGAAGATGGAGAATGTGGAAGGTATTGAACATGTTTACACCAACAAGTTAATATGTCACTCCCATGTTTTGGAGATGTTTAGGCTTCCAATTTTCTTGGATTGAATTTCTTTGAAACTATTCTCATCATAAAGTATTTTGTTACAACTTACTACCATCGTCAAGTCGACCTCCACCTTTAACCTAATGAGAAATGATAGGTAATTTTTTTTGTTTTATTACCTTTTTTGTGGAGTTTATTTCTTCTTTGTTGAAAACTTGAAACTAAAATGATTACAAGACCTCTTAGAGCTCAAGCATTTAAAAAAGATGTTTATACAGAAAAATTATAACGATGTCAGTTTAGACATTTTATTTTGTGTTTCCAAACTAATTGAAATGTTTTCTAATGATGACAAACACAAAATGATTTTTTTCTTCTACTAGAGTATAATTCCAGCCGTTACTTATCGAAAAAATTAGTTGTGAGGAAGTCCAAATTTTTGTAAAAACTATATATGAAACAACAACTAGATATGAAACTTGGTTGACTGAATATTTGTATTCTCCGTTCACTATTTAATAATATCAGATGTTATCAAAAAAAAAAAAAAAAAAAAAAAAAAAAAAAAAAAAAAAAAACTAGATATGAAAGCTACTGATTCGGAATTAATTTGTGTATCTTAATATTTAGATACAATTACTCAAATTATAATTCAGAAACTTCAAATATCATTCTTCTATGGTCTGGTTGAATTTTGGATATAAAATATTTTCCCATCCCTAATATGATATGTGATCTCAAGTGTCTATGTTGAACAAAATTTTATTTTATACTTACGATTTAAAATTTGAATTTTAAATACTTGTTGATTCGGGGAAAAATATATTATCTTCAATTTTGGTATAAAATGTAGACTGATTTAAAAAAAAATGAAATTGGGTTAAAATATAGACTATTTTACATACTGTATCATATATGTACATTTTTTTATTAAGATTCAGTTTTAAGAAAAAATATATTTCTTCTTAAACAAATATTGTGTATTTGACCAATTTGGGTAATGAATTTTAATATTTAAAAGGCTTTTGTATATACAAAATATATGTCTTCATGTTTAAAAGATTTTATTTCATTTTATATTATAAGATTTTATCCCTGAGATATCTAACTTCAAAAAATGATATTATTCTGGGATAGTCTTATTATATACCATAAATACGTATATATGAAGTACATGTACAAAGCCTTTATAAACTAGTTCTCTTCATGCAACTGAAATACATCACATTTTAATTCTTTAACATCAAAAGCAACAGAGAGAAGTTAAAGAAAAAATATCATACCACATAAAAAAAAACATAAAGAAAAAATATGAAGAGTTTCTTTGGAGTTATAGTGCTTCAATTCCTTTTTGTTACATTATCTTTAGCCGCTCGTGATATATTTTTCTATGCTTCTGATTTTAATGTGGCTAAAACAGTTCCAAATGATCAAAGCAACGAAACATCTCCACCAACTTCACCGCTTTCCATAGCAAAGATTGAAGTGAAGAGAACAGTTCCAAGCGGTCCGGACAATAAAACATCTCCACCTAGTTTATCCTTTTTCATGGCGGATATTGAAGGGAAGAGAAAAGTCCCAACTAGTCCAAGCAATGAAACATCTCCATCTAGGCCATCATTTTTCATTGCAGAGATTGAAATGAAGAGAACAGTTCCAAGCGGTCCGGACAATAAAACATCTCCACCTAGTTCATCCTTTTTCATAGCGGATATTGAAGCGAAGAGAAAAGTCCCAACTGGTCCAAGCAATGAAACATCTCCATCTAGTCCATCATTTTTCATTGCAGAGATTGAAATGAAGAGAACAGTTCCAAGCGGTCCGGACAATAAAACATCTCCACCTAGTTCATCCTTTTTCATAGCGGATATTGAAGCGAAGAGAAAAGTCTCAACTGGTCCAAGCAATGAAACATCTCCATCTAGTCCATCGTTTTTCATTGCAGATATTGAAGTGAAGAGAACAGTTCCAAGCGGTCCAGACAATAAAACATCTCCACCTAGTTCATCCTTTTTCATATCGGATATTGAAGGGAAGAGAAAAGTCTCAACTGGTCCAAGCAATGAAACATCTCCATCTATTCCATCATTTTTCATTGCAAATATTGAAGTGAAGAGAACCGTTCCAAGCAGTCCGGACAATAAAACATCTCCACCTAGTTCATCCTTCTTCATAGCGGATATTGAAGCGAAGAAAAAAGTCCCAAGTGGTCCAAGCAATAAAACATCTCCACCTAGTTCATCATTTTTCATTGCAGATATTGAAGCGAAGAGGATAGTTCCAACCGGTTCAAGTAATGAAACGTCTCCACCAAGTTCACCACATTTTGTACTTGGAGCGAAGCGAAAAGTTCCAACAGGTCCAATTTGAAACATCTCCAGGTAGTCCATCATTTTTCATAGAAGATACTGAAGCGAAGAGAATAGTCCCAACCGATCCAAATAATGAAACGTCTGCACCAAGTCCACCACATTATGTACTTGGAGAGAAGAGAAAAGTTTTAACTGGTCCAAGCAATTAAACATCTCCATCAACTCCATCACATATGGGTGAATGCACTTGAGCCAAATTGGATACAAATGCATCCAGTAATTTGTTTTATATAATTAATGCAATTTCTTCAAACATTAAATTTATATCCCCATTATAAAATCTTTTTTCACCCATTCTTTTCTAAACAACAAATGTTACCAAATAGTTTAATTTGTTTCTAATTATCTGATTAGTAAAGTCAAACGTTATATAAAACAAAAACAAAAAAGATATATCTAGATACATGCTCTCATTTTATAACTTTTTCAGGTTTTTAATACCCAAATGTGTATAAGTCAAATATAATATATATATATATAATGAAATTCTCTAAATAAAATTATTTTAATACTAAACAAAAATATGATTGGTGTAGATATTTAGGGGGGTGTTATTGGTTTCATATATTAAAATCAACTCCAATAGATTCGAAATACATCAGATTTTTAAATTTTTTGTTTATTTAGAATGATTTATTATTCATTTCACAATCTATATGTATATTAGATTTTAAAATCCATGGCAGTATATTTACAAAGTCAATATGATTTGATTCTCCAATGGAACTGAATTCAAATAACAATAATTTTTGAATGTAATTAAAAAAGAAAAAGAAAAACATGTAAAACTTAAGAAACAATACGTATGGCAGAAGAAATGGCTGGTGGAGAAGAGTAAAATGATAAGGGTTATTAACATTGATAATTACTGAATTCTATAATTATATTATACTCCCTCCGTTTCATAATAAGTCTCGTTTTGACTCTTCAGTTACCCAATGTATCTAATTATATATGGATGTATTAAGACTCAAAACATATCCCTATACATCATTAAATAGTCCAGATTCATTTTGTCAAAACGACACTTATTATGAAACGGAGGGAGTAATAAACTGACTACAAAATCTGAGGGTAAAATGTTGGATTTTGATTGTTATAATTTACACATGAAAATGATTTCAAATCCAAACAAACTCTTTCATGTCAAATCCATTCAACAAAACCTATTAATTAAACTTGAATAACACAAGATTTTAAATGATCTATGCAAAACCTTAATTGAATAACACCAGATTTCAAACTCTTTCAATGAAGAGATTCTAAATACAAGAACCAATAACACTATATTTTAAACTCTTTTAATGAAAGTATTCTAAATATTTAAACTAATAACACCAAATTTTGTTAGAAGATTTTAAAACCATGATTGAATAATAATAGATTATAGTTGGATTTAAACTCTATTAAAAACCATAAACCAATAACTTCCCCTTAGTCTTCGTTAAAAGATATTGATAAAAAAAAATTGTGATTTACAAAAACTCAGTGATTTACAAAAACTCCTGCTAGATTTTCTTATTTGTTTTTATAATAAAATATATAATATATATATAAAAATACAAAATGATGTCCTCTATCACAAAATCCTCCACTGTCAAGTGTCAAATAGTCTATGAAAAATCTTCAACCTCTCAACCATTTGAATTTAAATTCTGCTTAGTCATGATTTGAGAAAAATAATCATAGATGTAGCGATCATATTCCTATATTAAATGGTGATGAGTAATTCCCAGATAAACAAACTGAGATTTGGGATGAGTGGTTTTCTAAAATTTTGCAAGTTACTTATTTGACTAATAAGCTCCGAGACTTTTTTGGTTAAGTTCCTGCCACCAATTTTAAGTTTCATGTGTTCAATGTTTGATTATATAAAATATCAAGTTCTTACACCTGACTCGTGACTATGAAAGAAAAGTTATTAAATAACTTTTTCTCTATTTCTTTTTGCTTAACGTTCTTTTCGTTCTAGATTTTTTTTACCCAGATTAATAAACTAAATTATTTTTTTCTGTTTTATCTGTATTTAATATATTATTTTGTTTGATAAAAGTAATTAATAAACTAAAAGTATAATGATAAAACTGGAAAATATAACATTACTCTACATTGAAAACATAAAACAACAACTAAAATGAAACAAAAAATAAGTCTAAAACGATAACTAATTTGAAATCGAGGGAGTATAAATTTTTTGAGTTTCTTAATAATATTTTATTTGACGTATGTAATTAAAAAAATTTACACCATGATGAGAATGAGTATTTGAAATTATCATGCGACTCGTTTGCCAAGTCTTAGAGAAGGCATATCGGTTCCAGAGTTGGATTTCTGTTGAAGATGAAAATGTGACGTGCTTTTTAGGACAGTATCGTTGTGCCAGACTAGAGGAGCCTCGAACCAGTTTTCTCGACAAAGCCAGGGGAAACTTGAACGTGAAAGGTACATGTTTCTAAATTCTCGTCCAATCAATCTATATGGAGCCAGCTCCAAAGTATAGATATTTTACGATTTATATTTTGTGAGATTTGATAAAGACAGAGTAGAATTCAAACGAAATTTTCAGTTTAGACAAGTAGCAATGTCTCTAGAGTTAGCAACGCTTTCGGATGTGTGTCTTCATTTTAACAAACTACAAATCGAGTCTATGGCATTCTTTTGATCATTAAAATAGGAAATTATATAAATTTTGGAAAGAAAAAAAATTCACACACGCTAAAATACCATGTGAATCCAGAGGGAGCAAAAAAAAGAAAGATATAGTTTTTGTGTGTTACAAATGTAAATGCGAATGTTGACAAAAGCAAATGTGATTACTGATTACGACTGTAGTAGTTGACTATATTAAATGTTATAAAAAAGTCAAAGAAGGACAACGTAACTAGTGGCAAATCTCGAAAATATCTCAAATTCAAAGCCCTGTTTTGGCACAATCTAATTCCATTCCATAAAAACCAGAGAAGGTGCGAGGTTGAAGAACTCTAAAGCGTAACGCTTTGTATAGTAAAAAGATCAAACACAAACGCACAAGTATTATGTCTGAGGAGCTGCGACTACAAACATTTTGTTAGTTGGTTTATTAGAGTTCTATAGAGAATCGAGAGAAGAAGATGGGATTACAGTTTGAGAGCTTGGTGGAGACAATAAAGTCAAAGGTTGGTTTGCTGAGGAAGAAGAAGAAGAAACTTTACATGAAAATGGATAAAAGCTCAAGCGTCAGAGTCGAGATCCGTCGTAAGAAGACCAGAGATCTCATCGACAAGACCTTGAAAGTCGCTGATCGTCCTGGCAAACGAACTCTTTTCTGAATATTTTTTTGCATACCGTTTTATGTGATAGTGTTTTTTTTTGTTCTTCCCTTCTGTTCTTGGTGATTTGAACTCAGGAGATCAAAGTTTGTGTGTATAGTGTATCTGGAAATAAAACAATTGCTAAACAATATAGCAAACAGATTTCATTCTTCATTCATGATTTGATCGATGAAACTCGATTTAAATATTAAAATCCATCACCAAATGATGATTTAAAGAGTGTTGAACCAAGTAGTGATATTTAGAATTAGAGCTAATGATTTTTGTTGGAAAAAAAAAAGGAGTTTCATTTATATAAACTGAGAAATCATCTTCTACACTTGAAAACTGAGACCTTTTAAAAGATTATAAGGCAAATCCACCACACCAAGAAACATAGCATTTGCAGCTTCTAAGAAGCCAACAAAGCTTCAACTTTTGCAATCTGTTCTTCCTCGTTGGCTCTAGCTGGACTCTTGTTCGCCTCTTCGAACAAGTCATGGTTCCATTTCTTCTCCTCCCTTGTCCCTTTCCCATGAAACCCACTTCGCCCATTGCCGTTGAATCTGTCTCTATCAGCTCCTCGATAACCCTGTCTGCTTCCCGCACTTCTTTCATCGTCTCTGTTCCACACTCTGTCTCTTCCCGTTGCTAGTCTCTCTGAATGCATGTTGCTCCTCCAGTTTCTCTCGTTCTGCCCGCGACCGCTTAGATTTGTGTCTTTTACCTCCTCAGCTCTTCTTGTTCTGTCTGTGTCCTTCCCAGATTCCTCTGGAATCTTCTTCTCCCTGAAGGCCGGTCGTTTCCTAGAGAGTGCTCCTTTGGTGTCGTCACTCTCATGTCGCCAAGTGCTTTTGTCTTGGTCTTTACGATGCTGTGACCTCTCATCATCTCCTCCAGCTCTTCGATTGCTCTCATCTCTTGAACCTCTCCACGATCCTCTCTCTTCAAACATTTAAAAAGCAAGTGACATGTTCATAAGACTTGCCAACTCTTCTCTAGCTAATATAACTTAAGACGTACATAAGGTTTACCAGAAGTTGGTCTTCTGTCATCTTTCCGAGCACTATGACGATCATCATACTGTTATAAGACAAAGAGTACCATATATCTAAGCATTGGAAGGCATTCATGTTAAAAAGGTTTTAGCTTTCTCATCAAAAGAAACACTTGCAAAATCTCCCATGACACACAGAACAAGAATTACAGAAATGGAAATTGATTTGAGCTTTTGGAACCTGATTGTATGGTCTAGAACGAGGTCCTTGTGAAAGATGGGAAGCTTGTTTGGTCGTCTCAGATTGCTTCTTTTCACCGTCTTTTCTCAAACCTTGAGCATCAGGTTCCAGTGGCGCAGCATCTCGCAGAGACTGACGTGGTTTCTTATCCGTATCACTACCATTTTTAACATCCAGATCTTTCTTACTCAGAACACGTTCTCCTTCGGGTTTCCCATCTCTTCTTGATCTCTTAGGGCTAAATACAAACATAAATGATCGTTTCTTAGACTAGAAAAAAAGGATCATAAAATCTAGCAAGAGTGATTTCCGAAGAGATGGCTACTAAGAGTGCTCCACCAAAAAAGGTGATAGCGAAATCAACTATTGAGATGAAGAGTGGAATTATGCATTTTTGTGTTCATACTGCAAACAAGTGTTTAAGAATGAAGGCGAGAGAAATAGAGCAAACAGGGAAGATTTATGGGATGCAATTTAGCCAGCTTCTTCCAAATTGACAGCGCAATACAACAATCACAATCACACTAACACCAAAACTACCACAACAATCCGCCGGCATTTCGATTTACTGAACAAATTATACAGAGATTTCACTTGCTTCAAGGCTCAATATAAATATAGATGATACGCCACAGAACGAGGAAGACGAACATAGAGCAGAAGAAAATCACAGAAGCTGAGTCAACGAAAGAGAAGGGAAGCAGACCTGGATTCGCGATCGAGTCTAGAACGCTCCTGTTTTGGGTCTGAATCTCTGCTCTCTCTCCTTGACATTTTTAGGGCTCCTTCCTCTCCTTCCTCTTCTCTTTCCACGACTGCAACTCAATAGTTTATCCTAATTTCCCTTCAGAATTCACAGTTTCCTCAAAATTATAGTTTTCGCCTCATATTTCTTGAATCATCATAAAACCCCCAAATGTGTGGCTTAATACTTAATTATTTATATACACCTATAAATTCCTTTCTTCTTCTCTGTAGATTCCTATTCTCATACTTTTCATTTTCCTTTTTTTTCTTTGGTGGATTTAAATCATCACTAGCTTGATGTTTAAGCTTTAAAACATGGAGTTTCAAGTCACCCTAAATCCGAAATACCAATGAAAATAAGTGCATTTGAGTGTTTACTATGACATAGGCCTTGATTGGAAGAGCCTATAGTGGAGCTGTAGCTGTGAGGAGCAGAAGCAGGGAATCAAAGGAGCTGTAAGCTATTAATTAATAAAATCATAATTTATGATTGGGAGAGCAGAGAGATTTTACATGCCAAATTACCAAAATAGACATGATATGTCCAAGAAAAAAAAAAAGTAAAAGACCACGTAAAAAAATATCTAAAGATATTAATGACTTTTAGCAATTTATAATGCTTCCTCCTGTTGAAAAGTTAATTTTGAGAGCAGTGGGCCATCAAGCAGTTTGAAGCCTTCCCTGCTTCATTTTCTACTCAATTAAATATTATGATTGGCATTTAAAAAGGTCTAAGCCCACTAAACAGCTCTTCCAAGGTCATAAGCAATCTAATGTATGGACTAATGGACATTAATTCTAAACAATAGAAACAAACAGTACGCACACTTTGACGAATTATTTAACACCTGCGACTGATTCATGCGTTTGATATCGATCTACTTGTAACATAATTCATAAACAAGAAAAGTGCTCACTCTGTGCTTTCAATTCAACGTAGAAACTTCTTAAATCATAAATATCTATGAGTTTGTGGTTATGTAATTAGTGGAAACACATGAACAGTTCTTATACAAAAACGTCACATAGAGTGTGATCCATATTTTTGCCACGAGTATTTTATGGGCTCTCGGCCCAAATTAACAGTATTTGAACGGCCAATCTGAGTTTAACTGAGTAACTAAATACACGTTACTTACCTTAACAATCAGATCCGTTGTAGCACACAGGCTAATTTCAAAAAATTTGAAACAACATTGTTGAGAGTTTGGTATCCCACCCTTTGGAAATCCGGGTTCGACTCCCAGCAGCGGAATATTTTTAATTTTTTTAAGGTATTTGAAATATTTTGTGGGGTTTATATTATAAGCTTATTAGACTATATGCAATGAGGTTGATAGACTATATGCAATGAGGTTGTTGATAATAGTTTTCAACGGAATATTTTTAGTTTTTTTAAGGTATTTGAAATATTTTGTAGGGTTTATATTATAAGTTTATTAGACTATGGGTCTAAATGGTAATTGTGGAATGTTGCTGAATGCGGAATCTAGCGGAATTAAATTGTAACTTTTTGCAGAATCTAGTTAAATAGTTAGTATTATGAATGGTAACTGCTGAATGTTGCTGAATGTGGAATAATTTAAAAAAAATGATTTGAAAATTTGTCCTATAATATATTTAAATTTGAAAATTCAAATAAAATTATTGGTATTAAATTGTAAATATATATGTTTAACCTTGTGAAATCTAAACATAATTTATCTTTACAAAACAACAATATTGTATTACAATTAAAGCATTTACTTATTTTATTTACTCATAAATAAGTGGATAATGTGATTTGGTTTAATATTCTGCTTTGAAAATAACTCATGTTTTCAAAATTATAAAACTTAGTGTTTTATTATATATATATATATAAGAAACAATATATACAATTATTAGTGTTTAAGTTTTTTTATGATAAGCTAAATATTAGAACTTGCTAATATTAACAAAAAAAAAAAAAACTGATGTTAGTTTTCTAAATTCTTTAAATTTTGTAGTATCTATAAAAAGTTTCTATAAATAAACTTATTTTGAATATCATAGTTAATCAAAAGTTTTTATATACATTAATATAACATGTGTTGATTGTTGGAGGAAAAAAAAAAGAATTCCTCAAATTTTGTCTTTTTGTGAGTTTTCTTATTCAGCTGAATTGTGTGCAACTGGTGTATCATAAAAGTTATTCAGCTGAATTCAGCTACATTCTTCAATTAATCAGACATCAGTTAGGGCCTATATGCAATGAGGTTGTTGATAATAGTTTTCAACAGTTGAAGTGGCTTTAATGAGGTTGTTGAAAGTATATGTTGAATGACTTGACAAAATCACATTGAAAACTAAGACTATGTACAATGGTTTTTTTTTTCAAACACCCTCTTTTTCACTTTTTAACACTCCACATCATCTTCTCTTTCTTCCACATAATAATTTAACACACATTCAAAATTTTAACTCTACAATGGTTTTGTTTAATAAAATTCGACATTTTACCCCACCATTAAAATAATTTATCTTTAATATTATAGAGAAAAAAACTTAATATTTTTATGTGTCCAAATTTGATAAAAAAAATTTCTGTTTATAAAGGAAAAATAATAATAAATTTTGGTATGAAAAGTTTATAAAAAAATAAATAATTTTCTTTAAAATAATTGAATTTAAATATTTAGGATGAATGAAAAAAAAATAAAAATAAAACAACATTCTCTTTCCTCGTGATTGGTCTACGTGGCACCGTGTCCCCACATTTCTCATTCTTCAACTAGTTGAAAATTTTCAACATCAAATTAGCCACATCAATTCAACACTTCAACATCCTAATTCAATATACCCATTGTAATGATTCAACAGTTGAAAAGTGATTTCAACACCCCTATTGTAAGTAGTCTAACAACATATTGATAAGAAAAAATTGAGTCCTACTAAAGACATGTGTCACAATATAATTGGTTACTGAGATTTCTGATATTTTTTATCCCCTAAATTATTTGAGCTCAATTATTTCAATCAAAATTATATTCTTAAATTATAAATTTTATACCAAAATTCATCATTTTTTATACTCTATAAATAGAGACTTATTTCATTTCATTCGGACACAAAAAAAACATATTTTCTATATTTTTACCTTAATAGATCCTAATAATAATCCTTTTACTATTCAAAATTCTTGTAATAACGCTTTTAACTACCCAAATCCCAACAATTATCAATTCCAAAATCATTCTTCCAATCATCCCTAAAATATAAATGGTTTTTCACCAAAATTTTGTATACCTTTAGCTGTTCCATACAACAATTTTTTTAGTTTATTTAATTATTTTAGTTTAGTTATTTATTTATTAATATAAAATAAGAAAACATAAACAAAAAAATAAAATAAAAATATATAATAAAAATGTGGGGTAAGGTGTTGTATATTATTAAACAAAGTCATTGTAGATAGTAAAAGTTGAAAAAAGTGTTGAATAATGAGGTAGAAGAGAGAAATGATGACGTGGAGTATAAAGTATGGTGTTAAAGTAAAAAAGTCTTTTTGTGCTCAGTGAGCCGGTCCAAATTGATAGAATATTGTACATAGTCTTAGAGAGCTTTGACTTCATCCCAATATTCTAAATGTAGCTATTATAATCTCTGTTCAAAAAATCGGCCGATGTGCCGATTAATCGGTTGAAAAATCTCTCATCGGTATACTACCGTGGCGATGAGTATTAAATTATTAATCCCTTGTAAAGTATAGTCAACTTGCATTGACTGAGTAAAGTCATTTTTTTTTTAAAAAAGGAACATGTAATATCATAAATTGTTTGGACCAGAATGCAAATTCTTTTCATAATTTCGGCCCATTTGAGATAACTTCATTATGTCAATGTGTTATTTTGGAAATTGTAATATATATCTAATTTTAAGAGAAATTGATAGAGAAGCATACTTAGAAAAAATTGTTTGAACCAGAACTACAAATGTTTTGCATGATTTCAGCCTATTTGGAAAAAAATAATATCTAATTTTTTGAAATATATTACTTATATAGTTATATATATGAAAATATTTCAAAAATATACAAAATGTGGTAAAATTTCTTCCCTCACTAATCCCCGATTAATCTCCGTTTTATCAAAAATCGTTAATCTTGGCCCGGCCGCCCGATGAACGATTAACGATGTTTTGAACACAGATTATAATACTACTCGGCCCAAATTTTTGGTAAGGTAAAAAATCAAAGGATTATGTGAAAAGTCTTGAACAGCCCATTTCAGTTTCCGTCTAGTAAATAAATACTCCCTCTGTTCTCTTATAAGTGTCCTTTTAGAGAAAAAAATTTGTTCACAAATAAGTGGTTTTCTCACAAAACAGTGCAAAAATTAATGTATATTTGTTCTTTAGACTCTTTAAATTTTGCAGATTGGCTTTTTATTGGTTGAATTGTGTTAGAATTGATGATAAAACATGTTTTATTTTGAAAAACTTAAAAATTTATTGATTTCTTAATCTGTGTGCATAAGCCTAAAAAGATATTTATTTGAGAACAGAGAGAGTAATAAATACTGGTCTACCTAGATCAATAGCAATAAGATCTGTTGTAGCACTAAGGCTGGATTCTGGAAATGTTACAGTTCGATGTTACTTCTAGGGCAATCTGGGCTGGACTCCCGACAGTGGCAAACTTTTTATTTTTTCAAGGTATTATAAAATAACGGCTTATTTCAATTTCTTTCTAATAAATAAAGAGAAATTGTTTTACCTAAATTTAGAGCAATAAGATCCGCTGTAGCACTTGATGCCAAAAAAAAAAAAAAAAAAATCCATTGTAGCACTCTCGCTAGATCAAGAGCAATAAGATCCGCTGTAGCACTTTGGCTAATTTCAGAAAATGTTTAACTCTAGATACTTAGGTTCTTTCACCCTCGGAAATCTGGGTTCCAATCCTGGCAGCGGAATTGTATCTTAAGTCTCCTCCTCCACTTTTTTAAGTTTTAAGAGAGGAGGTGAAAAGGTTTCGGAAAGGGAACGAACAAGATTATTCTTCTGAGCTCTTGCTTTTTCAGGTGAAGTGAAGAAGTCTCTTGATGTCATTAGGGTTTCCTTCATTTAATAAAACTCTTTCACACGTTAATAATGATTACAGCTAATAAAAACACTTGTAATTGTCCTCTCGATGAACCGCCAAACACATTGTGCAGCGTATATATATGTTAACTAATAAAGTAAGCAAAACCGATTTCGATCAAGCCGGTTCAATATAAACGCGATGGACTCAGACACTCAGCTACAAGAGTTTCTTCTTCTCCAAGAGACAATGTGTGCACAGATATATATATTTTTTTGAATTAAAGTGGACTGTAACTTAGCTATAGATTACACTGAATAGTATTCTTAGTAGAAATTATTAACTAAAAGGGTATTAAGAAATGTGTTGAAATAATATGACTGTTAATAAAAAAACTCAAAATACTTTATTATTGATAACACTGAAAAGTATTTTACTGAATGAATGTAAAATTTGAAACTTGAGCCACATACTATTTTTGCAACGAGTATTTGACGGGCTCTCGGCCCAAAATAATTAAAAAGTATGCCAATCTTTAAGTTTAGATGAGTAAATATATTAAGTTTACTTACATTAATTAATATCAGTAAGATCCGCTGTAGCACATAGGCTAAATTCCTACTGCTCTCTTGAGCCCAATTGTGTTAGTGATAGTGATTTGTATCCCATCTTTCGGAAATCCGGGTTCGACTCCCGGCAGCGGAATATTCTGAGTTTTTTTCTTCTTTTTTTTAACAAGAGCCATATGAGAGAGCTTTGACATGAACTAATGAAGCTCCTCACCACAGAAATCCTAAAAACGACTTAGTACCAGCTTTCTTTCTCGATGTTCCTATATTCGTCAAAGAAAAAAAAACTTATAGGTCTAGTTTATAGTCAAAAACACTAATAAAAGACGAGAGTTATCACTCAAACACAAACAAAAGCAAACTTATAGCCCCCCAATTGTTTAACCGGAAATTTTAAGGGAATTTCTGGAAGATTAGGCTTATAATTTCTTTTCAAATAAACTACAGATCCAGATTTCCTAAAGATAAAGAAATAACAAAGAAGAAAACTATGTAACTCTTTAGATGGCAATTAGCTTCTCTGCTTTGATATTGAAGTTTGCAAATTGTGATTAATAAAAAGGTTTCAAATCGTAAAATCCTCGAGAACCAAAAAAAAAAGAAGAAAAAAAAAAACCTTTACATAAATCTCGCAAGTAAGAAACATTTGGTACTCTTGCCAATATGTTAGGTTGAATCATCATTCAAGCAAGCGCTTGTGCTTCCACCACCCGATGGCACCAACATAGATGAATATACTTCCGAGACTACCTCCAATCACAGTCCATAAGAATCTTGTCGGGCCATTTTCATTATCGTTGAACAGCTCTATGGTAATGTTCATACCGAACACTCCAGCAACTGCGATAAACGCGCTCATCACCAGCGTCGCTGTTGTTAGCATCACACCCATTTGCAGAAGCTGATTCTGCTTGTCATCCAGCATTATGTTGATGTAGTCCTCTGTGTCATCCACGTATTCCCTTAGCTTTTATTTTTCAACATCAAAACACAACAAAGCAACATCATCATCACCGTCTCTATCGTAAAAGAGAACCAAAGGATCTGTGGTATTACTTACTGTTGATAGTTTGTTCAGTGTACCATCAATCTGCACGAAATACGCTTCCAAAAGCATTTCAAGCTCTTCCACATCGAATTTGTTGATCATGGCACTCCGGGTTGAGCTTGTATGAGTCCCGTGGCTGTTTCTGCTAAGTGCGCTGTGAGCACTCATAAGAAGATGGTGAGCATCATCTGCTACAAGATAGCTTTCGTCTCTGTTAGCCTCCGACGCAAATTCAGGAGGAAGCCTGGCAGGTCATGGTAAAAAAAGGAAGTTGTTAAACTTATATCACAAGGATCAAAAATTAGGATGTTCAGAAAAATGTGGTACATGCCTGTCATCCTCTTCTCCTTCAGGAAGATCAATCTCATTCATAGAGGAAGCTGACGAACTCTCAAGTTTCTGAGATAGCTTCTCTGTAAGATACATCTCAGCCATGTCTTCATCATCGTCTAGCAGATGTTCTAGTTCGTCCCTAACCTAGAAATTGTTGAAGATAAAGAAAGGTTCACAACGAAGAGGAACACAATTTCTCCTAATCATAAGATCAAGTAAGCAATGGAAAGTATGAATCATAACACCACCTTCTGAACACGACCAGTTATTGCAACGAGCCTGCTTTTGATCTGTCGAACCCGTTCCAAGTTGAGAGTACTGATCTTGGAAGTAAGCTTGTCTAAGGCAGGATGAGCCTCTAACTCCAATCGTACAGCCTACACTAGAGAAGAATGAACTAAGAATACCACATATAAGAGAAGAAAGATGCTCTGTGTGTTAAGAGTACTGATATAAGCATTTTACCTCGCTTTCCAAACTGCTGGATGCAGCTTCAAGACATGCTTCCAGAGCAACAAACTCAAACGGAAGAACCTTGGATCCATCTTGATTCTCAAGGCTTTGCTTTGCATCTTTCTTGGCTTCACTCCCTTGATCACCAGACGACTGTGGCGTCCCAGCTTCTCCTTGGGCGGTATCTGTTCTCGTATGAGGCTCTCCATCAGAGTTCTCTTCCTCCTTTACACAACGCATAAACCAGAGAGTCGTAAGTACTGTGATTAGTAGCTAAACTTGAAAATCTTTAATCCTCGTATAGCAACACCAACGCAGAAATCAAACAGTCAACCATGTCTCAACATGACTACCATATACAGGTTCAATTCTCAAGCCAATATGTTATACGAACTCCTTTTAGCTACAACCCTCACTTTCTATCTCCCAAACAGTGAAATTAGGCATGCGAATCACCACTGATTCTAAAATTCCTCCCCAAAAAGAAGAATGAAAAGAAAACCCTAATTTTCTAAAATTACCTGAAATTTAGTGGCATGATGGTGGCACAGAATCCGCCTCTGCAACTCATCAATGAAGGGCGACACGGAAGGATCCTTGGAATTAAGAAGCAAAACCTCTTGCGCGGTGATGATTGCCTTAATGTGCTCCAGATTGATCACAATCGCTCTCTCTCGACCCAGAACAGTCGATGGATACGACAGCAGCGGATCGAGAATCCGAAGATCTCTTGCCGGTAACCCCGTTCGCCGCATGATGGCGTGTTTTCCAACTTCCTCTATCTTCGCTTGCCCTGACGAATGAAGCACCAGCCACGGCCTCGCGCCCACACCTTTCTTCCGGCCACCGGCGGGATACGTCGGCGTCGGCAACCCAGCGTTTGGCGTTGCTGAATTCGTATCGAAATCGTAGGGTCTAGGGCCTCTCATGGCGTCCGACGCGATCAGGTATCGAGTAGCTTGCTCTGTGAATCGTCAAGTCAGATAGATGATCAATGCAAGCGAATTTGGGAATCGAATCATTTATAATCGGCTCCACAACAAAAACCCAAAAATGAGTAAATCGGTTAAGCAACCCAATTTAAAAATTTCCCGCGAAATCAAACCGGGTTTAGCGTTTCAACCAAAACCGAACCGATTTCAGCATCTTCTTTTGATTTTGCAGCGTACGGACGGAGGCCGAGTGTTTGTCTTTCAAGTTTAGGGCTTTAAGACGACTCTTAACCGGCGAAGCTAAGCGACGGCGAGCTTGAAAAATCGATGAAGTTGAAATCGGTGTTCGATGCGTCGGAAATCAAATCGGAATTCGAATCGGCGGGAATAAACCCTAATTTCGTGATTCCCATCTGGAAGTATGTAATTCAGAATCCTGATTGCGTCTGGGATGAGATTCCTTCATTGCCCTCCGCTGCATATTCTCTTCTCCATTCCAAGTTCAAGGCTCTCACTTCTTCTCTTCACTCCCTCTTCCATTCCTCCGATGGCACCACCTCCAAACTCCTCATCAAACTCCAGGTTCTCCTCCACTCTCTCTGTTTCTCCGCTTTACTTGTTAATATTTGGAGCATGATCTAAATGTGTGTATACAAATACGATATGAGTATGGACCTTTTTTTCTCAAGAGGTTAATTCGAGAATCAACCAACCGACGATGTCTTTGTATTACCTATGAACAAAGAGACTAGTTTTTGTAGATAGATGTGACATTCTGAGAGGTTTGTAAATTCTGTAGAATACATAGGAGATTTGGATGCTGAAAGTTCACTTTTTGATTACGATACATTGCTTCTATGGATTCTCAGAGCATGTAATCCTAAATTGGCTTTGTTATCTGTTGAACTCATATTCGATTCTTGGTTCTGGTTTTGAAATTCAAGAATGGAGCTTTTGTGGAAGCTGTGATAATGCGATACGATACTCGGTTGGGGATGTGTGGAGGGAAACCACGTCCAGGAGGTGTGAGATCAACATTATGCATTTCATCCCAGGTATTGATTTTTTATCATCCCTGTGTCATCTTGGTTCATTGAATCACTATGCAGTGATAGAAGATCTGATACAAGTATTTATCAATAGGTTGGTTGCAAAATGGGCTGCACATTCTGTGCAACTGGTAGCATGGGATTCAAAAGCAATTTAACATCTGGAGAAATTGTGGAGCAGCTCGTTCACGCCTCTCGCTTAGCTGATATACGCAACATCGTTTTCATGGTACATTTTCTTGTTAATGCATCTCACCAAGGATTCTTTTTTTGCTGCCTTTGTATTGGTTCTTGTTTCTTTATTCACTTCTGATCCACCTTGCCTTGTGGTAATGTTAAGATGTCTTTCTATACTTGAAATTCATTCACCGGTTGTTGCCTTGGTTTGCTGATTGTGAACAGGGAATGGGAGAACCTTTAAATAACTACAATGCTGTTGTTGAAGCTGTCCGAGTCATGTTAAATCACCCTTTCCAGCTTTCACCCAAAAGAATTACCATATCAACTGTAAGTAGTGAGAAAGCAGCTACCTTCATAAATTTGTTTACCACTTCACTAACTAACTCATATTCTAATTTCATTTGCATATAGGTTGGAGTTGTTCACGCGATTAACAAGCTTCACAATGATCTACCAGGTGTGAGTTTAGCGGTATCTCTTCATGCACCAGTTCAAGAAATCCGCTGCCAGATCATGCCAGCAGCTAGAGCTTTTCCTCTTCAAAAGCTTATGGATTCACTTCAAACTTTCCAGAAGAACAGGTAGCTCCTAACTACTTCTTTGCTATGAAATATGCTAACTCCATAATTACTCAAGTTATTAAAGATTGGATTTGAACAGTAATCAAAAGATCTTCATTGAGTACATCATGCTTGATGGAGTAAATGATCAAGAGGAGAACGCTCATCAACTTGGCGAATTGCTAAAGACGTTTCAAGTGGTAAAGTCTTTACTTTCTTAAATACTCTCTAAAAAGTTTCTTCAATTAAATGATGGAAACTGTAATGCCATTTTCTTGGATAGGTGATAAATTTGATACCATTTAACCCAATTGGGTCTACAAGCCAATTCAACACCAGCACCAAACAAAGCGTCTCAACTTTCCAGAAAATCCTCAGGGAAACGTACAAAATCCGAACCACGATTCGCAAAGAAATGGGTCAGGATATTAGTGGTGCTTGCGGCCAGCTAGTCGTGAATCAGCCGGCCAATAATAAAACTCCCGGAGCTGTGGGATTAGTTAGAGACATTGAAGATATGTATCTCTAACTTGAGGACCAGACACATGAAACAGACATCTTAAATTTCCTAAAGAGACAAAGGTTAATGGTTTGTATTATCTTCGAAGTCACTCTTCAAAACCCTTTTCTTAAACTTCACATTTTGTCCCTCATTATTCAGTGGAAAACACTTGGCTTACTCTCATCTGCTAGTAAGAAAAAAAGAGATGGTCCTTTATAAACCACAGCACATGGAGAGATTTAACTTACCATCTCATGATCTTATGTCATTATCAAGTTTAAAAGTAAATAGTTTAATGGTAAATACATTTAACTTCTCTTCCCGCCTATAAAAACAGCCTCATACTCTGTCTTAACTTCCATAAGAGAGAGAGTAACAGAGAAAGATGAGTGTAAAAAGATTTGTGAGCGTCTCTCTGCTAATAGCAGCTTTAGTTTCATCACTGTGCGAGTCTCAGAAGAACTTTGCGTGTGACAGAAATGCTCCTCCGACGGCAAAGTACGGTTTCTGCGACGTCTCGTTGTCGTACGAAGCACGTGCCAAAGATTTGGTCTCACGCCTCTCCCTCAAGGAAAAAGTCCAGCAGCTCGTGAACCGAGCCACCGGAGTTCCAAGGCTCGGTGTTCCTCCGTACGAGTGGTGGTCGGAAGCTCTTCACGGCGTCTCCGACGTTGGACCAGGGGTAATAATAACTTTATTAAATACTATGCATAATGCATAATAATATGTTCATGCATCATGAGTTTGTTTTGTGATGAAACGCTAACGTTTTGACATATTTTGCTAAGGTGCGTTTCAACGGGACGGTGCCCGGAGCGACGAGTTTCCCGGCAGTGATATTAACGGCAGCCAGCTTTAACACATCGCTATGGCTGAAAATGGGACAAGTGGTTTCGACGGAGGCTCGAGCCATGCACAACGTAGGACTCGCTGGGCTCACGTATTGGAGTCCCAACGTAAACGTTTTCAGAGATCCAAGGTGGGGTCGTGGCCAAGAGACGCCAGGTGAGGATCCTCTCGTAGTTTCGAAATACGCCGTGAATTACGTCAAGGGCTTGCAAGACGTTCACGACGGCGGCGGAAAATCAAGGCGGCTTAAAGTGTCGAGCTGTTGCAAGCATTACACTGCTTACGATCTTGATAACTGGAAAGGCATCGATAGGTTCCACTTCGACGCCAAGGTAATATACTAATTAAAAAAAAAGAAAACTCAAAGCCAAAGAATAACGAGTCATTCAAGACTTGATGGTTTCTTGATTGTTGTTTTTTTTTTTGGAGGAAGGTGACGAAGCAAGACTTGGAAGACACGTATCAGCCACCATTCAAGAGCTGTGTAGAGGAAGGAGATGTGAGCAGTGTAATGTGTTCTTACAACAGAGTTAATGGCATCCCAACTTGTGCTGATCCTAATCTTCTTCGTGGAGTTATCCGAGGCCAATGGCGTCTCGACGGGTCAGTATTTGTTTCTACAAGAACCAGTTTGAGCTAAAGATTAACGATCAAGTTTTTTAATGCGAATTGAATCTTTCTTGGTGACAGGTACATCGTTTCGGATTGTGATTCCATCGAGGTCTATTTCGACTCCATTCATTACACCAAGACACGTGAAGACGCCGTTGCGCTCGCTCTCAAAGCAGGCAAACAAATCTTTAGACTTTGATCTCAAAAGATCATTGCATTATATATGTAAATTGGTCTTTGAAAAGTGAAATGTGTTTTCTTGTTCTGAAACAGGTTTAAACATGAACTGTGGAGATTTTTTAGGGAAGTACACAGAGAATGCAGTGAAGCTTAAGAAACTGAACGGATCAGACGTTGATGAAGCTCTAATCTACAACTACATTGTCCTCATGAGGCTCGGATTCTTCGACGGCGATCCGAAGTCACTTCCATTTGGCGATCTCGGACCATCTGACGTTTGCAGCAAAGATCATCAAAACCTTGCCCTAGAAGCCGCCAAGCAGGGGATTGTTCTGCTTGAGAACAGAGGAGATCTTCCGTTATCGAAAACCGCGGTTAAGAAACTAGCAGTTATAGGGCCAAACGCAAATGCTACAAAGGTGATGATCAGTAACTACGCCGGTGTGCCTTGTAAGTACACAAGCCCTTTACAAGGGCTACAAAAGTATGTATCAAAAGCTGTTGCTTACGAGCCAGGGTGTAAAGATGTCAAGTGCGGCGACCAAACGCTGATTGCAGCGGCGGTCAAAGCGGCTTCAGAGGCTGATGTGACGGTTTTGGTGGTTGGCTTGGATCAGACGGTAGAAGCAGAGGGTCTTGACCGGGTTAACCTAACCCTTCCTGGTTTTCAAGAAAAGCTTGTGAAAGATGTGGCTGATGCTGCAAAGAAAACTGTTGTCCTGGTCATTATGGCGGCCGGACCTATCGATATCTCTTTCGCCAAGAATCTGAGCAAGATTCGCGCGGTTCTATGGGTTGGATATCCCGGTGAAGCTGGAGGAGACGCTATAGCTCAAGTCATCTTTGGTGACTACAATCCTTGTAAGCCTTACACTCTATACTTAAACCCTAGACACACATTACTTTACTTTAAACCCTAACCAAACCCTAAGCACAGTTACTTACTTATCTGTGTTTGTTGTTGCGTCAGCTGGGAGATTACCGGAGACATGGTACTCACAAGAGTTTGTTGACAAAGTTGCAATGACGGACATGAATATGAGACCTAACTCTACTACTGGTTTCCCTGGAAGATCTTACAGATTCTACACAGGGAAACCGATTTACGAATTCGGATACGGACTCAGTTACTCTTACTTCTCTACTTTCATTCTCTCAGCTCCATCATTCATACACATCAAAACCAATCCAATCTTGAACCAAAACAAGACAACAACCTCTGTCGATATCTCCACCGTTAATTGCCAAGATCTCAAGGTCCGAATCGTTTTCGGGGTCAAGAACCAAGGGTTAAGGTCCGGGAGCCACGTGGTGCTAGTGTTCTGGATACCGCCGGAGTCTTCAAAGTCACTGGTAGGTGGTGGCGTGCCACAGAAGCAACTGGTAGGGTTTGAGAGAGTAGAAGTTGGTAGAAGCATGACAGAGAGAGTTACAGTTGAGATTGATGTCTGCAAAGGACTTAGCCTTGTGGATACTGACGGTAAAAGGAAACTAATCACTGGACACCACAAGCTTGTTATTGGATCAAACGGTGATCAACAAATGATTCATCATCTCAACGTTAGATTGGCTGGAGATTCAACAGTTTCTTTCTGAAAAGAAACAAAAAATATAGAGTCCATAGATTCTATTAAAGTTCTTATATTCAAAGTCAATACTGTAATGCTGTCATCAACTATGAGCTTATGACTGGAGCCTAAATAAAAGTTTGGTATGATAAAACAAATGGGGTCAATACTTATCCAAATATTTGAACCAAATAGCAGTCAATTCAAATACGAACACAAATTTGATTTCTCTTCTTATGCCACATGATATAAATATTGGGTTCCTGTAAGCTGTTTTTACAATACAGAAACTTAGAATTTTAAAATGGAGGGGTTAATTCCATATCTGATTCATGCGATCAAGAAAGACCAAAAGCCTCAACATCAGAGGTATCGGTCGATATCTTTAGGATCGAGCCATAGCTATCGACCACTAATGATGGGACAAGAAGGTTCTTCTTCATTACAGGGATCTTCTCACCGTCGGACTAGGTCAGAGTACAAGCCACCTGAAATAATGGACAGGTTTGATCAGAGATCATCAGGTTTTGGTCAAGATTTTGTTGTAGATGCTGTGAAGAAAGATTCTCCTTCTTCTTCTCAGAATGTAGCCACAAAGCCTCAGCTTGCAGCTAGGCGATGATCTTCTGTAACAAGATAAAAATTATAATTCTGATCTTTCTATCTATCTTAGTAATCAAATTGTAATAAGTTCCAGATACCAGTCAATGAATTAATTAATTTATTTGTTTTAGTATTGTTATATCAATAAAATACAAATTAGTTACTATTTTATGTTTTTTGGGTAACAAGAATGACCAAGAATAGTAAAGAGAGCTGTCAAAACAAATCAATTGGCTAATTACAGAGGAAACAGAGGAATGATCTGTTTATTGCTTGGCAGTCAAGGACGAAAGATCCACGTTAGGGCATCTTATCACAAAAACAAGGAAGGATTTCCCAAAAAAAAAAAAAACTTTCTTCATCCTCAACAGAATCAAAACATAAACACATCAGAGTCCACCAATCTTGTTCTTGTCTGTATGCAACAGATTGAGAAACATAGCTTTCTTTCCTCTCTTCTTTCTTCTAACAAAAATCTCAGCATTGGCAATGGCGGAACTAAGATCAGGTGTTCTTTTCAAGCTTCTAGAAGAAATGGGAGTCGGAAAAGTGCGAAGAGACGTAGATCACAGACCGGTTTTGCTGCAGATAAGAAGCATAGTCCCTGTGTTAGCAGCTGGAGGATTATGGCCAAACAAAGGTTTCTTCTTGAGAATCTCAGATTCAACACATTCAATGTATGCCTCATTGCCACAAGAAGATAACGATCTTGTTCTCTACGACAAGTTACAAATAGGTCAATTAATATTCGTGGAAAAGCTTGAATTTGCTTATCCAGTTCCTACGATCAAAGGCATTAGACCAACTCCTGGTCGGAGGCCTTGCACTGGTGATCCAGTCGATCTAATCCCTAAAGAACGAATCGAGAAATTCTGCGTCAGTCTAACGGAAACTGAGCAAAGCTACAATGAACACCAAGTGAAGAAGCCAAGAAGAACGAGATGGAACAATGCAAGCGTCTCTGAGTTAAATTTAGGGTTATCGAAAAACCTGACGAGTGTTATGGAAGAAAAGGATGATACAGAGTCTATAGTTTCAAGTTGCTCTTCGTCTTTATCTTCAGCAGCTAGGAGAAGAAGCTGGATAGGTTTGGATGATGATAACAGAATGTCATTCGATCCATCCAGGATTAAGAATCATGATCATCATGACATTAAACTACATGTTTCAAGAGCTCGACGTTTTTCTGCTGTAAGTTTTTTTTTTATAGATATGCATTCAAAACTTTTAGCAAGAACTCTGACGTATGGTTTTTCAATCTTTCTTTCAGGCTTCGCCTTCTCCTTCTACACGAAGCTGTGGAGTGATAGAGGAGAGGTCAAGTAGTATAACACGAAGAAGAAGAGATGGTGTTGTTTCACCATCTCCAACATGGGCTAAAAGCTTAAGCTATGGAAGTGGAAGCCAAAAGAGTAAGAACCTTCTTCCACCTAAAAGCAACACCCTTGAATCCTCAGAATCGATATCGAGGAAAAGAAGCTGGACAGAGACAGAGATTCTCTGGAACTCACTTCCTCCTAAAGTTGTAGATCTCGGAAAGGAAATTCTAAGACAGAGAGATAATGCTATTCGCGCTGCGTCTCAAGCTTTGTTAGAGGCCTCAGCTGCTGAAAGATTGCTCAAATGTCTAAGGTACATAACTTTAATTGAGACACAAGTTATTGTAACTTGTTCCTCAAGCAATATCATCATCGTCTATATTTCTATATAGGTCATACTCGGAGCTGTCGGAGAGGAGAATGCAACATCAGCATAACCAACAGCTACCAATCGGAGAGTTCTTGAGTTTTCAGGATGAGTTAAGCAAGAGCAAGCTCATCATTCAATCACTATCAACTGAAAAAACAGACCACAGCTGCAAGTCCAACACAGTCAAAACAGGGAACGAGAGACGAGAAAAGGCAACGCAATGGATCAAGACAGCGTTGGCTACGGATCTCAAACCGGTTTCTTTATCTGCGAGCAAGCCTACACAGAGCCCCGGGAAAAAGGGTCTTACCCTAATCGCTCAAGAAATCGATTACAATGAAGATAACACAAGCAAAAGAGACTTAGGATCGGGAGAGAGAAAGGAGAGGTTAAGCAGAGCATCGTGCGAGCTTAGAAACTGGCTAAAGGAAGAAGGAAGAAGTTGGTATCTGAGCCGTGTTGAGAAGTATTTAGATGAGATTAGCAATGGAACAAAGTGGAGAGAGATGAGCAGTCAGCAAGTAGGAGAAACCATGTATCAGATCAAAAGAGTGAGTGATTGGTTAGACGCGATTATCAAAAGAGATGATGAAGAAGAAGACGAGGAAGTAGGGATGATGATGATAACAGAGTCTGAAACAGAGGCTTGTGGTAGGGTGAGGAATAAGATTTATAGGATCCTTTTGAAACATGTTGAGACAACTTCTTTGTTATCTCATCAACGTAGTACCAATCTCATGTCTCATCATCATCATCAACAACATCAACATCAACAACAGCAACACTTGTTCTATAAGACAACTTCACTTTAGGTTTGTGTACAATAATAATATTTTCATTTCGGTTCAGTGGAATCTATCTGTACCGAACCAAATTATATTTTGATTAACGTAAGATGCACGCGCTAAGGTAGACAAAGAGCTCAAACAAAAAAAGGAAAACAAGCACAAAGTCAGGCAGATTTTTGGGATTTTCCATTTTTCGGCGACTCTATGTCTCTCTCTCTATAGATATACGATACAAGAGTGAGAGATATCCAATTCCTTAAACCATTACCAATCTCTACTCTCTCTCTCTCTCGTCTGATCAAATTAGGGTTTTTTTCCTTTCTCGATTTCTAAGGTTTTCTGTTGATTATCGACTTGAGTTTTGGTAAATCTCTAACGATTACTCTCTGGGATTGTCATATCGAAGCGTTGTATTTCAATCGATCAGAGAAATCATGTATGTAGTTGAGAATATTTCTCTTGAACCAAGAGCCAAAAGGCAGAAGCTCAACGATTCCTCGTCGTCTTCTTCTAGGGTTAGTTGTGGTCACTGGTACGTCCATTACGGAATCTGTACCGCCCGTAAATCATCGGTCGACAAACGCCGAGGCCGGCGATTCGATTATCTTTTCGACGGTTTACAGCTAAGTCACGAAGCTGTAGCGTTAACGAAGCGCGTTACAACAATAGTATCCTGTCTCAACGAGAAAAAGCTTTACTTGGTACTTGACTTGGACCACACTCTTGTCCACACCTCTAGGGTTTCAAGTTTCTCTGAAGCAGAGAAGTATCTGATCGAAGAAGCGAATTCAAAAACAAGAGGAGATCTGTGGAAAATGAGTTCCCAAGGAGATCCAATGGCCCTCTTGACAAAGCTACGGCCTTTTCTTGGCGATTTCTTGAAAGAAGCCAACGAGATGTTCACAATGTATGTTTACACGATGGGTAATCGAGATTATGCTGATGCCGTTTTGAAGATGATTGATCCGGAGAAGATTTATTTTGGGGAGAGAGTGATAACTAAAGACGAGAGTCCTTATATGAAGACGCTTGATTTGGTTTTGGCTGATGAGCGTGGTGTGTTGATTGTGGATGATTCGCGTGATGTTTGGATCGATCACAAGAGTAACTTGGTGGAGATTAGCAAGTACAATTATTTCAGAATGAATAGTCAAGAGTCAAAGACTTTCTCTGAGGAGAAGACAGACGAGAGTGTAAACGACGGTGGATTGGCCAATGTTTTGAAGTTACTCAAAGAAGTTCACTGTGGATTTTTCAGAGACAAGGAAGAGTTGGAGTCAAAGGACGTGAGGATGCTGCTACAAGAGATTGAATTTAATCGTGTCGACGAAGCATGTGTTATTCTGTAGAATAAACTTCATTTTAAAGATTGGACGTTTTGTGATCTCAGTTCATATATGTAAGAAAAAAAAAAAAAAAATTGCAAAGATTGACTACAAAACTTTGAGGCTATTTCTTATGCAGGTGAATTTGCGTTTATAACTATTCCTTTCGCATTAATCTAAAACCTACTGTATTAGGTAAAAGATATCCTCAAAGCCAAATGAACTACAAATCATTGTGTTTTTAGTTTACTTCACTCTGTACAACCAAAACAAAAATAGATAATAAGCTCAAACAAACATGAATTGCTTATGTTTCTTCCTTACTAAGCCGAAAGCATTTGGATAAGAAAAAAAATATATATTAATTTGTAAACGTTTCATTTTTATAAGATTAACATAATAATAAAAAGTAGTTTTAATTAATTTGGGGTGTGAAATATGAACATCAATAATTAAAAAAGAAAATAATAAGAAGATTTTTTAAGAGGAGAGAGAATAAAAGTGTCGTAGTGTGGCTTTCAGAAAAAAAAAAAGATAAAAAAAAGAAAAAACTAAGTCTGCAAATGGTCGGCGGATAGTCTGCCCTAAACCTTAAACCCCAAATTATGATAAATGAATAATAATTTTATTTTATACAAAGTACAAATATAAAACCTTGTGATTCCTCTTACGCCTTAGCAATAGAGAATATAGATCCACACAAAAATGATCTCAAAAAAATCAAAAATTTATAGTTGAACAAAGAGTAGAATACTAATACAATAGATGACATATGTTGGCTAAACACATAAACAAGTGTTTAACTGCATACTAAAACAAAATTTACTTATTTTTTAACTATAACGGAACTGAAAAGTATTGTATTAGTATATCAAAACTGGTTCAAACCTATCTAAGACTACAAAAACCAAAAATTTAAACTTCAAATTTTTAAACCCTTAACTTTGCCTCAAGTACTTGGTTAAAATCTGCATGTGATGTTTTTCTTACCTTAATTGAATTGACTACATATTGTTAATATTTTATCTTTTTTTTTCTTATTATATTTTCTTAACTTTATGAATATTAAATGAAAAAAAATTATAATTCAAAATTTATAGAGATAAGATGTCACCTCAAAAGAGGAACAACAACTGTGTAACTTTGTTCTGTCATTTTTGGGACAACTACTGATTTATTTGCCGTTTATGTATCTTTATGCCTTTATTGAACTCTAAGTCTGCTAATGGTCCGTGGATAGTGTGCTATAAACCCTAAACCCCAAATTATGATAAACGAAGAATAATTTTATTTTATACACAGTACAAATGTAAAACCGTATTATTTCTCTTATACTCTAGTGATAGAGAATATAGATCCGAAAAAAATAAACAATCACAAAAAAATAAAGATTTATAGTTGAACAAAGAGTATGATACTATTACAATATATTACATATGTTGGCTAAACACATAAACAAGTGTTTAACTCCATACTAAACAAATTTTACGTATAAAATATTAGAAAATGGATTTTAAAAGAATGAGAAAAAAGTAATAAATATCAATAAGTAAAAGTGTTACTTTAATAAGATTAATATAATGTTAAAAGAGTAGTTTTAATCGATTGGGGTGTGAAAAAAAGAATATCAACAATTAAAAAAGAAAATTTATAGGAAGAGAGAAAATAAAAGTGATGTAAAGAGACTTTTAGAAACAAATAAGGAAAAACAAAAAAAAAACTACTAAAGAGATTTTAAGGACTTTTAAATTAAAAAAAGCCTTAAAATAATGATTGGTAAAATATAAACTTTAAAGGTTTAGAGCTCTAAAAGTCCCCACAGCCTAAACATCAATCGGGACATTCAAAGTCCATTTTTATTGCTTTAGTGACTTCACGTTTTTCTATAGTCTTGAAAGTCTTTTTTTTTTAGTTTTTGTTTGTTTTAAAAGTCACTTCTCTAGGCTTTACTTTATTTTACTTTTTTATTTTTTTATTCTTTCTTCTTTTCCCTAAACCCTAAGTGTGATAATGGTCTGTGGATAGTGTGCCCTAAACCCTAAACCCCAAATTATGATAAATGAAGAATAATTTTATTTGATACACAATACAAATGTACAACCTTATGATTCCTCTTAAGCCTTAGCGATAAAGAATATAGATTCGCAAAACAAATGATCACAATAAAGTCAAAGATTTATAGTTGATTAAAGAATAGGCTATCCGCGGACCATTAGCAGACTTAGACTTCTTAAAATGGATATGTTGGAAAATAACATATATTGGCTAAACACATAAACAAGTGTCTAACTCTATACTAATAAATTTTACGTATAAAATATTGGGAAATTGATATTAAAAGAATGAAAAAAGTAATAAATATCAATAAGTAAAAATTTCACTTTAATAAGATTAATATAATGTTAAAAGAGTAGTTTTAATTAATTTGGGAAGTAAAAAAAAGAATAGTAACAATTAAAAAAGAAAATTTATATGAAGACAAAGAATAAAAGTATCGTAAAGAGACTTTGGCTCTGATAGTTTAGGACTTTGACTGTTATATTTAATTTTAAAAATGACTGTAAAAACTGTGAATTTAAAAGTGAAAATTGTGGGTTTAGAAAAAAATAAAAGCCATGTTTTTTGGCTTTTAAGAAAACCAACGATCTAAGAAGGATAAAAGAAGAAAAAAGGATTTAAGAACTTTTAATAAGCAGTTGATAATTTTTAAGGCTTTAAGAGCATCTTCATTGGTGAGACCCATAAATAGAGTATTACAAAATTATTATATTAATTTAATTTAAATTTATAATTAAATTTAAATATAACACACATGATGACACATGTGCTTTAGGTCTCTCTTTTACACATTCTCTCTTTTTCTTTTTTTATCTTTTTCATTTATTTTTAATTCTGAGAGACTAGTGTAGTCTCACCGATGGAGATGCTCTAAAAACTACAAAAGTCTGATGCAGTAAAATATGACTTTAAAGACTTTCCAAAAAATTTAAAGTCTTCAAAGCCTCTAAAGCCATAATGCAAATTGGTACCTTTTAGAAATAAATGCTCTGATTGTTTAGAACTGTTGGCTTTTGGCTACAGAGAGTTTGGCTTTAACGACTGTGAATGTTACTTTTAATATTTATGAAAGTTTGATTGGTATCAAAGACTGTAAGAACTGTAATTGTTATTTTTTATTCTTTTTTACTTTTTATATTTTTCATAAAAATGAATACTATTTTTTTAAATAGAAAATATTAGAAAAATGAATCTTAAAAGAATGAGAATTTTTTTTTTATTAATTTGTAAAAGTTTCTTATAAACATTATGGTAAAAAAAGTAGTTTTAATTGATTTGAGGTGTGAAATAAAAACATTAATAATTATAAAAAGAAAATAATAAGAAGAATTTATAAGAGGAGAATAATAAAAGTGTGTAGTGTTGGCTTTCAGAAAGAAAGAAGAAAAATGAAGGACAACTGATTTATGATTTTATTAGAAGGACAACTGTGGTCATTTTGTTAGTATTAAACGCACATGCATTTAAATATAAACGACATTTGATAACATTTGTTTGAAGAGTTAACGGAGCAGTTAATTACGGTTCAGAACCTCCAAAATTCAAAAGTTTGGGTATTAAATTAGATAAGAAAAAAGTTTGTGTATTTTTCTTCAAAAAAAAATTAAATTGGTATTTTTCAGGGTTTTTCCCCTAAATTGGAATATGAGAAAGAAAAAGGATAACGCTGATATTTTGAAACTATTGGATTATTTTTGTCATTTTAATAGTACTTGTTTGACATTAGTTTCTAAAAAGGGATTATATGAGCAATCCCCCTAAGATTTATAGTAGGGAAAGGGTTTTAAGTTTTAAATATTCAATTGGCAAAAGATAAGGCTGCCAAAAATATCAGTAGGAGAGCAAAGATTTAGCACAAACAAATTTAAGATTTCGTATCTATTTCGATAAACATTTAAGAGACTATATAAGTCTGTGTTAAAGCATTACGCTTTCTCTCCTGTCCAGGTTTTTAATCAAATTTCTCTTGACTCTTGTTTTCCTTTCTCCATCAATTTCTCAGGTTTTATTCTAAACTTAAGTTTGGTGAATTCGCTCACAAATCTCTCCAATCATAGAAATCATGTGCGGAGTTGGAAATCTTGCTCTAGAACCGAAAGCCAAAAGGCAGAGGACGATCGAACCGGAGGAAATCAACGAGTCCTCGTCGTCTTCTAGTAGCTGTGGTCACTAGAAGACGACGAACGCAAATCATCGGCTGCAAATAAAACGTACGTTCATCACGGAGTCTGCATCGGCTGCAAATCATCGGTGGACGAACGGTTTGCAGCTAAGCCACGAAGTGGCGTTAACGAAGCGCCTCACGACGAAATTCTCTTGCCTCAACGACAAGAAGCTTCACCTTGTTCTTGACTTGGACCACACGCTTTTACACGCCGTTAGGGTTCTACGTCTCTCCATCACAAGAGTAACTTAGTGGATATCAGCAAGTACAGATATTTCAGAACGAACGGTCAAGAGTCAAAGTCTTACGCTGAGGAGAAGACAGACGAGAGTGAAAATGACGGTGGATTGGCCAATGTTTTGAAGTTACTCAAAGAAGTTCACTGTTGATTCTTCAGAGTCGAGGATGAGTTGGAATCAAAGGACATGGGGTTGCAGCTACAAGAGATTGAATTCAATCGTGTCGACGAAGCATTGTTATTCTGTAGAATAAACTTCATTTTAAAGATTGGAAGTTTGTGATCTCAGTTCATATTATTAGAGTGATGAGAGCTTATAATGAAATAATTATTATTTACTCTCATAGAGATGAATATACAATGTGGAAACAATTATATAGTAGAAGACTTTACTTAATTGTTAGATCAAAACTTCTACACCAGGAGACATGAGGTCTGGGTTTCGAATCCCTGTGAGTGCGATTTTCTAATAATTTATGCAGATTAATGGAGGCAAATTTACAAGAGGTCTACAGATTGGTGCACGTGGAGCCGTCGGTCGTGGAGACTTTGAAGATGGTAGAA